AAGAATTTATTGTTTTAGATCAAAATTGTTGAATTAATGCGATCGATATTCACGTGAAGTCAGTCTCTCTAACATGGACTAGGAACGGCATATAGGTGTTCTGAAAAAGTGGTGCACCCTAAAGACTTTAGGTACAAGTCAATAAGTCTTAAGATTCAGCTTTATTGAAAGGCTCGTCCTAGAAATCTTTACGTTTTGAATCTACCAGAAGATTCATCGAAGCATTCACACACGACTTGGTGTTCATAACTGGTCACCTTTGTGTAGTACGCTTCAATATCAAAACATTACCTGCTTTTCATTCAACAGAAAGCGCAATTTAGTTTTGTTATTTTCTCACATGCTCGGATGTAGTTTTTCTGCAGCCTACTGCCGGGTCGTATTGTATCTTAGATCATAGTTTGAGCAGTTTTCTTTTTATGTGTGGTTCTGCACAGTATGTTAACGAACAAAACCTTGAAGAAAAGTACGTAGTAAGAAAAGTAGTTGTTCAGGTGAGATCTTGTCTCTGATTTATGTGGTCACGATGAATTTGGTTTCTGAAGACTAGAAAGAAAACATATTTTGGAATTTTGATAGCATATGTAGCAAGCGCGCCCTGTGCCACCCCCTACATCATTTTGAGCACGCACCCAAAGATTTCCCATTACCGAGAAATCTTACTACTTGCGTTACACTATGGCTACTACAGCTTTAGCCTATAAGCACATGTTTTTGAGGAGCAAATAGTTGATGCAAATTGGTTTTGTCTTGATAGAATGTCAGTTGAAAAAGGCAAAGGTAGAACTTATCACGAACTTGCGTGTCTTTGTTAAAAAATATTTAATAAAGCCTTGATCATAACATTTCTTTAGGATCCCTTTCTTCAAGAATGATCGAACCTCGCTATTTCTGTATTCTCCATTGGGAAGCCGACTCTGCTCGAAATGGAGAACCACTCCCCAGGATATCGTTCATTGATGTAAATAGCAAATCTACCTCGGTGGTGTCGGTCCCATTCCCGAATTTCGTGCTTGTAGATGTACTCTTGTTTTTTCGTTTCTTCCTTCTTTTACGAATACCAGCAAACAATGGCCTGCCCAAGTTTTTGCATCACTGTTCCTGTGGTGGAATATTATCATTTCCGAATGCCTAAGGTCTGTCTCCTAAGTATACGATTGAAAAGGACCTATACAATATACTAATTTATCAGAGCAAACTATCTGTTTGCTACCCAAACTTCAATCAATTTTCTTTATTCAGAGGTAAACAAAAAATTATTTTTTACGAGTGTTGTGAAAAATCTTGTTTCTGAAAGTGACGCTTTGTTCTCGCGATATTCTGCCCCGCGATATAATTTAACGTCAACTCTTTTGCAGTCTGTAGTCCGTTACTTTAATTGTGTTTTCAAAATTCAGGCATTTTATTCCCCATTCGTCTTTGAATTGTTCTCATTTAATGCGATGTTAGAATGTTTATTTCAACGAGTTCGTATTGAAAGACTTGTACGCTAAGTACGTAGTTTAGTATCCTTCTCGTTATGATCATTTGTCTCAGTTAATTCCAAAGTTTAATGACACTGCTACTGTCAAAGTCATTCCTACAGCTGACTTCAGTTACCATTGGTACAATAATAGTTTCACTTCTTCCAAATCTCAGAAATCAATGTGTTAGGCTAAACAGTGTCCTTTTTGTAGGCAGGCATCCTATTTGTGCTTTTTCGATTATGGTACACAGTCTATGCTTTCAGATAAGATCAAGTAAGGGATATTCTCTTCCATATATCAAACAGCCCAAGTGGTTTCCACCTTTTGGTCAAAAAAGGAAGAATGTGTAAGTAACTGGTCGGTTACTTGGTCTTCCTTTGCAAAGACATTAAACAAAGATAGCTTACATAGTCTTACTTGTTTAATTCCATTGTCTTTTTTATTAAGTTTAAAATTTGGAAGCTCTCCTCATTGCACTGTTTGTAAGTGAGATTCTATATACACAGAAGCTTGCTTGATGGTTTACAAGTTCTCTGTTTGCATCTTAAAGCCCGTTTTCTTCAATGCAACAGGGAACACCAGACATCTGTTTGCCTTTAGGAACACAGTAACCGATTATTATATAGCTAAAGTTGCACCACGATTAGTCGCCTACCATTTAAGTTTTATTCTCGCTCTCAAGATTTTCCCTGCCTCCCTTGGTTTTGATATACTATATGTGCAGATCTAACTCTGGATAAGCCGATCTCTGGACAAGATGAATACTTTGACTTCACGAGGCTCAACAGTATTTTTTACTGTACTTTCGACTCTTTAAAAAACTGTGATTCGATTATTAATCCTCAAAGAATGTAAATTTCTTGCTATAAGTAAAATGAGAAATTAGGAGCTGTCTACAATGAAGGCCAACCCAGTCTAAAGTTTGCTTACTTGAAATCTAAAGCACTTTCCATCCCTATTCATTTGTATCCAACGGTGTATTCGAAGCTATTGCCGTAGTTGATAAAGAGTTTTATCAATAGAATTTACGTTTTAGAATTCTCATTTTCAAGCGTGATTGCAGAATTTGTTCGTTTTTTTCGATTAAAGTTCGAGTTTTTATAAGTAAATGTTCGCACCTACCTACACATCGTAATCAGATTATTGAGTATTGATAAATGCTGAAGTATATAAAAAGAGAAAAACTAAACGTTATGATGTTATTGTTATCCCTTGCTCTTTTCCTTTTAATTAACTACAACGTCTTGTAACACGTACGAACTTGGATATCTCCTTCCTGTTTTGAAACCATGTTAGAGCACGTCCATTCATGCAGATTTTAGTGTGGCTTGTATTACTTTGGCCTAAGCTGTCAACATTATTCTTGGGGGGGAGGGGGGGTCAACATTTTTCTTGGGGGGGGGAGTAAAGTAGTATTTGGGTAAAGGAATGATAAAGTTTGTTGAATCCCTGAAGTAAGTTGTAGGTGCACTGAAATATAGATAAAAACCGTCTTGGAAGTTGGAATTGCTTTCGACATCGCACTAATCCAGTTGTCTTGGGGTTCCAAAAGGAGGGGGATTTGCACTATCTCTTCTAAATTAATAGATAGACGTATCAAAATAATTAGGGTTAGCTGTGTGAAGAAAACGGTTGATTGCATTAAAGAATTGTACCTGTAGCTGCTACAAGGGCCTTCAAGGGTTAACGAAAGCTGAAGGTAACTTCATCAAATACTTGTGTGGCCTGTCATTTGTATGAATTGATTTTCTATAATATTTCAGGTTTGCAAATTATTTGCTTTTTGTCCTGCGTACCCAGTAATAATGGATGGGGGGTGATAGAAGATTAGATTGGATAGGATTAGCCTATGAATATGGGTAGAAATTTATATGATTTTCCTCAATAATATAGACGTGGCAACCGGTGGGCACAGGGGGGCACATGCCCCTTTCCAGCCTTCTGAGTTGCCCTTTTTAGTCAACTGCACAACCAAAAGTTGCCCTTTGAATGCTTAGGTGCTATACGAACCTAGCAAAGAGAGTAGGGGGCGACCTTTTGTGGACATGAAATAAGATTTTTCCATGCGATACAGCATTAGTATTCTAAGTGATATGCTAAAAGATAATTCTTTTTTGTGTTTTATAGACTTCGAGACATGGCGTTAGTTCCTGAGTAGGGGTTACTTTACAAACGTTTGTGATGAAAGTTTCTATATCTGTACCCTGGATGCCAGAGTCTCTATTATTTAGTCGCAGAATTATGACTCAAAGCTAGGTAAAGAATATTTTTTGAGCGAGGATTCTTCGCCACCGCAGCAGTACACAATACTTTATCGTCGGTGTCATGAGGCGTCGGTGTCAAGGCCTGCACCCTACTCCAACATCAAGGGCGAAAGTAGATTTGTTGAACGCTGAAAGAAAATTGTTAGGGAGTGGGTGCAAATCCCCAAGATTTGCCAAACAAAGGGGTATATCTAAGGTGTGACTGAAAATAATATTAAAACGTGGCCAAACTGCTTCCAGTATAGGTCTGAGTCATTTGAGAATACATAGACAGTTTTTATGTTGCAATGAAGTGCACAGTGTATACGGAGTTGTTTTTCGCTATGTATATTCAAAGTTAAAACATCGGAGCAATTGAAAATAAACTTTGAATCTATATATTTTTGGTATTTACCCATATTCTTGGCACAAACCCCCTTCCACATGTCCTCTATTGGCTAAGCCCCTGCCTAGCTTCACTGCTTTACGACTGAAGGTGATTGTTGAACACAGAATCAGCATGTCACGCCCTTTGAAGCATTTTTCAATATAATTTGCCCTTTGCAGCATTTATCTATCTAATTTGCCTCTGCCTTTTTCCGGCATTTTAAAGCTATCGATTGTATAACAATGTACTTGGCTTTTCTTCTCAAACTGCTGTTAATGATGCTGAACATGTAATTTAAGTACTTAGAAAACAGCAAACTGCGTTTTGTTTGATTGATTACCAGATGGGTGGCACTAATGGAGGTTGGGGTGTCACAAAGCCGCATCTTGGTACATACATCGAAAGAGAAAACGCTGGAAAGAATTGAATTTATGACCATACGCCGTACTGCATGACGTGATTGGAACGTTAATATGTTTACATGCATCAAGAATTGGCATGTAACTGCATTTGGAATCTATTTGGAAGTTATAGAGTAGTTTTTGGGGATTTTACTCGAAAATAAAAGGATTTTTGCCAAAGATATAGGAGACTTTGGTGGACCCTCGGAATAGTATATGATGTAGAGAACTTGAATAGAAATAAATGAAGAGCAGCCTTCTTTGGTATTTAATGGATTCGCATTTAAGAAAGGGAATTGTTGTTAAGATTACTTATTGCGATGTTAATTGTGCAGTTGCTGCCATAGAGTTCATAACTCATAGGTGTGACGACACAAAAAACTATTTTTAGAATTTTTAAAATTTGACCACATGGTATTATAGTCTGGCCTGATTTTTCTGATTTTAATCTGGCCTATTAAGAAGTATTTCACGATGCTCTTTCAGGTTAAGGGATCAAAACTCAAAATTTTCTAAAAAGATTCTCGTGACGTCATCACTTAAGAACTCTACGGCCATTAATCTCCCGCGTTGAAACAACAGATTTCTTCGAACCAAGAGCACTTCCCATTGGTGAAATTCTTTTTTCTGCACACAAAAGAGCCATGGTCAAGCAAGCGTATTAATTGAGCGACCTAATTGGCATTACATTTGCATGGCTTTGAATTACGAGAAAAGTACAAAAGGCGTCAGGAAACTGTTGTTCAGGATAATGAGTCCGTCTAACTTGTGTTATAGGCTGCAATGCATTGTTTTGAATGGTCGTGCCGTGTAAGTCTCGAGGTTCCTTGTTGCCATGATAAATATTATTTGCAAATCTTCCTAAATACTTTCAAAGGAAACACAGATTGAGCTAAGAAGCTACGGAGAGCCCTCACAGCAGCTTTTTCGTTCTAGTGAACTGACGAATCTTGTCAACAAGTATTAAACACAATAAGTGGATATATTACGACTGGCAAATAGTTCTTATTTCCAGCTGGTTGTTCTGATTGATTACCGCATGTACAGAGAGCACGAGAATATTGCAAGAGAACACCAAATTTGTTTGCCGAAATAAGTGTCTGTTTCCACCTCAAAAAAGAAACGATATTGTCACCTGTACAAACAAAGCTAGTTGTTCTTACGCTAGATGGAGATCAGGCAGATGTAGCAGTTCGCTTTTGCAACGATGACATTTCAGTCGTAGCGACCTGGCGAAAAGATGATTCTCTACGCTTCTATGTCCTCGACCGAACTGAGGGCGATACGTTTTTATTTGGAGTCGGTAGGTATTTTTATTTTGCATTTTGTTGATAAATTTCTCTTCTTTTTTCCATAATTTGCAAACGGCTTATTATCCAAGACAATGGCCTACTTGTTTCCGCAATCTTGAATGTCAACATCATCCTGAAGGATATCAAATTGATCGTAAACCATTCCGAGTTCACAAAATGCCCAAAATCGGTAAATGCTATAAACTTATAAAATTGGATGGAAATGTAAGCAAATTTCTGCAAGTTTGCAAAATAAAATATATATTAAAGCGGCAACAGAAAACAACAATACAGAAATTTGATGAAAACTTGTCGTGTAGCTGTAGTAGTCTTCTGACCAATGTATCTCTCTACAATTTGCGATAGAAAAATGCAGCCTTAATAAAAAGCGTCTCGTAGATTATGAACGACGTCGGCATGTGGTCCAGAAAAATAGAATACATCTCCAGGAAAAGGGCACAACGAGAATCGTTATTTCAAAAAATTGAGGGTTACAGCACGGGTATGAAGGGTCATTTATCTCGGACAAAGATACAGTGTTCCAAAATTTGCAAAGAAAAAATTGATGCAAAAATTGTTTTTTCTTGAAGCTGTTGAACACGTGCATTTCCCTGTTGTCCCCCGATTCTTACGTCACTGGGCACAATGCCTATCATAACGAGTCCGCCTGAATTGCCTTGAATTAAACAATTTTCCCCTAATGAAAATAGGTTTAATTTGTGATTACTGTTTAAAAATGCATGAAATATCGAAACGACAGGCAATTCGCACTCTGTGAATGGGAAAGATCTTCCCCACAACACCATTTTTCAGTCGCACCTTTGGTATTTTTTAAGTGTATGAAATATGATAAATCTTTTTTAAGGGCCATCAGCTTTTCGCCAAGCGATCAACTTGGTGCTGAAAAGAAGTATAATAGAAATCCGAGGATCTTATAGCTTTATTTAAAAAAAACTTTTCATCGGAGATGAATGCCAAAAAATGTTTCGTTTATACGACATTTGGTATACAATATACCGGCATCTTTCAGGTATTGTAATTTTTGTTGGCTTCCTTTGGTCTTTATTGTCATATCGCCTGGTAGTTTCCATTAATACAATTTTTCAAGAGAATGAATCTTTTTGATTGGATTTAAACCAACCCAAAGGAAACAAAAAGGGTCAAAAAAGACAAACAAGACAACGAAATCTAAGAAGGTTCGAAGGAAGAGGTCGACATTGATAAATCGTGGTACCATGAGTGTCCTAAAGTCCCCGTTCTTTCTTTAGTACGACTCGTCCTAATCCGTATGTAATTATCGGCAGGGTGGACAGCCATTCCAACTCAACTTGCTGTTAGTTAGATTTTACTTGACTACAACCCATTCTTGGTATTCCGTCTCAGACGAGGGGTAATTTATTCACAAAAATCTTGTGCAACTTCGGAAAAAATCATTTGCAACTTAGGCAAAAATCTTTTTGCTTTCGAGAAAAGTCCCAAAAAAATCCTAAAAATCCTATTGGTGTAGAAAATCTCGTACGCATTTTGGGTGAACAGTCCTCGGTCTCAGAGATGTCTCATATTAGTACTACAGTCCATTTTTGGATTGGTACCAAAGCTTGATGTGTTTTCTTTTCTATCGTTGAAATCCAGATCTGTCATTAGCACTTTTCTTGTCATAGCATGAAGCCTTTCTGTAACAAATCCTCACCATTCTCGGGAAAATTACAAAATTGAGTCTTTGACAAAGTGCGTTGCGTCCAAGCATTTCTTTAATCAAAATTGAATTCTTCGGACTTTACCTGGCGCTTTCCAAGGGGCAACTCACTCTTGCAAAGAGCGTACGAGATTATCCCAGGATTTCTGGGGATTTTCAGCTTAAACAATATGATTTTCACGAAAGGCGTACGAGATTTTGTAGAGTGATTTGCCCCTCGTCCCTTTTTGTCTGAATTTTTGGCCGATATGATGTCTAGAAACTATATGCTTTTATCTTCACTCATAATCACACCCACCCACCCCTTCTGCTCCTGCCACTAACAGTGACTTCACTTTCAAAATTATGTAATTTATGAACCAAACTACGTATGACGTCAAAGGAGGAATTAAGATATATTCTTTAAATTTTTGTAGTGTCTGTTTTGTCTACATCTAAACAGCAGTTTGAAAAAATAGCAAGTTGCAATGCAAAGACTATTAAGGAGTACAGATTTATGCAATTCTTGTGACCAATGGACAATGGTTTTAATTTTCGCATCCAATGCAAATCGGTCTTACTGTATAAAGAAATCGGATTAAATAAGGTTTTAATCACTTTTTTCTTAGTTTACACGCTACAAGATCACCCATCAAATGTTGTCTTGAAAGCTTCCATGCTTGCGTCCTAAACATCAGTTACGTCATTCCATGCCTTGATCAGTTATGTTTTTCGATTCTAACCAATTAAAGGCAGGTCAACCAAAGCTTACTGCTTGATCCATTTGGTCTCCAAGGGATGTGTCCATTGCAGTTTCAAATTAAAAGCCTTGTCTTTGCTCATCAACAATCACAAGAAGACTTTTGTCTCTACGTCAATCTTTTCATGGGGCTGTGGTGTCTCTAATTTCATGAATCGAAAGCTTATTGTCGTATAAATCACGTCGCCGTCGTGTTCTTATTACAGAGTAACCTTGTAAATTAAAATTACTTTATTCAAATCACTATTTCTTTTAAAGGATTACTTATACTTACTGGCAAAACGAATCGCAATATGTCTGGGGTAATGTCATGTTACGAATGCAATTCATTTGCTCGATTTCGTAGCAATAAAATTTCGCCATATACGAAGATGTTTTTTCTAGACAGTCGTGTAATGTTCTAATTTATGACGATGCATACATAAGCATACTTCAAAGGAAACAATTAGCTATGGTCCCTTGGTTTAGGCCAAAATTTCAAATTTCCTCTTTTACATTGTAGTCAAACATCAGTTGCTGTTACTACGATCTAGACACAGGGAACAAAGAAGAGACAAAAGCTAGTCTTCTAAGAAAGAACCCATCTGGTATTGTTCCATTTCTAGAAGACTCGGACAACATCATCTTGGGAACGTAAGTTTTTCAATTGATTTGTATAATTGTATGTTTCAATGATTTATGTTCATTATTTGCTATACATCAGCAAATTATAACTGGTACGTTCAATAATTTGCAGCTTCAAATGACTCTCACAAGTCCTGTTTCGATAATTGTTACCTGTGCTAGATATTTCTGAATAATAAAAATAACCGAATTATCGCTGTCCGTGTAAATGTCGTGATATACCTAAAAATAGAAAATTAACAAAGTTGCTGGAAAATCATTGAAATAATTATCAGTAACGGTCTCAAAGCATCTTCGTTTGGATGTATAATTCTTATTACGACCAAGTCAGACCAAAGAAAATTGTACAGATTTATTACCCGATCAAAAAATGACACAGACCAGAATTGATAACGAGTCTTATAAGAAATTCGCAATCACTTGGTGCCTTGCATGTCAGTAACTAATTGAAACATAAATTTCCATTGCAGAGTCCCAATACTATTGTACCTGGCTGAGACTCATGCTAACTTTGCAATGTGTGGTAAAACTTTAGAAGATCGTGCTAAAGTCGAAAGTGTATTGATGTGGGCATCTGCATCACTTGCAAGGTAAGGTACTTCAATCATAGAAATGATTTTCTTGAAATGCCAACATTTTCAAAAGAGATGTCTACGGAATAGTGAAGATGTTTATTATGAGGCGTTAGGTAGGGTCAGTCGGCTTTTAGGAGCAGAAATCTGTCACATAAACTGGCTCGGCCCCTTAAGCACCCTAGGACTGTATCTACAAAACACTTAATCATGAACAAGGTTGATTCCCAAATACGAGGCAATAGCTATTTATCCAGAATCATCTGCTATCATCTCCACATTTGGAATGTAGCAACGCCAATTTTCCTAGCTATGAGGGCTTTTAGTGGAGGTTTAAAACATTTACCATCATGTGCTTGGTCTTCTGGACTAGAATAATTGCCTTTATGATCCAGGCTGCGAATGATGATCGCCAGTCTTTCTGGGTTTTTTGTAAAGTGCCAGCTTAAACAGCTATAATATTTGCTTCAGTCTAAGGAACTTCTTTTAAAGTACTTTAGACGAAAACGTCATTAAAATGATAGTTTGAGCTTGTGTTAACAAACAATCGTGTGACTCAACAGCAATAGCATAAACTGTGGTAGGAAGGTGCAGACCAGCCAGGAGGGTGGTCGGGCCATATTGCCCTAGGGTCCGAGCTGAGAGGGGCCCAAGAGTTAACGCAAAGTTCCTAGAAAAAACAAAAACAATAATAACTATATACAGTTATGATAACGTCATCGCGGGATGTATCTTTCCTCTTGTCCCAGGCCCTTAGGAAAGCTGTAGGCCTTGAAAGGTGCCGAGCATAAATTCTGATGATGTATATGTTGGGCAATTTTTGATAGCCGAAATAGAGATCTGTCGAAAAAGCCAACATTATTTGCAGATCGTCTGTTACCCTCTACCCGGATAACGCACGACAAACAGAAAGGAAACTATAGACTGTCGTGTAGGACAGTTTTCACAATCATAGGTTATCGCTGTCTGGAAATTCAAAGATAAAATCCTTACTGTTCCTTAAAAGCTTGCATTTAGTGATCTGATAACTGTGCTTAAAACCTTAACCACAAATCATATTCAATCAGGACTTCGGTTAACGGATATTTCACTAGAAATAAAAAATCCTTTTGTGTTTCTGTGGCAACAGCCTGGATTAAAGATTCTGAATAAGGAAGAAAGAAAATCCAGTCGAATTATAGATTTCTTGTTTTGATGATGGAAACGTGCTCGATGTTGAAAAGTGATTATTGAGTTAATCTTCAAATGAAAGATTGCATTTATTTTTGCTTAGAAAATTTAAGATGAGGTTTTTTAAAAAATTAGTTGCTTGGCTGTTTGGCTGAGTTTAGCTTATCAAAGTTTCATATTAATTGGTAGGATTTCATCACGTTCACTAGCATCTTTTCTTGGCTTTTGGATTAAAACATTCGTGCATTGTTGCGTGAAATGAAAAGGAGCTTGTTGCGGTTATGAATACTTTGATGATTGTGACAAAGGATAAGATCGAGCCCCCTTCGAACCATTTTGTTTCAAACCAGAGGAGTTTTCACCATCAAGGGGTGTTTTGTCGGGGAATTTTTTAACTTGTCTACAAATAAGGGATGACTAACCCATTTGGAACCTGGACGCCCCCTTTGAGCAGAATAGCTAACGACAGCTCAGAAGTTAGACATTTTATTCGAATGTCTTTAAGAAGGATATTGCCCCAATACATTGATAATTTTGCCATTGAATCCGCCACTGAGGGAAAGCATATCCTTCACGTTTTAGATCAGTCTTCTACGATTTTGCTGCGCCTAGACTTCACGAGAGCCACTCAATCGGCGAATTTGAAAGCATCCATCTAGTGACACATGGCAAAAGTGAAATAATAGAACATTTTGATGTGCTAGAAAAGCACTATCTCAACAACAACAACAACAACACAAAGTTTCTGGTTAACAATGAACTGACGCTTGCTGACGTATACACCGCCATTACGATATCGTTTCTAGAGCCACTGTTATTCGATTTTTCACCATGGCCGGGGCTTTGCAAATGGTTCGAGGGCATCAAATCGGCGATTGCCCAAACATCACAAAAAAACATGCTAACAAGGCTGTTGTCTTTCAACAGAACTACTGTTGCCGTATAATAGTAGTGATAATGCGCTGGAAATGCAGATTATATGTAGACCAAGATAAATACAATTCAATGTAGATCATGCAGGAATTTAAATACATTTTCTGTTTAAAAGGATACAATACATTTTGTCCTGGCCTGAGCTATATAACCGATGCTAAAAAATTGACATTCAAACGTGCCCCGATACCCTGTGTTGACAATTGACCATTGGGCAGCCTGCATGACATCAAAACAACGCAGTTTTATTTGATAATGATCGAATCTATTTCAGGCACAAGAGTAAACGCTCCGGGATCTAAACTCTTATTTCAGGTCATTCACTTGAAAAACTTTCGTTCAGAGCCTGAATATACTCTTAAGTATTCAACAGGGGAACATCGTTTTCAAAAAGAAACCAACTTACGAATAGGCAACTGCTGAAAAATGAGGCTAAGCAATATTCTAATAATATTCTTTAAGACTGGGTGCTGAGCCTGAAGGTTCTTATGGATGGTATCTAGACTGTTATTTGAGTGTCTTTCTTTTCTACCAGTTGATTTATGGCAAAAAAGTAAGCTTATAGGCATGGAAAATGGCACTGTGAAAACGAAATTTTCTTTGCTTGTAAATAAAAGAAATACCGTAATCTCTCTTGTATACCCGCTGTGGGTTTACTTAATTTTTTAACGTGCTTTTGGAAAGTAGGTTGAAATTTTCATGCGAATTACGAAGAACCTCGACGATTACGAAAGCTGCTTAGAAAGTTGATCCTGATTGGCTGAGACATCAAATGAAAACGGAATAAAACTACACTAAATTTTAAAAAATCAATGGACTCTCTCTCGTCAAAACCGGATTATCAGAGAGGAAGGACTAATCGATCGAAAAAAGACGGGATTATTAGAGAATCAGGAATATTGGAAAGGATGGGAATGCAAAACGGAGTAAATAAAACCTACACATAACTACACAGATATGTTAATGGTGTATTTTCTCCAAAGATATTACAATCATTTCAGACCTGATTTCAATTCTTGTTTATTATCATCGAATAAAAACAGATTTCTTTTAAGAGAAAACAAATTAAGAATATGTTTATCAAAATTTACTTTTTTATAAAAATTTGACACATCCAAACAAATGTTTTACTTTTAAAAAAATGGTATAGCAATCTGGCCTACTCTCTTACTTTTTCATCAAAATTGACATATTGAAAAAGTCGCCATTGTCTTATAACTACGACCTAAGAATTTAGTGCTAAGTTTTACTTTTGTTTTTAGGAAACAGATTATTTCAAAATAAGCTGTTTTTGGAAAAGAAAATTTCGAAAATTTTGACGACTTTATTTTTTCATCAAAATTGACCCTTTCAAAAAGTCGTCATTTTTTCAAAGATACCACTTTAATTTCAATCTTGAGTTTGATTTTTTTTCGGCAATCAAATGGATCCAATTAAAGCTGTTTTTGAAAGAAAAAGGGTTCGAAAATTTTGACGATTTTTCAAAAATACCATATCAATTTGAATCCAGAGTTTTTGTATTATTTTTTGGTGATAAAATGTTTTCAAATCAAGCTATTTTACAACAGAAAATTTTTAAAAATTTTCACGATTTTTCTAAGCCTATAGCCTTACTTTTTCCTCAAAACTGACCCCTTCAAAAAAACGTTTTCTTTCAATAATACCACTTAAATTTGAATCCATAGTTTTTTTTATTATTTATTTGTGTTAAAATGTTTGAAAATCAAGCTGCTTTATAACAGAAAATTTTCGAAAATTTTGATTATTTTTGTAAGCCTATAGCCTTACTTTTTCATCAAAACTGACCCCTTCCAAAAAACATTTTTTTCAATAATACCACTTCAATTTGAATCGATAGTTTTTTTATTATTTATTTGTGTTAAAATGTTTGAAAATCAAGCTGCTTTATAACAGAAAATTTTCGAAAATTTTGACGACTTTTGTAAGCCTATAGCCTTACTTTTTCATCAAAACTGACCCCTTCAAAAACGCGTTTTTTTTCAATAATACCACTTCAATTTTAATCGATAGTTTTTTTATTATTTATTTGTGTTAAAATGTTTGAAAATCAAGCTGCTTTATAACAGAAAATTTTCGAAAATTTTGATTATTTTTGTAAGCCTATAGCCTTACTTTTTCATCAAAACTGACCCCTTCCAAAAAACATTTTTTTCAATAATACCACTTCAATTTGAATCGATAGTTTTTTTATTATTTATTTGTGTTAAAATGTTTGAAAATCAAGCTGCTTTACAACAGAAAATTTTCAAAAATTTTGACGATTTTTGTAAGCCTATAGCCTTACTTTTTCATCAAAACTGACCCCTTCCAAAAGGCGTTTTTTTTCAATAATACCACTTCAATTTGAATCGATAGTTTTTTTATTTTTTATTTGTGTTAAAATGTTTGAAACTCAAGCTGCTTTATAACAGAAAATTTTCTAAATTTTTGATGATTTTTGTAAGCCTATAGCTTTACTTTTTCATCAAAACTGACCCCTTCCAAAAAACGTTTTTTTTCAAAAATACCACTTCAATTTGATTCGATAGTTTTTTTATTATTTATTTGTGTTAAAATGTTTGAAACTCAAGCTGCTTTATAACAGAAAATTTTTGAAAATTTTGTAAGCCTATAGACTTACTTTTTCATCAAAACTGAACCCTTCAAAAACGTTTTTTTTTTCAATAATACCACTTCAATTTGAATCGATAGTTTTTTTATTATTTATTTGTGTTAAAATGTTTGAAAATCAAGCTGCTTTATAACAGAAAATTTTCGAAAATTTTGACGAATTTTGTAAGCCTATAGCCTTACTTTTTCATCAAAACTGACCCCTTCCAAAAAACGTTTTTTTTCAAAAATACCACTTCAATTTGATTCGATAGTTTTTTTATTATTTATTTGTGTTAAAATGTTTGAAACTCAAGCTGCTTTATAACAGAAAATTTTCTAAAATTTTGATGATTTTTGTAAGCCTATAGCTTTACTTTTTTATCAAAATTGACCCCTCCCAAAAGGCGTTTTTTTCAATGATACCACTTCAATTTGAATGCAGAGTTTTTTAATATTGTTTTGTGATAAAGGGTTTGACAATCAGGTTGCTTTACAACAGAAATTTTCAAAAATTTTGACGATTTTTGTAAGCCTATAGCCTTATTTTTTCATTAAAACTGACCCCTTCCAAAAGGCGTTTTTTTCAATAATACCACTTCAATTTGAATCGATAGTTTTTTTATTATTTATTTGTGTTAAAATGTTTGAAAATCAAGCTGCTTTACAACAGAAATTTTCAAAAATTTTGACGATTTTTGTAAGCCTATAGCCTTATTTTTTCATTAAAACTGACCCCTTCCAAAAGGCATTTTTTTCAATAATACCACTTCAATTTGAATCGATAGTTTTTTTATTATTTATTTGTGTTAAAATGTTTGAAAATCAAGCTGCTTTACAACAGAAAATTTTCAAAAATTTTGACGATTTTTGTAAGCCTATAGCCTTACTTTTTCATCAAAACTGACCCCTTCCAAAAGGCGTTTTTTTTCAATAATACCACTTCAATTTGAATCGATAGTTTTTTTATTTTTTATTTGTGTTAAAATGTTTGAAAATCAAGCTGCTTTATAACAGAAAATTTTCGAAAATTTTGACGATTTTTGTAAGCCTATAGCCTTACTTTTTCATCAAAACTGACCCCTTCCAAAAAGCGTTTTTTTCAATAATACCACTTCAATTTGAATCGATAGTTTTTTTATTATTTATTTGTGTTAAAATGTTTGAAAATCAAGCTGCTTTATAACAGAAAATTTTCGAAAATTTTGACGACTTTTGTAAGCCTATAGCCTTACTTTTTCATCAAAACTGACCCCTTCAAAAACGCGTTTTTTTTCAATAATACCACTTCAATTTTAATCGATAGTTTTTTTATTATTTATTTGTGTTAAAATGTTAGAAAATCAAGCTGCTTTATAACAGAAAATTTTCGAAAATTTTGACGATTTTTGTAAGCCTATAGCCTTACTTTTTCATCAAAACTGACCCCTTCCAAAAAACGTTTTTTTTTGAAAAATACCACTTCAATTTGATTCGATAGTTTTTTTATTATTTATTTGTGTTAAAATGTTTGAAAATCAAGCTGCTTTATAACAGAAAATCTTCGAACATTTTGACGATTTTTGTAAGCCTATAGCCTTACTTTTTCATCAAAATTGACCATTTCAAAAAGTTGTCATTTCTTCAATAGTACCGCTTCAATTTGAATGCAGAGTTTTTTATTATTGTTTTGTGATAAAGGGTTTGAAAATCAAGCTGCTTTACAACAGAAAATTTTCGAAAATTTTGACGATTTTTGTAAGCCTATAGCCTTACTTTTTCATCAAAACTGACCCTTTCAAAAAGGCATTACTTATCAAAAATACCGCTTCAATTTGAATGCAGAGTTTTTTTATTATTTTTTTGTAATAAAATGTTTTAAAATGAAGCTGTTTTACAACAGAAAATTTTTGAAAATTTTGTTGATTTTTCTAAGCCTATAGCCTTACTTTTTCATCGAAACTTACCCTTTCGAAAAGTCATTATCTTTTAAGGATACCACTTTTAATTCAATCCTGAGTTTGATTTTTTTTCGGCAATCAAATGGATTCAATTAAAGCTTTTTTTCATAGAAAAAGTTTTCGAAATTTTTTATGATTTTTCTAAGCCTATAGCCTTACTTTTTCATCAAAACTGACCCCTTCCAAAAAACGTTTTTTTTTTCAATAATACCACTTCAATTTGAATCGATAGTTTTTTTCTTATTTATTTGTGTTAAAATGTTTGAAAATCAAGCTGCTTTATAACAGAAAATTTTCGAAAATTTTGACGCTTTTTGTAAGCCTATAGCCTTACTTTTTCATCAAAACTGACCCCTTCAAAAACGCGTTTTTTTTCAATAATACCACTTCAATTTTAATCGATAGTTTTTTTATTATTTATTTGTGTTAAAATGTTTGAAAATCAAGCTGCTTTATAACAGAAAATTTTCGAAAATTTTGATTATTTTTGTAAGCCTATAGCCTTACTTTTTCATTAAAATTGACCCTTTCAAAAAGTTGTCATTTCTTCAATGATACCACTTCAATTTTAATCGATAGTTTTTTTATTATTTATTTGTGTTAAAATGTTTGAAAATCAAGCTGCTTTAGAACAGAATATTTGCAAAAATTTTGACGATTTTTGTAAGCCTATAGCCTTACTTTTTCATCAAAATTGACCCTTTCAAAAAGGCATTACTTATCAAAAATACCGCTTCAATTTGAATGCAGAGTTTTTCTATTATTTTTTTGCGATAAAATGTTTTAAAATGAAGCTGTTTTACAACAGAAAGTTTTGAAGATTTCTCTAAGCCTATAGCCTTACTTTTTAATCAAAATGACCTGCTCAAAAATTCATCATTTTTCAAGTATTTGACTTTGATTTCGGTTCAAATATTTGAGTTTTTTGCTTTTTCGTTGCCAAATGGCTTTAAATTAAGCTCTTTTTGGTAGAAAATTTTTCAAAAATTTTGACGATTTTTCTTAGCCCATAGCTCTACTTTTTCATCAAATTGACCTATTCGAAAAAGTGTCATTTTTTCAAAATACCACTTTGATTTCAATAGTGAGTTTTATTCCCTTTTTTCTGTGATCAAGTGGATTAAAGTAAGCTGTTTTCGGTAGAAAAAGTTTTTGAAAATTTTGAAGATTTTTCTAAGCCTTTAGCCTTACTTTTTCATGAAGAGTCGTCTTTTTTAAAATACGTATTTCATACCAGACCTGTTTTCTCTGTGTTGAAATAGATGGAAATGAAGATCTTTTTATTGCCCAAAGCATTTTTTACTTCCTGGCTTTTCCAAAAAAGTAACCCGTAAGGCTTTGAAATTGGCAGGTATTTTTTACCTGTAATAGATAAATCATGCCTAGATGCAGAGCTCAAGTTTGTTAAATGACATGACTGCTTTAGATGTTATTTTTCATTGTTTTATAGCGTGTTTAAACTTCTTAGTTTATGGCAAAAAAAGGAAAGCCCATATGCTTTGAAAAATGACTGTTTTAGACCAAAACTTTATTTGCCTCTAGATCAGGGTTGTCCAGCCTTTCTCTAAGGTAATTCAATTTACGAATTTAGATTCCAATGTTAAAATTCTAACTACCCCAATACCTTCAATGCCTACCTCAATTGTTGATGTGGCAACTCTTCTGTTAGTCTGCCTCTGCGATCAGGCGCAGCAATTTATATTTTTTCTACGGATTTGCGGATCCAGTGATTCTTGCTGATGTCAGATTTCTACGATTATATGGAGCGAAATTTGGATTCTCAGCGAAAGATGTAGCGGATACTGGATTAAAAAGAGAGCTGCAGATTTGTTAAATACCGTCAATGAGAGCAATCGAACGAGTTTTGAACGTAAAGAAAGTAGCGGGTTTGCAGATAATGATGTAAAAAGCGGATATACCCCTTACATCCACCTCGCTGTGCACAGAGCCATTATGTTGTGTTACAACAAAATCGACTATCCAAGATAGTTTGAAATTGCAGTCACCACCTTCGCCATCTGTCTCTTCCCAGCTGCTGCAAGTTCATTGTTTGGGCACAGAATAGAGGTTAGGATTCACTGCATTCAGTCTTTAAAAAATTACTGTTTAGACCAAATCTTTTTTTGCCTCTAGATAATTGAAATAGACCCTTAGAAGAGGCACTCCTGGCACATGTTGATTGGCATTAGAGATAACGCATTTTCATTGTTTTTCAGCGTTTTTCAAGTTGTTGGTTTTTTGGCAAAAAACGTAAGCCCATAGATTTGGAAAAATGTTTGTTGTTGACCAAAATATTTTTTACCTCTAGATAATTGAAATAGACTCTTAGTTAAGGCACTACTGGAACATGTTGATTGGCATTAGAGATAACGCATTTTCATTGTTTTTCAGCGTTTTTCAAGTTGTTGGTTTTTTGGCAAAAAACGTAAGCCCATAGGTTTGGAAAAATGATTGTTGTTCACCAAAATATTATTTACCTCTAGATAGTTGAAATAGACTCTTAGTTGAGGCACTCCTGGAACATGTTGATTGGCATTAGAGATAACGCATTTTCATTTTTTCAGCGTTTTTCAAGTTGTTGGTTTTTTAGCAAAAAACGTAAGCCCATAGGTTTGGAAAAATGTTTTTTTGTTGACCAAAATATTATTTACCTCTAGATAGTTGAAATAGACTCTTAGTTGAGGCACTCCTGGAACATGTTGATTGGCATTAGAGATTACGCATTTTCATTTTTTCAGCGTTTTTCAAGTTGTTGGTTTCTTAGCAAAAAACGTAAGCCCATAGGTTTGGAAAAATGTTTGTTGTTCACCAAAATATTATTTACCTCTAGATAGTTGAAATAGACTCTTAGTTGAGGCACTACTGGAACATGTTGATTGGCATTAGAGATAACGCATCTTCATTGTTTTTCAGCGTTTTTCAAGTTGTTGGTTTTTTGGCAAAAAACGTAAGCCCATAGATTTGGAAAAATGTTTGTTGTTCACCAAAATATTATTTACCTCTAGATAGTTGAAATAGACTCTTGGTTGAGGCACTACTGGAACATGTTGATTGGCATTAGAGATAACGCATTTTCATTGTTTTTCAGCGTTTTTCAAGTTGTTGGTTTTTTGGCAAAAAACGTAAGCCCATAGGTTTGGAAAAATGTTTGTTGTTCACCAAAATATTATTTACCTCTAGATAGTTGAAATAGACTTTTAGTTGAGGCACTACTGGAACATGTTGATTGGCATTAGAGATAACGCATTTTCATTGTTTTTCAGCGTTTTTCAAGTTGTTGGTTTTTTGGCAAAAAACGTAAGCCCATAGATTTGGAAAAATGTTTGTTGTTCACCAAAATATTATTTACCTCTAGATAGTTGAAATAGACTCTTGGTTGAGGCACTACTGGAACATGTTGATTGGCATTAGAGATAACGCATTTTCATTGTTTTTCAGCGTTTTTCAAGTTGTTGGTTTTTTGGCAAAAAACGTAAGCCCATAGGTTTGGAAAAATGTTTGTTGTTCACCAAAATATTATTTACCTCTAGATAGTTGAAATAGACTTTTAGTTGAGGCACTACTGGAACATGTTGATTGGCATTAGAGATAACGCATTTTCATTGTTTTTCAGCGTTTTTCAAGTTGTTGGTTTTTTGGCAAAAAACGTAAGCCCATAGATTTGGAAAAATGTTTGTTGTTGACCAAAATATTTTTTACCTCTAGATAGTTGAAATAGACTCTTAGTTGAGGCACTACTGGAACATGTTGATTGGCATTAGAGAGTATGCATTTTTATTCTTTCACAGCCTTTTTCAAGTTGTTGGTTTTTTGGCAAAAAACGTAAGCCCATAGGTTTGGAAAAATGTTTGTTGTTGACCAAAATATTTTTTACCTCTAGATAGTTGAAATAGACTCTTAGTTAAGGCACTACTGGAACATGTTGATTGGCATTAGAGATAACGCATTTTCATTGTTTTTCAGCGTTTTTCAAGTTGTTGGTTTCTTTAAAAAATGACTGTTAAGACCAAGACTTTTTTTGCTTCTAGATAATTGAAATAGACCCTTAGAAGAGGCACTCCTGGCACATGTTGATTGGCGCATTTTCATTGTTTTTCAGTGTTTTTCAAGTTGTTGGTTGTTTTAAAAAAAGTAAGCCTATATTCTTTAAAAAATGACTGTTTTGACCAAATCTTTTTTTGCTTCTAGATAATTGAAATAGACTCTTAGTTGAGGCACTCCTGGAACATGTTGATTGGCATTAGAGATAACGCATTTTTATTCTTTCACAGCCTTTTTCAAGTTGTTGGTTTTTTGGCAAAAAACGTAAGGCCATAGGTTTTGAAAAAATGGCTGTATTTGACCAAATCTACTTGTCTGCAAATAGATAAACACCCCTATTCCCCTCTTAAAAAAGCAACATTAAAGAGCTGAACACAACTACTTCTGACATCATCAGTTCATGGATAAAAGGTTAAGAACAATATTAGAAGTAATGCGTTTGAGTTGAGAAAAGTGCTTTTAAATGTCAACATTATTTACATTTATAAGTAATTAAAGATGATATCACTGACTAAATACACGCCAACGGAAGTCTCTTTATTCAATTCATGCTACAATATTTATGTAATCTTAAATAGCTGACATATATTGCCCCTGAATTAAAAGGAAACCCTCTGAGAATGTCATGCTAGTCAGGGCTGCCAATCAAACAATTATGCAAATGAAAATTGCCTGACTCAAAATTGCCTACTAATAGAAGAAGGGGGCAATTTTCAGTCAGGGTCTATATCCAATCTTTTTTAGCGTATCAAACTGTCCCTTATTGTAAAATTTCACGCTATTGTAGCAAAGTAATACGGAGATACGATAAAACCGTCTCTAAAGGTCTGGGGCAAAGTACCCCAGTCTAAAAATAGCCGAAGGGGCAATTTTCAGTAAGGGGTTCAGATCCCATCTTTTTCAATGTAACACATTGCCCTTTATTACAAAATTTCATGCTAGTATCACAATTTGCACAATTTGACCTAAAAAGTGACTTGAAAAAATAACGAGTGCGTTGTTTGTGAGTGACCGAGTACACCGAATACTGAGGGGTGTTTATTCATTGACAGTCTACTGTAATCATTCTCTGTTGCTTAATGTTAAACTCCAGCTCGGTCCATTGGATTTGAAACAGTTAAGTATTTATTCAACTTTTTATCATTAAAATTCAAACGTTACAGGTAAAAAGTATCAACGGATTTAAAAAAAATTATATAATGATAATATCAGCTTATAATAGTTTAATTATGATACTGCAGTAATATAACCATAGCAATGCTTTTAAAATCTTATTATCTTATTACATATATACAACAGGGTGCAATTTCCAATAGAAATATAAACAAAAAGCTTCCTTCACACTTAAAAGTTAATAAATACCACTCCTAAATTAAAGTTAAAATAAATAGAATTTGAAGAACTTATTTTCTTAAGAATTTTTAACATATTCAATGCTTAGAAATATTTTCTCAGCATTATGTATAAATTTCACAAAAAGGTTTTCCAACAGCTCGGATTTTTTTGCAAAATGGTATTTTGGGGGAAAGTTTAGCCTTTAGCCAGGAAAGCTTTTCAATACTTTGGACCATCACTAGGGAAATGAACTTCCTGAAACATACTTGATGCCTTTGACATTGAAATAATCAGTATCGTTAACGTGGATACAAATAATTAACAACAATAGACCCCAAATCTTTGAACAAATTCACAGGTTTACAGTGGCTATAAAGCAACACATACCTTGCTACTTTTCTTTGGCCCTGACGCAGGGCTGGCTTCTGGATTCTGCAGTTTTTCTTTTTCTCTTGCTTCAGGGTCGTATTCCTAGAAGCGGAACAAGCTCATCAATAATAAGATTCTTAGACTCAGACGCTTCAGACTTCATTGTTTCAAATAAGCAGTGTATTGTGGTTTGCAATAAATTTTTGAAAAAATGATTTGGATAGCGAGTAGAGATCTACAGGCAAGTTTGGTTGCAACGTCCTATTACCTATAGATCTAATCTACTCAAAAGAGGGGAATTTCTGAGAAAATTATTTTGCTTGGAGCAAGCATATCAAGGGTAAAAGTTTAATAAGTTAGGGGTTGCTGTTGGAAAAAATACGAAAATTATGACGGTTTAAGATCCTGAGGTGAGATATAAAAATCACAATCTTGGGCAGGGTTTCTCTAGCTATTCCAAACAGTGGCGGCCTGGCTTTTTTCGCCTGGAGGGGCCAGCAGCAAAATGACGCCCTTCATAACTAACATTATTGGCAGTCTGGTAATGCTCTTATATTTTTTAACCTGGTATGTCAAGGATAGACTGACCTCCACGTGAGCACAGGGCCCCAAATATAACAATTTTTCATGAGGGTGTCAGGACAAGTTGGATCGATTTACATACGAAATTGACTGGCTCTTCGAAGCCAATCCAAGCAGATAAACTAAATAAAAATATGTCAAGAACATGTTTGGGTAAATTCCAAGGGTTACCCCTATGATGTGGTAGAATGAGGGTTTTGTTCTCTTTGTAACTATTGTGTTCATTTGGCACCTTCTTGGGGGGGGATCCAAAGCGCCAGATAAAATGTATTCCTTTGTTTCGCTAAACTTGTCCTTTGGGGCAACTAAACAAGCTCAAAACACACATATAACACAACTAACAGTCAGGGGGCAAATTAGGGGGTGTCGGGGTAACAAATAATGGAAAGAGTCAGTCCTAAGGCTAGGAAATGCGATGTCTAAAATATCTTTGAATTCACTATGACACAGTTGAAAGGTGCTAGAAATGATTATAAGATTATGTCATTTGATACAAAATGAAGTAAATATTTCATCAAACTTTAAAGAAATATTATTAAACAAAACGCAAACAAAACGCAACCGTTAAGAAAATTAGGCCCGACCCAACTTTATTGTCAAAATCAATGTATGGCCCTTGAAAAGAAACCTGAAGTACCTACTAGAAACATCAGCGACGCCGGAACGACCAAGGGGCTAGGGGGCAGGCTCGAGTAAAAGGGCATTCGAAAGATAATTCTCAACTTCCACTAATTCCCTCGTATTTGGCATTATTCATTTCGATCCTCTGTAGGTATCTTGAACATTGGCATAAGAAATTTTTAATAAGTTTTGAGAAATGTCGTCATGAATTAGGCACTACAACCAGAATTTAATATAAATCTACCTGATTATTAGAAATGGCCGGCTTCAAGGGCACTTTAATGAAAAAGGCACTCTGGCCCGCTTGCCCTTTTTATCAAAAGGCAACAGGGGCAGTTCACCCCCTGCAGCCCCTTCCCCGGCGTCCCTGAGAAAGATGAAGTCAATGTTTTGAATTAAAAGTAATCTGTTTAATTTATCCTTTTTGAAGAAACATAATAAGAGCTGGTTTCGTTATGTTTTAGCTTTGAATGCACTTTTTAGGGCTATTTCTTCTTATCTTGTGCACCTAAAACTGTACGCTCGTGGAAGTGACTTGAGACAGCGGACGGACTAATCTAGGTTGAAGCAATTAAACAACCGAATTGTCTATTAATTAGGTCTCTGAAGGCCAGCAGAGCCAAAGAAACTCATTGAAATTCAAAATTTTCCCTAGAAGGGGATGGGGCATGAGTCACAGACTGTCTTCGGAATATGTCTGTGTGCCCCATGAGTGATGTGCCATCCACACAAAAGAATTTAACAGTAAGTTTCCTGACACCTCTACAAAATTGATTTATTTTTGAGCCCACGCGAACAGTACAAATGTTTTGTCTGGATAATACTGAATCATGAAAGTTAAATTTGGACAAGGGAAAGCAGGTAAATTATATGTGATAAATGTGAGAGCTCAAATGTGAAGTACAAATGTGAGGACTTACAACAAAAGACAGTGTGATAAATGGCATGTCCGGGCCAAATGTGCGTCGATACCATTCAGAATCTGACGAGGCATCTGCAGAGTTAAATGAGTCTGCCATGTTTGAATATATCTTCTCGATTCTAAAAAACAAAATAGCATACAGCGGTAATGTTTATTGGAACACAAGACCAGTCATGAGGCTTTTTTAACAATTTGCTGGTTACAAAAACTGTCTAACTATGACTCTCTTATGGTCACGATCAACATGGTAAAACTTAAAAAATATTCTTCAATACCATGGATAATCGAAAAGGTCCTTGATCAAAACCTCTATTTTGTAAGGGTTTTTTAAATATATGATTTTTTTAAACTAGCTTTTGAGACATGCAGTGTAACAATCATATACAGTTGAAGTTGAGTCCCCCTTAGTTGGACGTTCAAGGGGTGTAAGGAAATGTCTGACTGCTGAGCAAATGTCTGACTGATCTTGGGTATGTCTTTTGACTTGAATAAGGTAGGAAAATCTATTGGGAATTGAAAATCAGTCCGACTTAGTGAGAGTCTGAGTTATCCAAGGTATGACTTAACAGGATTTGACTGTGAAAGAAAATGTGGACTGTCTGATCTTCTAGAATTGCTAATTATCAACCTTCAAGAAGCTGATTGACTAGATAGCTATGATAGAAAATCCCAAATGTTTTTTGCATGTCTTAAACCCTACAATCAAGATCACAAGTCCATTATAAAACTAAAAACATAACAGTCTATATTGAAGCTTTAGAATCAATACTGGATATACACCAGGACTGGTCGTAAGACCTTTTTTACCAGGGCCGTAAGACTTTTACCAGGGAAGCAGTAAACAGCTCTCCTAGTAGTTTTTAGATGAGCTATAAGAATGGAAACAATAAGGAAAAATTTGTTTCAAGAAGAGCCAATTCGCTTTTTAGAATAATTTAGGATAGCAATGTGTAGCTTCCCTTTGGCATTTGAGGAGGGCATGGAGGGGAGCAAGAGCTATGGCTCTCCTCAAATAGCCCGGCCTGATATACACTGATATACAACAAGAATTACCTACATGTCAACTGAATTCACAACTCTAAAATACATAGGAAATCCCTGATGATGACTGACGTAATTCAGAACTAAATGCACTATCCCCTATATGGAGGGGCTGTTGAATCACAGTGATGTCTTGAAAAAATTATTATCTTCATAGTACTTTCAGACCACACATTATATTACAAAATTTGAAAAATATGCAACTTTCAACAGCATTTGGGCTGAGTACTTCTGCTTGGGTCATTCATGGTATTGAAAAAAATAAGCCAAACTTTTTAGAGACCTAACAAAATAAGAATGAACTGAATAAAATATCTCTAAGATGGGAGGCATGCACCACAGTGTCAGGTTTAAAGCCTACTTTGTTCCTGACAAGAATGACATTAATGCCCTTTTCCTGGCCCAGTTGATCTTATTAGCACTTTAAATTTGAAAAATGCAAAAGGATGTTATTACTTTTGGAAAAAAAATTAAGAATTTACTAACCTTGATTGAAAGTTGGATACATCAACACACTCTCTGTAATCTTTAACTTTTCCAATCACAAACTCCTTCCTTTTACTTTCCAAAGTTTCAAATTTGTCATATTCATAAACCATATCCTCTCTATATTTTTGGTTATAATTTCCAATATCTCTCAAAGCCTCTTTATAAGTTTCCAAAACATTTTCTCTATCCTGCACAGCTTTTTTTACTTTATTTTCTATCTTCATAACTTGATCTTGTGTTGAGCTTTCCTTGTTTGCTTTAATTTCTTCCTGTTGTGCCTTCAAGGTGTCCAGAGTTTGGCAAGCTAAATGGTAGCTGTTTTTCCCTTTTATTACTGAAAATGTTTAAAAAATAGAAATAACAGCAAAATTCCTTTAGTTTGAACTGAATATCCGAGAAAAAAAATTGGTACCTCAATATTTTAGATATAGCATGAACAAACTAAATGATCTAGCATTGCCTTTCAAAAATTTTCCTTGTCACAATTTTTGCAATTAAGAAAGTTTCAAAAAAGAATCAATTTTCAAAACAGGATGCAGATGCAAGTCTCTGCTCTTATCCATCAAAGAACTTGTATTTGAAGCTTCAATTTCAAGCTGCAGCTAAATTTTTAAGTCAATTTCGTTGAAGTCCCAACAGGCCAATGAGCCAACAAATAAGATGATATTAGAAAAATAAACCTTTGCTCTGAATTTTTTGTAAATAAATAAATGTCAATTTAATTCTAAGCAGCTCACCATCTTCATACTTCTTAGCCCAAGGTTTTTGAGCTTTGATAAACCCTTCATCCACTTTCTTAGTTTCCTTGAGACCAATGATTCCTTTGTGATAGCTTTCAGCTTTCCATACTTGAATTTGTTGAGAAACTTCAAATACTTTCCCTTGAATAGCCAAATGAATATCTGCCATTTCTTCACTTTCTTGCAAACCATTCACAACAGACTGCAAAACAGATCCATACTCAAGCCCCTTTGAAAATGACTGCAACCATTTCTTCTTCCAAGCTAGTATTGGGAATAAATTACGCATCAATTTAATAAAGAAAACTCAAAAGAGCATTGGTACTTAAGAAAACTTGAGTCTAATACATCTCAGATGGTTTCATGAGGCTAAGTTTTATCAAAGAACAATTATATTACCTTTGACACTGTTTAAACTGCATTACTTTGAGTTATTGCTGAATTAATAGTGCTTTATCACTTGCAGTTAGGTAAACATGCCAAGAAGTTGCTTTAGGAAGGTATGCTTGACACTATTGGCCTGCACCCCAGTGTTTTTTTTAGGCGTAGAAGGTGGAAAGGTAAAAAACCAATGTCTGAATAAAAGTATAAAATCCAAAATGAAAAAAAGGAGAAAAAAGGAGATAAGGAGTAGTCACTACCACCTGGTTACAGCCTCAAACTCAGATGGGGAGGGGGGGTGGTTGTGTGTGCCCCTTGTATGCTTTGAGCTGTTAGATTGAAAGTGGGCAGAAAATGATAAAAAAGCAACTCATTAGCCAGAAACCCACTTCGAGGCTTTAACCAGAAACCCAGAAGGACACTTTGGGGCTTTAATTCAGTATGTCCGTTTTCTGTGGGCACCCCTCGCAATCTTGCATCAAGGGTCACAGTTGCAAAAAATATATAAATAATAAGAATGAAAATTCAATAATCAGTGGATGCCGTACCTTAGACGTAGCTGGGTCTGTAGTCTAATATTTATGAATTGCTAAAGTTAAAGGCGCATGATGCTTCGAGAAGCGACTTTGCGTTAATGGCCTAATTTAGAGTGGACCAAGCGATCTTTGAGGTTAGGCCTTCTAGAAAGAGCTAAAATTGGTGCGGTGCTATTCCATACTTGTTTTCAATAAGCATCGGCTGAAATCAAGTCCCAATGTTTAGTGAGGATGGAACCTATGTTCATAGTTTTGATGTAGAATGGTTGCCCTGAGGGGTGGTTTCATTGTTGGTGGTGTTTCCTGGGAAGAGGGGCTCGTTTTGGGTAACATATGTCTGTTTACTAAATTCGTTGGTGATATCCTGAGATTCATAACCTCTTATGATTAGATATTTCTGAAGTGTTTTGAGGTGTTTGTGGAGTTCACTGTTGCCTGTAATCAAACATCTGAAGCAAAGTGCTTGGCTATAAATAACACTTTTTTACACGAAGGTGGGTGGAAAGATTTCGCATGTAAAAGTGTGCACATATCAATGGGCTTCACAAACAGGGTGCTTTCCAAGAGCCCACTGTTATTGTAAAGATAAATTGTGGTGTCAAGGAAATTGATGTTTTCTCTAGATTGTTGTGCTTCATAATTGATCGTGTTATGTACGTTATGGGTATGAGCAAGGAATTTAGTGAGAGAAATTTCATCATATTGCCATATCATGAAAATATAATCGATAAATCGTATCCAGAGTAGAGGTTTCTTCCATTCGGGGGCTGTAGAAAGGGTATTTTGTTCAATAACAGACATAAAGATGTTTGCAAAATTTGGGGCAAAAGGGGTTCCCATGGCAGTGCCATGTGTCTGTACATATGGCTGTCCATTGAAGGAAAAATAATTTCCTTTTAATACAAACTCAAACATTTGTTGTAGGTGTGTGTTTGGTAGAGGTAGTTTGGTGGCAATTAATGCCATTATGCAGTGTAGAGTGCCCTTATCCTATGGTATATTGGTATAGAGGGATTTAACATCCAGTGTGCACAGAATGATGTCAGGTTGAAAATTAAGGTGCCTCCATACACTCTAAAGTACTTTATAAGCACTCTGTGTCAATTGCTACTTTTTGTTGATTGTTATAACATAATCTTTTCTCTGCATTTTCTTATGTTTGCAACCATGATCATGGACACAGGATTGCAAGGGGTGCCTACCAGAAATGGACATACCAAATTAAAGCACCAAAATGCTCTCATGAGTTTCTGGTTGATGAGTTGTTTTTTTATCAATTTCTGCCCATTTACAAGCTAATTGCTCAAAACATAAAAGGGGCACACACAACCACCTCCCATCTGCGTTTTAGGCTGTAGCCAGGTGGTAGTGACTACTCCTCATCTCCTTTTTTCTCATTTTTCTATTTTGGATTTTACACTTATATTTGCACATTTGTTTTTTAGCTTTTACCTTCAATGCCTATAAAAGCATTTGTGGACTTGGGCACAGGCTAGACACTATAAACTTTGAAGTTAACCAAAGCAGGCAATCAATATCAGGCCAGCTTAAAGGAAAAAAAATGAAATTTGTCACAAAGAAACAAAATAGACATCAGTATAATATTTATATGTGTGGCTTAATTGCTTTCAGGCTGAATTTTTTAATTAAGAGCTTCACAAAATTTGCGCCATTGTTTTTGTGAGGTTAATAAGGAATTCAAAAGGCTGTATGTTATCATCGTTGTGCAATGATTAACTTTCTACAATAGTTTGCAGCTGAAATTTTAGAAAACTAAACCCAACAAATCTAATTTAGCTTGTAAGAGGATTTGTTTCATTGAATAACCTCTACCTGAGGACACATTTTCCATGGTACCTACAGGTCACAGCAACATATTGGCTATTGGTATAACAATTCGTGGAGTTGGAAAACCTGGTGAAACGCTCGGTCAGTGGGGTGGCTTACAGGGGGGGGGAGGGATATCGAGTAATCATTGTCTAGGCGCGCCTAATCTAATCTAATCTAATCTAATCTAAATGTTCATAGTACAGTGCTCATAATGGGTATTGCGTACTAGCGGTTAGTAGGTTAGTCTTCATAACAGAAAAGCTATAAAATTAGAAAATAAACTGAAACCAATTGCTAAGCAATTATTGCTTCAAAACAAATTACCTTTGAGCTTCTTGGCATACAAGCTTTCAATTTCTGCTCTTTCAAGCATCATTTGGCCTAGCTCTTCGCAAAACTTTGCACCATCATCAACTTTCCTAACAATCTTCTTATAATTTCCTGTCAGCCAAAAACTGTTTTCAGATGATGACAGATCTGTATCTGGCGGTAGGGGAGGTGATGCACTTGTAGCTTCTTGAACATAATCTGGGGGTGGGGAATTTCTGGGACCTTCAGCAAGCGGATTCACTTGTTCATGTGCGTTTTCGTCTTTATCGACTCCTGACTCACAAGTAGACTGTACTTCATCTGATGTGTTTCCTGGCGACAACCCACCTTGCTCATTGGGCTGCGAGGATTGATTAGGCCCATCGTTTGTAATCCTCTCAACGTCGGTTTTTGTTTGATTTTGATTAACATCTGTTTGCGTCTGGATAATTGAAATCTCTTGTACCGTATCTCCCATTTTACTTCAGTTATTTGCACCGTAATCCATTTGTAACAAGTAAGACTTGTTGTGACACTCCATTCACAAACATGTTCGTTGCTAAGCTCCGACGCAGTGGATGCAAGGTACCTGTTGCTGTCGATACAAAATTACTGCCATCCGGAATCGAAAATTCTAGGAACATATTTTGATCGTGTAGGGGTGTTTTTAATTATGGTTTACAAACACATTAAAAGTATCAAACTACCGAAATATAATTTATCGTATAATACACACGATCTCATAAAAACATTGGCCCAAAAAGCCAGTGACCCAACACCGAAAAAATGATAAAATATGTGTTGCTTCATTGTCATTTCATCTCATCATATATATTTAGCTTCAGATCACAATTTAAAGCAACAAACAATTATATAATACTAAAAAACTATTAAATGGAAAAATTGCATACAATCTCTATCATAAAAAATCAGTTAATTTTCTCAGGGTCTCCATTTTCTTAGAGAAACTTAGGCTCGGCTGTTGTTATTAGTGTTCTTATTTCAAAACTGATTTTCATACAACAACAAATAAAAATTGTCACTAAATTGCAGGTTTGCATGACATTTTTATAGAACGGTTGATCAATTGATTTTTCAAAGCTGCTCTGTTATCAATGGCGGCGCGGGCTACTAGGCTCTGGGGGGGGGGGGACAAACCAATAAAATTTAAACCACGCCCTTTTAACCACCAGAAAACGCCATTTTACCAACAGGGAACGCCAATTTTATCCGAAGGGAACGCCTATGACTAACTTTTGTTTGAAAATTGGCAGTTTGAAAATCATATTACGTCACAAAAAGTACGGTGTCAAAATATTACCCCTCCCCCAACATTTTCTCATCGAATTTAGACGAAATACACAATCGATTCTGCTGATAACTGCGGGGACGTGTCCCCCAGTCTCCCAGTTCAAAAACAAATTGCCCCAGATTTTCCATCTGAGGTTAGCAATAGCATGTTCTTATTTTTGGCAAATCGACCTATCTTTAACTTTATAAAGTGTTTTTTCTAATAATAGTGTACTGTTTCTTAGCGAAAATAAGAAGCTAAATACATCTGAAGACATTTTATAACTGTAAAAGAGCTTTCGAGTCAGATACTTATTCTTCCCATCCATAGTTTCAACTTTAAGAGGTTTTTCCCATCACAGTTAAATTCATCTCCATATTTAAACCATGTCTTACTGCGCAACTATATCTATTTAAGTATTCGATTTTCAAATCATTTTGGTTGGTTTTTCTAATCATGGTTAGCTGTCTTGAACTTAAGCTTCTGGCCATCTAACTTTTTCAGGACTGCTAAACCTTTAAAAATGACTTTGAAAGAAGCAAATATTTTGAAACATAAATAGTAAAGCTTTTCGTCTGACACTCTTCAGAGTATAAAACATCAGAATATAGATCGAAAACTCGTCATAATCTTCTTTCCAAATCGCCTTGTGTCAATGTGGAATAACATATTGTGAAGATGTTGAATTGTGATTTAATATTGTAAACTAGGCTGTAAGAGAAAAAGGAGATTGAGGCGTACCGGATTCAGAGTAAAGTTGAGTAGAAGAAAAGGTGTTTGACAAATTGAAGCAGGGCATTTTTTAAGAATTTTCCACTGGTGGGGCATTTGAGAAAAGGGCATATAGATAAAGGCAGAATTTACAGATAAAAAGGCTTTCAAAAATATTCTAGGGGAATCGCCTATAGAAGCAGCAGTTCCAGGGAAAAATGATTCGAGATTTGAAACCTGTTCAATGAAGATTTCATCCACCAATATCTCAAATAAAGTAAAAAGTAAAAAAGTCACCGAATCATAAGGGCACTTAAGTGGTGGGGCAAACATGTTCCACTGGTGGGGCAATGAAAGGGGCTGGTGGGGAATTTCCCCAACACTTTATATGTTAAAAAATGCCCTGAATTGAAGGGAATATTGAGGAGAACTCACGAGGTTTTTTTTGTTTTATTCTTGCCAAGTCGGACACTCCGTTACAATATCAGAAAACATATACGGGCGAAAGAGGGACGCCAGAGCACAGTTTGGGGTGAAGGGGCTCTTGACAAATTCGCAAACTTTTGTGGCAGTTTTCCCACCATAATCGTTAATGTCACAACCTAAATATCACAGTACAACAAAAACGTGAGCCCCCACCCCACCAAGCTCCCCGGCTCCGGCGTACCTGCGAAAACAGAAAAGCAACTTGACTTGTTTTGAAAGGACCAACCATTTAAATTTGAAACTTTAGCACAGTACCAGAGTAATTATGTCTGTGTATGACTGTTTTGAATGAGACTAGAAGTAGCATGTGGATTAAATTGTCAATAATCAAAATAAACCTGATAACAATTTTATGGGTTAAGAAGCTTATAAACTCGAGGGGGTTTGTTCTTATTCCAAAGGGGAAGGGGGTTTAAATCGAATAATGACAGGTTTCAACTTGAAAGAGAGGCTTGTTATAGTGCTGCCTAAGCAGCAGCTGCCGTGTTGCAATCTGTGGTTGAAATGTGGCTGAGATTGGAGGTATGGCATTTCCACGACGTCGAATACTCAGACTTCTGAAAGCAGTCACAATGTTTGTATTGATTGCTACAGTATTGTTGATTTGCAAATATTTTATAATGAAAAGGGGAAAAGGCAATCCCAACTCTCTTGAGCCTCGGCTTGTTCCAGTTGCTACCAAAGCGACCAGTCCAGTTGAAGAAGTAGGAACTTTATCCAAACAAATTAAAACTGTTTCTAAACCCGAAAAAGAGACGTCATTAGAAAGTAACAGGTTCTCAGAACTTTTTCAAACTGAGATTGATCTGGCAACAAACATTGACCACAATGACGGTGAAGTTGCAAATCCACGAATTGTCCCAGCTGGAATGTCACTTGAACGTATTCATAGATTGAAATATAATTTGCGAGGGAAACCGAATGTTGGTAAAAAAATCCCTAATAAAGTGAAAGGCAACCCCAGAAACAGGGATGTGGCCTATTTAAGAAGAACCCCATGCACTAATGTCCATGTGTTTTACTACACATGGTACTGCAATCCAAAAACGGATGGGCAATATTGCCACTGGAACCATAAAACCCTACCACACTGGGACAAAGAAATAGATAAAAACTTTCCAAAAGAAATCCACAAACCTCCAAATGATATAGCTAGTGATTTTTACCCTGAGCTTGGGGCATATAGCTCAAATGATCCTGAGGTAATTAGAGCACATTTTAGGCAGATTGCAAATGCTGGCATTGGCGTTGTTGTCGTTTCCTACTATCCACCTGGGACTGCTGATGATAATGGTAAACCATGGGATAACATATATCCACTTCTTCTGGACAAAGCAAGTGAGTTTGAAATCAAGGTGGCATTTCACATTGAACCTTACAAAAAACGAAACGAAAATACAGTACGAAATGATATTACTTATATTGTTGATACATATGGTTTTCATAAAGGATTTTATAGGTACAGGATAAATCAATATATCAGTGTACCCATGTTTTATATCTATGATTCATACTTAACTAAGGCAGAGGATTGGGCAAATGTTTTGAAACCTGATGGCCACAACACAATCAGAGGAACTAAATATGACTCTATGGTGATTGGTCTGTTGGTAGACCTTCAACACTCAAATTATGTTTCAATTGGAGGTTTTGATGGCATTTATACATACTTTGCTGCAAGTGGGTTCACATATGGTTCCAATACCAAAAATTGGAGAGACATATCCGAAAGGTCTGTTGAAATGAACTTTTTGTATATCCCAAGCATTGGCCCAGGATATATTGATACAAACATCAGACCTTGGAATGAAGAAAATAAAAGAGATCGGTCAAAGGGTGATTACTATAAAAATAGCTGGACCTCAGCACTTGCAGTTTCACCAAAAATAATATCAATTACTTCATTCAATGAGTGGCATGAAGGAACACAGATAGAGAATGCTGTTCCAAAAAGTACTTCAAGAAGGGTGTATTTAGATTATAAGCCAAATCAGCCAAATTTTTATATGAAACTAACCAGAGAGTTTGTTGATAAATTTAAATCATGTAATTAATAAATTCTCATGATACAATTCCCAGTAATATTTAGCAAATTATTTTGAGATATGAAATAACTGAAATTTTTTTAATGAATTTCAATTGATATACATTTCAGACACTACAACAGCTTTATAAAAGGATTTTGTAAAGTACTTTCCAGCTGTTTGTTATGATTTGGTTTCAAGGCAGGAGGCATAAATTCATTTCTTTATCCACATTCCAAGGTACATTTGGAGTTGCCTCATGATCTCATTAAGTTTGAAATTTTGATTTACAATCTAGAGCGGTTTTCTGCATCAAAGCATGTACAGGTTTGCCTATGGTATGGAACACTAAAATTTATATGAAAACTTGGTGAAACATTATTTTCATCACTACAAGCCCGTTGCCAGGCCTTTGGTGTAGGGGTGGCAAATGCAGGCGAAGTTTAAAGTGAAGTTTTGAGTAGGGAGGGGAATCTATCCTTGTTAATGCAGAAAACAAGCATTTTTCAAAGTCTCTATTTGTTGATGTGAAGCCAGCAGTAAAGTACTTAATAAAAAGCGAGTATAGGCTAGCTGAGCTTGCTTTCTGGCCAGTTCACATCTTTAAGCACTCAAGAGATCATTTGCACAGTGCTTTGAGAAAAAACACTAAGCTCCTCGAATGTTTTCTCCAGAACAGAAATATTTATGCTGCATATTTGTAAAGAGGTATCAGGTTCCTGTAATAAAAGCCCCCAGAAAACAACTTTCCTTTTGTCAGAGTTATCTCGACTCAAATTGTCATGATAATCCAATGAAAACGACAAAAAAGCCCCATTAAGAAAATTGGAGAAAAATTCTATGGGTGGCAAACAGCTGGTATTCTCTTGCTCTAGGGGTGGCATTGCCCCCTGGCTATGGGCCTGCATCACTATCCAAAGTAATTCATTGACAAAAATAGTACACTCCTTACAAGCCAAGGTGTATTGCAATAATCCCCTTCCCCTCCTGAAAGGACTAGCCTTGAATATTTTTAAACCAACTAGATGGATTTTAGAAACAATTTTACATGCATAATCTTATGCTGATAGAATGCTACCTTGAATCATTTTATTGAAGCCATAATTACTTCATAATATCAAATAGATTCAGTAAACAAATGAATCAATGACTAGCTTTGTGTCACTTTTGGATATTTGGAAACTTTCACTTATGGTATTAAGTTAATTCAATGAATTGGTCAACCAACAATAGATTTGTTAATTGTCACATCATAAAAATCTACTTTTATAATTTTTTTTCTTTACACTGCATATCCTAAAAGAACACTATGAATTATTTCTAAGTATGCAAAATGCTGAAAATATATTAAAAATTTGGTTGAGATTTGGCCAATGATATATTGGAAGTTTTCCAACAGATACAGATTACTGTTATTTTGGCTTGGTTCAAAAAGTTTAGAGCAGAGAACAAATAATACGAGAAAGAACCTCTGCTAATCTGGCCATATCTCAGTGTGTTTGTTACACATTCAAGTTGTTATACATATTCAGAGGAATTTCATGATGCTCTTTCAAAAAGGTATTTCAAGAGGTATTTCTTGTGGTTCAGTTTCAAAGATTCTACAAGTATATTTTTGTGACATCATCTCTTAATAATTCAAAGTTTACACCATGAAAGCTGTATAAAGCATATGACCATGTAGCCTACTGCATTGATGACTTTTATGTAAACTGTGTGGCTGGCTGTGTATAGTATTATGTTAATAGGCTGATATTATTACCAGAGTAGATAATTTTTTTCACGTGGAGAGAGAAATTCGGTTTGAGTTTCAACCCGGGAAATCAAGAGTTAATTCAGAAGACAGCTTGTTGGGCCCCTGTAGGCTCCTCTCTGGCTCTCTTTCTTATCTTAGAAACGAATCATTCTATGAAATTTATAATAACTATTTAGCGTAATATATGAATGGTTTTTTGGTGAAACTTTGATGCTATTGGATAACTAGCTGAATAGTAACATCCAAAGTTGATTTTCCTTTATTTCATTATCTATATAAAATGTGTGTGATCGATCTTCTTAACACAGCAAAGATAGGTAATGACACATAAGACGCCGCAAAAAGCACGGTGCTTGTATAGGGTAGTAATTAAATCTGCTTCAATCCCTGATAACATACCTAGATACTCTAGAGACTACGGAGAAAAATTTTGAACGAATGTCAGACAGTAAGACAAAAGCCTAAAATTATGTCCAATTGCCTGGGCAACGTCTAAAACGGAGACGAAAATGTTCAAGCTGTCTGGGCCATCCATTATGGTCGTTTAGGAAAAGTGTATGTTCTCTTTTTTCTACTAAATTTCCTCCTATCCACTTATTCCATTGGTTTATTATAATCAACGAAATACTGCGAAATACTGCGAAATACTGCGAAACACTGCGAAATACTGCGAAATACTGCGAAATATGAAAAAATATGAAAAAATATGAAAAAAAAACCAAGTACGCCAAAATTCTCAAACCATATCATAAATATTCACTTCCGTGGACCCAGTGCGGAAGACAGACCAGCCAGCAGCATACAGAAAAAGCACAAGTCTGCACTACGGACTAAAAATACTTCCCTGATTATCACTTCTGCCCGGCCTAAAATCTAAAAGTGGAAACAAAATGCAAAAGACCAGTTTGTTCACGTTTTGGATGTTTCCGTACATTAGAATACCATAAATGCATCACTATTAAATATTTAAGAGGACAGTCTCCGCATTCAGGGAAGAATTATTTTAAAATTTCGCTGATTTTCGATTGTACAATTCTCTGTCGTAATTTTGAAACGATTTCCCAGACGCTGTGGAGGACAACAAAAGTCAATCCTAGAACTCGGAAAAAAATTGTTTGTGCCTCGGAAGTGAATTAATTGAAACAATGAAATTTTTGTTTGGAACACTATGTGGAACTCAGTCAAAACAGCATCTGGAACTCGGAAATGATACCATATTTGAAGAGAGCTGTACAATAGCCAGTAGTTGATTGGCTGGTTATTATAATGGAAAAACTTTGCTATGGCATCCAAGACAAACAAAAGGGTCTTGAGAAATGGAGGGGGATACACAAATTTAAACAGAGGCACTTTTTTGTCAAAAAGAAATCTAGAATCTAGTTTAGTGAGTGGGTAGTACAAACCCACCCACCCCCATGGTACCAAAATGCATAAATATAAATAATAATGTTGTCTAAGGCACAATATTCAATGCATTATCTGAAAGACCCTAGCCTTGGCCTGGAACTCAGTCGGGTTTTCTGTTGGATCCGCCCCTGTGTACATGCTTAAATGATGATCGCTCCGACGACGGAAGACCGGGGGCCATTGCCCCGCCTCTTTGCTTGACAGAAGGGCTTTTTTACAAAATACTGTTTTACAATGAATTTTTTCCTTGTGTTTCTCTCCCGATGAATAATTCTCGACAATCACATGGATGCCATGCATTTTATGCCACCTGCGATACCATTTCTGTAAACAGCATACGTGCAAATTTAAAATTTAAATTGAAATGATGGGCAAAATAGCAGGCGATATTAAAATAGATATCAGATATTCCCTTTTTTCGATTAATTTTAAAATGAGATTAATTTAAGTTTAGACCAGGGCTAGTAACCTTTTAAGTAAAGAAAAATTTTTCGAACCTTTTTTAAGCAAGCCAAGGGTAAGAAAAACGACCACTGTTATTTTATATTCATAAACCAACTACTTTGACTTATGTAAAATGTAATTGAAGTAAAATTTTCTCCAGAATCTATACATGCACTAACTCGAAGCCATACAGAAAGGAAAATCAATTCTAATGCCATTGACTTTTTTCTGAGCCGCCACGTTTACTGATATCAGCTCTAAAAAAAGGATGCACAGCTTTTAACTGACTTTTGATACAGGTGTCAAAATCTTCTTCATAACTCATAACTTCATAACAAAAGTCTTCATAACTTTTAAGATTATGAAATCTTATTGCATGTTACGAAAGTTTAAAATTTTGTTAATTGGCACAAATAGCCTTTTTTATCATATAATTTCATTTCGCCACAAAAAATTACTTTCGTGAGACGAATTTTGGCACGCGGATCATTGGTTGCTACCCATGGTCTACCTACACAATTTGGCATCAGATAAAAGCACCTTTAAGTGCTGTTTCAGTAAAATTCTGAAAACAAAGGCAATTACCCATTGCAATGCTGTTGATGGTTATCGTCAAAGAAATAATAGCATCCACCACCCTTGCCCAATATGAAAAGGGGGCATATATGGCCATTTCCAGTCTTTACGGAAACTTTGGAAATGAGTATTCAAAATTCAAAAACTGCATTTTCAAGAAGTAACTCCGACCCCAGGTTACAAAAAATGGTTGGCAAAATCTGTCTGGCCTAAATGTTGCAAAAATAACACGGGAACCTGTCACAACAAATATCAGAAACCAAAGCGAGAAGCAAAGACGTTAACTTCTAGCATTGAACCCCCCCCCCCATCAAACCGTCATTTATCTATGCATTACCGTAAATTCTCTTTTAGCCCCCCCCCCCGGGAGCTTATTGTTTTTCAGCACTTGAAAGGGGGGCTTGTGAAAGAGAGGGGGCGAAATTGAGAGGGGGGGCTTAAAAATTATTTGTAATAAAATATCATTTGCAGTGGTAAACTAATTTTTTGCTTATTTGCGAAATAAAAAACATAAAATCAGCCTTCAATATCAGTAATATTGTCATCGTCATAAATTATTAGTTCTAAAATAACTTCTTGGGCCATGTCGCCTTCTGAAATCGAGCACTCGAAAAGGTCGACCTCATTCCTCGGAGTAATGCATATTAAATCTTTGTCTTCGTTTCTGTCGTGACTGGAAAAGACATGGTGCAATTTGATGCGAAGTATTGAAAGACCAATGAATAAAATATCTGTTTTTGTCAAGTTTACTTATTTCGGCATCAGTAAAAATTTTGGGAGGGGCTAAATTGAGAGGGGGGTTAATTAAATGTTTCCTTCTGATAAGGGAGCTTATAAGAGAGGGGCTTAATTGAGAGGGGGGCTTGGAAGAGAATTTACGGTAAGCATTGCAAAAATTATCTTCTCTATGATATTGCACGATTACAACCTTTTCTAATAAGAACAGACAATTTTTGCCGATGCTTCATTTTCTTATGTTTGAATAATTTTAGGTTTGAGTGTTCTTTATGTTGTTCTTGATTTAATATCGATCTTTTACAACTATGTGCCTGCATTAATTATATCAAGAACACTAAATGATAACTTTGTGCAATGTAAAGAGGTAGCGTGTTTAAAGTGACTTCTGGACGTCACAAGAAATCACGACGAAACACAAACAGATAGCTAATAAATACCCCGGATAACGTTATCAAACTATAAATACAGCAATATCATAAACAATCACAAATATAGCAAAGGATGAACAAAACATAGATAACAAGATTAATTTTAAACGAAGCATGGCTGCAACAAAGATATGGCTCCGAGGCACCTGACGATGTTTGCACTGAGGCTGATGCGCGCTTGGCAATGTTTGCTCCGATGAAAGGGCTACACAGTTCCCAAACCAGTTGGTACTCTGCTGCTCCCCTTTAACCGAAGATTGCCATGGTTTCAAAGTATTTTAAAGGATTTTAACTGTCCTAGCTATGGAAAAGCAGTGTTAGGAAGCTGGTAAGAAGTGAAACTTGGACAATAGGCCACTCAGTTGTCAGCAATAACAGAAGATGCCTGCAACCGATGGTCAAAGGGTCCTAAGATGCACGTGCCTTCAAAAGTGTATTTGATCAAGCGGCAATACATCAAACAAGACTTGAAATCAGCACATAAGTGCTTATTTGTACAAGAATTCTACAAAGCTTGGCTTATTTCAATCTTGATTTCATAATTTGCCTGCTGAGGTCTACGCCTAAAATGTTGCCTATTTCATTTCTACGGTTGAAGGCATTACTTTTCAATGCATTATAAGTTTAGTTACTACTTTTATGCATGCACAAGCTAAACGTAAGCATAAAATCCCTCTTAAAAAGAATTAATTCGTGTTATCGAAGGATTAGGATTATACTTTGAGAGCAGGGTACATTGTATAATGGCCTAGAAGTACAGACAGCGATATGTGCGTGCTCATTGTCAAGCAATGCCTTCACATTTTATCCCATAACTATTGTGAACTTGATTTTTGAGTACCCTGGGTATCCAAACGTAAATTTTTAAAAGTAAAGTCCTTTCTCCGCCCGTTTACTTGGGCTCTGGTTCACAGGCAGGAAAACATTACGGTCGCACGGCCACTGACCGGAGGAAGATCCACGAGAAACAATATCAGCTCCTAGGACACACCCAAGCCACGCCCACTTTATATTGTTTTGTGAGGAATGTTTGCCTTCTGGGATGTTTTTGTCTGAAGGAAGGTTAACAACTTTTCTAGACTCTAGGTACCCAAGTTGGTTTTTTTGTCAAAAGAGCCAGTATCCCCGACATGAACCGAGTTTCTTCATTGCAAATGAAAGCTATGTGCACATTCTTAGTTGTTCGTATTCATCATTCGTTACCAGAACTCTAAGATTTTAGAACGTTTTTAGGCGTTATTTAGGGTGGCAGCATATCTGATGTTGGCTCAAAGACTCGAAGCAAATCAATGTTACAGCCTGCTCTAACAGTTCTCAAAAGGCAAGAAAATATTGTTTGCTGGAAACAGTATATGTCAACAAATCCCAAAAGACCTCAACACGAACGATAAACAGAGATTTTACTGCTTACAAATAAGTTGATTACAATTCAATTTCCAATCCACCATCACTGGTGTGTCCCATCACCTACAAACAGGATTCTACACAAGGGTTAAGGGTACTTAATTTATAATTCTTATACACTGCCATAGCTTAAACGGTACAAAGTTTTAATGGTAAAAATAATCCCTTACTTACAAATCTTACATTGGGGACAATTTTAGGATAATGACGGCATATTCTTAAATGTTTGTAGAAAATATCTGAATATCAAAGCAGATCCGAAGAATCTGGAGAATAATTTTTGCTACGCTTTCTTTTTATCTAACTTTCACAAGCTCCATAAATATTAAAGTGACAATCTCCATATTTCATATAAATGTGTGTGATTCATTCAGGCCTATGAGTGGCATATGATTTTCATCTCTCAGCCATTGTAACGAGTAATTTGTTCATGGTGATATTCAAATATCTGAAGGCCGGTACATGGAGAATTTTTTAACCTGGTGATCGTCACTTATGAAATTATTGCGAGAAAAGAGAGGGTCTGAAAACTAAGTCCCTTTTTCACGGTCAGACTTTGTCAAACTTGACTAAAGTTTATCATCTATGAAAAAAACAATAGCTGAAATGAGTTTTCAGAAAATTGGACTTAGTTTAATCAAGAATCAAGCAAGTTTCTGTCTTTTCGACTGAATTGAAGAGTGAATAAATAAAATTTATCTTCCTCGGACTGTGTGGTGCGGTCTAGTGTCACACAGTATGGCCTAAATTTAAAAATGAGCAAGGGAACAGAATTTCGTCGAAATGTACACAATTCGTCCTTAAAATAGTCAGCTACTGCAGGCCATGCCTCAATGTAGTGTGGTTTCGTCAAAAATCATAATCAACCCCAGGCAAAGGGCGCTGAAATGATGACGACTACACATAGCTCTTCATCTCGACGCTTTTCAAAAGTGAGGTCATAAATTAAAATGCCAAAAAAACTTTATTCTTCGCTTTTGCAATAATATTTTGTAAAATCGAGCTCGACAAAATTTTGCACTGTCAACGGGGTTCTCGATTCGACAAAACCTGGTGCAATAGAGATTCGTTAGTCAAAAAGGACGATCTGGCCGTGAAAGGGAGCTTCTGTTAGCGGGATACTGGGTCAAGCTAGGAGGGCTTGTGAAAGACGAAATTCTTCATTATTGGAAAAACACTTTTTATGTGAATGGGTATCTCGTACAATACAATGGTATTGCCTTTTATTACATATTTTGCTCCAGCAAAAGACGGTGTTTGTTGTAATACAGTTTTGAATTTTTTCAAAAAGCAAGCTCTTCAAAGTTCTTTTTAAAGCATCTTTTATAGGAAATGTTTCTTTGTAGATCTTGCCTTAGTTTTCTGACCTTTTCTTTCTGCGATCAAATCCCCAAAATATGTAGATGACTTGATAATATAAGGTAGAGTACTTTCCCCATAATTTCGAGTAGTTGGTCGGAATAAGCTATTAGCAGACAAAACCCTTGCAAAAATGTTGTATTGCAAAAATTGTTGTTAAAAATTAAGCATTTTCATACTTTTAAGTTCTCCAAGACTGTCGCTGGCTCATGCCCAGCGACTTCTTTCGCAACTTTGTCCGCAATACCCTTAAAACAGTAGAAGCATCTGGTCTTTCGCTTGGTTCCGCTTTCCAAAGCGCCTCGCACAGCTGTACATACATGTTATATTTCCGTCTGATTTCTTTAGAAAAAGTTGGCCTCAAATTATACGCAACAACTCCAAATATCACAACATACAAATTTTCACTTCCATAAGGTTTTTCTCTTGTTAAAAGCTGCCATAAACAAATGCCATACGAGTACATATCAGCTCTGTTTGAAGGAAACTCTCCTTTAAGGAGCTCCGGCGCACGGTATGAGAGAGTCCAGTAAGAAAGGAGTTTGTAGGCGTAGCAGGCGAGCACTGTCCATCCTCAGGAAGAATCTTCGAGCAGCCAAAGTCGCCGAGTTTACACGAATCCTGACAGGTGACAAGAATATTAGCGGGTTTCAAGTCCAAGTGAGCAACTCTGCGCTGGTGTATATAAGATAGAGCACTTGCAATATCAACTGCGTATCTATCTCTTCTCGTGTCAGTAATTCGCTCCTTTTCGCAGTCAATGACATTGTGTAGATTCCTGTTTCCTGCATATTCCATTACAATATAAATATCACGACGACAAGAAGCTTCCAGTGCAGAAACTGCTAACACTCTTACTATATTTTTATGGCGTAATGAAGCTACTGAAACCTCGGCAACAAAACTTTCCGTAATCGCGTGTGGATTTTTCCTATTAAAATGAAGCTTCTTTACTGCTACTTTCCTGCCTTTGTAAAATCCTTCGTACACTGTTCCGAATCCTCCAGAGCCAAGCAGTTTACCAATGGAGAGAGTTTTTATGTCTTCCTTGTCCAAACAGTTCGCGTACTTAGCAAAAGAACAACCAGCGAACTTCACGTTCGACAACTGATGATTGGAAGAGACCTTATAGTTGTAATTCGTACAGATGCTCTCGCCAGACGACATCCTCCTCATCTCTGTTGAGGTTATCAGTGTCAAAAATCCAGCTGCTCACCCTTATTAGAAAGCCGGCTTCAGCAGTTTATCGCAACACAGAAGTCGCCAGCAACTTCATGCGAGAGACTGCCTTCTACATAATCAACGAGCGACTACAAAGCTCTTTCAACCTTATTGAGCGATGAACAAACAATAGGCAAGAAACAATAGCCTTTGTAATCTCGACCAATCACGAAATCACGCTTTACTGAAACTGACCAATCAGCAAATTAGTTTCATCAATTTCAAGATTCATTAATATGCATGATACATGCAGTCTACATGATGGTGTTTAAGGTTCAACCAATGGTCCCCGTGATTTTGACCCGGGGGGTTGATGTGATAATTTTAATGCACGTATCGATTTACCATCTGTTAGATGAAAGGTAGAATTCTGTAAACAAAGTCATTTCTTCAAAGAAGAGTTGTAAAGTTGGCGTTGGGAAACTCCAATGTCTTTCCAGCATCTTAGAAAAATCCATGTTTCAAATATCAGTTGCATAATAGCATTGAATATTGGGTTCGATAACTGATAATACGTTGTTCGCCTTACGTAATACAGGAAAGCAAAAAATATCTGAAAATAAAAAAAAGGTAATCTTTCTCTAATTTTCCCAAACAATGCCAAGCAGATGGGGCACATGGTATTCATAAGATTATACCAAATGAGTAAACTTTTCTGATAAATTATTAAGGGTATCCAGTAGCCTTGTCCACAAGCAGTGAAAAATGCCTCTAAATCCCTTGTCTCTATACAATGATCAAACAAATTAGTTTCTCGAATGAGCACAAAAAGTAAACGCTTTGTTAAGAGGTGAATCTAGAAACCTTTAAGCTAGTATCTGGCATATTGCTTATCGTTTATACAAAACACCAATTCTACTTACGACCTCCTTTTGGAAATTTCTCCAAAATGCATGATACGAATTCTTTAAGCTCTGATTTGGTTTTATCACCCTAATGTTAGGCTGGGTACAATTTTTTATATAATTTGTGCTTGTATTTTAGTTTTAACGGAGAAAGGAAATTTGAAAACTTGTAAGGGATTTGACTGAAGAAATCATTCCTGGGGAAAATCTAACCCCCTAGTCGCCAATCACGGTCAAACCTCTTGGAAAATTCTTATCTTTATGTTGTCATAATAATAATCGAAACTTCCAAGTAGACTAACATCCTTGCTCTCAATCCGGATCTGAGGTCAGCAATTTTGTACAAAAGAATTGAGGCCGTAAGGTGCATTGGGGCCGTAAGTTTGATTGGTGTATGTTTTAAAGGTAATCTGTCATGACGTTGATTGATTATAAAAACAAAATGACTTTTTATTGATTCCAGTCCCCCTTTAATTTATCGCATTGTAAAAAATATGGCGGAGCGCTGGAATCGTGTTTAGGCTATTTTTCCAGCTATTGTTCTCGTTAACCAATCCACAACGAGACAGATTGCCTTTAAGTGTCTATATCACTGGCAAGTGTTCATGTCCTTCCTATGTGTCCAGTGTTTGAGACGAATCTGAAACGACTATTTTAAGAAACAGCAAAAACAAAGTAGCTGGATGTAGCAATAGACTGTATATGATCTACAGTTTGAAAGTTGCCTGTTGAACAGTTGGCATCAATTATGAAAATTGAAGCTTGCTATGAAACAATAACATCTTATAAGCGTATCGGATATCGTCAAAAGATGCATCATAACATTCAATTTGAAGCGATCGTGGCAAATAATGATAATTATATGATATGAAAATAATGATATTGTCAAAAAATACTATGATTATTTGAAGTCGACGTACGTCTGGGAAAAAGAGTTATGTAAAAGACTATGTTATGCCAACTTACAGAAAAATTGTTTCATACGCTGAAAGCAAATATTATGAAGTAAAAAGATGTTAGATAAACCTAAGCAAGACAAAATGGTTTTACATAACCTACAATAACACAATATTCTGGATTTTGAACTCGTTTAATAAAGCTGTCAACGATTGAGAATTTTGGCAACACAGTGAGTTGCTGTTTGCCACAGCTATTGACCCAAATAGCTCGCAGTTTCTATACCACAAGAAGTTGTCCATTACATAACAAGAAGTCATATCGAACAGATGTTCTTTTAGGGTGATATAGAGTGGTTTATATAAGTATTAAAGGCGCAAATCTTACTCAGCAGCGTATGGTGTATGAAGCGCATAAAGAAAAACCATTGCTAAATTTAACGTTTCCTGTAAGCTAATACCATATCGTTCCAAGTAGATACTTTGAACTGGCGGATTAATTGAAATTGATGTTCTAAAACATTTTGCTATTCCACTTGAATTGTTTACAGGTAATATTTTCACCTTTTTACCCCAAAACTGAACTGTTACCCCTGATATCGGAACTGTATGTGACCAGGACATTGAAACGTGTTGAAAAGTACGGGGGCTACTTTCCTAAACAAGGGACAATTATCACAAGAAAAGATGGGCATAGGCCCCCAGACTAGGGGCGTTGTGGCTAGGCGGTACACCGGGAAATTTCCCTGTGGGCCCCTTTCAAGTGAGTTTGTAAAACCCCGGAAAATATTTAATATGAATAAAATACTTGATGAGAAAACCCCTTACTTACATGTGGACTCAAGTTCACATTTAAGAATTAGAGGAGGTCAACATATACTAACAGACAAACATATACAAACAGGCCTCTGTGAAAGAGATGCGTGGAATATGAACAGGGACCTCCAGGTTTAGGGGGCCTTTTCAAAGAAGGAACGCATAAAAGAATGCCTAAAAATTGTAAAACGTGGTAAACGATTGCAAAAAACATTCTGAAATGTATTTCAAGCTAATTTAAGGGGCATGGCCGCAAAAATTTTCTGCTTGCTTCGCTCGCAGTGCCTACAGGTCTTCTGTCGCGTTTGCGTTCAGGACTTAAATTCTCTCAATCAATTCAATATCTTGTTATTCACATCGACGTGCACTCTGATCCAACGGTCACCCTTTCCTTCCCCAACGCCTGTCACTAGAGTTTTAGCACGACTACTCCCCTCCCAAATTTTTTCTTAAAATCAATAATCGGCGCCGTTTCTGGTTAAAGAGACTATGGCTAGAGAAAAGGGGATACACCCCAAATAAAAATAGCGACGAGTCTTTAAAGATGGTCAAAACTGGCGTCAAAACTGCCCCAGACCAGATCCATGGCTTATACGTCTCGGTATATGACAACAGACGATAATATGGTAAGCAAAATATCGCTAAATCTATAGAAAACTGCTAGCTGGTATGTAGAAACAAGATGGTGTTCTATTCCAGATTCCATGCTTTCGGATCATGGGCTGCAATTCTTAGAAATTTTGTGGATATATCACACTTTCTTTCTGAACAGCTAGCATTTTTAGCTCAGCGTTTATCCTTTACGAAACCTCAAAACAGAACCAAGGGTGTGGTTGATTGATGCTAAGGTGCCACACCCGTTAAGAAGACAGAAGCAAAAGTCCTATTTCGTATCTTCCCGTGTCTTATTTAATTATGAAACATTAAGAGACGTACCTGGAAGCGCCAGGGTATATCTAGAATAAATTCGCCTTGATCATTTCTTTCGAAAACTCCAAAAAAACTTCCAAAAATATACATGGATCTCGTATTACGAAGTTTTTTAGCTTACAGGTTTGAATCAAATGTTTAGTTAAGGTTTAGGTAAGGCCTCTCTACTCAGAACATGGCGTCTGTAGCTAAAGATAGGTTAAGGGAAATGTTACGTGAAGAGATCTTAAACTATAAGCTACAAAAATTTTTTCAGTATTCTTTGCAACTGTTCATATCAACATTAAGATTGCTGATTGTTATTAAGATTGTTTGCTGAAGTTCAATAACTTAGTTGTTATAATCTGATATTAAGGCTTTTAAGTCAGACTTGATGCAAAAACTAACATTTAAAGGGATTCCTCTTCACTGCTACCCTTATAGCAATCAAATTGCTTTTCCATTTCAGCTACCCTGCGTTATGCAAACTAACAGTCTCGGGAAATCGTTAATCGGCGATTGCAACAACACCCGTCGCATCACATGGTCCGTCCAGACAGACTGAATTGTGAACAATAAAGACCAACAGGTGCTCAAGATAATAAACTGATCAGCGTGCAGGACAAGTATCCAATGGGATACATACGCTTTGCAGGGTGGCTTCATTTGACCTGCCTCGGATATTCAAAAAGGCCCCACAGCTATACCTGCCATGAAGGTTCCTCAATTCAAGGGCGTCGCATGCTTAATCTCCACATACTTATTAGTTGATCTTTGCACCATATCTGCCTGCAACTTACAACAAGAATTTAAGAAACGTTCTTCCCATTTTTTGCAACAGGTAAGCCACCTGAGGCTCGTATTGCAGTGCTCCTTCTCATATTTCTAGCTGCGATAACCAAATAAACCGACAATTGAATAAAAGAGACCCAATAAGGGGCCAGTGGGGTCCGGTCCTTTCAGAAAACATCATCCCAAGGTTTCCGGAAATGACTTTTGTCTTGAGAACAAAATGAGAAGTTTGTATCTTTTAAGGGGGATCCTATCAAATATGTACGTTGCTTGCGTGCAGTATTTAATGCAAAAAACGAAGTATAGTGAGCGAATAAATTGAGTACCGTATGAATTAAAATCTAGTTTCGATAGCCAAAAACACGAAGTTTCGAGCATGTACTCGTTATCAAATGGCAAGAAAAGAAATGAGCCGAGCAAAGAGAAGGCAAGTTTCGACAAATAGAAAAGAATGCGAGATGCGACGCAATCGAAACCGGAATAGGAAATAGGAGGAAAATAAGAATATACTAGAAAATAGATTAGCAAATAACTTATTGAAGGAAATTAAAATGTTTATTAAGACCATTAGGATAAAGAGTTTTTAGGCTAAAAATTAAACGTTTCTCCAAGGTCTTCCGTTTGGTGGCGTCTTGCGGTGGATGCAATAAGCGAAGTGGGACATATCGGCAGTTGAGTGAATGGCGGAGTCAAAATGTTTAGATATGTTGCTATCTGCATCGCATTGGTGTTTTTCTGTCAAATGGATCTTGTTAGCAACATTTCTCAATATTCTCCGTAACGGTCGTTTATTTGACGGGAGGTTTCGCCGATGTAAAGAGATTGGTACCTGGTGCAGGTGATGTAAATCACACAGGATGAAGAGCAGGCAAAGCTACAATCCCAGACAAAAATGGTTGAGACTTTTCAAGGAAAGCTCATGTTTTCATTTTCCTTTAAAAAATAACTCCCCCCCCCCTCCCCTAATTCAATGTTTAATGCATGATTTTGAAGGGAAATGACAGAACTACAAATCCAACATTGCTTCAGGGGGAAAGGGGGGATTCGAATTTATAGGGGCAACGTAAAGTAGAAAATTGCAGAAATTGCATTTTGTCTCAACAACTTTGTCCGGGATTGTAGATCTGCTGTGGAAGGATTGGTTATGGTTGGTGATAGTGGTCGATTGGCTAAGGTGTGTGCAGGTCCTGCAGAGGTGATGTTGGCAGGGAAAAGTACCGGGCTGTTGTGATTTTTTATCTATTTACGTTTGGTCTGACCAGTTTCTCTGCTTTTGAAACAAAAATTTTCATAATTTGAACAAATACGACGGAGACGGCGGAGTTGAGAGAAGGGTATGGAGTCTTCGCATTTCTTTGAATGTGATGAATCGTCATTAAGATGACAATGAGCATCTGTAGGTTGGAAGTAGAAAGATATGGAGATTTCATAGCCAGAGATACTAAGGAGGATGTCTAAAAAAGGCAAGCTTTCTGTAGCATGTGCTTCCCCGAAACTGATTGTTATTGTATGTAATTTAATAATGTCATCGTCTCTATCTGAATCTTTGTACTCTGTTATTTGTACAGTATGTCTGTTGTTTTGTCTTGATGTGTTGACTAACAAACTGTGATTTTGTATAGAAAGATTAGATCTAAATTGTAAAGATCAGTTGTTGGATTGAATTTGACATGAACATATGAACTTGTATTTGTCTTCCTCGCTACATTTCTTTGGTAAACAAGTGCGTGAACTGTAAGCCTGGGTGAAAATTATTTGTGTAGTTAATGAATTTTTGGAGATCGGCCAAAGGGAGAGATGTTGCTCCAACGATGTCATCGATGTATCTTTTGATGGGGCAAGGAAAAAGGCCATTATAGGATTCGTAGATAAGTTGTTCTTAATGGCCAACGAAAAATGCAGGCAAAGCTTAGGCCAAGTTTACTACCATTGCAACACCATCTTGGGCCAAGTTTACTACCATTGCATGTCTGACGATAATATTGGCCGTTGAATGAAAAAGCATTGAGTCCTCTTTTTCTCAATGTGTAATGTTTCTCGTTATTCTTTTCTGCCATCATGAATGTGCGGGTGATAGTATTATAGAGTCATAAGGATATCAGTGAGTCATGAAACCACACGATGAATGATAAGTAATGAATGTATCCTATTCTCATAGTTGCATTTCAAGGACCACTAACTTTATGATTCATAATATGATATGCTTAATGACCCATTGGTCACTAAATTCATCGCAGGCATTTAAATTTTGAAAACAGCATGGAAGTATGTCACACAGGAGTACTTTAATTTGACACTCCTCAGAGTATGAGCGTCTGATAATGACAAAAAGATGAAAAAGTGACTTTTCTGGTCATTGTTGACGTTTATATTTTAAGGAATGTCAAATGAAAGCACTTCAGTATGACATCCTTCAACTAATCCGTGCTATTTTCAAATTTTTCACAACCAAAGGTTTATTAGGCATTGAAGAATTGGCTCGCAAAGGATTGACTGAAAAAATAAATGGCCACAAAAATAGCCTAATATTTGCAGGGCATGGCAAGCTGTAAAAATAGCACTTTGTAAAAAAAATGGGACACCTCTCCCAAGGCTTCGATACCCCCGGCTATATCCAGAATTGATAACCGAATGCAAATGATAAGAAAATACAGGGTTTAATGTTATTTCAACAATGACTTCAGGCCTGTAAGAGTAAACTAAGATAGACGGGAAAGCGTGTCTAAACGGTAATTGAAAATCACAATTCAAAACGATTTAAAAATGTTTTTTTAAAAATCACATTTGAACTTAAATATGAGACATTATTACAATTGAAATAATTGAATCTGGACTATGCTAGCTATTTTCAATTTTATAATTCCAATATTGCTCAGTTTGCATTTCAGTCATTCTAGATATCGTTCTCTCAAATGCAAATATTTCTTCCTCTGCAGTAAACAAACTTGCCTGAGAGCTTGCTCCTTTCTGTTTAAGAGAAAACAAACATCTGACCTTGAGCAATGTTTGATCTATGCGGAATATCACGTTAAGCCCCAAACATAATGCTGTCTGGGCAGAAATTAAACCTGACTGGAAGGCATAGCAAACAAATATCTAAGGAATGGAGGCAGCATGGTTGCCAAAATGGAATGATACTTCATTTTCAGGCAGGCAAAACTACGTATATCTTTTCAAGAACCAAATAATATTTGCTTATTTTTCTTATTTTTGGATCATATGAGGCTCGGTTATTTTTAATGATGTTCTTATTTCAATCATAACTTTTCTATAACTACATACTATGAATTGTTCCTAAGGCAACTAGAAACAGTTTTGACATTGTTCATGAAATTTTTAACTCCACGGTAGATTTGCTCTGTGTTGTTAAATATAAGAAAATTTGCAAAAACGCATTGTTTTCTATACAAATTTTCCATCTGAGGCAGGCCATGTTCTTACGTTGATCTTGATTTTTGATAAATCGAGCCCCGTGTTCTAATGAAGTGTTTTCTGAGATAAAAACAATGTATATGACCTGATTTGCCCAAACCTGAGTTATTATACTTGAATATGAATGATGCCTCCCACAAAGAAGGGGTATTGTAAGGGTTTTACTCGCACCTGTACGACGTTTACAGAAATAAGTTTAAAACAGATGTGGAATATAGCTGACACAAAGTCTTTGAAAGCTTAACCGACCTAATGAGATTAAGTTTCGAACTGATTCGTATAGGGAAACAGGATGGAAATGATAATGCAAAAGATGTGTTTCAGTGGCAGCGCTAGCCTGGGAGGGGGGGATAAAACAAAACATTTTTGACCACACCCTTTTGACCACCAGAAAACGCCCTTTTAACAACAAGGAACGCCAATTAACTGAAGGGAACACCCATGACTAACTTTTGGTACGTTTAGGTAGTTTTAGAATTAAAGGATTACATCGCAAAAAGTACGTTGCCAAAATATTACCTCTCCCCGACATTGTCTCATCGAATTTAAACAAAACATGAAATTGACCCTGCCGAGATCTAGGGAGACATGTCCCCCCAGTCCCCCTCTTCCCTCGTTCTCCCCTCCCCCTGGTTTCTGTCGCTATTGGTATGCTTTTGCATTACAGTGCCTTGATACAAGAGACAAAAATAAAAACAAAGAGTAGTTAACTCACAGCATCGATTCCCAAGTCGTCCATTAACAGTCTATTGTTCTCTCTCTCATCTTGGGATAACTGCGCAGTTACAAATAGATCTTTAGGCCTTGTCTGGGCTGAGCATACAATGCGAACCTTCGAGAGTAAAATATATTTTCATTATGTATAATACAAAAATAGCAAATTCATTATATAAGAAACTTATTAACCTCAGAAGTTTACTTGTAATAATTTCGATTTCGAAGTATTAACAAATTAACAGAAGAGAATTATTAAAAGATCCAGAATTGGTAAAGTACAGATATGTTCGTAAATGTTTCGAGCCTGCACCGCAGACTGCTGAAATCAATCATTGGCAGTCGAAAATCATCGCAAACATTAAAAAAAATAATAATAATAAATTGCTGCAGACAGACCAAAATCCCCACAGCTGAAAAGCATCACAGTCAAAATGCTTCTAAAATCATCATTTCCGAAAAGCAGCATAGTCGAAAACCGTTGCTGACAGTCGAGTATCAAGTTTAGCGGCGGTTTCGTCTGATTTATGTAACAATTTCTTATTTTTTGTCTAGAGGGAATCATTAGGAATAGTGCATCTTGGTGTTTAAAGAAAATACCAACCAAACTTACATGGTTATCGTAAAAGTTATCGATTGCCGTAATAAATCTTCGAACTTCCATTCGTCGCCGCAAATCCATTTGAGGAATGTCAGAAATGACTACAGTTCCAAATTCTTTTGAAATTGCTAAATAATCTGCCGGTCCTAGTGGCTGAAGAGATAGAAAAAGACTTCATGTAAGATAAAAAATTACATAAATGAAAACAAAAAATTTTGCTGTTTAAGCTATAAATAGGCGGCGTTCCTACTTCCGCGATTGAACAAAAAGGAAAGTATCAGTGAGGAAAATACATAGTTTCAGGAAAATACATGGTCTCTCGTCACGATACACATTTGTGACAGCAGTTAAAGGCTGATTTCTATGTAATCAGACGCATAGTGAAGAAGATAATGGAGCAGAAAGTCAGATTATAGGCCAAAACGCTTTCCTTCCGGGCAGAGTCACCGCTAGCTATTGTGCTCAAGGGGAGAGGGGGTGCTCAGATTTGATTTGCTGGCAAAGTGGTTCAGCCATCCTTTATTTGCCGACAAGTTAGAAAATTTGCAGCTGAAGCTCCCCTACAAACCAACATCCCTCGATTTTACAATTAAGTTTTCTACCGAAGAGGTGTCGACCCCCCCCCCCTACTCCCTATAGCAGCGACGGCCCTGCATCCAGCAAACATAACTACTAAAGTATAGCTTCTTAAAAAACATCTTCTCTCAATTGTTCACATCTTCCCTAAAAATCTATTGAGGGTTGAACCATTAATCCTATTAATAATGTATATTGCTACAATTTTACATTGTAATTAAGCTAAACAAAGGTATATAAATATGTATTGCCTGCAATGATGTTGCGTCATGTCACCGTTCAGTTGTTAGAAAATATGTTGCCAAATATGGTAAGGGCATTTCAAAAGATTCCTCCTTTCTTTTGATACCGAAATAGATATCTTATAGGTGAATTAATTGGGCAGCTACAGGAACGATTGCTATGAACAACATCACACATTGCAAGTCACCGTATGTAGCTATTTGCAGCAATAACAGAATAGCCGTTTTACATAATTCTGCTTTCGTTACGGCTCGATTCTCGGAGCACCTTTACATCAGAATTCTCGAAGAGTTAGGAAATTTTATTCGTCTCAAACTTTGTTCATTTCGGAATTAGAGCTGGGAAAGCATATAGACCTGGCGCCAAAAAGAACAGCTCGATCCCATGGTGCAACGCTTTGAATTTCATTTCGCCCTTTTTGATGTGAATGCTTCAAAGGCTAACACCAGACACCGAGCTTGCGCCGCTTTGAAATTCAATGCGCTTCAAAGATCTCTTGTGAAGAGGCTCTCAGTCAAGAACCAGACTCGGCAAAAAGGTTTTATCAATAATCAAAATGGGAATCTATGTAAAAAGGGTAGTTGCAAAACGAGATCAATCCTTTGTCCAATATATTCAAAATAAATCTTATTTCGCATATTTTCACTACAAAATTTCAAGAAAATTCCCTATTGAGATTTTGGGCAAATTTAAGTTTGATAAAAGAGTCCTGCTTTGCCGAGAATGTTCACTACGTTACAAAATTTGATGTATGGTCTTGACTATCAACTTGCCATAACTGCTAGGACACATTCATAAAAACAAACAGTTGTTTCCTTTTTTGCCATGACAATGTTTCAACATTTCAATATTCTATCGTTGACATTAAAAGGTTAACTGGCATGGGTTGTATAATAATTAAGCAAGGCAGAATGCCGTTCTTGTCCAATTAGATGCAGTTCACAAATCCTTTTTAGCAAATCAAAACCTGCCAAACAGGCTTGGTTTGTTTTCAACAAACACCTAGCTGTGGCGGGAAAGCACCATTCATTGTTGTGACCAAAAACGACAATTTGTCTCTTAGCAAGCTACATCTTTTTGCCCTTCAACTATAGCTTGGGATCGACTAAAATTTCAAGGCGACTTTTTCGCAGCAAATTCGCAGCATGCGCAGTTTTTTATTTTTTATTTCGCAGCGAATTCGCAAGAAAGTAGAAAAAGTTTTACTTTTTCGCGGCGAAATATTTCAAAGCACCTAATAACCAGTCAAAGCATGGTAAATTTGCTTGATTTGTAAGAAAACAATCTAGGATCATTCGCCATGCATGCAGTTCTGAAAATGGGCGCGCTAAAGTTGAGTTTTGGAGGAAATCAATACACAATTTTGCAGCAAATTCGCAGTCTCGTGGAAATCAAAAGACAATTTCGAAACGAATTCGTAGCGAAATCGACGCGAAATTCGCCTCGTAAAAATCATCCTTAACAGACTTTCTAATTTGCTTAACAATGCCACGATGGAAATACCCTTCCTTCACTTTGATGAATTGAGTCATGATTTGTGAAGTCCCCTCATTTTCGCATTGCAGCGCTGTATTTTTTGACGGACACAGATGGACAATAAAAAAGCAGAAATTAAAACAGGGACAACACCTTCGTAAATTTTTACGAAAAGACAATATTTGCAGACCTGTTCTTTAAGTTCAGCTTTCTAGCCAAACGGACAAAATGGGCTGTGTAATGTTTTGTTCAGCGAAAGGATGCTAGGATCCAGACTTTATATATTGTTAAGTTAGTTGAGTTATGTAAAGTTACTTTCGAAGCACACCATCGTTTTGGGTTATCAACAATCTGCCTATTAGGCCACCATAAACATAGATATAACAGGCTGCAATATCTAGAATATTTTAGGGAGTTCACTCAACAGCAGCGATAAATTTTAAGTGAATTTTATGAAAATTGAAAATTTTTATCTTTGCTCGATTTGATTTTCCTTTTATTCAAGGGGTGTTTTCGATTAAGTTGTAAACAAACAAGGCAAATTAGCGAATTGACCCAAATAGTCAAGGACCAGCGTGACAACTGTTCAATATTTACATCGCGGTGTCTCATTTACTTCTGCCAATGATTTTACATATTTTCAAATAATACCTAACGCTCTTTATAACATCACCAAATTCAACGACAAAATATTCCATTACAACAAGAAAAAGACAACAAGAATTTTTTTTATTACAAGAGGCTAATGTTATATAAAGAAAGTGTCTAAATTGCATCATAGACCCTGCTTACCTTCTTACAAAGCTCATCGAAGGAGAATCTTGCAACTTTCCCACATGCCAATGGAATTTTGACATTTCTTCCGAACACTGGAATATTTCGCGGTTCTATCGAAACATTACCTGCAGCAAAAGAAAAATATTACAAGAAATTGATATTGTGCTACCAAAATCGTGTAAAAGCTGAAATAATAGGCGTTTTTAACATGAGAGTTAATAGACTCCTGGTATATCATCAGTTAATAAAGCTTTTTGTAACGACAGTGCACTTATCAAAGTCAAGCGTCAATCATCTACAACTACGATGACTATTATTTAGTGAAATTTTATCGTTATTCAAAGTATTTGGTGTTTGAGCCCAGGAGAGACGGCCACATCTAATAACTGCTTCTGCTACGGCCATGAGCTCGGTTTTACTGTGGACATCAGCTTGGTTCTACTACCCACATAATCTTGTTTCTATTAGAGACATGACCTTGGTTCTATTGCGGACATTAGCTTGGTTCTATTACGGACACAAGCTCGGTTCTTCTAAGCAAATGAGCTCGGATTTACTACTGGCACCAGCTCGGTTCTACTACGGACAAGATCTTGGTTCTACTACGGAAACGAGCTGGGTTCTATTATGGATACCAGTTCGGTTTATTATGGACACGAGGTCGGTTCTATTACCGACACAGCTCGGTTCTACTAAGACACGAGCTGGATTCTACTACAGACATGAGCTTTGTTCTACTGCAGACACGAAAATTACATATATCAAGCTTGTTAAATGGCACCGTTTACTTCATGTTGGTAATGTTAGCTTTAATTTTTCTGCACTTTGAATTTCACCACATAAACACCGGGTAGACCGTGCCAACTTCATATCAAGCATGGCAGGTAGTGTTAAGCGGCCGTTGAGGCATAAAGCTTGGATATTTAGTAAAATGGCTGTCATGGGCGTTATATGGGAGTTCAACAGGTACAATACATGAAAACTTTTGAAGCATATCCTGTTTGATGATATCGTGTTTCCAGTAAATGTGGGATAAGCATTGAGTCGTGCTCAGTTTAAAGCTAAAGGATTCGATCGTTCAAAATGGAACTTTGGAGAAAAGTGAATAGAAAGGGCAAGATAAAAGTACCCATTGAACAAGACGGAAGTGCATTGGTTTTTATGAAAAACATTGTATTTCCACACAGTCTACAGGGAACGCGGAGCATAGTGCGGTTGAAGAGGGGGGGGGCTAAAAGGTTTTGGGGGGCTAAACATGAAAAAAGCAAGATAGATAGCCTTTCTGCAGTCCCTGATATGCAGTGCACTTTCTCCAGGTTAGAACGCAGTTCCGTAACACACATTAAGACACGTTTTCGTTCAAAACCAATGCTGCGAAATAGACACAAATGGTCAGGAGCAGCTTTATAAGGGCGATGTTCGTTTCGAAAGAGATTCAGCATTTTGCGAGATACTAGACTCAAGAGGTTTTCAACTGCTTACGAAATAAGAAAATCAATGCGTTGAAATTATTTTTGGCTGAAAGTGGGATGGTTTGTTTCTGGGTAAGAGTTTTGCCTTTAGTTTTCCGACGAATCTTCACGTACCTTTAACTCTAGGAACCCTTCGTTTCAAATGGCTTTAAAATGTTCATTTTGACGTATTCAGAGAAAATTAGCTCTTTAAAACTTCTTTAACATTTTGCTGACCCCAAAGACCACTCTTCTTGCGTGCAAGAAAAAGAAAAATAAACTGGCCACCAGCAATATTGATATTTATTGTAATTATAATGTTTTTGTTATTTTTGCTGTGCAAACAGAGTCAGTGTTTTTTCTGATCTTTTGCTGTTGGGTTAATAGAGTACCGAAGTGATGACGTCACAAAAATATATTTTTAGAATTTATGAATTTTGATCCCAGAACCTAAAAGAGCATCATAAAATACCTCTAAATAAACAAAATCAGTTAAAGGCATTACTAATTGGCTGAGATATGGCCACATTAGCACAGGCTCTTGCCCCATCAAACCTCTGTAATTTGATCTTGGTCCATAACTTTATGAACCAGGGCCAGAATAACAGTAATTCGTTAGCAAACTTGAAATCTTTCATTGGCCATATCTCGCCCAATTTGAAACATATCTAGCTAATTTTGCACATTGGGAGGTATTTCTTGCCGTTCTTTCAGATTATGTGGCCAAATCTAAGAAATTCTAAAAATGGATTGACGTCATTCTTCGGTACTCTATTGACATGGTTCAAGCTCGCTCGCTCCTTCGGACCGCACCGCGGGGATCGGTCTCAAGGAAAGCACAAAGGGAGAGTTAGTTAATCAAGGAGTTAGGCTTGAACAATTCTATAGGATCTCTGAATGCAAGACCAAGAGAGCTGAATATTCAAATCCTCTAGTCGAAACTTGCTGTTTGTGCAACTTATCGTGCTATTCGGAAGAACAATCGCTTGCAGCAATATGAAAATAACTTCTGTCATTCTGATCGATTGACGTAAAGGATATCGGCTGACACAGTATGTACTAACTGCGCTAGTTATCGAATGTTGAGCACAGTTGTTTACACGATAATTCAGTATCGCTTTAGCTATTGAGAAATAGCTGATTACACTCATCTAAGTTCTTCTTTCTCCTTCCATTTTCAAATTGATTCTTCTATCAACACACCCCCAACAAAGAAATATTTCAGCCTCAATTCTCATTGGTTACCTAGCAATAATTGAGAAGTGGAAATAAAGACAACCTCGTTAGGTTCAATCAAGTATAACCATACAGGCCTTTCTGTTTCATCCAACCTTAATTGGAAATGTCACATTTCTCCTGTTGCTAAATATTCATCTCGAATACTTGGGTTCTCTTCTGAGTACGTAGATTCTTCTAACATCACCGCTCTTAACAATTTATAAGTTGCAAGTCGGTCCTTGGATTACTGCTGGTATTTTTTATATATTCCATTAGTTGGTGCTCCTGAATTTTCCCTGTGCCTCCTTGAAAGAATCCAATCAAAAGCCATTCACATCATCAACAATTGCAACCTCGTGAAGTCTCTCTACGATAGCGTATCATTGATGAAAAAGATGAATAAAACAGGAAATATGACAGAGCCTTGTAGAACGCCGGCATTCATTGAGTTGGAACTGGAGAGATTGCCTTCAATTCGAATGACAATGGACCTATCATAGAGAAAGCTGCTGCAATGTATAAGGGTTTGGTGCAGAATAAACGTAGGGAGTTTTGAAAGAAGAGCTTAGTCCCAGACGAGATCAAAGGCTTTTGAGAAGTTGAGTCTTTTAAGAATTGGCTTACCTTTTAATCTTTCTTCGTCGCAAAGACGGTTAAAAACTTGCTCCAATTTATCTGTTACTGTAGGGTCGTTGGAATCCAAATAAATTTCGCCTATGCTTGCCAAATCTGGACAGAAAATAAAATAGAAAATGTGAAAGCTTTTTATCTTTGTAAAAAAAAGACATGCGCTATATTTGAAGAACAAATTTTCTTACAAACCGATTCATTTAATCAAAAATTTCTAATTGCTAAATAGACTTAAAGGTATCATTCTAACTTGGACACAAAGAATTCTGAAATAAAAATTTGGGTAACTTATGAAAAGAATTCTGAAAAGCCGTACAAAGGGAATGAAATTTGGAAACGTTGGGAAACGCTAAGCAATATAGACCTTTGAATTTAATTGAATTCTAAAAAACTTTTAAAAGATTAAATTATTAACTTGCAGGTAAAAAACGTAAAGAACACAAACGCAAGAGTGCTTTTCTAGGCAAAGTGCCTGTTGCTCAAACATTTTAGGAATAGGTTTTGTGGTTAATGCAAAGAATTTGAAAACACGAGTTTCTTAGATCTCAATGCCCAAGACATATTTTGAAGGAAATCTCAATTACATTCTGCTAGAAACATCGTTGAAGATTTCTGATAAAAAGCTACGATCCAAGAAAGGCGGCCATTTTGTTCTGCAACAGATTTCGAAATGGACAACATGTATAGGCTTCATCCGGAGAACAACATGGCATAGACAGATGGCATTCCCGGTAATATGCTCAATGTGATCATCTGGTAATGCGTATATCAACTCGGAATAGCAACTTCAAATTCTACATACCATAGCGCAATTTCAATGTAATTATTATCTCGCATAGCTTGCCTTGATACCGAAGGATTGCATACGGCGTGAAACCCACAATAGCAACTTCGAACCGTCCAGTGCTAAACACCGTAGGGCAATTTCAATTTTATGATTGTCTTGCGTTATAATTTAGATTTAACATTGGGTGGAGTTTTGATAAAAAAGCGAAAAATACTTGCCTAGCCTCCTGTAGTCTGTTGTGGAATTGAGGCTGAAGACTTCGCATCTTGACTGGAAAAAGAAATATATCTTTATCAACATGGTTGGATCTCAACTGACAAGAATCTCTTCTAATGGAAGAAATAAGATACTAGACTGCTATTATGATAAAACAGTTGTGAAAGATGGCATAAAAACAAAAAAATTCACACATGGTAAATGCGAACTCGTAAATGCTGTTATCAATGGGGGCCCGGTATTTAAAACAACCATGAATTGAAACAAAAATGCACATAAACTCTTTGCATCCAGAAACATGATGTTTTTTAAATATCTTTCAATTTTAATAAATCTTTCAAACCAAAATGCACCAATTTAAGTCTAAAAAGATTAAATGATTCCGGTTTCCGGCTGCTGTCTGAATATTTCTTAAATATTTTAAGACCTTGAAGCCAGCAACGCTTTTGTTTTTGCCCCTATTTTAGCTCTGGGGATTCGAGCTGTGTACCTATCGTTGACTATGTCCGGAGTATGATTAGGATTATGATTATGATTGTACCTATGTCCGGATTATGATTAGGGATTGAAATGACACCGTTAATCCTTGAATGAGCCCCCATGCTCGATTAAGCCCCCCTTCTCGAATAAGCCCCCATAAAAAAATCATTTTTGCAAATAAGCCTCCGGGGGCTTATTCGATGAATTACGGTACGTTGTATTATCCGCTGGCAGACAGGCTACTGCTTCGAGAGAAAATATCAAAGCATTTGCGGTAAGTATGAAAATATAGGAGGAATGGCCAGAAAAGAATTCGACAGCCCTGAGTAGGTATGGGAAAGCAAGAACAGCACATGTAACTACAAAAACAAACGAGCGAGATAGGCTAAAAATAGCTTACCTTCAAAAGCGGTATAAAAGGGAGGAAATTGGACCGCTGAAGACCATTTTTGTATAAATCTACAAAAAATACCAATAATGAATTACCCTTAAAAATAATAAAAAAAGAAACATTTTTAACGGTATTAATAACAGGACTGGTATAGTATGTTGTAAATCATGTCACCGATCACTGCTCACAACTATACCTGTCATGTGCTTGCTTTTTTTTGATTGGCCTATTTCGATCCACGACTGGGTATATATTTTCTATCTTGTTCCTGCGGACCCTCATTCTCACGTCAGTCGGGAAAGCATTAAGTATGTTATAAAATGTTTGCTTTTTTCAAAGCCATTTTCAGAATTTATAGCGCCAAAAACTTGTTCAAACTAATATCAGTAGCAGAATCTGCAAAGACTGCGAGCCTGACACGGTCCAGATAAATTCTGCTGGGCATTCATAGAGAACAGTTAAACAAACTGTCATGCTTTATCCAGTCTAAACTATCGCAAAATAGAATGAACTGTTTTGCTTTTTGAGAAAGCCCACAATTATTTCTCCAAAAACAATTATATTTAACTGGAGATATCAAGAAATAAAAACCCAAAGTTAAATAAGAGATATCGAATTAATGGCTGGAGGTGTTAAGCCCGATAAGGTAGAAAAGGTATATACATTTACATTAAGTCCATCGATAAGCATAACAAACATTCTCCACGGAGGGAGTGCTTGAGAAAGTTATCGAGTTCAGCAGTCTAGCAGTACTTACATTTATAGCTAAACCACACGAAGATGGAATAACTTGATTCATTGCGGAAATCATAAAAAACAAATTATATAACAAAACAAAGAAATTATTTAACAAAAAATAAGAATAAATACCATACTATCCTATCTGCTAAATGATTACCAGCGTGATAAAGAAAACTTGACTTGCATTTCGATAATTTAATAAAGCTCTCTTTAAAAAACGCCACTTCATAATAACATCTCTCATTAAATTCAAAAGTGGCAGTTAATAGGTTTATTATCAATTTGGTTCAAAAATTAATAAGAAGAGTTATTGTATTGTATTGCAGTCTAAAAACAAAACGTCAGTTTCGTCAAGATAATTCAAGATAACAAAAATTCAAGATAACAAAAAAAGATAGACAAACAAAATTATATTTAAAAAGTAGACAAAAATAGTTATTCACCATCTGGACTCCTGTTTGAGGTGGCAACAACAATAACACCATTTTCAAATAGATGAGAGAAGAGTAGTTTTAGAATCATCGCATCGGCAATATCTGTCACCTGTAAAAACAAGTTAATTATTCTGTGATAGAAAATTAAAATGATAAAGATTATAGATCAAACACTTATTGAATCTAAAGAATTTTCATCATAAGTTATTATTTTTGCTCAACTATAAACATGAAACCGGTCAACTAAAAGAAAGACATTTTTAACACGATGTAAATTGAAGCTTGATATAATCGAGGGTCTCCCAGGGGGGGGGGGTACTTGTTTCCGTGTTCCCTTTGAGAAAAACAACCAATATTCCCGTGTTCCCGTTGAAAAATAGAAAAAATGCTCCCTTCTTCCCTTAAACTAGTAATAATGTTCACATGTTCCTAGAGAAAAATTTAAGTTGTTCCCGTGTTCCTGTACCATTTGTTGCCATGTTCCCTTGTTCTCGAAAACCCCTGGGAGACCCTCATAATTAAATAGCCGATTAAATGTTATACCTGAAACTCGTCGAAGCATAGCAACCAAGTTTCAATAGCGATCTCCTGTGCCACTGGCAAAATTGGGTCAAAAACTTTTGATGTTTTATCTCGGTGATCAACAGGGCCAAGCTGAATTTTGCAATCATGGACCCCTTGAAAATAATAAAAATGTTTTAACTTGATCGCATCATATTCAGCTCAAAACAAATATACGCGAGATGAAACTCTAATTGCAAGTTAGAAACGTCCTATCCTACAGACTGTTTGCAGCTCTGCTGATAGAACACTATAAAACAGACCAGTTAACAGCTCTCTTCATTAACATGTCCTATATAGTGGTATCATACAGTATAGCCTAGTTTAAAGGTATGATAGTGGCGGAAATTTATTTTTCTGGTGGGGAGGGGGGGCAATGCCCACAAAACAAGCAAATTTGCCCACAAAACAAGCAAATTTGCCCACAAAAGCGTGCCTTAACCGACACTTTGCCAAAAATTAAGCTCTTGCCCCCCACACAGACACCCCTACAATTTCCGCCGCTGTATGATACCATTATACATAGTTAAAAAAAGGTGCTATCAAATGACATCAAATAGCATAAAATCTATATGATATCATATCAAACGATACTACTGAATACTGTGCCATAATACTTTATCCTGCAAGCTAGATTTTCAATCAGTGTCTTACTTTTGTGTACATCAAGCATAAAGGAGTTGAAATGAACTCTTTTCTTCTTATCGATTTTCGCAGTCTTATAAAATAAATCCATTAACATTGTTTTTCCAGTTCCTAGAAAAAACAAAGAGAACTGTCACTAATCGTTTGAATTTTAAGCAAAAAGCGAGCATCGGAAATAAACTGCAGTTATTAGAATGCCTTACATATTCGATTTTTATTCTTACTCCAGACAAAAATCGCAATTGAAAACCACAAGGAACTAGTTAAAACATACTTAGAGGAAAATTACAACAAATAACAAATTTAGGAAAATCAAGATGTATGATTTTGCACAAGCAGTTTTCGCCTTGAAAAAGGCTATTTGTAGTTAAAAGAAAGAAGCTTAATTCCTGAGCCATAAAACTTAATATTCTTGGGCATTTTGATTGCATCACTACTAGCTTAAAAATTAAAGTTGCAGATTTTATAAACGTCTTACCTACACTTCCAAACATGTACAGCCCTTTTGGGGTTCTTTTTGTTTTGTACCCAAACAGCTTCATGCAAGAAAAAACATTCAAAAAATTAGCTTACTTGTTGGTGTTTCAGAATCTTTCATGTTTAGACAATAAATTATGTAGGCTACTGGCCTACCTTCCTTTATTTCATACAACTTTATTATTCTTACTTTAATATGATCAGCATTAGAAGTAAGTGGCAAAGAATATACAAAGGAAGACAGTTATTTAACCAAATTGATACACTTGTGATTTTAACTTGTCCATTGACAAGGCTTCTTCTCCAATGCTTATTGGAAATGTTTTTCAGTGGGGAATCAATTTTTTTATTTGGTAAAACTGAACAAGCGTTGCAGCGGAAAATCATTTATGGGGAATTCTTAATTGTTCTCGAATATCCTATCACTCAAAATGTTATCTCTTTATATGCATACCTTATCATTTCTGATAAAGAACGGAACCGAATATTTTGCGAGAATTTATGGATATTAGCTTCGCATATCTCATTCTGTAAAAACCTACGTTTTGTTTCGTTATTTGCCTGTTTATATGTCAGATATCACATAGAGCGAAAAATTCATATTATTACCAAATTGCAGCATTTTACGACCTTCTTTACATGACAGGGCCGTGGCAAGTGCTAAAAATGGGTGGGGCTATAAACTGGGGTCTAACAGCAAATTCTCCTCAACATTTTCTGCAGACCACCCCCTTACATGTTCTCAAAATACTGCGTAGATTATCAGAGGGTGCATCGGCATTATATAGTTCTCAGCCCCCTTAGCCGCCACGGCCTGCATGCAAATTTTGTAGATTGTGTTGTCTATGAAGGTGAAATATTTGCAGACAGAAAATTGGTGAAACCTGTACACATTCCACAATCTAGTTTTTTCCTTACAATTCCATAAATTGCTGTTAGCGATTTTTATTTAAGTATATTGCTTTGATAAAAACTTTTAAAAAGCCTACTATGTCGCAATTTAAAATGCTCTGTCAATGGAGGCGAAAATATGCGCACAAATTTTAGTCCTGGGCAAATTGTGACGCGACGTTGCTTAAAAACTGTTTCCCAATGTGTAGGCCTACACATTTCTAGACAAAACTAACACGTGTCCAAAACGCACCCAATGATGGGTCAAGTTTCGAACACTAGTCCAACAGAAATACAAAATACCTTAGGTAATTGTTTCAAAAATAAAAAAAATTTACCAGCTTAGTTTTCTGAAATGCTTAAAATTAAGAAGAAAGTTCCTAAATTTCTCAAGAAGTATGAAGTAGTTAACTGCTTAACTTGCAAGATAAAATAATTTCACAACTAAACATCAGTCTCTAAATTTGTAAATAATGATTAAGAATAAAAAATTTCTACATTCGCATCCCATCCCATTACGAACATTTCGCATCCCATCCCATTACATCACTACATCCAAATCTACAGTAATTCTAAACTTGAGATAACAATCAAATAAAAATAACGTTTATCGTTTTCATAACTGCGAAATTAATTTTCTTTTTAATTTTATGAAGCGTTATAAATACTTTTAGAAGAAATCATTTTCTCCGAACGAAGATGTTTAGAACAACTAGAAAAGAATCTGTAAAATACAACCGCATAAATTTAACATTTGGAACTTTATTGTCACAAACAACGGCCTAATAAACAAATAAACATTAAATTTGTTCTATCAACTTGCGATGAAAGCAACAGCAAATAATTTATTTATCCTTTTGGCGAGTTTTTTGAGAAAACCGGTTTGTCAGATAAAGCCCAGGCTTTAGTCGGTTTGACTCTTGTACGCGAACCATCTGCAGTTTCTGGCGACGCAATTTTAGTCTCAAATTTTGGTGTACTTTGCTGTGAGCTAGCTCTTTCTTCTTTACAGGCAGAAAGCTTTAGTTCTCCTTTAGCATCATTGCTTGCCAAAGCTTGCAACATACTAAACAGGTTCGTAGGCCGCACGCCATTTCTCAAGAGAGCTAGAATATGACCAGCTACTTCGGGATCCATTTCTACACCGGATGAGCAAATTATATCATACATTTTGCTGTCCGTCTGCACCGGTTTTGGAGATCTTGAAGGTACAAGGACTCCATCACTTGCAGAACGAAACATTCTTCTTGCTCGGTGATAAAACAGACACTGTCTTTTAGTTGGAAAATTTAAAAAAATACCTACGGCCCAACAACACTCTAGGAAAAATGCTGAATGAGACGAAAAATTCGCGACAATGTCACGTGACAAAAGCCGGATTACAGTGAATTAATAGAACATTTTTTGGTGTGAATCTCTTAAAAACAAAAACGATGCAGCTGCAGCTAGCTATAGTACAACATTATATCGTGGGAAGGTTCATGCTTCCCAATAGCCTTCCCGGCATTTATTGGACAAATTTTTATTTTTTCGAATATTTAATATATTTTGCACAAAGCAATCTGTAGTGTGTTGTTCCTTTTTCCTGGCATACCTTCCTATGAGGGCAATTGCTAATATCATCATTGGCTTGCCGCTCAAAAAATTATAGGAATTTGTTTGCTTTAGCCTGTGCCCCAGTCCACAAATGCTGCCGCATCTATGCCGGTGACGCTCCAATAATTATATTTTCCCTAAGATGCTGTTCCAAATTGATTATTTGCCTCTTAACAGCACGCCCCACCAACATGGCTCTGACTTCCCTCTAACACACCAGGCACCGCGCAGCCATTGGGCTAGCAGGGGCTATAGCCCACCTACTTTTTTTGCAATAATAGGCTAGAAACTTTGTTTGAAGATTTACTCTAACGCGACTTGGGATGGTTCACCCCTATGTAGTAGCGGTTCTCATTGACTGGGAACCATTTTTGTTCTTTCTCTAGGTGTTTCATCTTGTTTAATGATATAATGTATTTCTAACTTGGTTAGCTTGGTTTTTCATTACCCTCGAGCTAAGTCTGTCTATTTTTAAAGTTATTAATATCTTCTCTGAACCAGACTGTTTTTAAAAAATAATATAAAATAAGCAAGTATTTTCTAAAAGGGGCGTTTTCCGGCGTTCAAGAGGGCGTGGCTTCAAAAATTTTTCGGTCACCACTATTTCAGCCCCTCAACTTTCAGAGTGGTGCGTGGTCTTTGTAACACACGCCAGTCTAGCATGCTTTGGCACAACAATAACTACTTCGGATTCCAGTTTACAATAGTTTGTGGGCAGATTCTATTGAGGAAAAGGAAGAGGAAGATATGTAACAAAAAATAATACATAATTCCTGCTTTTCCTTCAGTATAGTCTGCATCATGCAGGGCATTTCACAAATGATTGACAGAAAACATTTGTACTAGAACATCTATGTTGTTGTTGCAACGAGATTATTTTTATCCCTGTTGCAGCTGGTGCAAGATCAAAGTTATGACAGGTTTCGTCACTGCAGTGTGCTGCAACATTTTAGGAATATACACTGGATCCTATAAAGCACCTACCACTGATTGTAAACTGTAGAGGCCAGCAGTATGAAGAAATCTCTGGTTACCCCCTCTAGCCCCCATAGTGGCAAACGTTTTGTTGACACTTTAGATCAAAATACAAAAAGGACTTTTTGGTAATGCTCAAATTGCTATCATCAGCACTTTCAGTTTAACATAGCTTCATCTACTTCTTTCTCCTTCCTTTCTAAGCTGAATTTCCTACTAATTTCCTATTCACATCATATTATATACTGTAGCAATTCAAATTTCAGAAAAAAATAGTCTGATTAGACAATACCACAGAAAGCAGAAAACATGTCATACTGAAGAATTTTTTGTCCAGTTTAAACGATGGACAATGACAACAAATATACTCTGACAAAAAGTCATTGCAAATAAATGCAGGACAACAACTAATGCTTATACTCTGAGAGGTATAAGGTGGAAATAGCTTTAGTATAACATGTTCCCACTTACCTTCCCAACAAAACTTGGTTTGTATGGCTCGTGGTTTTTTATCCTCTGGTAAAGTTCCTCAAGCTTATTTACCAAAAGAACTTGATGCTGGTCTTTCCTTAAAATATTTAAGTCTATCATTGATTCATAAGCAACTCTTGGACCATTGTGTAAGTCAATATGATGGTCTTCATCATTGTCTCCTAAGTGATAAAAGAATCAAAAATATTTTCCACAGTGATATGCTTATAGGTTGTTTACAGTTTGTAGTTGTGATTAGCTCAACCTCTTTAAGTCAATTATGATTTATCACCAATAATTGACAAGTATACCAATTTGTGATGGAATGATGTATCTGTTAGAGATAGTTGTTTCATTGATGCATTAACTTAAAATAAAAAAAGCTCTGTTGAAATCTCTTTTCTTTAATTGAAATTTACTTTGTCAATAACCTTGGTAGGTTTAACCTTGGTAATGAACAATGATTGCTCCTTTTCCAAATTTAGTCTTTTTTTGAATTAACCAAGTCCCAATTTTTAACTACAATATAGGTCAGTTTTTAAGGCAATGTAAGTAGTCAGTTTTTAAGGCAATGTAAGATCTTTATAACTAAAAAAAACAGAAATAAACTCCCAATTTATTCCATATTTTAATCTGAAAATAGAGTTATAGTTTTTTGTTTTGGCTGACTCTATCATATTCTAGCAATGTGGCAATATAACATAATAATAATATTCACTTCCAGATCAGTTACTATAAAAGCAACAAATACAGAATAGCCAGGGAAAGACATTTGCATTTCAGTATCTCAAAGTGAATTTTCTATTGAGCTTGAAATCATTCAACCAGTCCCTCAGTTGGTTATAGGCAACTATTGATCAGAGAGGTAGGGGTTTCTCACATTTTGTTTAATTTGTCTGAAAGTTTTCTGTCTCTTACGGCCTTATACTAATGCTTGTTGTCAAGCTTAAGTATCAGCAACATTTACATTGGTAAACTTTCCAAAAATCTAGCATCCTTTCATTTCTTTGAATTTTACAAAGTTCCCTGTGATGGAGAGCTACTCCCATCTTTCTGTTTGAGGGCATTTGAGACATCTGAAAGTTCTAGGTACTAAGCAAAATGTCCAGAAGATCAAGATTTATTCAATCCATGGCAATGGAAAAATAATCCTATCCTTCTAGGATCCTCCTGGCCCATCATACATTTTACAAACTATCATTCTTTCTTGATGAAATTAGCGTGAATTGCCTTAGTTCTAAGCACTACCTAGCATTCATTGTAATAATCATATTCATTGTAAATAGTTGGCTTATTAGCTTTAAATTATTGCCAACTGTAAATAAATTTTTTATTACTATTTTCATTTTTATATCATTTTCCATGAAAATAATACAAACCTTTCTTTGCTGACCCCTCCAAATCATTGGACAAGTCAATAACTGTATCTTTTTGGAAGTTAATAAATGCTTGACTTGCCAGTGATGATATGGGCCTAGCGAAATAACTCCCTCCTTTGTCGTGATGCCAGTTCAAAGAACGGAGACACTGGCTAAAAAGCTTGATCTCCTGAATAACTTTATGGCCCATCCTGCATTTTAGCCAGCTATTCGTTTACTCCGGGACAACTGGACGCAAATAAGAGCAGATTGCCGGTTCTGCCCCCTATAAGATTCCCTCTTATACAGTCACGACCATTTTGAACCAAAGTGAGGCTCTCGGATAGTAACGAGTCTAAGTTGGCATGCACCAAATACGAACGGGATTGACTAGTTTCCATACTATGATGTGATAGTAGGGTTAGAGTTAGGGTTAGGCAGGGACGCCTGCACCAGCTTAGGGCAGGAGGGGCAGTGTTGGTGCCGAGGGCAAATCGTGGAATTTTTCTACTAACATAATGAAGTATTCCTAAGTGGGAGGGGGGCAAGGGTGGGGTAACATAGCAAAATATCAACTTGAATATGTGCCACCCATACAGCTGGGGCTCTTACCATCAAATATTCTAAACATAGAGAAAATGTTGACGAAATTATCCATACATAAAAAAGGGTATTAAATGGCCTTGTCACTATACATAATATTTGGTTTTCTAAAAATCATGGCTGTTATAAATGGGCTGGTTGTAAAATTCTGATTGCCCGCCAAGTTTTTATACCGATTTATCCTCCTTAGGTTTCTGGAGTACTTCGGAGGGAACACGTCTTTTGTTTATCATCTATTATCTTTGTCACTTTCCCTCTTGTGGCCGACCCTGTCACAGACAAACTTTTCCTTCTCTGCGTTCTTGTGCTGGTGTTATCATTTTTCTAATATTTTCTAATACAGTAAATATTAACATAACGAGTGTAGTCAAAGTGGTCATCGATTATCGATAAGATTCTATAGTATTTTCTTATATTTCAAGGCACTTCTTGCTCCTTCTGCCCCTCTTCGAAGAGGGCAGGAGGGGCAGCTGCCCCTCCAGCCCCTCCCCCTGTGTAGGCGCCCCTGGGGTTAGGGTTAGGGTTGGGGATAAGGTTGGGATTAGGGTTAGGGTTATGGCTAGGGTAAACTAATTACGTCATCAGGTCGAGCAGTATGGAAACTAGACAGCTCCAACACGAACCTACACTGCACCCACGATTTTCAATTTGCTGCAGCTCTGACTATACCCCCTTGACTCTGAAGTCCAAAGCATGGTCCCTGTAGAGCAGTGTATTTTCAACCACTGTGCTATGGCACACACACACACCGTGTGCCGTGAAAAATTCTCCAATTTAACCGGTCTAAAAACTGAAAAAACTATCATCAGAAAATAGCGTACCGTGCTGTGAGGGGTGTAGTGATAGGGGGCTCTGGGGAGAGGGGTGAGCCCTCGTTGTTAATGCTGAAAATTGACAAATTTCTACTTTTGCTGTATTTTTTCGCAACATTTTGCGCAAGAACCCCCCTTGTTATTTTGATAGCACTAAACCACTGGCTGTGTAGTCTAATGATCGGCAGAGTAACCATGTAATACTGTTCGATATCTACTGAGAAATGTAGGCCAAAGAGTTTCATTTTTAAACCGTTTCTGTTGGTTGTGTGCATCTAGTGATTTTTTTAATGGAAAATTCTGACGTGTATCAAAAAAGGTTGAAAATCCTGTTTTTTGAGTGGGCAGTTTTACGTTATTCTCACTTGCTTAACTTGAAACATAAAGTTTAAAAGAACTTTCTTGTTGTGGTACAAAATTTAAAATGTCTTTGCAAAAACAATATAGAACATACTTAAGCTTTTCGTCTGACAACCCACCCCCTAGCTTTTGCAAAATTGCCGGTTAAAAAACCGTTTTTGGCCCTTTCGTCGGTAAATTTTGTCACTTGTTGGCAAATTTGCTTCTTGTTGTGAGTTTCGCTCCCCCACCTGAAAAATGAATTTCCGCCACTTCTTCAGGGTATAAAACCTCAGAACATAGAACAAATACTACGCTAGGAAATATATAAACCCAGTTGTGGATCGAAATAGGCCAATCAGAAACGCAAGCACACGACAGTTGGGGTTGTCCAGTCAGTGCCGCTTGCCTATTGAAAATGTTACCAAACGTCTAGATCAAAGCAAATTCCTTCTGTCTACACAATAGCGGTTTTTATGTTTATGTAGATAGATTCCAAAACTGCTAGTAGTGTAGCAGCCAAGGTCTTTAAAACGAAGATCTTACCCAAATTGTGATAAAAGCATGAACATCTGCACAGCTACACAGTGTGATATGCTGAATAAGATGGGATCGGGACCTAGTCTGAAAAATGCCCCCAAATGCTATCGAGTTCTGTTATCGACTCCTTTGGTATCGACTCCTTTGGTAATTGCAGAGTGATCTCCTACAACTCTAAGTGTTTTTATTTGATTTACTCTGATGAAGCCCTGTATGCCGGGGCAAAATATTAGTATATTCTTTAAATTTAATTTATTTTGAAAATTTTATCATGAACATTGGACTCTCGTCGTCGTATTGCTTTGTTCCTGTATATCTTATTTTATTTGGTATGGCAGAAAACCTCGTCATCCTAACCACCATATGTATGGTTTGCAACGCATTATTATTAGGAGGATTTGCAGTATTATTTCTGATAGGTCTGATGCCATGATTTCTTGGTGTATTGCTCTCAAACTTGGGTTGGTGCTTCTAAATCTTTTCATGCCTTCTCCACAAAACCTAAATCCTTACAGTAAAATGCTATTCATCTCATCAACAACTGCGACCTCACAAATCTCTGCAACTTCACTCTCTTCGGCGTTCTATTGCTAACCAATCCGTTTGTGACAGCTACTTCCATACACATTGCTTTCAGGAGATCTGATCTTTTATCACTGAATCCCCAAGTTATACTCTGAATGAATCATTCTAAAAATAGCTCTTAAGGATATTTCTTAGACTGGGTCCCGATCCTATCTTTTTCAGCATGTCAAATTGTATGTTTGTACAAATTTTCATGCTTTTATCACGATTTGCGCATTCATTGTACTTATCTCCTACATTATGACGAATTATGAACATGAATACAATCCACGCTTGTTCGTTTATGTGTAAACATGTGTAACATTTTGTTATGTTATGTTATGTTATGTTATGTTATGTTATGTTATGTTATGTTATGTTATGTTATGTTATGTTATGTTATGTTATGTTATGTTATGTTATGTTATGTTATGTTATGTTATGTTAGTTATGTTATGTTATGTTATGTTATGTTATGTTATGTTATGTTATGTTATGTTATGTTATGTTATGTTATGTTATGTTATGTTATGTTATGTTATGTTATGTTATGTTATGTTATGTTATCTTGTGTTATGGTTAGTTTAGTTCTCTCAACTTGTACTACAGCATCTCAAAATCTATACTTCACATTCTTCATCGAAGTGGCTTTGTCAAAGAGCTGAAATCAATGTTTTAGAGGACAGAAGTACATATTAAAATTAAAACGATACAATTAATACAGTTTGAACTGGTCAAATCCTCCATGTAATTGGTCAATAGGGAAATAACTGATCTATAAATAAAATATATCTATTTCACTTATGATAATAAATATGCAACAAAAATAATCTACCGTAAATTGTCTTTGAACTCTGGTAAACCTGACCCTTAAACAATTAATGCTGGGAAGAAGGGGGTAAAGAGCATGGTGCGAATGACAAAAAAATGTCTGAGACTAAAGCCTAACTGTTAAAATAAACTGTTCATTTTGTATAATGTTCATTTTTTGTAATTTATTTGGGAGAAGGGCACCGGTATCACTGACTTAAAATTTTAATGGCAAAATACGGTTTAACTCTCTACAGGGGATAGCTATGTAAAGTTTAAACTTATTATGCTATCATTATAACCTCTATAAGGCCTGTAAGGTTAGGCAGCGTTGTCATTTTCAAAACACCACCTTGATTCATGGATACCTTTATTTTACATAACGGATAAAAACTTTCTGTAAAGTAATTGTAGATAACTGAAAGTTCAGTCTCATACTCTCTTCTTAGACCAGTTTATATCTAAAAAAGTAATTTCAAAGTACATCGTTTTTTATTCTCAATACTGTATCAGATGCATTGAGAAAACATTTTTTGGCTGACATCTCCCGGCTTTCAATATTTGATAGCCCAGGTGACCATTTTTTTAGGTAAGGCAATGTTTCTTCTGCTAAACGAGAAACAGGTACCTAAGTTTTCAAGACATTGACCAGAGACCATTTGAAACCCTCTTTTACAATGTAGGTATCAAGCGAGTATTAAATAAAAACCACAGTATATAAAACTATCAATGTAAAAGGCTCAGTGATCTAGACATTTCCAATTCCACGGTCAAATCATATACAATCTCTACATCAGATCTTGGTACCCTGCACTAAATTTTATACACTTAATGCTACAACCCTATCACCTCCTCCAAACATTGTTGTTTTATATAATGTTATGGATTCAGTGTGATCCAATGGATACCTGTCAGATAGTTATGATGTTCTACTCTCTAAGCAACATTGTTTTGAGGAAGAGGGGGTGCATCGTCAGCCTCTTCTATGTAAAAAATTGATTTTTACTGAATAGCTCATAGAAAAGGGGCGTTCCAAGGACATTTGACAGTCATCCCTACGAGCCAAAATTGATTAGCCTGCGTGCAGACTCTGTTGAAAAGCTTCTTGTCTCCCCTTTTCAAAACAGAGTTAAAACAGAATCTGCACACAGGCTAACATTGGTCCGTGTTGATACATTTTTAAAGAATCGCTGAATTCTAGTTTGTATATTGAAAATTTCTAGCCAGTATTAAAAGTGCCATTCGTGGCATGGTTGCTACGAAATATACAACCTGCATTAAAAATTTTCGTCATTAGAATCTCAGTGCAACGCCTCATTGTCGGTCTTGGGTAACTTCAAAGCAGCCAACCCGCCTGTTGATAACAACCCCGCGACAAGAAATAGTGGAATGGCACAATGCACATCAACAAGCAAACCAAATATCTGATTGGCTAAAATTGCTCCAATCCTCCCGACTCCAGCTTGGATTCCAAAAGCTGTCGATCTAGAAATATAAGGCAAGCATGAAAGGACAATGATGGATGGTAGCAGGCTATTAACAAAACTATAAAAATCTTTAAGACGTAAACATAGATATTTACATGTTGAACAATACAACATCTTACAATTCTTCAGCTCTAAACTTGAGGTAAAGTTTTCTATATGGAAATTTCGCTACGAGAGAAAACCCATACCTAAGGTGTGTCGGGTAAAGCTCCATGGACAAAACGTCTAAAGCATTCCAGCCTGCAGTTGCCAGTCCGGAGAATATGCAAGACATAATGATCATATGCGTCCTTGTAGTGACAAACCAGAAGAAGAAGGCACTCACGCCACTGACAACCATAGATGCAGCTAGAAATGTAACAGGAAAAAATGCAGTCTAAAGGTGTAGCAGTTCGCTGGAAGGGTATATAACAAAGTGTAACTATATTAGCATCCTAATGAGTTTGTTTGTACTTTAAACCAATAAATACCCAAATAGGCCTACCATTTGGGACACAGCTGAAAATGTCAGCCTCGTGAAAAAGAGTCTCTGGGTAGCCATATTTCTACTTTTAATTTGTAGGACACCGTTTCGAAACAAGCTCCTTTCCTCACTTCTTTACAAATTTCCCGGTAACTTTCCCAAATAGCAGAGAGTTCGTATTCTGATAGCCGACATATCAACCTTGAACTGGAGAGAGAGGGGTGCGAAGTCCCAAATCTGTTAACATTTAGGTGCATTAGAGCTGCACAGAGCTATTTCAAGTAAAACAATGGTGGTAAGAGGACTTGTCGTATCAGAACACCTATTCAGTCACAAGGCACTAAACAATACAGTTTGCAAAACTCAGCGATGTAGGCAGCGTTTACATTATGGTATATTCCTGACCTAGTCTCTTTCAAGTGAAGGCTGTGGGCCTAAACGGAAGAAGACAAAAATGACGTTTGCAAGCAGCAAAATCATTCAAAGTAAAAAACCATGATGACACTCTATCACTTTGCATTTATAACAGATCCGTACCCAGAACTTCATTTTGCTTGGGGCTTGCTGGCGTGGAGTGTCAATGAAATGTTATCTTTACATAAAGTATTTGCAGTTTCAGAAAAAAAGGGAGAGATCGCTTGAATCTAATGTCATTCTCTGGATACCGAAGTGTAGTACACCAAAAGGATTTGTCGAAATTGAAACGAGTTTGCTTTTGGCGAAGAATAATGCAGACTTTTTTAAATGCAACACAAATACTGGCATTTGGGGGCAGGCCCCTAGATCTTTCTTAGCTCCGTCATAGGAAATGATGTCAGAAAATGGGTCAGTATATTGATAAATTTGTGACATAAGAGTCCATCGATTGCAGTTGCATTCCTTTGCAAAAATTGAGAACGAGAGTGCTAAATGACAGGGTTAAAGTGACGCATTTGATTGAGTTAAACCTTAAACATACTTATGTAAATGAAATGCCATGACGGTATCAAACCAAAAATGCCCTATAGCTACCTTGAAATCAAACTATAACAAGACAGGCATTGCAGAAAGAATAGAATCTCACCAAGGAGCTTTCTTCGTCCAATTTTGTTGACTAGAATGATCATTATTACATTGCCTGGAAGATTGGACAATGCCACCAAGAACGATTCGAAGTAAATTTGATTATTATTCATCACTTTCTCTCGGCATGTCATATTTGCCATTGGGTTCACGACCCCCGTGTGACTCGCAGATCTGCTGCAGCTCGATTGCCCACTCTGGATTCGCTGAAACAGTTCTGGAAACCACATCCACAGTCCGTAGAAACTAAAACATGACAAGAAATGAAACACATTTCAAACTACGAGCAAAATATGAGCTTGAAGTTATATCGTCTGTGCACAAAGAAATGAAAATGCATTTTCGATCTAGAGAATTAAAAGGCAGCTTGCATAAAGTATTCAAGGACTAATAAACATAACAATACCCATCGTTATTAAGGCTGAGTTGAGTTTATCTCAATGAACCACTAATTACTAATTACTAATGAACCACTAATTACTTCTTCAGTTCAGATTTGGCACTACCTAAACTCTCGCATTCTTATTAGATATACAGTCAACTCCACTCATGGTCACTCCACTCAAAGTCAAACCACCGTTTTTAATCACATAAAATTTAGGCCTAAATTTAGGCATAAACTCTGTTTACAGTCACTCTCTAATACAGTCATGCTTACTGTCAAGTATTATGTGGTGTAACTATAACCGGATTCTACTGGAAAACTGAGTATATAAAAGAACAAAATCATTTTGATTTCATCATGAAAGCAAAATCGTTTATGGGGTTCAAGCATAATTGAGGGATTTCAAAATTGATGTATTGGTAAGGGCTACAGTGAAACATTGAGATAGGCAAGTTTTAGAAACAAATGCTTTAGAAACAAATCACTAAAAATTAAACAAAATGGTAATATCAGCAGAGCTGAGACGAACATTAGAAAAGATCAGTAGCACCGACTACAACTTATCAAGACAAATTAAAAACATTCAGATTTGACATTTAAAATCAAATCTTTTCAACTGAGGATAATAGATATCAGTAAAGATAGGCAAGGCGTCCTTCTTATCATAAGGTTGTATATATACGAAAAGTTTGTTTAAAAAGAAAAAACAAGAAAACAATGGGAACTGATATGAAGAGTCGTAAACATGATGCCTGCACCGTTTTCGTCGAAGCATTTTCAATAAAAACACAAAATAAACATGAAAAAGCCAGAATTTGTGGCAGAGGATAATAGCAAGAAAAAATTCAAAAATTAAACCAAATACTCCCAATTGGCTAGCCAAGGTTAGATCATAATTTTGATTCTGTAAAAATCGACGAAAACTGTCGCAAACGGAAAACGAATAAAATGTCTACACATAATAACTACAATCGAGATATTGATTAACAAATAGCCCCAGTTCTCCAATTGCAAAAAGTGCTAGTCTAGAAAGCCCTCTAATTCAATGCAAAAACGGGTATCAAAGTAAAATTTAAAGAGGTGGCACTCAAAAAGATTGGTGCCTGAATCAACTGTTAAACAGATGCATAACAGCCTTGTAGAACCCTACCTTAGATATTGCTGCCCTTTTTGGGGTAATTTTGGCGAAACCTCTCTTGATAAACTTAAACAAAACCATTCAGCCAGAACAGTTACAAGATGTCGATTCGATAAATCAGCCTTGCCAATCATTCGTGCTCTTGGGTGACCCACGGTCAGGGAGTTACTTGAACTTGAAACCCTCAAGATGGTTTTTGAATCCCTGAATGGTGAGGCGCCGTCCTATATGAGTGACATGTTCACTAGGGATAGCGAAACAACCTCTCGCGTATTGCAGAATTCTGATATTAACTTAAGAACCCCAATGTTAAGGACATCAGCCGGTAAGAGATGTTTTTCACGCAGAAAAGGAAGTCTCTGGAATGGGTCGAACGATCAAGCAAAAAACCAACCAACTCTAAGATATCTACGGAAGGGCTGATAAATTCCCGCTTTGCATGAGTCGCAGAATTGTTTTGAATGTTAATTTTTTCAATCATATTTTTTTTAATCTTATTCTATTATATTGTATTTATTATATTTATTTCAATTTATATGGTACTTAAATGCATGGCCCCCTGTAAATCGGTTTTTCTCTAACTGAGGGGCTACCATGTCTAAAAGATTGAAATGAAATGAAGATGTATACCCGAATGATAGAGTAAACCAAATAAGAATCGATATCCATGTCCGCGAAGTCAGAGGTGCACGAAAAAGTTCTTTACTTGACTTCCACAACTGAAAACGAAATTGTAAGAATTAAGTTAGGAAGTATCGACGAACCAATAAAAAAATTTAGGCCACTCAGACTTCTTACAAATCTGGGCTACCAAACCAAGAGACTCTTCCAAATCGTTCGAAAAACTGTTGCAATATACCGAAACATAAACTAAAGCCAAGCCTTTAATTTTTAAAAAATTAACATGATTCTTGCAATGGAATTCAGTTAAACGACACCATACTTGACTCCAGGTTCCCAGAACTGAAAGAAGCTGCTTGCATGTTTGGATGAAAATTTCATTATAATAAGAAGAAGCAGGATTTTAAGCAGCGTGAATAAACCAGTCGAGTCATCTGTACAGTAGAAACCCGCATATAAGAACCTGTATTTATAAGAACCTTGAGGCTGAAATATAGTCTTTTAGCTATTTCTTTTTGAAATTTAGTCTTTTAGAAATTTAGCTATTTAGAAAGGTTCTTATATGTATTATTGAAAAAGTATTTTTACACCCTATTCACATTGGCAAAGTAAACCAGCTTAGAGTAAATCAGGTTATGGTATGTTGCATTCTAATTGGACAATCTAACAACACAAATTCATTTGATTGGCTTGAACTTTAACATGAAAAACAAAGCTGGATTAAATGTGTCTGTTAGAATTCTTGCGGTGGAAAAAATTGTTAATGTATGCAAGGCCTGTCCGTATATAAGAACCTTGTTAGGAACCTTTTAGACTGGAATTTAGAATAGCAGCCTGTTAATTAAGAACCTATTCAGGCTGCCAGAAAAAAACCTAGGTTCTTTAATGCGGGTTTCTACTGTATTCGAGATTTTCAATGAATTTTGAATTGAAGAGCAAGATAATTTGGTATTTATGAGAAAATGTTGCCTTTCTGGGAGCAATATCAGATTTCATAGCACAAATGACAAATTTCTTTACTGGTTGGAACAGAAGCATGACAAGTATGAAAATGAGAAAATTACAAGAATTTTAGATTTCAGCTGATAAAATAATTTTCGGATTGACAACCATATTATAAAGGCTCCCTTAAAAGTTTCCAAATGAGAGTAGCACATAAAAAGTATATTTGGTACTAGATTGAGCAATATTTGTGATTCTCAATGGCCATGCTATTTGACTACAAAGGAAGGAGCTAGAGAGGGTGTAGAAGCTGGCTCATTCATTAGAAACTTTTGGCCCCACAACTAGTATTGCCTCTTGTCTTCCCTGAATTTAGAAGGGCACGGAAATACAGCACAGACAATGTCTTACTCTAAAAATGATCATTTAAAAAACTGCCAGAGAAGATTATGAAAAGATCAACGGTACAGACTGAAAGACAGAAAGATTAGATACCCTTCGATCTTTTTCAGGTTTGACTGGATCAAAATGTGCATAGTTTAAGTACAGATGTTTAATGTCTCTACGTAAACCGATATTCCATAAACCTGTGTGAAGCAAGCGCAGTAGAGGGAGAGGAAGACCGAAGCTGAGTTGGAAAGGAATGATTGAGAAGGAGTGTCATAAGGTTGGATTGACCTTTGAAGACGCTAGCAACCGAGTGAAATGGAAAAGCTACACCAAATTATGGAAGTAAAGTCAGTAGCCCCCTGAAAAGGGGAAAATCCTGACTATAATAAAATGATGATGATGATGATGATGATGATGAAACGACATTCATAGAAAATAATTATAAACTCACCCTACTGAGAGTTCTTTTCAAATTTTTACCACATTTTTCGTATTCATCTTTGTTGCCTCGGTTGACAAATTCCCGTACTTCGCGTGTCAAAGATGATTCTTCACAGAATGCAGAGAATTTAGATATCTAAAAGAAATATGACATCAGGCTGAGTTTTTTAAACTGAAACTATTGCTACTGTGATAATTGTGGTGTTGAATGTGTGAATTTTCTAGGTTTTTCATCTTGAATTTAGCACAGTTTACGATTTCTAAAGAAGCATCGTGTCTCTAAAAAACCAATCAAAAAATAATATTCTGCAGTCTATCTACTTCATAAACTCTTTGAATAAAAAACTGTAAGTCCAATGTATAATTTGACCAATAATTTCAGAATTCACTCTAATTATAATCTTGGTGGAACTTAATTATCTGCTACACTGCTATAGTATTATGATATTAAACAGTCAATCACAAAATCCAGAAAACATAATTCCACAAAAATCCACAAAGAATTCATTCGAATATGAATTAACGCAAATGAACAAAACATGGCACCTCTAGAGTGAAAGCTAATGTGAAGATTATTAGAGCGGTTTCAATTAACGCAATGTTTTCCGATTCACGTTTATTAAAGCTCTTGCACAACCAGCATACTTTGCGGTCGCTGTTTTTCACGTGAGGCGAGATGGACCGTATTTGATATTTTCTTGCAGTTCGATATTAGGCCAGTTTTGAAAATATAATCGCAAAGCACTAATTTCGTTAACATATTCCAAGAGAATCCAGCAGAATTCGTTTACCTCAGGTGGGATAAGATGCCTTTTACTCGAGTTGTTCATCTTGTATACTTTTGTCATAACATTAGCCGCTTCTTCAAACCGACCAGTCTGTCAGAAAAATTCTAAAATTAAAGAAACGCGCCGAAGAAAGATCATTAAACAAAATTTTCACTTATAATTAACTATTTATTTCATTAAAGGTCGCACTATTTAAAAACAACCTATCAGCTCCACAATTAGATGATTAATAACAACGAGATTTACTTCAATTAACAACAGCACATAAGGCCATATTTGTTTCCTGCACTCGCTCAATTTGTTGGTTGACTGTTTTTTGATTGGCTGAATTTGTTAAGGAATTTCGCTCAGATATTGAAGTTTACCACTCTTGTATTAGCAGCGTGATTTTGTGAGTGACAACATTATTGTCAACTGCTAAATAAAAGCTCCTGGTACCTATTCGATAGTTTGCCGTATACTTAATAACAAAGGTCTTTTCAGTTTAAGGTTTATTTCTCTGGTATTGTTGAGAGTACGTCTTAATCAGGGGCGATGCACAGGCAGTTTTGTGCCCAACAAGAAAAGGAATATCGCCTGCAGAATAAATGGTAGCAAATTGACACAATACTTACTCAAATGTGTTTAATGGACAGATAGATCTACCAACGAAAGGGCCAAGTCACACTGACTTCGAGATTAGGGTAGTTGAAAACAAATCGAATGTTAGAAAGTATTGTCGTTTGTTTGAGAAACCTTAAAATATCTTCCATACAATTTAATTAAGAAAAAAGTGAAGGCTTTAGGCTGAGATAAAGTTTTGTCCCAATTATGCTTGATATAAGGAAATAACATTTATCAAATAGACAACCTGCAGAGTAAAAGAAGCAAACAAGTTTCCAGCACTTCCACTTCACTTAACGACATGTTTACCTTTGGGTTGAGAATCAAAATGCCATCTGATAGCTTTAAACTTAGGTACGAACCTTCTGCAGAAACTTTGGGCTCTCGGGGAGCAAGAACACAAAAAGTGCCGAAGAAATACTTGGAATGGAGCACAAGGCGACAAAAATTCTCCAACTGCCATAAAATATATCCCCAACATGAGAGCCAAGATGTAGCTTTGGTATAATAAACCATGCGATTCCAGCAGTCATGATATTGCCAACCATCCAAAAACTTGCGAGGAACCCGATCATTGGACCACGATTCTTCATCGAGAGAAACTCGGTAAAATAGGCGAAGACTACAGGCATCGCAGCACCAACCCTAAAAAGCGAAAATGACAACTGTCAGTGATGAAAGCTGCAAAGATGAACGTTCCATGAACATTCATGATACTGGGTTTGAAACCTCTATCCTGCCAGTTGGCCTAAATGCAGTTTAAGTACCATGATTATGCCATTAGGGGCCACTAGCATATATTTTAAATTGGAAATTATGTGTTGAATATCATAAAAAAATGTTATTTTAGAGAAGCAGTGCCTCAGAAAATTGGATAAAACAGAGCCTTTCAGAAATTAAAAGGGCAACTTTTTAACTTAAAAGGCCACCTTTTTGAAAATTTGAAGGGCACCTGACCCCGGTGTCCGTTTGTGTCCTACGCTCCTACTTAAAACCCAATGTGTCTAGCAATATGAGCACAATAGTGATATGTAAACAATAGCTGCTGATTGTCCAACCTTTGATAATCAATAAGAAAAAAAACACTGAAAGAATCCCCTCTCTTAACAGTACAGGTGAACAATTCAAAAAGGCAGGTTGGGACAGGGTACAGTGTTGGCGCCAGAAATCTTCCGACAGAGGGGTTGGAGCTTCCGACAGGGGGGCTAAAATGACTAAAATAAGCAGTTTTCGTACGTTATTTTGTCAAATTTGCTCCGACAATAACCTAAAATTTCCTCCGATGGGAGGGCTAGATACTTCCGACGGAGGGGCTGTAGCCCCCCCTAGCCCTCCCCTGGCACCACCACCGACAGGGTAACATAGCTGACTGGCGTATAAGATGCTGGCAATTAGATATCTACGAAGTTGGAGATGGAATGGAAATCCAAGACCTTGGATAAGAGTGGCAAAGTTCAAAAACTTTTAAAATGGATACATTTAAAGACGTGTACCATAAGAGTGATAGCATTTAGGATATGGAACACATTTCTTTTGCCTTTTTTGATGCTCAATTATGAAGTTTTCTTGATGAGGTTATCAATCTATTGCCACTAATTGGATATGGTAGGGTGCAAAATAAGATTCCCATGAAGGTTTTGTTACATTATAATGACAAATTTTCTTTGGACCAGAGAAGTAATATTCTCAACAAGGCACTAAAGTTTATCCAAAAAACTTGTCACTTTGATCAAGATCCTATCAAAATTGAAAGATGTGATCATTGAATTACAATCCCCTTCTTTGTTCCCAAAAAAGTGGCAGATAATAATATATATTAACAAAAACTATGAAATGAGCCATCACTTCTGTCTTTTCTAAATTTTGACCAATAATCTGATGTGAAACAGACTGAGGTACACAATTTCTTGTAGAAATTACTGTGCAACTGCAACTAGCATTTTTCTAGTGCAAAGCAAGCATAGTGGTTGTCATATTTGGTCTTTGTAGCCTTGCGATATACATTTAATGTCACAGAATGCATAATATACTATACAAAAAGGAAACATTCTAGTACTATAATAGTTTGCTACATTTGGTAATATTGAGTGGAAGGTTAAGTGAACTTCTCTATAAGAATAGCTTCCCGGGGTCTTTAATTGCCTGGGGGCGTGACCCTTATGTGTAGCTAAACAGGGTCATGCCACCCATATAGGTGGGTTGGAAGTCTTTAAAATTCTAAATATGGGTCTCCAAAATGCACTGATTCCAGTAGATATGGGTTAGGTCCAATATTTAGAAACCTTAATTTTTTGCACACACAAACCCTTCCTGACGAAAGAGATTTTTACTACGTTATGTAACTGGTTGTTTTTAGTTTGTCATTTATCAGTCTCTTCCATGCTACTTAAAGTTGATTTCATAAACCATAAAACTGGGTATTTCTTTCTCCAAATCCCTAAAGTTAGTAAGTTTGTTATATTTTAGACGGCACACCAGTGGTACAAGTTAACCCCCCTTCTGTTAAATTGCTAGGAAGAAGCAAACAAATCATTTGAACATAGTACCTCCAGGGTGGCAGTGCCTAAAAAACGTGGTATGCAGACTTTCTGAAGAGATTGACAATAGGACAAGGCAATATTTTTCCTCATTACTGGATTGTTGCATGTGCCTTAGAAAAACGCATGATGGCAAAGAAAAGACAACTCAGGATCAGTTGATAAAATTTATAGTGATCCTGAAAATTTTTTTTTTTCGTCTAGTAGAAAATTTTTAAGCATTTTGAAAGGCAATGAAATCATATCAGCTGCACAGAAAGATGAAAGGAAAAACTTTTACCCAACACCACTCATCAACCGTAAGAACAGAAACATCAGAAAATCATCAGCAAATGAAGATGCCAGTGCAAAGAGCCCATTTAATGACATTGACCACATCAAAACAAATCTTCGCCCCTGCAAAAAAGGAAAAAAATAAGATCTTATAATTTCAATATTAAAGGGCATGTGTCGCATTAACAATTGGCTAATGAAACAAAAGCGTTTGGAGTGGAATTCCACTGTTTTGTGACTTTTCATTTCTCCTTCTTGAATTTTTACTGCCATAAAAATTCACTCCGTAAAAATTCACTCTCGATTCCATGCTTTGAAATAAACAAAAAAGATAACTGTATTGCATCAGCCAATCATGTTTACAACACATGCCCTTTAAAACCATTGACCTAGAGCTACACTTCAGTTGAGAAACAGTTTTCCAATTAAACCTTGCAACTCAAAATAAAGATTTATAACATTTATATTTGATAATCTAATTATGATTCTACAATGTATATGCATATAGAATATCGAAGATGCCTAGTCCTGAAAAAATTTCAACATCAAGGCTTGACTGCATTATGCTCCCGAAACTAATCATTCTGGGTTGATTCCAAAAGAGAGGAGCTCCCCATGTCTCCATTCTGGCCATGCCCCTGACATACTATAAGGTTGAAATCTGACAAAATAGGACGTAATGTTGCCAAATACCAGCAATTGCAGCACTACAGGGGGACAGGGGACACATCTCTCCCCCCTCCCTCAGTGCTTGGCAGGATCAACTTTTGTATTATTTCTCCTAAATTTGATAATAAGATGACATTTGAAGGGTACTTTCGACAAGGTATTATTTGTGATATAACAAAGTATCAAAGTGATGACATCTAAAAAGTCTATTTTTAGAACTTTTCAATTTTGACCATTTATCCCAAAGAAGAATTACAATTTATGAAATACCTCTAAAAGGACCAAATCAATTTAATGAGTCACAAATTGGCTGAGATATGGCCACTTAAGCAGAGGCTTTTTCCCCATCAAACCTCTATAATTTGGTCTTGGTTAATATTTAGAAATTCTAAAAATAGATTTTTGAAGACCTCACACTTCGGTACCCTATTCCATGACTTTAAAACTACTTTACATAACTAAAAGTTAGTAAAGGGCATTCCCTTTTTGATGAAATTGGTATCGCCTGTAGGTAAAGGGGTGTTACCAACAGTAAAAAGGTTGGCATGCTTTGTTCACCACTGTATGCCATCCATTACACAAGAGTGAATTATTGTGGTGAATTATTTTTTATAACATACCTTTATATCTGCAACACCACCAAAACTATATCCCCCAACCATCATACCAACAAATATGATGGCATTCAGCCATCCTTTATCACTGGACGTTAAATTCAAGTCACATGCTGATGGCAGAACAAAAGATACAGCCTGGAAGAGAAAAACTATAATCAGACTTCACTGTTGATAAATGACACTGAAACTTCTATGAGTTAAACTAGAAGCAGGTAAAAAGGAATGTCAACACAGTACTGTGAGGTACATTTTACATTGATGTACATTACAATCAGACAAAATGAAATGTATTTCAACCAAAACAGCTGGTTTAACAATTTTTTTTTCTTCAAATAATAGCAAAAAGCATTGATTATTACTTTTGACTTCTCAAAATTCAAAGTGAAACAATTTTTTATTCAAAAAGAAACTGTATAGTGTAGCTTGTGGCACTGAGAAAAGTTAAAAGTCAATGTGTAATTGTAAAGTGTAAAGTTTTGGATGAAAAGCAGAGAATCCCATCCCATGGATATGCTTTTCACTTGCAACCAGATATTCATTTCAAGGTCAGGGTTTTTAGAAGAAACAGGGAACAAAGTAATTGACTGTAAACCTCAAAAGACAAAGGGCATAAAGGAAACTGATCCTGTTTAAAAAGGGGCACTAATACCTAAGATCTCCAATCTGCATTAGAAAACTCCCAGGTGCACTGTGTGGAAGACCATGAATTGTGCACTTTAAATGTAAACTTGAATTTGTAAGCTATTCAGTTTGTCTTCAGAAATAAGCAGAGAAAGTCAGGTACACACAGCAGATCTTTTTTCGGAATTTATTCTGTTACCATTTTAGGAGTACACACCCATTCTCTTCGGGACACTTCCATTGTATCAAATGTCCAAAGATAATGTCCAAAAAATGGCTTGGATTTGCATTTGAAAAATTGAAATGAAAATAAAAAACTGTCAAACCCGAGGACTAAACTGCTTTTACTATATTTAGAAACACAACGACATGACTGACAAGTAAATAATTCAAAATACCTGTATTTCAACTGAATCTGATGCTAATGCCCAGCCACAAACGCAGAGAAGAAGATAATGAAAATTTCCGATCCCTGTGGAAGCAATGGCCTCTTCAAAAAGTAGCGCTTCTTCTTGAAGAGAGGAATAGGATCTGTCATTTTCTTCGCTGTTACTATCATTTAAGAGCTTAGAGTAGTCTTGGACTTCATCGGCAGGGTCATAGAGCCGTCGCTCTTCCATGTTAGCAGTCTATAATGGCGATCAGAAGTACAACAGTTCAAAACACCCTGCCATGTTTGGAAATATTTTTCTCCAGTGAAGTCACGATACATCAATTCTGAGCCTCGAATTGAAGAGGGGGTCGGTTTCCAGGAATCAACTTAAATATGGTAAGGGTAGCGAAAATTCTAAGAAAAAATCAAAATTTTTGTTCGTGTATGTGTGTTATTAATTATGGTTTATAAATGTACCGAGTTACCTAAGTATAATTTGTCATACAATACACGGGATCTCTTAAACTCTTTGGCCCAAAAAGCCAGTGACCGAAAACAACTTAAATATGGACAACTCATCAATGTGCTGTTTTTCGATGTGAAAGAAATTATTATAAGCATCGGTAGCGTGGACATTGTCACTTCATTGACTGTTTATTCGGATAGTTGAAAATTATCTCCACTGAATTGATAGTGACATTTGAAAAAATACCAATTTCCAAGAATTGACATGTGTTTGACAAAGACAAAGTGACAGAAAACATGAAATATTCTTTCTTAAAGAAGCTAGATAATATTTATTTAAGAATTAAGCTAAGCATCAACAGGAAGACATCTTGATAGGAAGTAACTGTAAGGTTGCAGTGTCATAATGTATCAATTTTAGTGCCATCCTTTTTCATTTGATGCTGCCCAAGCAACCCACAGGGTAACTGATTACGTCCTTGGACTTGGGGATGCAGTTTCTCTCAGCCTATTGGGGTGAAAGCTGCATCGTGGTAACTTAATCTAAATGTTTGACAAGCAGGCTGAAAACTGTAAGCACGAAAATGATGCTAAAGAATGCAGTCTGGTTCCACCACTTCAGCGGCGTCGGGGCGAATGAATTCTAGAGAGGGCCAGAAAGAAAGATTTTCCGACATTTCTTTGATTTGTTTGAAATAGAAGCATTTCATGGAAGTGTAAAGGGGGATGGAGCAGAAAACCTCATAGCTTTTGCCTTAGCTTGAAAGAAACTTAAAATGCACTTTTTATCTTGTCTCTGTTTCTTCATACTTACAGTGAACGCCCCTGACATCCGCAGATTAGGACAAGGGTAGAATGAAGTTACTACCTGAGGCGGCAAACCCAGGTTTGCCGCCGAAGGGAAAAATTTTCTATGATTTAATGCTTCAAATTCGTCGGAAATTGCATTTTTTGAAGCAAATTTTGATAATAAAATCTTATTCTTTAATTGAATATCCACTGGGGGAAATCGATGGTTTTGATTGACTTCAACCTTATTTTACCTTACGCAACATAAGTACATAAACTTTCAAATCTGGGACACAATTTTCAGAAATCTGGTGATATGCACGAAATTGGTACTGTCCCGGTCTTCAATATCAAATAAAGACATAATTTATACCAATTTTGACCAATTTCCATAACCATATTTGGTCCTTGAAGTTTCGGATTTTAACTGACAAAATCCGAACAGCAAATCACTCTATGGTAGAAATTGGTAATTCCTGAGAAATCATTTTGTTCTGTGGAAATCTAGTATTTTCTTTAAAAAAGTGAATTGCCTCTCGTATTTACGGTAAGTACTTTAGTCAATTCATGTTGCTAAGAGTTTGAGAATTACCCACAGCTCAAGTTTGAGAATTTTCTGACAAAACAATGATTTTTCCAAAGATCCATCAAATTTTGAGAGCAGAGGGGCCCACACCCCTCCTCCCCCCGCTCCCTCGGCCACGACGCTCCTGAACCATTTTGAAAAACTCATATACCACAAAGGAACATTCTCAATTAAACTTTGTTGATCAATCTTACAACCAAGCTTTAAAGTCCTCTGACACACCACAGTCTTTTGGATAAGTCTTAATTTGAGTTGACTTTCCATATAATATGCCTTTGACATTTGAAAGACTACTACCTATAAAACAAAAGATGTGTATTTTCTATGTTGTGATGTAACTTCTTACAATACTGATTGGTATTCATAATAGTAGATCTTTTAGATCCAATCTCATAGGACCATCAAAACGAAATCAATTGCAGCTTGCAGGCCACATTGTATAGATAAGTATAATTCAAAAAAGGCACTCTTTATAGGCCGCTTTTGAGGCAGTGCATCAAATTAAGGCAACACTATCTGATGGCATATTACAAGTTCCACTATTAAAAGTGCATTTTCAACATGTTACAAAAATGAGGAGGACAACTAAAAAAGGTAACAAATAACAAATTCTTGTAATGATTTTTGTAAAGGATGTGTTCATGTGGATCAATCCATTATACAGTATTATGGGCATCAAAACTAACTTCACCATTTCTGGAATCTTAAACATTGTTTCAGTTGCTATTTCTACCAATTAAAAATTATTTTTACATATAAGGTTACCCAAAATTTTGTGATCATAGTCACTTTTAAATATTTGACACAGAATTATAATACATAAAATATATTGATACAATAGATTACAAATTTTTTCAGCATAAAAGCTATAGAGTGCGTTTAAGTCTGTTTTAAATTCATCAACATATATCCACATATTGGACTTAGCAAAGTTTTAATAAATAAGTCAAAAAAGGCAGTGAGTAAGAAGAAATAGGTGAAGCCCAACTTTTATTTTATTTTCAAATATAATCAATTTTGCTTCCTTGGTAGCAATATGTTTCTGAAATCTTTTTAGCCTAGCATTGAATGACATTATAAGTCAATAAAACCTGTCTAATCTAAGCTTTCTAAAAAGTTATACTCTGTCAAAAAACATTATCAGTTTAATAACAGTATTAATTGTGTAGGAGTGGTAGCATGTTTTTATGGAATGACATGACTTGTTTGGAAAACAGTTGATTGTACAGTTTAATATTGTACAGTATATACAGAGACGAATTATTTTATAAATAAAAATGAAATAAATGACATAACATGCATGTACATGACAAGGGATAGGGTGTGCATCTCTTAAGTTACAGTCATCTTTAAAATGTTACTTGTAAGACTGAATTCTAAGATACTTTAAAGATTGAATAAGTTATTCTCTAAAATTCCTGCAGGGTACAAAATAAATTGCAATAATGCAGGTTAATTTTAAACAGCATTTGTTGTGCAGGCATGCAGAAGGCGGTTCCATCAGATTATGTTTAATCAGCCCAATGTGTTATTCTGAATTTCTACTTTATTGGCCAACTTGCTACTGATTATAGTACTTTCCAGTTTTTTTCTGTTGTGCAACTGCTGCTTTTGTTGCTGCATACCTCTCTTCAGATCCTTCAATGCTTCCAAGTTTTCCAGTCTGATAGTCTACAAAAGCTTGGTGAATTTCTTCTTGTGTGTTCATGACAAATGGACCATATCTAGCAATTGGCTCATTTATTGGTACCCCAGAAGCAACCATGACATGCATTGCTTCACTGTCAGATGCTTGCAAAAGAAACTTCTCGCCGTCATCTTCAAGTAGGACAACCTAAGAAAAATAAGAGAGGAAATATTTCATCAAAACATCAACTTCTCTGTCTCCTACAAAAATAAAAGGTTGTCTCAACAACAGACATTTGAAATTTTGGGAGACAAACCAAATAAACCATTCAGTAAACTACTTTTGTATCGTGAATCAGGTGATTGAGTTATCAGTTGACTGCAATTCATGATGTACTTACATCTCCCAATTTTGCTGCTTTTTCTTCAGCTCCCAACTTCCCAGATCCTCTCCACACATAAACAAAGCATTTATGACCAGCAGGGATTTTAACTTCAAATTTTTTTCCAGGACTAATTCTTATATCCAAATACATAATCGATGTGCGTGTCTCTATGTATGCTTCAGTGCCAAGGCATTCCCCAGCAATAACTTTGATCATTGAGCCACCATCTATGATAGCACAAATAAATATCAAATTTGAATGTAAACTTCATATTCAACCTGTACATGATGTATAGAACAGCCCTGATTATATGCAAAACTTAACAATATTATGAAAATTTAACTTAGACTTCATGGGCATATCAAAAGGTCCTTTTGCTAATTACCCAATTCAAAAACGCAGATATTCTAAAAAAGGATAATAAACAGCATGCAAAAGAGCAAATTATAAAAACTTAGGTTCTGTTTTTTTTGCTCTCAATTGTCACCAAAAATTTATAACAACATAAGAAATGCAATATATTTTATGATTTATTGATTTGTTCTAAATATTTGACTTGCTTGATGACAGGTACTGAATTTCATTCAAGTGAGGGAGTTGAGATTACACATTATTGCAGCTTAGTAGAAGTCTTAAAACAACAGATCAACGATTTTAGATAGGAATTTCTTCAAAATTATCAAGATATTCATCCACTACCCAAAGGACAGTGTGGAGGCAGAGCTGGAAAAAATCTGGACATCACTAAGCATTGCAATCATAAAAAATCATTTACTAATGGTTCCAAGAACTAAGCAGTGATTGCGATTAGACTTCTATTGCATAATCCTTGTAAAATTTGTATCATTTTAACAGAAGTTGTCTTATTAAAAAGCATTTATAGAGCTGAAGACAAAGGACAGTATAGGATACTAGAGGAAGAAATCAAGGCCCACCTGACAAGAAGAACTAAGCCAACTTTTTTGCCATAATATTTTAAATTCTTTGTGAGATTTATGTTCTTTGATTCATGTCAAAGCTCAACTTGAAAATTTAATTTTTGAAAATTACAACTTGCATCTTTTTGGAATATCTTCTTATAGAAAGACAGTGCACAACAAAATCAAAAATCACAAGAAAAGGCTCAAAACTCCAGCTTATGATTACAAGCAGTAAACTACTACTGTTTTGGGTGGCTTGAGCCCCCCCCCCTAACTATATACTTGTTGTTATAAAAATACATGTTGTTATAAAAAAGAATAGGGTAAAAACTGGATCAAAACTTTACTTCAACTTGGTCAAATTTTTGGTTAAAAGCAATCAACAGATACTTAAACCATCAACAATCAACTTTGGTCAATCAATAAATTTCTGAGCTGAATCATGTGAACAACTCGATCTGCTTAAAAAGATATAACTTGCCTTTCAGTTTGTCAATATTCCTGTTTCCTTTGATTGCCTGTATATGCATAAGAAAATTATGAAACTGTATGCTACATATAAATATGTTGTAATACAATGAATACTATACCTGGAGAGTGAACAACTGGAATCTTCTCTGGAGCGGTGTCTTGATACCTTGGTTTCACCATCTTGTCCTTGGCAGGAAGGTTAACCCAAACTTGAAATCCTTCAAATAGACCACCAAATCTTTCTGAAGGCATCTCTAATCCACTGAACCCAGCCAGGGCCCAAAATTCCTGAATTACCAGCACTGTCATGTGTATTTTCACCTATAGCAACAGAAAAGCTAAAATACAAATTCAATTTTCAAGCAAAAGTAGTTGCTATGTTGCTATTACACACATTCTGTTATTAAAAGAACAAATTGACAACTCTTATAGTAGCAAAATCAAAATAAAGTCACCTAATTAAGTCATACTATTGTGGCTAACATTGCTTGTATTGTGTGTTTGGCCAAAAAGATACACTATTTAAACTTCTACAAACACACAAATTCAACACAAATAGAGCAAAATCAAAATAAAGTCACCTAATTAAGTCATACTATTGTGGCTAACATTGCTTGTATTGTGTGTTTGGCCAAAAAGATACACTATTTAAACTTCTACAAATACACAAATTCAATCATAAAGCAAAGACTGAGAGGGGGGAATTCGATTTACATCGACCATTTATTGACCATCCGATCAATATCAATGGAATGAAGAGATAGAATTGAAGTTGTGAACGGATAAATTATTTTTACCATCAATAATATATGTCACAGTTTCAAATCCACGATGCGGATGATCAGGAGCTCCTACCGCCTCGCCAGGACCATAAACAACTGGTCCTAAATGGTCCAGCATAAGAAATGGATCGCATCCATCTATCTTATCTCCGATTGGCCTTCGCACCATGAACCCTCCACCTTCTCTTTTGCGTTTTGATGTTTCAAACTGCTTAATTTTCCTGTAATTTTCCATTTTCAGAGATGGCTAGGCAGGTAGCAACAACCAGTCCACTCAGTTAGTAATACGCTTTGTCTATCGTGTATGCTATGCTTCGCGCGTTTTATTGTGTACAAAAAAATCACCCGCCATGATGACACAGCAATAATTCATTCGCTTTGCTTGACAACAAACCTCTTTTTGATTTCGAGTTTCTTCAGGAAAATTCGAGCAGGAAAAAGAGCTGACCCTGACGTCAATGAAGTGCCTGACGCCCATAGCATTGCACCACGAAAATCATGACTTAGCGGATTTGATTTGGGTAAGCTTGGGTATATACCCTCTGCTCTCATCGTGACTCAATGCCTTTAACCACAAAAAATTTTGTCGTGACAAAAATTTCAGACAAATAATTTTGACAAAATTTTAAATGAGACGAAAATTGGTCACAACGAAGTTTTGCCTCTTACAACATTGGTAGTATTTTTTATCTCTCTGTTTTGTCATGACGAAATTCTGAAAAAAATTTTTAGACGAAATTTTTCTGCCGAAAATTTAGATGACGAACTTTTTTGTTGTTAATGTATTTAAAAATTTTTTGATTTGAGCTTTAAGAATTCTCAGTTTTTTCAAAAAAGACGGGACCCTTGCGAGCGTAACTAGAAGAACATTTTTGCGACCATATCCTTGAGACTAGTTTAAATTACATTTCAGAGTGTTTCTTTTAGATTTTTCTTACCATAGTTTAAAATGCTTTACTATTTTTTTAGGTATATGTACTCTCGTTATGTTTGGAGAATTATATTCTTAAAATGGAATACGTTACTTGGTCCTTATTGAAAGTTTCTGAAACCACAGTATTGCACTCGTCGCATGCCAGTGACAAAATACCATTTTACTCTGTCATCCGAACAAGCACTCACTGCATACTGTAAGCCTGCGGACATTTTAGCCAACTGTTTGGAAATAGGTGCGACCCAAAAATACAAAGATCCTTCTTCATCTCTTGTAGATAAACTTTTGATCTCCAAAATATCGATATTGAACATAATAAAATAACCAGGTCACGGTCACCAAAATTTCACATCATGTGAATTGACTTGTTCCATTTATCAATTTGACGCTACATTTGGTAATATTATATTTTGTTTTATTATTGGCACATTTTTGTAGCGGCAAATGTTATATTTTCGCTCCTGTCAAATCGATTTAAAAAGGAAAGTCCTGTGAAACATGGCTTGTTTCTGAATGCAAAGCCATGAACAAACAATCTGTGAAAGATTTTAGAAAAAGCTATCAACTGGCTTTGAATTTTAGTTTGCAAAACGACAGCACTTTATTCTGAGAAACGACTATTTCATAACAGCAGTAGAGTATAAGAAACGTATTAAACGAAATCGTAAATGTTTTATTGGTTCAGAAAAATCTTGTCATCTAGGTCTGATGATTTCAAAGTTTCTAAAGATAACCATGTGTCAGAGGCAATGAGGAGCTCACTGATTTTTGATTGATAAAGAAGGATGGGTAACACAAGGCTGTATATTTGGTCCAATGCTTTCTACTCTTTTTTCGTGAATGATGTTGCATAAACGCTTATTAGTATTAGTCAGGTTTCTTCGGGTGTTTGTTTAGATTGGACAAAAAGTTCTTTACGACAGGATATTGAAGGTCGGTGGAAAGAAATAATAGTCTTAAAAATATCTTGGTGCTATCTTAAGTTGAAGTTAAACGAATATTTCTACGATCATGTTGAAACAAATATTGAAAGAAATCATATTATGCATAATTTTTTAGATTCTCTTCCAATTCGAGGATTTACAGGTATGCGAGGCTAGCAGGAGGTCATTTTGGCAAGAGCAAGACAAGATGGCCGAGGAAACAGAATTCGACGCTAACAGTTCTTCTCAAGATGACGACGAAAACTATGTTGAAAAGCCAATGCCAAAACAGCTAACAACTTTATTTGGAGATTTTATCGTAACTGGTGCTAGTAAAGCAGCTGGAGTTGTTGGGACAGGAGCCAGTTACATTGTGCCAGTGCCAAATGTTTGGCCTGACATGGATAACATTGACAATCTAGTGAATGTGTTAACAATCACTGGGTACGCTTTTACAGCGTTTAGTGTTGTTGGCACTACGTATTTTCTAACAAGGACTGCTAGAGAAGCTTGGCAATGGAGGACTTGGATGCGTTACCGAAAAAACGTTACACGTAAATTGAACGAACGACATAAACAGTAATTTCAGCTTCGTCTATCAAAATAATTCCATGACTGACTCTCACACTTTTAAAGGATGGGACGCTCAGTTTTGCTACTAAGGAGTCAGAAAACTCTCATGCGATTTAACGCTTATGAATCAGATGCAATGAAAAGTTGCATTGGCTATTTTGTAATGAGTTAGCAATTATTAACATACTTTCTGTAAAAGCTTATTTCTTTTTCTTAATGCTTAACTAAACATGATTAACTAAAAATTCCTTTTCAGCAAACTTTTGCCAAAGCAACATCCTCACATTTGAAATTAGTTTAATCTTTTTAAAACAAATGAACAAAATACAAAACCATACTGTTAACTTTGGAGTGAGCATGAAAGTTCTTCCAGTTCAATCCAAATCATACTAACAAATTGTCCTAATAGTACTAGACAAATATCTATAGGATAAAAATTCGTAGTAATGACAGAAACTGTGGATAAAATACTTTGTGGCAGTGATCCATACAACATAAAGCCTCATTTATGTTTTTCTCCTATTTATTGAGATAAAAGTGGCTCAGTATTCTAAATAGTTTAATGCCACCTGTACAAAATAGGCAAGAAGTATCTGAAGCTTTAAAAAGCTTTTTCATATTTTTACTATGCGGTAGTTTCATCTTCTGGTTGGCGTATCAAACCACAAATATCTTAGCCCTTTTTAAATTTGTCATTAAACAAAGAAGACCTTTCAGGCTACTTTATTTAAACAGTATTGATTTTGTAGATATTTCCAATGAAAGGCTATTTGCTATTGGTACTTAGACCTAGTTAACATTACAGAAAAAGAAAGGAACAAAACCAAACCATTCCCAAACTAGCACCAAACCAAGATACCTGGTGTAAAACCAAGGAGTTATGTTCTTTTTCTGTAGAGTAAACCGGGTCTTAGTTTGGAGGTAGGATATTCCAAAAGTGAAAGGGTTAATGGGGCCCCTTGTAAATTACACTCATTTTCTAATATTATGGTTGTGTGTGCCAAGATTCCTCTTTAGTAGGTGATTCAACTGGTTATTGTGTTCATATTTCATCCAATACACACACATCAATGACTATATTGGAGCAGTAACATATAAAATGGACATTACTAAACAATTAGAAAGGGGCATTTTTGACATGATGCACACTTATTAACTGTGCTTTTACTAAAATATAGGTACATGATAAAGCTTTGAGTCCTGTATTCCAGAATTTATTTGCTTATCTTAACTGCCTTAAATTCTTGTCAGAGCAGATTTATCAATAAGTTTTGATTTAACTCATATAAAGATTTGTGAACAGTAATTGAATACATTTATTACAAAAAAAATGATTTTGTCTCTGTAGTTGGTGTTTTTCTTCTTTCTTTTTTCTAACAGTATTGATGCACTGAGGTGAAACTAAATGAAAATCACCCTTTGAATTTGATCAAGAAAGTGGTCAGTGTGAGCATTATCGGCGTGGAGGCATTTTCTATTTTTCTCATTTCAAAAATATTTAACCTTTACAAACCACAGAGAAAGACCAAAGATAAATCTTTCAACCTTAAAATCTCTGCTTGCATATGAAATCATTGCAGTTAATCATTTGTTAATTACTTTGTCATTTCAAATTTCCAACTCATCACAATATCTATTAATTGAAACTAACTAAACTAACTATTAAAATAAATCTAAGAACGAAGATATATACAAGTTTGAATTGTATGCAATTTCAGAATCATAATTTTGTATGTTTATCTGTTAGTTTAAAGATTTAATTAATAACTTAAAAAACTGTCTCCACTGGATTTGGCTATGCTCTCATATTAAAAGTAAGCAAATTAATGAGATGCAAATTATAGTAAACTTGAAAATAATACTTATGAACAAACTCTACCATTGTAGGTATCATAAGAATATCTCAACTACAAAATACTATCTTTTTGCTAGCAGCCTCTTGAATTAAGACCCTGACATCTGGCTACTAGATTCATAATTTTTCAATTTTTATTTCTCCTTAAATTTTTTAACTAATCTACCCCCTACGTGAAACAGTTCAAAATTACTAGCAATCATTTACTGAAGAAAAATGAATATTATTTGAAGTAATGAGAGTGATGCAAGATAAAAAATGTAGCAAAAGTAACTACCCTATTCACACAACCCTATACACATTGGTTCCACACAAAAAAGGCGAACAACATGAGCAAGCAAATGAATAACAAACTTGCAGGGAAAGCGAACACGAGCAAGCAATGAAAAAATTCACAGTTGACTAAGCTTCAGTAATTTCCTACAACTCTCCTCAGCTCAATGAATGTAGAAAATGAATGTAGAAAAATGATGAAACCTTTGCCTGATTCTTCATCACTCTACAACAAGCATTTTAGACAGGGTTTATAAAAAATTATTGCATCAAGGCTTTTAATGAAAATTCTGTTGAAATCCAATCACAATTCTTTGGTAGAAAGAGATATCCTAATTCATTTGAAGCTTAAAAACACAATGCCTCTTCATTTGCATAGGACAATTTCTGCCAATGAAAACTGATCACACAATTTTCTACAATACTTTATGTTGCTGACATGGGTTTTTAGAGATCTAGTGTTGTATAGGTTTCGTTTTTTAGACTTTCTTGGTATGATGATTCCAGTTGTATGCATTTTTGTCTCTAACATAAAATCATTTCTATATAGAAATAAACTACTATAATGTCAATTTTACTAAGTGTTAAATCTAAATTTTGATTTTGAAATTTGCATTTTAATATGATCTACCTTCCATTGGTGTGGATCACAATTGAGCTTCTTGCTCCAGAACTTTCCAATATTTCTATACACAAATGGTTGTCTTGATCGATCATGAACTGCCTTACAAACTTCACACAATGCATCAATGTTGTTGTTGACTTCATAATGATAACGCCATTTGAAATATTCATTATATGCTGTATCATTTTTGTCCAGATATGACAAATATGCTGCAAGTTCTTGGATACTTTGGAAATTGTTTACATCTATATATGAATTGGGAATCACTTTACTCTTTCCACTAATAGCTCCCATTACAATGGGAATTAGTCCATATTTCAAACCTTTTTCCCAGTACTTTTCAGTTATGTAATCCTCACAAAAGCAATTTTCGAATGCAAGGTAAAACTTGTACCTCTTTATTTCTTCCTCACAAAAAGTTCCCCAGTCATTACATCGACCCATGCCTTTCTTGAATTTTGAACTACAGTCCCCAAATACTGTGACATCAATGTATCTTTGAAGTTCAAGAACATAATCATCACGTAATAGTCCACAATGGCTCACAACCCAAACAACTTTCCCCTCCTTCCCTTCTGCAAAATTTTTTTCAAAACCTTGAACCTCTGAATGCTTTGTAAGTGTCTGATATGAAAAATATGGTACATAAATATCAGATTTCTGCATATAGGTCATGGTCCAATTAAAAATTCTATTATATTTATTCAAATTATTTGTATAAACAGGACTCTCATGCATGAAAAGCAACCATTTCTGATTATCTGGTCTTCGTTCTGAAATTTTTCTAATGCAGTAAGGTTTATTAAGATCCACACCATGAAATATAACAAGATCTGCAACTTGAAGTGTATTCTTTCTATATGTGAAGTGACAATCCCTAATCTCACACTTCTTGTCATGTGTATATTTCTGAATCTGCTTTTCATTTTTCCCCCACCAGTATGGACTGAAAAACAAGCCAGTATACAGAAGAACAACTTTTGTACTGTTTGATAGGCCTCTTCTTCTTTTAAATTCTGATTTTATTTGGTCTACTTTTCTTCCACTGTCATTTTCAATTGGCAACCAACATTCTTCTGTAGGAATGACTTCATTATCAGTATCATCTTCAGTCTCTAAAAATGTTGTTTGCTGTTTAGGTGTCAACATAAAAATCATAATTGTCAATGAAGCTACTAAGAAAAACAGCTTGCATTTTCTCCTCATTTTCGTACGTCATCCAGTTTTTGTGAAAACCAAAACTAGAAAAATGAAAAGAAACAAAATAACCAATAGAAGTTACTGATTTTCAAAAAAACCTACATTATACAAAAAATCAAAATTGCCCCCAAAAATATTTTGTTGTCACAAAAAATTTTCATCTTCAATTTGTCTCTGTTTCATATGTTACACTAGTTTGATGAGAAATGCCCACATCTTCTTGTTGACTACACCTTCTTTATAAACCAACAACAAAGGTAATCACATAAATATAAACAACATTAGCTTTCAAAAAAGACCAATTTTCCTTGCAAGACCTATACTTAATATAAAGTTAAATGGAGTTACAGAAATGGATTTTAGTTCAAAGATTTCTGAAAATGATTCAAACAATTTCTTTAATACTTTTTGGGGTGACTTCTGCGCATGTCGTTTTCAGAATAGGATGTGTTTTGATTCTAGTTGTGTTTTGTTACCTTGTTATTATTGCTGAAATGGTTTCTAAGCATAGACTTCACAAACTATTTCACAGTCTTATGTAGAAACCATTTCAGCAAACGATAGATGCATAGACACTTGTATCGACTGCAATGGGTTGTTAAATATATTTTTGATGATGATGATGATGATGATGATGATGATGATGATGATGATGATGATGATGATGATGATGATGATGATGATGATGATGATGATGATGATGATGATGATGATGATGATGATGATGATGGGTTCTGGAAATCTTTCCAATTTTGAGCTTTTGAACATGTTAAATCATTACTGGTTGTGGAGGAAATTATTAGGTAGATGTTTATCTATGAAACATATATGCAAAAAACTATTTACTAGCTCTGCTTTGTACCACAACCTGGGACTCTCCTAAAAGACAAGATTATGTTTCTACGAGTTGAATAGCATTAGATAAAAGTGGCATAGCGTAACTTTCCCAACTGGGTATTCCCTTTTATGAAAGGGTGGGGCTGGGTTAAACTAGGTGGGATAGATAGATTCAAGAGTTGTGTGGTGTCAATACAGGGGTTTGGCCTACCATTTTCAATAACACTCTTCCTGTCAACAAATGATAAAGTTGAAAATGGATTTTGAAGAAAATTTCATACGATACCATCTGTCACAGATTTTGGCAGGGTCATGATCCCGCAAAGGAAAAAAATGATCATTTAAGAGGTCATTGAAAAAATTGACTCATTCATAGCTCATATGGGTAAGAACATAGGGTACCATGTTATCCTTATAGTGGATGTAAACGATAAACTGAGTGCTCACTTGATATCGCAATAACTGTTGTTGAACTCCCTTCTTTATATACTGACATAAAGAGGAAGTAAATGGAAACAACTACACATGATACCTTCATGCAGAATGCAGAGAGAAAATGTCAAAATTACTTACATAGGGCATTACATTCAGCTATGAACAATGATATATAAGCGATGAAGTCGCTAGATGTCTAACTCTATTGTTATAGAGTGAGGCAAAATCACTCATGCGGTAAAAGGCCAAAAAGATGATTCCGCAAATAGGGCTCAGTATGGGAAATTCTGAAGCTGGCAAACGAAACCAAAAATTTTAGAAAATCTATTTAATTTAGGAAGGTAACTTATATTTTGTCAGCTTACCGTATGCATTTAGAGGGTTTTAAGCCATAATTTTTGTTTGTACACAGGTTTTGAGATTTTAAAAACATTTTTTTACCGTGGCATTGATAAGGGCACTCTGGTTTGGAGAATATTTATATATCTAGGAAGATTGTTTTTGGGCTTATTTATAAAAATGTCGCACTTATACAAAAAAATTTGTGTTAATTTTTTATCATAACTTCAAGGAACCGTGGTAAAAGAGGTCATCTTCAATCCTGATTCAGCCACGCCCCCTTCCTACAACATCCTGATGTCCGTAAATATGATTGATTTGCTGGTGAATGTGGATAGTTATCATAAACTTGAAACTTGAAATGGATAGTTATCATAAAATTTGTCACTCCTTTCATCTGAAATCTTTACCAGAAGTCATATGCAGGGGGTTGCCGAAGTAGGGGAGTGTTCATTTAAAAAGTTGTCATAATGATATAAGAGTACTTGCTTACATCTACCCTTTTACTTATAAAATACAAATAAATCAAATCTTGAAATTACATTTGGTTTTTTGCTATTAAACCCGAAAACAGTCTAACTGAAAAGGTAAACATTGCCTAGGCCAGAGTAGACCGTGCCAGTGCCGCAGCAATAAATATTTTAAAAATCTTGAAATCCTATTTAACAACACTATTTATGGCTTAAAACTTTTGAAATTAATACGGCAAGCTAGCAAAGTTTAACTAACCTTTCAAAATTATGCTAATTTTGGATAATCTTGGTTTTTCTTTGTCTAACTTGCAATTTCCCGTACTGAGCCATTATGCAGAATCGTCTTTTTGCCCTTTTTTGTCTTTTTGCCCAATGGGCAATTATGCCCAGTTAGACATCTAGCGCCTTCGGCGCTTCTATATCATTGGCTATGAAGCATAGAAGAAAATGAGCACATAACTGCACATAAAGGTGCTTGAGTTATGCAGACAAAATAGGTCAATACATTTTAATATACTAAGCAATTTGAAAGAGAATTCTTCAAGCTTATCTAAATTAACTATATCACTGAATACAAATAGCAAACCTCCCTTACCAACAAACAATTGGAAAATTATCCTATCTAGAGGACGGCACCCAGCTAAACCTATATGCAGCCTACCTTTGTTGTTGGTAGATATGTGGTCAAATGAGAGGATGGCTATAAAACACCAATAGAAGAAAGTTCTAGGTGCTTGATTGATAGAGCATCTAGCATGTCTATGATCGCAAATAAAATGAGAAAAGCTAAATTTTGTTTTTGATGATATTTTGTTATACTCAATCGAGTGCCTAGAAATTTGAAGGGCTCAGCTTGCCAAGCACCTCCTTTTTGCTCCTCAAAATTCCTGGACTTAATAGTAGAGAACTGAATAGAAAAATAGAGAAATAATTGTTAAGTGATTAGAGCCAATGTCAGGCAATTTTAGAAGAAGACAAAGTTTTGAATCTAGAAAAAGTTTTGGCTTCTCAATAAAGATCTTCATTCTGCCATTGAAGATTATGGTGAATTTGAGGACAGTACCTCAAAAGACTACTTAGAGGGAGCATGTTGGAGGTAATGTCATGTCAAAAGCCTCAAAGGTTTATAGAGGTTTTAAATGTTAACTTTTGATTATCTCTTTAGTTTTTGTTAACTTTCTACATATTTCATTACCATACAATTTGAGATTGACTGACCTAATAATTTTGCTACACATACAATATTACTTTGTATACACTTTGGATTGGGAGAGGGAATCAAAACAATCTGTCTAAGGAATGTGCTTTAGTGTGAGGTTGGATTTGACTACTTAAAACTTTTTAACGTTTACTTATGAGTAAATTACCAGGTCCACATCAGCAAAAGCTGCCATTTTGATGACTTGCATTGTTAAATAAATAATATATGTATGTATATCATAGAGTCGAAGAAAATAAGACTACATAATTTATCTCTACAAGCCTGTTCCGTGAGTAACTCACTCTTCAAGAGATCTGTATGTATGTATGTATGTATGTATGACTCAAAATTCCTGGCATAGGATTATGTGGTTGATTATGTGGTTCTCGCCAAAAACCAGCATTCATAACTATTCATGCCATAGAGAACCCTCAATTATGTTCATGTTTCTTTATATTTTACTTGGTTTTATCATCCTTCATTGGATGAAAATATTCACTCTTGCTGCATCTGGCAAATCTCTGTCCCCCTAGGTTACATTACAAACCAGTCTGCAGAATATGGCAGATGCTTGCATCGGTTCAGTCTAGCACTGCACACTAAATTTACTATAGCACTATTATGAAATCTTTCTTTTTGAAAAATAAGCTATAAGAAAAATAAACTGAGGATTCATATCTTAGTAAGAGCTGCCATACTCTGCAGACTGGATTACTGGGTGGTAATTCTTAAAAGCAAAATTTCCAAAAGGGTACAAATGTACTTATATAAGAAAAAATTGTATGGCGATTTCCATCTGGTATGAAAATAAAACAATCATTTCTAGGTTATCGTCTTTGCCTTGCCCGCCAATGTTAATGTTTTAAAATAAACGCGGCACAATTTCGAGGGTGGGGCACAAAAACAACAAAAGAAGGGAATGGAAAAATTTCTAACTATATGACAATTGCTCCTCTTAACCTAAAAAGCCCGAGAATCAATTAATCGTTACAAATCCAATTGAGCTAATTTTGTTGATATGAAGGGCTGTGGTTTAATTCTAGACACGCATCAAAATGGGACGACACCCAGACATGATCAGCTAGAGACGTACGACAACATAAACACGGTCTATAAAAATACCAGAAAACACTTTTCAACCTTCAAAGAAATTAGAGATATTGATACAAAACATATAGTAGTTATCTGTAAGGGTTTCTTTCTTTTTCCCGTGACAAACAATATTGCGAGAATGGACATTTAAATTTAAACTCCTGGTGTTGCTCGTCCTTGCTGACGGACACTGGCCAGCAGGCCAAAAAAGGATTTATCATCAGTTTCTTATGCTACTGAATGCATCAAAACACAATTAGTACAAGCTCTACTATAGTACAAGCTATAAAAAACCCTAAACATACCTTCTGCATTCATGAAGTCTCTTAATCCTCCATTGCACGCAAAGCTGCCTCAAGAGTCAATCATCCTCTGCGCAGGACAATGACTCATTTCCATCTTTTGTTTTCCAGGTGTTGTCTGCCCCGCTCCGTCACGCCAAGTGTGACTGCCAAATGTCACTGCCAAATGTCGCTGTCCAGGGTCGTCTGAGAAGGGGCGCGGGTGTCAACTCCCCCTGTTGCATTTTGATGGGAGGGGCAAGGGGACCAGAGTGCCCTTGAAACGGGTCCTTTGTAATAATCAGAGAGACTCGAATGAAATTCTGATCACCGCGGAGCGTTGAGAAAGGTGCGGGACCTAAAAAAGTTGGGGAGGGGGCTAAAACCGAATAAAAAGTGGCTTTTCTAGTGACTCATTGATAATCTTTTTTGCATTTTTGGCAAAAAGTGGGGGGGGGGGCTATAGCCGACGTCGTATATATAATTAATGACGACATTTCTCAAAACATTTCATTTCTCGTAAAATAACTCCTTATGCCAAAATTTGGCCAATGTTCAAGAAACCTACAGAAAATTAAATCGAGATAAAAAAGCACTTGAGAAGGAATAAGTAGAGGCTTGGAAGTATCTTTCAAATGTCCTTTTACTCAAGCCTTGCCTTCCAGCGTCCCTGCCGATATATTTGTTAAATTTTAGTCTGGACAGGGAGATGCGTTTTTAGCCATTATAGAAGGCTGATATCAAAAATTTTCTTTCGCATCGGACCCAACCAGTGTGCCCTCCTATGTCACTAAACTTGAATCTCAACCCCTTTTCTCACCACCTACCTTAAGGAGGCTTCCGAGCTACATACTGGTGTGAAAAGAATGAGACACCCGGCATTCGGTCAAACATATTTTCAGGGCTCATCATAACCCTGTCATAGTAACGCGATACATCATCTCAATCTAAGTGTTGACCAAACATAAGCCAAACAAAGCTTTCTGTCTCTTTCAAGGACCCTAAGCCTTAAAAATGAAGTACCCCTTACTTAAAACATATTTACTTCTAATTATTCACTTTTTTATTTTCAAAACTACAGCAACAGCAGGGGATTTAAAAAATGTTGAGGATGTTATAATGTCTGCTGTTAATCAAAAAAGGCATTCGATGCTCCTAACTTCAAACCTTGTCAGTGGCGGATTTGAGGGGGGCAACTATGGGCAGTTGCCCCTCCCTCGCAAAACTGAAGCAAGTCTGGCGCCCCTTTTTGGAAACGGTTTGGCACGATTGATATGAAATTTTCCTTTAGAATGTGAATAGAAGGGCCTTATTTCAGTACTCTCGTCACCAAGAACTGAACATTTTTCAGCGCCCCGATTAACAATTGCCCCTCCCTAAACTTTGCTCTGGATCCGCCCCTGAACCTTGCTAGTTAGAGATTTAAGGCACAGGCTCACTGGCAATTAAAAGAGAGCTCACTAACAATATGGACTTGTTCTTCAGTACCAAATGAGAGATATAAGGATCATTTTTCTTTCATCACTATGAGCCTGGGAGTAGTTAGAATATTGACATAATGTCTATATGCAGATCTTTATATTAACTTGAACGAAGAAACTACAAGTATAAATACTTATCTCCTATGGTAGTCTTGCTGGAGTCGTGGTGGGCCTGGAAATCTACCCTGTTTCAAATACTCAATAGCCTCTGACAACTGTGGCCCAGCTCCTGACCTTCCAGTTGCAAAGGCAAATTTGTAGCATCTTGAAATCATATTTTTACGGGTAGGCAGAGCTCGAAAACTTTGGCTGGCAGTCCGTTATAAAGGGCTTACTCTGATGTTTTCCTCCCTATTATTGGGAGATCCGTTATCGATCATATTTTTGTTACATGAAAACAAGAAAAGATTTCTTTTAACAATTTCATGTTATTTTTTCGTGACAAAAATTTTAACTGAGCTTGAAGACCCGAACAAATTTTGTCCGGAGGAAGGAATAAGAATAGGGCGGCCTTGCGTTTACATTAGATCTTGTCCATCCGAGCAAATGTTATCCACTTAATAACGCAAGATTTTGGCAAATTTTTTCTGGTGCAGTATGTAAGTGAACTTATTATGGTACGAATTTCTGTAGCGTAAACAGTATTATCCAAACAAATTTTATCCACTTTCAATTCGAGGCTGCTTCTAACTCACTGAGATGAGGCGTTGCCTGGTTTTTCATGCTGTTTTTACACAATCGATCACAAGACTTGTCCAGCGTAAATGAAAGACAAAAGCAGATAAGTTTGTGAGACCTAGTGTAAACTAGTCGCGTACAGGACTAATTTAACCGGCTTTCGCTACTGTCATTTTTTTCAATCTTCTGTAGGCATCTTGAAAATGGGCTATCTTCTGGAATAATAAAGTTTTACTTACCAGATGTTTCCTGGCAAGAAAAACCAAAACATACAAATATCGGTTTGAATTTAGGTTACATTTAGTAGGGACCGGGAAACATGGCGGTCATATACCGTAAATCCTCGAATTGGCCCCCCTCGAAAAAGCCCCCCTCGAATAAGCCCCCACCCTAAAACTACAAATTGTGAATAACACCCCCCTAAATAAGATGCAGTGCCCCACCCAGCGTCTAGTTTTCATTGTTTTTAGATGACGGTTCCCCGACGGTTTACAAAGATCAAGGGGACTGTCTCTAGAAAAAGGATGAACACTTCTATAACACTGAAATTCGTCTCGAAAACCAAGACATTGAAAACCAGGACATGTTAAAAACGCAGTAAGGAAGAGATATGCGCCAAATCGAAAAAAAAGGGAACAAAAGCAATTTCAATGAAATCTACAATAATCTAGAATAATAACAATTATTAAATCAATACTAGAATTTGCTGTCTCGTATAACTTTATCTAAGGATGTCAATGTTTTCCCTTCCCAACAATTATATAATCTACCAAATGTTCCACGTCAGAAGCAAAAGGAACATGACGGTCTTCAGTTGGACTTACAACTAACAAAGGTCTCGATATATCGTCTTGATCTGATTCTACATCAGGATTTCTCTTCTCGAAAATACTCTACTTTTCGAAAATGAATTCAAAACAGCTACAGTAGAATCCCGTTATAACGTACTCGGTTATTACGTACTTTCGGATATAAAGTACCGGTGTGCTTGGTCCAGGCAAAAGGTGTGCTTGGTTTTAGTCAACTTTTACTTACCCTCGTTACAACGTACTTCGGATATACTTACTTACTTAATACGCTGGTCCCTTAAAGTACGTTATAACCGGATTATACTGTACGAATGTTTACGGATAAATGAATTAAATCATTGCATTAGGGCATAGTGGGACTCAAAGGTCTCTAGAAGGAAAAAGTGGAAAACAAATTTCTTACAGACCTAAGTAGATGTATATTACGTCAAGTTGATTGACTCTGATAATTTACCTTTTAAAGCCTGTACAAATTACACATTTTTGTGTAATAAAACGGAAAGACGTAACAACAATCTACAAGGTGCTTTATATCTATAAAAATCCCGATGTGCCAAGTTCTAATCAGGGCTTAAGGTACTGGGGGGGAGGGCTGGAGGGGCCATGCCTCCCCCACTTTTTTGGTAAGCAAAATATTTCAAAGAGGGTCTGTTTTGAAGCACTAAATTCAAACTTGTCTTATAGAACTTGGCCCCTCCACCTTGAAATTGGTGTCGTGAGCCCTGCTGATTCCGCATTATATCTTTTAAAATCCCAATGTGCCAAGACTTAATTCCATACCAGAGACATTCTCACTACTTCTGCGATACTTTACATTTTCATTAGACTATCTCAACAAATCGTCTACATAACTGATTTGTTTCTACATCTCGCAATAATGCCGAGTGTTGCAACAAACTCGAGTGGCGAGGGGAGATTTCTATTAACAAGCAGAGAACGCTAGAATGCGTTTTGTAGACTACGTTAACCCAGGGTGGTTTATCAAATCAGTTAACCGCCCTAATATCGTCCTAATATACTAACTATTTAACGGTAACATACTGTCCAATTTATCGTCGAGTATGCGATATTATCCTCGATACATTGCCCGCGGTTAAAAGAAATTTTGAAGCAATCAAATTGCCTCAGAGCTACCAAGGTTTGGATGAAATTACAATTATCAAGTCGACATAATTGACTAGAGTAGTTTAAATATTTACAATAGATTCTGATAATTGAATGAACAATTCAAAATTAAGTTAAATAAAACGCAGACTTCTAAAATACAACAGCTTCTATAGAATAGATACAAAATATAAACGCTGATGAACGGACAAACATGAAAGGCTCAAAAAATTCTTTGTAGATGTAATATTTTGGGAAAAGAGAAGAAAACTGAGAAGAGTACTAGGAAAATTTAGAAGAGTAAGAATTGAGAAATTAAAAAATAAGAAGGAAAGCTTGGTGTGAAACTCGTTATCTGGTCTATCCCTTGTGAATTTGGTCTGGTGTCAGTCGATAATCACACCGTTCAAATTTCAACTGAATTAATGAAGAGTTTTGGTTGCCTTATGGCATAGATCTTTACTGCTTCTACTTTCTAGGAAATAAAAACAGGGCTTCCTTTAACATTTTAGAGCTGCTAACAACTACAAGCATGTAAATGTTTTAAGCTAGGAAATGGCGACATTCAATACGTTTTAGATGAATAAAAGTTTAATGCAGAATAGGAAAATCATTGTTTCTCTCAAGGCGGAAGAGCTATATCTTTCTTGTTTTGTTGTCACAAGCCTGACTAATGACGCTAATACAATTCTTGGAGGGGGTGTATCGAAGTTTTCATAAGCAGGAATTGGTGCTGGTGTCAAATTGCTGAATTCTTGGAGGGGGTGTATCGAAGTTTTCATAAGCAGGAATTGGTACTGGTGTCAAATTGCTGAATTCTTGGAGGGGGTGTATCGAAGTTTTCATAAGCAGGAATTGGTACTGGTGTCAAATTGCTGAGGATAGTACGATATGAATTTATCAACATTTAAAGACAAAACATGGAAAGAAAAACAAAGCCTAAGGATAAAAATAACCAGAGAGAAGAGGAAGGAGAAAGAAATGCGGAAGGGGAGGCTTAGAGCAAGTTCAAGAAGACTGGGGTGATATCTCAGAGGGAAGTTTGTATTATTACAATATTGTGGAGTAAGTAGCAGCAGCTGTTTTATTGGAGGAAGTCATACCTCTTATTAAGACAGGGGATTAAAAAACGTAATATATGAAAACCTGTTTAGACTTACTTAACCTTATCACTCACCTTACTTGCAAATCACTTTAATCAAATATGCATTACAACAGGGAATAAATACTGTTTAAAACAACTCGATGCCTTTGGTATAAAAACATTTTCTATAAATAAATTTTGCCAAAATGGTTAGCATTCTTTGATGGCGGTGGGTCATGATCTGTAGCAAGATTGGATTTATAAAAAATGGTTTATGAATAAAAAATAAAGATATAGCGCCAAAAAACTAGTATTTAACTCAAAAGATGGATCGAAAAGGTATAGAAGGATAGCAATACCCACAATGATAGGCTGAGAAACCATGAATCGTTCAAAATGGATTTGTTATTTTCATTTAATCAAAAGAGAAAGGAAAGAAGTCAAGAGAGGAAGTACTTTTGTCCTGCAAACTCATAATGAAGGCAGCCAAGTTGGCTAGAGAGTTGAAAAATACTTTTCTAGTTAAAATGGTATAAAACTAACGAGAGAGAAGTAGAAAATAAAGCGTGGATTTTTTAGAGCCGCTTCAAAGATAAAGTTGTCCTATTGTAATACAGCTATAATTTACAAAATGATTAAGGGAAGTAATCTTATGTCGTAATGTACAGGGACGCAGCTAAGGAATACAGATAGAAATACGGATTTATGGTTTTGACGTAATACAAATTACCTTCTTTCAAACTTTTGAAAACTAGCTCTGAGAATTATTTCACCTGTTGGTACTTCGTGTAGCAGTAGCCTTTTAGTCCATGGTCCTGGTCCTTCTTTCAACAAACTTGAAATAGATAATTCTGTACGACCAAGAAAATCTGTTTGGAATGACAGAAACAAATTTAGAATGCATGAATTTATGTAAATATTACGATATATATTTCATTAAATCAGCTCTCACAAGAAAGCCATGAAAAACCTAATTTGAAGGCGCTGCAGTAGGTTTATTTAGAGAAAACAGCAAGTTTCATGCATATATCAATTGATACAAAGACAGTGGTAGCAAAAGCAGCTGGGAAATCAACTCAGGAAAATTTCATTGCTAAAAAACTAACTTCTCTGGAAAGCAGTTTCAGTAGGAACAAACGATAGCCGACTTACCATTAGGTGAGAAAAAATCTCGATCGAATACGGTTATACACAACACATCTTGGTCAATGTCCTTTACTGTAAATTGCATTTGGGAATTCCATTTGGGGTTCAGTGTCTTTGGAACAACCTTTGTTTTGTGTTCCTGGGAGCCCATACTGACTTCACAATACGGGTCGCTAGTACCGGTTGGGTCCGACGCCTTCAAATCGAAGCCTTCGTTGATCGTAACTGTCAATCGTCCTATGCCCTGACCAAGAACAGACCGCGCTGCAAAGGAGTAGGTGTACTTAGCTTAGTTTAGAAGGACCAAACGATACCTTTCTTATGCTTATACTAGTATTCAAGTCAGACATAAAGCCTCTGCTGGGTTACTGCTTTTGTCAAATAAACCTTGGTGAACAATTTGATTAAGATTAAGCAGTATCCAACCATTTTGCTCAATCCGATTGTCGGTTTATTCGGTCTAACCCAATAGGAGTGCTAAGTGATGCTAAGCAATGATCAGTGCTTAGTGAAAAGTGCTTGATGGAGACAAAAACCTGTTTTATGGGTCCTTGTTCTAGATGATCTTGAGTGTCGCACAGTGGAATGTTGTATTCCCTTGGCCACTTGCCATTGAGCAACACCAAACACCGCTCGGCAGAGAAGTTGAGCAGCATTAGTGATGCAGAGGCAAAATTTCAATTCATTTGGCCAAGGCTTTAGATTCATAACTGCCTAAAGTCTATAAGCAACGCACTATTAATGTATGCTAATGTCTTTTTATTGCAATGATTTAGAAATTTAACAAAAAAACGTTTACGAAATATAAAAAAGAATGGGTTTCATAATAAGATCTTATTGTATAATTTACAATTTTGCAGTAAATTTCAACGAAGTTGTAGTGACAAATTTTGATTTTGGTGCTAGGTCCATCACATTCAATCATTCCAGTTACTTTTCATTTGCATGCATCTTTCACAGGTTCGCAGCAATGGAAGTACTTTTTTAAAAAATATTGCAAGAATTTTCAGAACCAAAAAGTAGGAAATAGTCAGCTCTGTTATCTATCTTTACCCAATTAAGCTAGAAAAAACGGATTTTTTACCATGCAAGCAAGTTACTCTGAAAACATTTCACTGCCATTCAAAAAAATATCTTCACAAATTATACCCTGAATCAAAACTGACCATCATTGGTAATTGAATGTAGAGGAAGCGTTAAAGGTTTCTGATTGTAAACAGATGGCCAATAAGTGAAAAGATTCAGAGTTCTATTGCTAGCATATAAAAATTCCCAGATAGTACCCCTATGGGTCGCGAAAGTTATTATCATATTCAGACAATTACAGTAAGTTGTGCCATGTATATATTTTTATACAATGTATATATTTCAGTAAATGACGATACAGATAATTTCAAAAGAATAACCTCTATGAGCTCTTTTCCGCTGGAATCTTTCTGTTTCAATGAAATGTTCCGACGCTTTCTGTAGTCGTGTGAGCCAGACATTTCTAAGAAAAATCGAGTTCATAGGATACGTTAATGGTAATTAATAGGGCAGCCAAGCTCACATTACAATCAATGAAACATTCATACTCAGTCAAAAATAGTAAAGAGAATGAACAAAAAACATAAACATTTGACACTGCAATCCATAATAAAATCTGGAACAAAAAAACTTAATAAGGATTCCAATAATTTTAGATAGAATTTTAAGCATATGAAAATCACTATTTAGATACAAACATTAACAAGCAATGCAATACGAACCTTTCGTTTTTGGTTTCAGCGCGAAGAGTGTAAATTCGATCAATATGTGACAAGCAGAAGAGTGTCTCGTTTACTAAAACAAATTCACATAAATTAGTTTCCCACGCTTGGTATGTTGTTAAAAATGATCGATAAAATATGCATCGCACTTGAATAGCATGGTGAAGTTGATTGATAATGTAACGATTGCTTGACAATTGACATAATTTGATACACTTATTTCGTGTGCTGTGCTAGAGGTATCAGTAGGATCGCTCGATGAACTCGATTGCTAAAGCAGTTTAAGGTACACAGCATAAAAGACAGCAAGAAGCACGGCTGTGCAGCAAGAAGCTCCACAAAAATATGGCATTTAAAAAGAACTCAAATTTCCACAAAATGGTCCATAAAACTAATAAATCCGTTATGATTAGAATGCAGATTCAAGAATATATTTTCAGTCTATTTTGGAATTGATCGGATCATTTGGAAATGTCTAGGGACTCAAATTTAAATACTAATTAGGAAATATAAACGTCCCCAAGATGAAATAGCAATTTATTCCTAGTCAAGGAGGATAATTTAGTTGGGGTGACTCCACTCAACGATAGAATGTGATTGACATTAACAAGTATGCGTTCGGGTAAGAAGATGATCCCCTTAGCAAATCGTGGTTCATGGTGGTCGTTGAAAATATTCAATCAGATTAACCAAACCGACGTACGATAAAAACAGCTACTTTGAAGTGATAATGACAAAATATTCAAGAAAGTTTGGCTTACCGTCGGGATCTATGGGTAACTTCACCACGACCTCGTTTAGAAATATCGGCTGCAAATTTGAAATCAACACAGTCAGAAAATTTTAATATTTCGAAGAGAATCTTATTCTGAAAAGTCGAATGACGTAAGTAAATCCCTTTAGGGCTTTAGTAGTTATACAAGAATTTATACAAGCAAAAACCAATCGTTTCTTCTCTTTTCTGTAAAGAGAATCTCTGTGTAACTGTCACAGATAATTAGTATAGCCAAAAAGCTTGACATGAAATCGGAAATATGTTCTTTAACTCTTACGAAAAAATACTCAAAATCTAAATTAAGAAAACAATGTGACTGAAGTAACAGAACAATAAATAGAAACAAACTGCATTATCAATATCTAAAAAAATAATGAACTAAAAGATTAAATAAAAAATAATTAATTTACAATTTTTATACTTTAGCTAAAAAAACCACACAAATATGTTTAAGTACAACATGAAAGGAAAAAATACCGCTTTAGGGCTTTTAACAGAAAAACAGAAGTCTGGGTTTGGCATTGCAAGATAACGCAAGGAAGGCCCTATGAACTGATTTCATCTACAGAAATAAATAACATGATGAAAATACAAACCTTTTTGTATATTGTTAGAGTTATTTCGCCATCAACATCATCTTTGAAAATGTTGGTAAAGGCTTTGGCAGCTGGAGTGCTTCCATGATGACGTGTTAGCAAGAGAAAGTCATTAAATAGGAATGCTCGGAGCTCTTTGTTGCTTTTGTGCTGCGAAATATGGATAGCATGAAGTACTGTGACAAAATGACATGGTAACAAAGAATTTGTTCTTGCAAAGACTTGAATATCTATCTGGTCGTATTGGAAAACGAAGTTATATCAAGTCTATTTAAAATCTCATATATTCACTTTTGACATTTTAAATGAGTATATATTCAATTAAAAATTTAGTATTTATATATAAGATTCACATTACATTTTTCTAATATTAGCCTGACATCTAACTGACCTACAATCCCGAAAAAAATAGTTGAGATAGCTGAGACTCTGTATCAAAAGTTGTTTTTTTTTCTTAAAACTAACACCTTCCTTTTGTAGTTCAATGTTGAATGCAAGTTAAAAAAATACTACACCTTCCCCGGCACAAACTATAGAACTACTAATCCAACATTGATTCAGGGAGATTCGAATTTACAGGGGCAACGTCAATTTAAAAAGGAAAAAATTCAATTTGTCTCAACAATTATGGCAAATAAATATGTGTGGCCAAGATAACTTGGATAAGAGTACCGAAACGGTTTATGATGAAAACACGCAATCGAAATTAACTAAAGAATTCAAACAAAACATCTCAAAGCAGAATTGGTAGGAAGAAGATTTGGCGTTTGAGACAATTTTACCTTGTATAGAGTTGCGTGGTGAAGGTACTTCCGCTGCCCTAGGCAATTCGTCTGCGAGTTGAACACTAATTTCTGATAGAAAATGTTTCCAAATTAAATTTATGTAAGGAAGACGAACAGTCAATAGAATATAGCTGGCTAAACAGCCTCAGTGAAATATAGGCCAGCATCCAGATAGATTAAAAAATGCCTCTTTTAAATAAATCTTTTAGGTCCATTATCTTACTTATAGATCTATTTATCAGATAGCTGTGATTAATCTATAGAAAAATGTCAAAAAATCAAGTTGCCTGCAAGCTGTAGAGCGTAGAGTATTGTTGGGAATCAAAGTCGTGAATTTCTCTTACCTCTCCAAGACCTTCTAAGGTTACATGACTTTGCAACCACTCTAACCTGCTAGAACTTTCAACCATTCTAATGTTTTCATTGATCTGGGGAGAAGGAGAAATCAAAGTTTTATCATAGATATGTCGAAAAGCTTCAGATTGTGACTTAACTCTAGATGAAAAAACAAATTATCATCAATTCTAATTATTAGTGTAAATAATAACGAAATGTAACGGGAATTTTTGTCGGCAGGAATAAATTAATGATAGCTTTATTCGTCATTATTTACAAACCTTTTTTCGTCATTGCCAAAAAGTACAGGAGCATAATATGTTTTAACAACCAGAGGCCAGGAAATTTCAACAACAGACACATTCAAATAAAAATAAACTCCACGCAAAAGCGAGATATTACTGTCGGAAAATTTCTTTCCAAATGTTACCTTTTAAAAATAATTCAAAATATTGGATCTTTTACAATGCCACTGATTCTTTTTCCACGGTTTTAGTAAGACTAGAAAAATTAGTTTTGAGTAGCCTTGAAAGTTAGCTTGGCGGCATTTCTCGTTACAGGTTTGAGAAGCATCGGGCTCCCTGCTTCAGTCACACCAACACTCGAATAGTGATGGGTCAGTTTCCTTGTTATCAAGTGATGCCTTTATAAAAATCTAATTGTTCAACTTTTTAGCCAGGTCAAATAATTTAAAAGAAAATCATGAAAAATATCTATAAATGTGCAAAATCAGTTTAATGTGTTAAAAATTTTGTGAGATTTGGCCACATTAGCACAGCCTCTTTTCCCATCAAACCTGTGTAATTTGGTCTCTGTTCAAACTTACAAACCAGGCCAAAATAACATTAATCCGCCAGCAAACATCAAATCTTTTATTGGCTATACCTTACTTAATTTCCACTCTTAGGAGGATTCAAAGTGCTATTTCAAATAACCTATAGAAAATGATTATAATAACTGAAATTTTAACACATTAAAAACCTGTGAGCAGAGCTCTTGAATCTGTTCCAAAGCTTGTTCCAAATTTGGTCGATCGTGGTGGTCTTCCGGAGTGTATTTGATAATCTGCAGCAATAAAAACAACGCTTCAATAAACATTAAAAGCAAGTAAATGCCAAAGAGAAATCTTGGAAACACCATACTTCACTATTAGCACTAATTGTGTAAATTGTACTTATTACAGTAGCTTTGTAAAAGTGTAAACCATGCTAGATTCAGGACGAAATCGAACTCGCTATTAATGGTAAAAGGTCTATTAGACTAATACTTTGATTTGGTAATACATTGTTTTTAAACCATACCTGTTTAATGATCAGAGGGTATTTTGTTATTCTTTGTAACGGCTTTAACAAGTAGCTACTGAGTGGCAGGTTTTGTCGCAGTCTGCTGTTTCCAGCGCATTTCTACGCGAGAAGAAAAGTATGCTAGATCAGTGTTAAGTACTTTATAGACAAATGTAACGAGAGAGAATTAAAATGAGAAAACCAAATCTTTGATCAGCACAGAGGCTTTATTATACGAAATTAGATCGCAACTCAAAAATAATGTGAACAAAAAGAGCAAATTCAACACATGCATTAAAACACATATTGTAATAACACAAAGAATTGTCAAACGTCTTTTACAAAGAATTGTTAAAGCTTCGTTGTCTTTCACAATAACAAGTACAATCAACTAATCAGTCAATCGATCACTGCCATCATTCCGATCACTCCAATCATAAACCACAATCAATCATTCAATAATTATGGTAAATCCATACACCCAGAAGAAGTACGTCAAACAGATTGATACAACTATGTTTATGGCAATAGAGTAATCAAGCAAACTTTGATAGGAATTTTCATGTCGTTTACTTATGTTTCTAGAACTGAACCAAAAATTTTTGTTAAGTAACGTCAAATAACATCTAATCTATACTAGTATCTGTTTTGTAGCAAATTCTATTCTCCATTATGATCCTTCCTTGATGTTTGCCGTTAACTGCACACCTGATCAAGACTATCTAGTATACTATAAAACATACGTCACTATTGCTATTTCATAAAGATAAACATATTGTACCTTCTCGAATTGCTTAAATTCTGCATCATTTTCTACTTTTCTTTGTAATAATTTGCATGCCTTGATTTGACAACTGCAGAATCGAATGTATGGCGTCATTCTTGGGATCTTCGGAAAAAGAAGTAAAAAGTCGATTATCATCCAGGAAACAAATAAAACTAAACTATTTTGCAGGTTTGATATTTCCTTATACTGATTAGACTTACTCCATGAGCCTCTGTTTCGCTACTGCCGCACTTGACGGACGCTACAACAGACATGTGACTCAATATATTATAAGTTGTGGGGTCTGTCAAGTGAGGCAGTAGCGAAACAGAGGCTCATTGAGTAAGTCTATATACTGACATGCCAAACAACAAGCTGGAGAAAATCGTTGTCAGTAAATTGCATGACTAATGCTTAACTTGTTGGGCCTTTCGATGACTACAAGACCTAGAAGATGGGGAGGAGGAGGTGTAAAAACTGGTTTAAATCCAAACTGACTTAGGCTACAGTTACACTATACCGGATTGCTATCGGAGCGGAGCAGAGCGGAGTAACTTTTATTCCGGAGTGTTATTTAGGGTAGCAGTTACACTACGACGCTCCGCTCGCTCATAAGCCTGTATTCCTTTGCATTTCTGGTACACAAAATTCACCAGATAAAATTTTTTGATGATATTTTCGAATCTATGTGCTGTTGCGAATTCGTTTTCAATAGCTATGCATAAAATAACGAAAACAACCATTAAATTGAGAGATAAATGATGAGGTTCGTAGGACGGATAGCGAGATTATGTTCCTATCTGATGTGTTAAAGTATGTTTTTCGCCCAAGGGCCACTTCATTAAAATTTGGGAAGAGATGAAATCCAAATACAAAAATGTTTTGATGATTTCGATTTTGCATTATCCAACAGCAACAAAATCTCAGAAAGCGCCATTGTTCACTATCGATCGAATTGCGTCAAGCAGAAAACAATAAGAAAATCCTTTGTTTCAAAGTGGAGCATATCGGATTCGTGCGATTACACTACAACGCTCCGCTACGGAGTGACTCCGGAGTGATTTCCGTATCACCTCCAGAGCGGAGTGATTTTCACTCCGCTAATCAGAGCGTTGTGTATCGGATTGGTGTGGCGTAGTGTAACTCAAACCCCTATCCGATATTTAAGTTACTCCGCTCCGATAGCAATCCGGTATAGTGTAACTGGCACCTTAAAGTGCAAGACAACAAATATGGTAACTTGAAAATTACAATAGCTATAGCAAGAACATTTCATTTTTATTCATGGACATTGGGAAAGATTCTTAGGTTCGATTCGATTTGGTTGAATTAAATTTAAATTCCACTGCAAGATAACAATATAACTATAAAAAAAAATTTAAAAAAAATATAGCTATATGGATGAGACATTAAGAAATCAATTAAAGAACACAAAGACAGCATTGAAATTGTTAAAACTACAAATCGAAGTAGAGTTCTTTAGGAGGAGCCTCAAAAGCTGGTTAAAAAATGAGAATGAGGCCTTCTGCAGTTCAGGCGATCAAGTGTCTCATTGAATCACATTGTTCAAGGGTTCCAATAACAAATTGGTCTGAGGCTCATCGACTTTTTAAATGCTTTATAAATAAAAAATTGAAAGATGTAGTTCTCATAATCATGCGATTCGTCCCACAATCATTGTTCATAAAAACAATATTCTGCACTGAAGGTACAAAGTAGGCCCACATTGCTTGCCTCATTCTTAAATAAATTGCCTACCTGCTCAACAAGAACATCACCGATTGCTTCAACTTTGTTGTTCACTGACATTGTTTTTCTAACCAGCAACGCTCTGCGAAATGAAGACAGATTTTCTTCAGGATGCAAGCTTAAAACGGCAAATAATCTTGACGAAGAACTAAAAGTCAAACGACAAATATCTAAATTCCACAAATGAAATCGAAAATCCAAAAATTTATACGTTGTTGAGTCGAAACAAATCTTTTATTCTGAAAAGCTGACTGGAAAATAAGTCAATGATAAAAACAGAGAAGGAAACCTACTTTAGCAGTTTTGTATTGCACATGATAATTTCTCTCCAGTTAACGAAAACGGTGTTTAGTTCCTGTTCTGTAAGAACACCAGCTTCAGCCATGGGGTTGTAAAATATCTAAAGTCGATAAAATTAATGAACTTAGAATCTGATTTTCATACGATAATACAGTTAGCAAATAAATTTAGTACCAGAATGAAAATGTAATAGTTTGATTGTTAAAATTTAATTTGATTTTCATACGGATTGGAATCATTTTACGGATGAGTAAATGGGTAAAAACATGACCCAGCTTATAAGTAACGAGCGTAAATGGCAAATGCCACTCCCATTTAAATGCAGTAATGGTTTGAATAAATAAGCTTTTTCACAATTTCTTTTGCTTTCTTTAAATCTGGGTAATTTTTTAAATAGAATTTAGGATCAATACTAACGAACAAATGATAAAAAATTTCATGATGACAAAAGAAATTGCATTGTAAACTAAGATCTGTATTTTATAAGAATGTTCTTAAGAAAATACTGGAGAACCCAGAGATCTTAAAAGTAGAAGGATTTTGGTGAAAAACGTCATAATAGGGGAACAGCCTGGATCAAGTAGCTGAACCAAGGACCGTCTGGGATTGAAGTGGTTTAAGTTTAAGAAGACTTAGGATTGGCTGCCCACATTCCTGAAAATTTCTTGGAAAATATTGTAAACCTGACTCAATATATCTGAAAGAAAAATAAAATTACCTCGAGTGTAAGGCTAAGATCATCCATAAAAATTTGCTCAGTGTTAATCAGTTCGTGGATATAATTCTGCGTAAATGAAAAAAACAGTTTGAGAAGGTTCAATAAAATCTTTTCTCCAAAAGATTTTGATTAGGCGTTCTTATCATGTCAGATTTATAGCAATAAGCTTGTTGATCTCTTCAAATGATCCAAACACAGTATCGGTTAAAAGAGCGGTACAGTACCCAGTTCATAGCTAATATCTTCACAAAATAAAGGGGAATGAAACCAGTTATGAAAAAAAGACACTCGACATTCGGGGCTAGTAAACATTTGACAAGTTCAAATTACGCGCAAATTAAAAGTTGAAAAATGATTGAATTATGACAAAGCTGTAAAGACACTTAACATATTCGATAGGATTTTGAAGTTATATAGTGCTAGTGGTATTTATAATATATAAATATTGCAAAAGAATGTATACAGGAACATGTATCACAGACGTCACATTGCAAAATTAATTGGCAAACTTAAAAACTTTTAAAAGTAAATATATAAAAATAAATAAAGAATTACCTGTCTTTGTCGTTCGCTTTTGCTCATGGATTTCAGCACAACGCTATCAAAGGAGCCTTCCCCTGTGAATGAACAAATACTTACGTTAATGTCTTTTCCATAAACTGATCGTTATTTCCCTACTAGATTCGGTTTCACGCATAGGGCCGAGTCTCTAACCCGTATGATTTTGCACTTCTCGTTGAGGAATTTTACCCCTTCAAAACCTAGCACCCTGGTTTCATACCCATCCCACCAAATCTTTGTAGTTTTCCGGATATATACATGCATATGCTTTCTCGATGCGATATACCCGTGATGAATTAAGTGTGAAACTCGAAGTAGTATCTTAGAACAGTTCTAAAAACTAAAGCCTGTAGTGCTAGGTCTATATGGCATTAGTCAAATTGCAACTGACAGGTTAAGAGTAGCTCTCTTTAAGTGATAGATAAAGGTTTAATCTTCATATTCCAAACATTTATTTCCAGCGTAAAATCATTGCAGCATATATTTGTACGGAAAGATTCATGATTATAACTTCAGAACAATTCAGCCGAAGATCTAAGCTATAAGATTAAAGTACTTTAGTGAAGTCCTTTCTCTTTGAAAAACGGAATGTCATATTGTGCCTTGAAGAAATCTCATGACTTGAACTGTGACTCACCCAAGTTTATAAAGGCAATGCGGTTATCAGATGCATGTTGCATTTATGGTTCTGAGAAGTGGGGGAGGGGGGGGTTGGAAGGGTCCTAGAAGCCTCTTCTATGAATCCTTGGTCAAAATTCAAGGAGCTTAGGCAATCCTGGTGATAAATGAAATAATAATCGTACACCTTGTATCTTTGATCAGCACTAGGTATTCCGGCCATCACACTAGCCATAATTAAAATGCATAAGTATCATTCTTCAAGCAAATAGCGCGTCTCTAGACCTGTGATTTTCTATCATTCACCGCAAGCTCCGGGATATCTTTTAACAGAGATTCGAAAACGGATAATTTCGAAAAACTTGCCTTTACAAAAACATTACGGTGAACTTGGCCTAGATTAAAGGTTGCTGCAACAAAGTGCACTTGGATCTTGGCTGTCCTTACATTCAGCAGCAGCTATTCTGAGCGAAATTTGGGTGAAACGCCCATTCACTATATGAAAATGTTGCATAGAACTTTTTTTTGTCAATTCTTTAAGAAAGCTGGCGCTATTTTGGGGCAGTGCCTAAACCACAGTCACTTCAATTAGTCTAAGAGCATGCGGAATAGCGATCTAAAGTCGGTGGGCCGGCTCAGTAGTTCAAGGACATGCACTTTTTCGACTCCTTGACGATAAACTCCATCCTTTTGAATACTAATGGTTTTAAATCTTAAAAAAAGATGTTTAAGTAATATTTCAATCTTTTAATGTACCTTTGTAATTTTGTAAACGTGTATTAAGTAATATTTTTTTCTGATCTAATTTTGTAACTTTGTAACTGGAGGGCCCCTTAAAAATCAGAAATGCTGAATGGCAACACTCCTTAAATATTATAAATCAAATCAAATCAAATCAGTTCAATGTAAAATCACACGATTCGCCGGGGATTGGTTTTAAACCGCGGTGCTTAAAGGGCCTCTCCAGCCAAAAAAATTTTTTTATCTCACAAACTGTAAAAAGTATCGAAAAACAAATAACGAATTCGTGATCAGCAGGTTCAACTCCTTTAGATTAGCCAATAAAATGAAAGTGCAAAATTTGGCTGGAGAGGCCCTTTAACAAACTCTTTATAATAATATGCAACGAATGCAAAAATAACAAAGGTTTGAACTATCTTTCTATGTCTTTAAACATTGATGGCAAAGCTTATTGAATAAGTAACATTGATGAATAATTAAGTCAAGAATTTGGGTGCAAGATTCTTTGCACTTACCCCGGAAGTATTTCATCAGAGTTGAAATCCCCGATTCTTAGAAATTATAATTATGGTAAGGGATTAGGTAGATTTTAGCTAACGTTAATCACTTGTGATGACATGCCCATTCCGCGCGTGGTCAATCTTAGGAGTTGCTTAAACAAAAAAATACGATTTTTGGTGTCAAAAACATTTTTTTTAAAACCAATTCATTTAAATATTACAATCACACACGTCTTACTTAATTGCACGATACCAAATACAACGATTCACAAATCTGTTGATGCATATTTAGGATCTTTGAGATTTAAGAAGATTCAGCGCGGAATGGTGCCATATCAACACAAGATTAATCCTCAACAACCTAGATTAATCTGGAACCTAGAATAATCACAGGGTGCCAAAGAGTGAAGTTTATCATGTGTTTATTTCTAGCCTTACGATAGGGATGAAATGGTGTAAACTTACTTCCCAGTGAATTGCTTGAAAATTTTAACATTGTCGTTGAAAATTCAAAGACAAGCGTGATCCCAAATATACCCCAACAGAAATCGAGGCAAACTAACAAAACCAAGTCAATGACGTGTAAGCAACAGTAGAAATGATAACAAGACATATTCTTCTTGGGGAAACCAAGAACTCAAAAGAGCATTGTGAATTCTTCACCAAGAAATTTCAATTCCAAGTATCAGAGAATTCGACAGGATTTCAATTACTAGGGTTATCAGTTAACTATGTAGAATCTAGTTTATATAGACTATGCAGGGCTGCATCCATTTTGTATGAGTTCACAACTGTTTGCATTTTAACTATTGCCTAAAGCGTCAACCTTCACGATAACATCAAACAGTTTAACAATTTCGTCATGATAACAATAAAGAAATCATAATAATAAATACCAAGGGGATTAATATCTAAAATAGGAACATATATGATATAACAAGGTTATAAAATATAGAGGAATTCGAAACAATTGTCAAATTTACTATTCACTATTTGAAATTATTTAATGATAAATGCATTTTATCAAAAATATTGATTCATCAATTTGAAAAGCTAAGTGTGATATTTTAGAAAAAGCACCAACGCAAAAGCATGATTTGGCAAACAGTTTTCCTAAACCTGACGCTAATGTTTCCGTAAATGTTTCCGGTGCAAAGCCTATAGAGTTGCAAAATTGAAAACACACTGAAAAGCCACATCAGCGGTGCTTGATTAAGTAGAAGTGGCTTAAGAAGCTAAATGACTGTGATTGTGTTCTCTAGAACGTAATCTCATTGTCCACGACACGTCGATACGGTTGGAATATCGTCAGAGTACAGCCTGCTTTTGTCACTTCAGGCCAAAGTTGGTGAGCACATGCGACTAGATAGGGCGATTCTTGCTTAAGCCAACAGATCAGAACCTTAACCTGCGTATGACATTGACACCTACATAGTTGTTGCCCGATAAGAAGGCAAATTCTAGGCATAATATGTCACAAACACTGTCATATAAATTCGGTCCACTTGTTGCATGTCTATTCTGTTTTTGTATGTCATTTATAACTGGAATTGATGATCTCAGTCCTTTACATGAAACAGTGAGAGACACGTAGGGACAAAGCGATAAGATTGGCTCTCCACAGGCGAGTTTTTAAAAAATGGAAAAAATGAGATTGCTTTTGAAATAGAAGCATGGCCTTTAATAATCTGTGAAGCAAAAACCACTCGTGTAGCAAATGTCTGTTCTGATTAATTTTCTCGCACCAGCTTGATGTAGATTTTATTACCTCGATGAATTTATTGATTAGAGTTTAAAAAAAGTTGTCGGGATTGGAAACATATGTATCTAATGAATAACTGTTGCATTTCACTTACAATGGTCAGTGCTGTCCGGGAGATCACTTAGCAACTGAACATAGTTATACGGGAACATTCCTACTTGTCCATTCAATTCGCCTTTCCACCAATCACTTTCCTTTGATATGACATTGATGACACTTCCTTTGTAAAACGTTAATTCATCTTCATTTTGAGCAGTGTAAGAGAAAAGTGCCAAAACTTGATCTGGAAGAGATATCACAATATGTAAACAAGCAACCAAATTTCACAAGCATCTTTTCCAAAAAACAATTGTACAATATTACAGGTAGCACAACACTACTAGTAGTTATAGAAGCTTCACCTACCCGCGGGGTTCTCGCGTCTTTGCGGTACTGCGTACAGATCATCATCAGCATCATTGACAACAGCTTGCTCTGACGACTTCGTGGACTCCGTTGACTTGGCCAACAGCTTAACGTGTGACGCTGGAAACCAACCGACTTGGCGCTGCTTACCCCTAGCCTGAAAAACAACATTATCTGAAATTAAAGTACAGATAAAATGATAACCTTGGCAAAATACTAAGAATAGTGTCTTGTCTAAAGAGATGCAGGTTTAGAAAATCACGCTAGAGATTTCATATATCGATGTCTTTTTACATGATTTAAAAAGGAGTAGGGTCACAACAAATTCCTTTTGATCTAAACATCCTCGGTGATAGCCAAGGAGCACGGAAGCCTGCTATTAGTAAAAAGGGTTTCAGATTGTTAGAATATATCTCACTGTCTAGTCATCGCACATATACGACAGTTATATCCCTGTCCAGCTCAAATTCACGACTTACCAAGGCCCAAGCGAAATGACACCAGCTCAAATTCACAGCTTACCAGGGCCCAAGCGAAATGACACGCAATTGAAAAATAAATCCGACGAAAGTTGCAGATACACCTTCCAGTTTCTTAAACCCTTTGACTTGCCGTGAAAGGGCCAATACATTGCAGCTAGAAACCACTTATCATGGGCGTGGCGTCTGACCTGTAGTCATACATGGCTGGTTCAGCCCAAAACAATTGTTTACGAATATCTCCTACATAAATAACTAGGATAACTTAAGATCAATAAACGGGAACCTTCCAGTAACATCTTAACTACCACCAAGCAAATCGTCCCCAAATACCATAAGAATACCTTTGCAAAACTAACAGTGACTTTCCTGCCACAGACAGTATCATTGGCCTCTTCTCAAATGGACGTTTCATTTTAACAAATTAGAGCAAAGACCTTCTTCAACCACAAGACCTTGTTTTCGACAGTTTCCAACAATCTCTCGCCCAATTACAATTTTCTAGGCAAATCAGCTTAACTTTAAATCCATTTATCCGCTAAGCCAAATAAAAACAGATGTCTTTAGCAATATGACTGTGAGATACCATCAATGAAACATTCATCTTTAACTAAAATACTGGCTATAAATACAGATTAATAATATAAGTATGAATTATTAAGATCACTAGCGTTGGAGATACACGAGACGACGATCTTGGAGAATAGCAAAGACATAAAATTCAACTTCCATAAAACGGTGCTGCGAGGATTTGGTAAAATTTTCTTCTTTGCAAGTTATGCCATTTAAAACTTTTGTTTCCCATACTTCCAGCAAAGAAAAGGAAATTGAAATGTAGGAATCTATTGAGCATCTCTAATGTCTACTTCTGTGCGATACAAAACCAAAACGCAGCAGAACTTGATTAATAGCATTTTGATAGCATTATTTTAGCAATTGAACCTGTAGCTTTTGGCATGTTCCCAAACACGTAGAATAAATACCGCAATACGCCTGAAAAGTTAGGTATGCAACTCGTTTCGACCTCTGAGCGCGTGAATAGTGATCTAAGAAGAAATTCTGAGGCAAACACAAACCTGGAGTTCTCCTTGCCACCACCCGCCCTGGTCTTTCTTCAAAACGTGTATCAACTGGCCAGGACTCAACGAGATTTCGCGAGCATCTGAGGCTGTGAATTGCGAAATAACAGTTGCCACCTCTGGCTTCTTTGTAGTCTAAAGAATCCAAGAAAATTTCATTAAAGACAGGGTCGTTAAAAGACGTATTTATATCTGATCAATCAGCCAATCAAAAGTCACAATTAACGAATTATTTTGTCTATATAAGGTTGTGAGAAACTGCAGCAGACTTTCACCTTCTCATTATATATTACTATCAATAACTTTCTGGGGAAAACAAATATTTCACGAAAAATAATCCCAAGGAAAAATTTTTTTGAGACACTTAAAGAAGGGAATTGTTAAACCTCATTCCAATAGCCTGAAAAATAATGCCTGTTATCTCTCAAAAAGCTGCAATACTATTATAAATATTTCCAAAAGCACCTGGCATTTACCAAAATTTCCCATGATTCTAAGCGTTTTGTGTAAGCTGATATATGAGCTGTCTTCTCAAAGAACATAAGTCTGGGAGTGAGATTAGTTTATTTGTCTACCAGTGTAAATTTCGTCCAACATATTCGTCAAAAGTAACCAGTGTGATTAGATGGTGTCTCGAGATGTACTAAGACTTTAAGAGTTTAAGAGTATGCTGTCGGTCGCGAAAATTACGATAGCACGGAAAGTGTTCCATGGAGGGGGATTATTTCTTAGAAATAGTGTAGCATTTGTGAGTGTCTGTTGCAGCTGGTAATAGCAGAGACAGTGTTAAGAAAAACTAGCACCAGGGCACTTGAAGCTTAGTCAAAAAGCAGCCAGTTTATACGTCAGATTCTAGAAAATTACTATGGATTTGTAATAGGGATGTTAATATTAAGAAAGTTTCAATATTCTTCTGTTTCACAGAAATAGCCTCCGGAGTGAAGAAATAATACCAATAAGGGTATGGTCATTTCTGAGATATGATGGTTCATTAAAGGTACCACACATGTCTCTATTGGATTTTACAGTAGAAATTATATGCAAGAAAGCATCTACAAGATCAAAATCTTCTCCTGTCTCTGGCTCTAAAACTTTCTCCTCAAGCCAAAGGATACGAAAAACCCGGTCGATGTAGTAAATTAAAAATGAGAAATTATCTTTAATGCTTGTCTTCAAGTTCCTAAATAGGAATATATTTAGGTGAGTCTTGTTCCATTAAAATTGGTTGGTATAAACTTGGTCTACCTGCCAAACATTAGGAGATAAAAGTCCACTGACTATCGACAATTTAGTAATTGCGTGAAAAAACTGCGGACTTAAGAAGTTAAAGCGCTTTTAAACAAATCGATAGGGTTAAAGTAAAAACCAGTGAACTGAGAAAGATGTTGTTAACAGTGAATAATTCACGTTTATAATTTATGTGGAATATTTGGACATTTATTAACAACAAAAAGTTTTATGATAAGCTAACATTTGGTAGTGTATCATAAGAAGAAACCTACCTGGAACCTCCAAATACTACGTTTGGGAAAGAACTGCTGAAACATCTACACAAACAAACTAATGCAAATGGGTTCGTTTACATGCTTCCAGGCAAGCACCGTGCCAATGTAGCTTAAACAGTACACAACAAACAGCCCGCTCAAGTCTGACACAGCCTTGAACAATTTTCATAACAATGATAAAACTGTGTTATGAAATCCCCAGCAAACAATGGACAGGTGATCACAAGGCAAATCTTATTGGCTAGATCTAAACAGTATTCTAGGGGCAAGCTGCAAGCCGGATCAAACATATGTTCTTCAAAATAACGAAAGAAGAACGGCACGTGACGGGAGCTCCGATATCATTTCAAACAAGTTTACTGAAATCGGTCACATATGTTTCCCATTAAAATACAATGTCAACAAAGAAAAAAATTAATATCCAAGGATCTTTGGGCGAATATCATTAATAGCAAAAATAAGCTACCTAACAAAAGCAGACACAATGAATTTAATCAAGAAATGAGACATCCTGGGTCAACCGGACAATGTTCTTCAAAGACCAATAAACAGCAAAGACTGTTGTATGCTTGGGAAATTTTTCGTAACAGGTTCAGGTTTCAATAAAATGCCATGCATGTAGTCATTCTGACGACTCCATAGATCTTCCAATATGTAATATGGCGTCAAAGCTGAGCTGTAGATCTTTATTTTACACTAAGGGTTATTTAGCGACCCAAACCATGGGTGTTTCGATTGATTTTCACATTACCTATTCACAATCCAGCACTGTAAGTGTCAGAAGGGAGGGTATGTGCAAGCGATAAACGAAACAAATCGTTCAATAGCTCAATTATTCAATTCCCACAAATACTTGTAGCTTCAAATCTAAATTTGAGTTAAGTGCACCCTGACAAATGTTGAATATTCTTTCCATACACCTACTAGTTCCAATAACATTGTGCACCGGGCACAGAAGGGTAAAAAACGATTGCGTACATAGCACAGAAGGGTTTAATCTAACTTTAGAAAACCCTTTTTGGAGCCTGTCACGTCGTGGCTTCTCACTAGAAGAATCAATGGAATATCTCTAGAAATTTAAATATTCTAGCTCTATATAAACGAGTATTAATTTTTACCTCAAGTTGTTCTTTCATTTTCACATAATTAGCTGGAAAGAATCCACATTCTCCTTTGAGATATCCCTCCCACCAATCACCTTCTTTCTTTGTGATTTTGATGACGTCACCCTCGCTGAATGAGAGGTCGCCCGCTGGCCCAGCATAATCGAATAACGCTGAGCATTCTACGATGAAGATCATGATTCAAATTAAACAGTGTTTTTCAAGAAAAGGTATCATAAGGTATCGTTTAATAACTGAAAAACGGAAGTAAGACACGATACAGTTTAAAGAAAATATTGTATGAGAACTATCTATCCACAAAAATATACAATTTCAGCCATCATGCCTGAAAGAGGATTGGAGCATTGGAATGTTTGTTCGAAATATTCCAGTAGAAACCATTGTATTTGCAGGTAGCAGTCTAGAGGGCCTAACGGAGTCATTGCGGTTCTAACATCCACTTTATTGCGAGCAACGTCAACTTTTTATCACAAACAATTTGAAGCTTAGGAACAAAAGATTTTTCGGAAAAACTGGAAAGCAGAGCAAAACGTGATTAAAAAAGTGATGGACAAACTTAATAAAAAAATCTAAATGATGGAAAAATCAAAATATGATAACGCAGTATTTCCTAATAGATTTTGAAAGCTCCTTGATACTTTGACAAGCGCAAGTTAGATGACGTGGATGTGAGAGCAAAGCGACAACGCTTAAAAACGTTGTCTACAAACGTAGTATCGTGGTAAAGGGTACTTAGCCTCCCAGTGAGATATTCTTTTGGCTAGCAATACCACAAGCATTGTAAACATTTAACTTATTAAAAATCAATACAAAATTTCCACGCTGTACTGACCATAAGTGGCAATATTTTAAGTAAAATACTTTCCAGGTTCGTGAATCGACTTTCCGCATAATCCCCTGCGATGACTACATATAACATTTCACAAAGGAAAAGAAATTGCGCGGTTTGATTATGCGAAAGCTAATAATACGTGACAGACCAAATTTAATCATCAAGTGATAAATGTATTTGAAATGATGTACGGGAGATAAAAAGTTTCAAAAGCAAGCGTAGGGCAGAGACTTTTATGGAATGGGGAAGCTGTTCTTTAGAGCACAAGGAAAATAATGAGGATCATTTTAATAGATATGGTTTCAATTGCCCTTCGATTTAAAGTAAACATTCTTAATAATCTTTTCGACGAGTTTAACTGTATGGATTAAAAAAAACAGGATGAGAGGGGGAGTTATATGAACCTTTCAGAGTTCTTTTATGCATATGACACTTTGCATAAATTTTAGGACAGCCCCCCCCCCCATGCACCCCTTCAAGTTAAGCCACTGACCGATCAGTACCAAAAAACTCAAGACACCACAAGTTTTCGGTCTTAATCTGCAAGCCAAATTTCATCACAACCTGAGAAATATTTTGTTTTATGATTGTGATAAATTCACATGGAATGACCCTAAAATATCTAAGATAATGGTTTAAAGGTTGTATGCAGACAAACAGAGAACGAAATATTGAACAAGAAGAGCGAAGCAGAAATTTCTGAAAAGCATAAGAAATAAATTGCAAATACAGATTGACTGAAATTGCTGCAAATGAAATGAAACTGCACTTTAAAATCTCAATAGAATCTATAATTAATGCTTAATAATTCAAGGAGACACAAGTAATTAAGGGAAATTGCATTTTTCAGCTGATATCGGATTTTTGTCTGTCTCACGTGGAAAATAATTTAATTTCTTCAAATTAACTAAATAACCGGTGATCTTCTCTTAGAACTGGAAGCCGATACCAATGAAATTTACGTATGAGAGTCGCCCTATGGAAATAATTTGTACCTCCAACATAGCTCTGCTCCCCGCCTGAATGCTCAGTTGCGACTGATGACGTCGATGAGGCGACGCTACTCGTATCACATGCATCGTCAAGACCAACCAATCTGCAAAGCAAGCAATAATGATAAGATCATTTTGTTGATAAATTATCATTATTTTCTAAGTCTTGACAAAAGATTATGATAATAATAATCATAATCAAAATAAATTACTTGCAACTTTCTGAATTAAATATGCGATTGACACTGTTATTTCCATATTGACAAAAGCGAGAGACAATGAAATTTGAAAAATTATAGATTCCATAGATAAATCGAAAGACAAGATAGGACAGTTCGATTTAATGCGAATAGCAAGCTTAAAATTTAGGATTTACAGGGGGCATTGAAACTTCACTCAATTGATAATAATTCAATTCAATTCAATCCAATCCAGTTCAATCCAATTCAACTTAATTCAATCCACTTCAATTTAACCTTCTCATGCCATGCAGCCTTAAAATACATTATATGCGACCCAGGAAAACAACGGCTTATCAAGCCTGAGCATCTTCAAATAAAATTCTAATACAAAAAAATGAAAAGCTAACAAACAGTACTGTCAAGCTTAAATCAGTGTAACAAAGTTATGAATAGAGGATAAACTTAAATGATATAAAATTGATATAAAATTCAGATTCTAATTATAAAGCATAGATGACATGATCGTAGCAGATCAACATATAAGACGGTGTTGTCATAAATCACACGGTGTTAAAATTCTTGTTGTTGTGCAATTTTTAATAATGGATTGAGGCTAATATTGTGAATCAGAAAGAGAAATATTATCAATCAATGGAGCTATGCTATTATAACTGTCTTTTCATTATCTTTTTCAGTGTCGCTGTTAAAGTTGTGTAGCTAGCAAGACTAGTAAGGCATCTCGGCAGATTTTTACACAGACGAGCACCCCGGTTTAGTTGACTGATAATGAATAAGTTGATGGTTATTAATATTATCATTGATTATAAAGATTGAAGATAATCATGATTGATAATCATGATTGATAATCATGATTGATAATCATGATTGATTAAGAAGTTGATGATTATCAATGTTAACATTGGTTATAATGATAGATAATCACGATTGATAATCATGATTAATCAAGAAGCTGGTGATTATCAATACTATCATTGATTATAAAGATTGAAGATAATCATGATTGATAATCATGATTGATTAAGAAGTTGATGATTATCAATGTTAACATTGGTTATAATGATAGATAATCACGATTGATAATCATGATTAATCAAGAAGCTGGTGATTATCAATACTATCATTGATTATAAAGATTGAAGATAATCATGATTGATAATCATGATTGATTAAGAAGTTGATGATTATCAATGTTAACATTGGTTATAATGATAGATAATCACGATTGATAATCATGATTAATCAAGAAGCTAGTGATTATCAATACTATCATTGATTATAAAGATTGAAGATAATCATGATTGATAATCATGATTCATGATCATGATTGATCAAGAAGCTGATGATGATGACCATGAAATTAGATTAATAATACCAAGAAACAATGTTAAGCGTTGACATGTGATAAATAATACTTACGATGGACTTTTAACATTTCCAATGATCTTCACGTATGACTTTGGAAACCATCCTCGCTAGTGCAGAAAATATCACTAGGTGAGATTGCAAGCATACGCAATACAATAACGGTACAGGCATACTAAACCTTTGAGAAAAAAGTCGATGTACTTGCATTTCACAAGTTTATTTAGTCTAAAGCCCTAGGTGTTCAATTTAAAGCAACAAATTCCTGAGATATATAGCTAAAATATCGGCTAGTGGGGACAGGAAACTCTGTCAAATAGTGTACAAAAGGAAAGAATGCAAACTTTCAGAAAGGGCGAGTTTCAAATAAATAATGGCTACTCTAAACACTTCACTGACAGTCTTATCTCTATATTTTTATCACTCAACACCACGTATGGAATAGCTGAATTCCATTGCAGTCCCTTGAAAAGTATATTCTAAACGAATTCACTGCAAAATTGCGATGTTTCTGGTAATATAAATACCCTCCAGCACATCTACAGTATCCTTTATGGCAAGTTTAAAAAAGGCAGAATAAATATGAAAGCTTTGCGAGTCCCATAAAAGCGACAAGATAGTGCATGTCGAAAAGAAAGCAGCATGGAATATCTTCGTTATCAGCCATTTTAAACTGATGATTTATACAAAACTTTCGCAAGGTACTGAATAATTCAACTTGCTTCTACCTTGCCATTGCAGTCTCCAAACCACCATATATCTTGCTGCTCTTGAACAATAATGTGGTCATTCTTATTAAAAGTCAAATGGTCATCCTTTTTGCCTCGATATGGGTACAGTGCAACAGCCTGCAGTCCTTCTGGTACTCTGACACTAGTCTCAGTCGTTGACGGTCCCTGTAATAAGCATAACACAATGAACACGCGACATTCTCAAGACCCAAGACAGCAAACCTTTTTATTGGAAACAGAAAAAGGTGTACATTGCCTGCAACTTACTTAAATAAGGCTTTCATCGTAGCACAGGACCTTTACAATAAAATTATTTTCCACTGTTTGTTAGCTTTTTCTTGGTTTAGCTGCCTTCCGAGGCAAGCAAGGCCTAAACCGATAATGCTGTCATTGTTATTCACTGCTTAATATTTTCAAGTACTTAGTTTATAAAATTCCCGAATTCTCAATTACCGTCCCGTTAGTAATGAGGAACCTAAGGGAGAAGTATTAGTTTCATATCAGTCACTGGCTTGCTGTAGAGCAGAAAGAAACGCAGTGTGGTCGTTTTTACTAGGAGTCTTCGAAAGCATTTCCCAATTGATATTTTAAATTTCTGGATGTTTGATAAAGTATCTGCAATGCATTCAGACAAAAAATCATGAATAAATTTCATGATGAGCTTGCATTAGTTGAACAGTTCCAGACAAACTCATGATGATTTGCAAACACTGCACTAGATTTTGTTTCCAAAGAGATTTACTGAGATACATTGTACAAACATTTTTTATGGAATGCAGATGCTGGGTTGCATTGCTGGATTAATGTATCTTTACCTTCTACTGGTTCATACTTTATTCTTGTGCATCTGGCTTATGTGAAAAGGATTCCCAAAACAGGGTGCATTGAAGAAACCATACTAAAAACTGGTACATTATGGAATTATATGAAAAGGATACCCAAAACTGTAGAGAAATATTGAAATCAGACCCAAAACCGGGGTTCGCACATACCCGTCCTTTTCTTTAGGCACCTCCACCCCCGGGAAGCATTTGAAAGCAAAAAGATGTAAGGCATCAGAAACACTTGAAGAGGTGAACATAATAGCTAACTAAATAGGAGAAATCCGTACATCGATAGTGGAAGGAGGCATGACATTCTCGTAGCACTCCCTTTTCTCCAGTGAGCCAGCAATGCTTTTGACAGAACCCTGAGTAACACTGCCCTGCTGACTAGAAGACCCATCTGTCCCATCAGAGCTTCCAAAAGATGATGTTCGATCGTGCAGCGAATCTGCAAAAGAACCTGCTCTTGCCTTCGTGTCTAGTGACTTTGCACCAGGAAAGGGAATTGGAGAGGACCTCTGATTTGGTCTTGGTATTGCCAAACCTTTAGGTAGCAGTGCAGTCTTCTTTGAGGGTAGCTCCGTTGCCTGACCACCCTCCTGTGTCTCTAATACCAAAGAACTGCGGTTGGTATTGTTGTTTTCCGTTTGTTGTGGGGCCGGCTTGACATCAGCTGTTGAGGATGTCTTGACAGCTTCAACCGCAGTATTCATTACTTTGGCACTTTTATCTAGATCAACATAGTCAGAAAATGCACCCCTGGCTGTCTTTTCGACATAGTTAACTGGAAAAAGTCCAGTACTGCCTCCGCTTGTACCTCGTAGCCATCCAGGTGGAGGTGAGTCGTCACTTTCATCAACCTGCAGTATTTGATCAAATTAAGCAAACAATTCAGTGGATGATATCTAAACGATTCCTAAATACGTTTAAATCCGTTTGCTATGGTAAAGACCTTCAAGGTGATTTCAGTTTTAAACACTATTATCTAGGTCCATGGCAATGACATAATCTTAAATTAGGTCCCCATGGTAAGAGTAGTACCTTCCCAAGTTGCACTAGTGATTTGTCTGACGTAAGGTTCAGGCAAAGCTTTGAGGCTGGTAAATCACACATCATTGTAAGCGTGGTCATTTAAAGAACCTACACCAGGCAATACGTCTTAAGCATAGAGCATCATTAACTATGTGAGAAGAGTATGAAAATAATAAGATACGCTACATAAAATCGTTCGGTTGTACACGTTTATGGCTCTGTCGGTATGGCATAGTGCAGTCAGCAAAGATTACTATACGCTTCAAAAACCAAAACAAAACGTGCTAAACTCTGTTGTTTCATATGTGAGTGACGAAAACTTGAGGATAATTTTGAAGTCTCCACTTATATGCAGGTCAGTATTTAACAAATAAATCACCTCGATTATATCGCCGTCGAGGATGGAAAGCTCATCGGGATGCCGTGCCTCAAACGGGAAAATAGCCTTGAATTTTGTCAGTCTTTTGGCTGCCACAGGTTCTGCTGGGAAAATGAGTTAAATACAATTATAGGCTGAGCCAAATACGATGGCTAATTCAAGTAAACACAGAAACAGGCGCAAAGCAGAGGAAAATTTGATTATAGTTTCATGGCACTTTGCTTATTCCATGGAAATAGTAAGCTTGTTAGACTACAAACCAAAGATAATTAAGTCTTTCACAGCAGCGATTTCACATAATTACTTTTAATGAAAGAGGCAACAGTAGAAACGACCATGCTACACAACCTAAATCCCAAACTAAAAGCCATAGCTACGCGCTTGTGAGAAGTGTTAACAAAAACAACTTTAAAGCGAATTTGATGAAGCGGTGTCTTATTCTTAGTATTCCAACATGAAGGGTTGAAAGCACGTTCCCTTTCCTGTTAAATTCTAAATTGTTTGGCACGATTGCAAATGTTTTCTGCACTTGAAAAGTAAAGCTATGTTTAGAGCGAAACAAATGAAATTCTACGGTATCTCCAATCATTGGTAACCATAACTCAAGCAAAAATGTAGGTGATGTCAACTAACCTTCACTGACGGATGTAGTTTGTGACGGCTGAGGTTGGCTAGGCGCTTCGGCTTGGCTAGGCTGTTCTTGCTGTTGATCCTGTTGCTAAAGAACGGCAGAATCACATCAAAATGGGACAGTATACATTACCAAACGACCGAAGAAGCTATTTATAAAGCTACTTAAAAAGTTTCAGTACAATCATAATCATCATTGAATTCAATTTACTTTTTCTCATTTTTCAAAATTAATTCTTGCTATTGCCTTTGTATACACGCATCCGAAATAGGCTGCATCGCATTTCTTCAAATATATACTACTCAGATGACGAATTGGTCAAAAGCTGTATGACATCGTATATTATATACATACTACCCACATCGCACATTATATACAGAAGACATTTTTCACCTTTTTTATTCTCTTTAATTTCTGCATCTCTTCAACTTTTTTTCTAACTTCATCTTTCTCTCTTTGCTTCCTTTCCTCTTCTCCTTTCTGTTGCCTTTCTAATTCCAATCTCCTTTGCTCCTCTTCCCACGTCTTCTTCTCTTCCAGTTCCTTTCGTTTCTCTTCCTCTTTCCTTTCAGTCTCCTTTACTAGTCTCTCTTCTTCGCGCCTTCTTAACTCTTCCTCCCAACGCTTTCGTTCTGCTTCTCCTTTTATTTTTTCCTGCTCCCTTCGCCTTTGTAATGCTTCTTCCTTCTTTTTTCTTTCTATTTCTAACTGTTTCCTCGCTTCCATCATTTTCATTTTTTCTTGCTCTTCTTGAAGCCGCTTCTGTTCCTCTTCCTGCCGTTTCCGCTCTTCTTCTTGCCGTTTACGTTCTTCCTCCTGCCGCGTCCTATCTTCCACTGACGAAACCTCTCTTTCGCCACTTCTAATCTTCACCTCCTTGTTAGTATTCAGATTACCCGTTGCTTCCTTCAGCTGCTTCATAAGATCATTCTCAGGTGCATGGCGGCCAAAATCGAGTTCTGCTAAAGCATCCCAGTTGCCAAAACTCTTTTCTTCATTTTTCCTCGCTTCAACTGCCGGTGCTTTGATCTTATCACCCGAAGCCGCGACAGGCCTTGTCTTTGGTCGTGGTGGTGCAACTGGCTTACTACTTTTCTTCGGCGGGGGAATCGGCAACACAGTATCTAATGCAAATAGATAAATTTAAAAAATTGACAGATTTCAATCAATTTCATTATCATTTTGACGTCATCTATTCTTTATAACTCAACTGCTCTTCGTTGAATGGGTTATGCTACGGGATATTACACGTGATAAAATCTTTGATTGAAAGACAGAGCGGTGAATTGGAAACCCATTTAAAACCAAGTTGTCACATTTTTCTATGTTTTATCACCTAAACTAAAGATGTGGCCATTTTTGAGTCTTATTATATTTCGTACATCAAAGGATGATCAAAAAAGAAGTACGAAAACTGGAAACTTTGTGCTCCTCCACCAAAAACTAGACAATATCATTTGAGGAGAAAAAATTTGCTCAATCGAAGAAAGCGTAAAGAAGATAAAAACACATCTAATTAATATAATTTTACGATTAGAGCACTGAAACAATGGAGATAGAAATTTCAGCTTTCTGATTAATGTTTTTAAAGTAGCAGATTTTTCTACGCGTACCGAGTATACTTTGTAAAAAAGACAAATGTGCATGGAGGTTCTTTAACTTTTTTTAATTACATACCTACTGCCGGTGTTGACTTAACAGATGACGCCGTAAAGAGATCCTGGGTTGTTTGATGAGCGCCTGAGGCATTCTTGTGATTGGATTTAATATCGTGCTGCTTTTGGACGGCTTCAGCAGTCAATTGTTTTGCTCTCTCCATCTGAGCGTGCTTTTCAGAAGATTGTGCACTTTGAATTCGCCGCATCGATTCTTCCTGTCGTTGTTGCTCCAGCTTCATTGCTGTAAAAGGTGAGTTACAACTAAATATGTGCACCTGTGCGCCCAAATCAGGGTGGCTCACAATTTGATAGGCAATAGTAACAAGTTACATTTAAATATGTGCACCTGTGCGCCCAAATCAGGGTGGCTCATAATTTTATGGGCCATAGTAGCAAGCTACAATTAATTGTGTGCATCTGTGCGCCCAAATCAGGGTGGCTCATAATTTGATAGGCCATAGTAGTAAGTTACAACTAAATGTGTGCATCTGTGCGCCCAAATCAGGGTGGCTCATGAATTCATAGGCCATAGTAGCAAGTTACAACTAAATGTGTGCATCTGTGCGCCCAAATCAGGGTGGCTCATAATTTTATGGGCCATAGTAGCAAGCTGCAATTAATTGTGTGCATCTGTGCGCCCAAATCAGGGTGGCTCATAATTTGATAGGCCATAGTAGTAAGTTACAACTCAATGTGTGCATCTGTGCGCCCAAATCAGGGTGGCTCATAATTTTATAGGCCATAGTAGTAAGTTACAACTCAATGTGTGCATCTGTGCGCCCAAATCAGGGTGGCTCATGAATTCATAGGCCATAGTAGCAAGTTACAACTAAATGTGTGCATCTGTGCGCCCAAATCAGGGTGGCTCATAATTTTATAGGCCAAAGTAGCAAGTTGCAACTAATTATGTGCATCTGTGCGCCAAAATCATTTGGCCCAGGAATTAGTGAAAATCTGAAATGGTGGGTTTCAAAATCCTTCTTTTTGTCCCAGATAGCAGGAAATTTGCCGTCAAAACTCAATCATTCAAGACAGTCAGGGGCACAGCAGTAATGCACTTGCAGATTCACGATACCTGGAATTTCCAGAGGATTATACATTACTCTGCCTCGAAACTTGGAACAAAGTTAAAAGACATTTCCCCTTTTTAACACCTCACCTATTGTTTCTTGCTTCAGCCAAATAAAAAAATTAACAAACCTTGTTGTTCCTTCTCTTTTTGCTTTCTTCTATCTTCCTCTCTCTGTTTATTAATCATTTCTTCTCTCCTTCGCTTCGCCTCAGTTTCCTTCCTCAGTCGTTCTTCATCTTCCTTCTTTCTTCTGTTCATCAAATCCAATCTTCTTGTTTCGTCCTCCAAACTTTGCTTGGCAACTTGGTATTCTCGTTTTTTCTGCTCTTCAAGCTGTTTGTATCGCTTATTTTCATCCATTTTGATTTGCAAAGCAGCTTTTACTGTCTAAAAATCAAACAACTTGCAGATTTGTAACTAATTTAAGACGTTTCATGAGGAACATTTTGAAACCAAACCAAAAAGTTAAAAATCTAAAGCTATTAACAAAAATAAAAACTCCTACATCTATTCGCTGTATAATTAAGTTCTTGTAAAAACAAAAAACAAATATTCTTACCGGTATCTGCCTTGTGGTAAAATCGTTTTCCTTCAACGAACTGTCGGTCTCGCTTTCTATGGCTTGCAACTGCGTTTTTAAGCGTGGAATGTTTGATCTCGTTTGCAGTATGCTGGCTCTTACACCACCAAGAGCTTCACCTGAGAATTTAATAGAAAAGATATTGTATATTGGATTATCGTCAAAATCTTTCCAATTGATTGAATGTATACTATTCAGTTTAATAGTAGTCCATAAAGGTTATTGGTAAACTCATATTTGCATGAAATTCAATGTAACAGCGAATGCGACCTCTCTACAAAAAGTATATATATATATATAATAATTCACAATGTAAACGTTGGTTTTGCCTAAAAATCTTCCTTTTGACACGGTAACACTGTTGTTGTTTCCAAAAAAACCGATAACCTAACGAAATTTTCATTTCAGCCTACTGAAATATGTCTTATGAATTTTACAACCTCAGGGTGTCAAATATCTATTCCTGCAAACCATGTTCCCTTCTGTAGATGCTTCTCAATTGATGAGATGCACAATCGGTATAAAACATTGACCAACATATGGTAATGAAGATACACTTACTCGTAGTAGTAGAGTCCAGCTTATTTGTTTCGACATCTACGCGTTCTCGTTCTGTCTTCAATTGTGCTACAAGCATTCTCATTTTCTGTAATTTCAAAACGAAATGTTACCGACTGACAATATTTAGGACTATAACAAACATGTGTCTCAAGTCTCTGTCTTTGTGCTCAAGACAAAAATATTGCAGCAAATAAGGGGACATCTATTCTACTGAAGTTCTTTATTCGCAATCATGTTCAAAACTTCAAATACGCTAAATAAATTGTGCGCCATCCACTTTACTTTTCCTGTAACCAGCTAGAAAAATCTGACATACCAATATTTGTATCGATCATTTTGCAGAGGTTGCAAAAAATGTTTTTATCATAAAAGCCGTGGCGAAAGATATTAAATAAAGAGCATGAAATCTGCATAAAAAAGCTACCTGAGCATCATTTTGAATTTGTGTGATGTGCGAAAGAATGAAATTTCTCGATTTGTTCATATCAGCAATTGATGCGATCAGCTCTTTTTTAACTGCTACCTTGCCTTGCAGGGAGGCGCTCAGCGCATCACGCTGTGCAGTCTACGGTGATAAAACCCGATGGAAACATTATTTAATTGTTAATAAACAGTATGATCAGATTAATAAAGTGGCAGAATAAGCAGCAAAATGTGCCTAGGTAAAATGGAGTTTGTACTTTAATATGATTTTCATTTCAGTCGGTAGTGCTCGATTCTCTCAATACCATGATCATTTGCACAGCTTGGTACGCTTCAAGATAACAGATTGGTCATAGCAAACCTAGTTCTAGAGACACCTCCGATTGGTTTACTGTTACTCTAGAAAACATATCGATCCCCAGTATATTTTCGTACATAGTAGATAGCCTATACCTAAACTCAGTAGATAGAAATACCTCGACAATAAGTTCTCCTTTTAGCTTCTCAAGCCTTAGTTTAAGGCCTTTGACGATATCCTCTTCCAGACCTTTTTGGTTAAGCAACTCATCCTTTCGTCGCTGTTCCCATTCTCGTTGACGCTGCCTTTCAGCTTCCAACTGAGCGGCCTATTACAGTATACGTATTCACCATTAAAAGAAGCATTTGACACAACATAATACGGATATAAAAAGGTTAGAATTTACACTGCTTGAAATTAGCTGCTCGGAAACAAACTAAGTACATACATACATACATAGAAACATGGAAACATTTCTTTCTGCCACATTGGATATCAAACAAGAAAGGCAATCTAGCTAGCTTAGCAAATCATAAAGCTTTGGTTTCAATTGGATTCGCACTTCCTACTGCAACGATAACTAGAGTTTTTGGGTGAATACCATAGGATTCCATGAATCAAAATTTTGTTTTTAAGGGGAAAGAGCTCCAAGCAGTGTTCAATCGGTGGCACCAAAAAGAGCCATGAATCACATTCCTAGTTTTTTAGGACTTGCCCTTGTTGTTAGAAATAACTAGATATAGATCGCTTCAAGGTTTTAAGGTGGTTTCAACCTTGTACTTAGAGACTCGCCTCTGACGTAATCAACATAAAGCACCTCTATGCAGTCAATGCGATTACAGATTTACGCGATCTAATGAACAACAATCCATTGAAACTCTTAACAGCCAAGTACGAAATGTGAAAGGTATATCATAATTACTGCTTGAACAGCTTAAGTACTCACGTGTCTTTCTTCTATCAATTTTCGTCGCTGTTTTTCTTGCTCCCTTTCCATTTCTTCTCGATGCCGTTTTTCGTTCTCGATTTGCTGTAGCCTTCTTGCTTCCGCTTCCTCTCTAGAAACATCACATTTTTAGATAATTTTTGCTTCTTCGATTACACTCTTCAGGCATGTTACAGTGAGTATCGTAAAGAATAAACTACTTTTTTAAGGGTTCAGACTGTTCTTGGGTCTTATCTAGGAAGCGCATATAGGAGTTGTAAGGCAGAGGTTCTCACGTTGGGCTTTTATCAAAAGGTGAACTTCAATCATGAATGGTTGGTGATACTAGGAAAAAGTGGTAGGTACTCCGGGACAATAGATAATTCAAGGGACAATGGCTTCGAGACTAAAAATCTAAGGCGAAAATAGATTACAGTTTCTAGGTTCTTAAATTCTGAGGCTCTTCTTTGAAGAAAATTACTTTTTTCAGACCAGGCGAAAATACAAAAGGTTCAATACAAAACGGGATAAAAACAAACCTTGTTTTGCGCTTTCTCTCTTCTTCCTCCCTTTCTTTTCTTTCTCTATCTTCCTACGGATAGTTACATCAAATATAAGAAAATAAAATGCAGTTAAAGCAATTGTCATTAGATGAGCGCAATTCAAAAACTCGTCCCTTAGCCAGAAAATCAAACCAAAATCCAAAACCTACTCAAAGGCTTTAAAACTATTCCAGATCTAAAGATTTCCAGCCTTACTTTTTCTTTCTGTATCTTCTCTTGCAATTCCCTTCGTCTTCTTTCTAACTCCATTCTTCCTTTTTCGTAGTTTTGCTTCCTTCTATCCTCAAATGTAACTGATGATTCAAAAACGCAACAATAAAACATAAATTTAGACATAAGAAAGAAAGAGGAAGACTTTGAAAAGATTCTGTTTTCAATGATGAATTCTTATTTTTGGCAAATACAAAGATGAGCATGCTCTCATTGTTGAAAATATAGTAGGGTTTGTTTCCCGTTGCCATCATATTTAAAAATTAGCCTTCTTTTACGGGGACGAAACAGGGGAAGCAAAATTCGGAAGGAGGGATTTATTCAAATGTTTTAATATTTTTTTTCAGAATCTGTATCACCTTCAAACTTTTATCTTCTACAGACAACAAACAGCTGGCACCAAAGAAATGGCACCGAAGAAGAAACAGAAGAAGAGAAGTAGCTTACCTGGGTCCATTTTCCCAAGACTTGATACACTTTCAGACCTTGGTCTACCAGTTTCAGTTCCTACTTCTGGTACTAAAGGCTCAGCCTCGTTGAATCTCTTGGTCGAGGGGATCAATGCATTGGGCAAAGTTACTGGTACAGGCTGGCCGGATTTTGCAAGATCAATAAGATGCATTGCGATTAGAAATTCATCTAGATCCAGATTACCATCTTTATTGATATCAGATAAATCCCTGTAAATACAAATAACGGTGGCTTTAGGATTCTACCAATCGGAAAAGACCAATAACAAGAATCAGTTTTGGAATCGGTTAGCGTTTCTTTCTAGCAAACAGATTTATGTTGCATTATTTTAACAAATACTTCGAGAGGCTCATGAAGATACTGTAATTGGAAAAAGAGGAACAAATTCACTAGAAATGAATGGAAAGGAAAGACACTGTCAACTGAAGCCTTTCTACAAAAACGTTGTACAGAAACAACATTTTAACATATCGTTCAAATAAACTACTATCATTATTCTTCGTTAATCTATAATTTCTTTAGGACAAAATAGTCGATAAACTGCCTTGCTGTTTCTACAAAACATTTAAGCTTGTTGTTTCCACGACTTTTCCACGAATTATAATCCATTTTACAGGATAAAAAGCATAAACAAGCTGATATCAAACTTACCATATTTTTGCAAGTTTATCTGGAGCGATGCTTGACTGTATCAGTAGCTGCCTGGCTTGCTCGCCTACAAAAAGGAGCAGTCATATTTTTACAAAAACATAAACAAGAAAGTACATAACGGCAAAAAAAGCATCAAAAAATTTATTGCAGAACTCCTATTCTTGAGCAACTTTAAAACAATGTCTTTAAAATGTTGTGACAATTCACTAAAAAAATTTCTAAGAGCGTTGAAGAAAATTTGATGATTTAGAAACATTGACCTAATGTTCATTTATGGATAATACCAAAATTTATTAACAAAAGTGACAAAACTATCAACTACCGTTGAATTACATCACTGAAGATGACTGAATCTGCTCGAAACTGACAAAATTGAAGTTAACTGAAGATGACTGAATCTGGTAAAGTTGATTTTACTAAATGTGTCAAGATTTAAGTGCGGTAAGATTTGGTGCCACGGTAGCCGAGTGGTTAAGGTGCTCGACTGCCATGCCAGCACTCTGGGTTCAATCCTGGCTCGCAGACAGCCCTCAGTTCACTCAGCTGAAAATGAGTACCTAGTTGAAACATACTAGGGAGGTAAAAGCGGCGTGGAAAGGAACTGGCCACCCTACTACACAATGCCGTGGCCCAGGATGCTGCGCCCCTAACAGTGCATTCCCCAACATTCGATATCGAATACGGGACCAAAAAGAATCTGAAACAAAAAATTAGATGGCTGCAAAAATAAAAACAAACAACTGTCTCAATTTTTCAAAATTACCTCTTAAGAATCCATTCTTTTCGTGGTCACCTGCCTTAAACATCTGTGTATATTTTAGTCTATTTGTTGGTGGAATAGATCCAGCTGTCAAAGATTTTTCTGTGACATCATTAGAACTGTTACTACTTCCTCCAAAAGTGGATCCAAACTGTGAACCTCCACTAGATGAGAAATTGCTTAACTGGCCACTTCCATGTACTGGACCCATGCTTGATGCACGGCTTAATTGCGCTTTTTGTTGAGCAGAGGAATCTGGTTTTGGTTGGTTCCAGCTTGATATTAGACCAAGGGAATCTAGTGGTGAAAGCCCTGTTTGGCCAGTATTTTGCTGCATATTTGACTGGGTGAGATGCAAATTTCGTGGAAAGGTATTGCTTCCAGTTATGCCTGTATGAAAGCCTGAGGCATTACCTAGAGGAGCAAATGCTGAATGGCCACTGCCAAACCCTGACTGAATATTTGAAGCACCAAAAGATGATTGCATGCCCATCATTCCAGTATGAGAGTTGCTGGCACTTGACATACCACTGACAGATGCAGACATACCTGAACTTGTCATGCCTGAGCTAGACATGCCCATCTGCATTGGCATCAGTAGTCCCCCCGACTGCAATCCCATTGACATACCAACAGAACCATTGCTTGCAGGTCCAACCATTTTGGTTCCAGGAGTATTCCCAGAGGATCCAAACACAGATTGATTTTCCACTGATGATGATTTCAAACTGTAAGGCAAAACTTTTGGTATTTCTATTCCTCTGCATTTTGCCTGAATCAAATGCACAGCAATTGTAAACTCTTGGAGTGTCATTTTACCATCATTGTCCATGTCTGAAAGTTGCCTTCAAAACAAAAAAATTAAATTTTGTGTTTTCTAGAATTTGATACGTGCTCAGTTTTAATACCTGGTTAACTGTTTCAAGGAAATGGGGTTGTATGTCTCTCATAAATTGTAACAGGAGAATTTAGAAATAATCTTCAGGGTAGTAAATAAATGCCAGTACAAGGTAAAAATCTGGTGTATCACTATTCAAATCTTTTAACCTTTCACAGCTAAGCTGAATTAGTTGAAATCAACTGGAAACCCAATAAAGAAAATAATATGGTTCACCAGAAGGCACAAAGACTGCATGCAAAACTGTATATTGCAACATTTATCCCGAGGATAGCTCTGCTAAGATTATCACTGACTGGCGTTTTGGAAATCAAAATATTGAAAGTTTCTAGATCTTTAACCTATGGCTTTATATTAACAGTGTTGTTCATAATTCTCTGAAGAATGTCAGACAAAAAGCTTGCTTACTCAAATGTTTGCTTTTTTCAAAGCTATTTTCAAGTCTTGTACATCCAAAAAAGTGTTGTTTATCTTCAACCCTAAATGTCATTGCAGATTTTAATCCCCAAATCTGGGTCTCTGGCAATAAACAGCAAAGTTGTATAGAAAGCAAGAACCATCCTTCATGAATAAACCTGCACTTTGAAGCAACAACCTTTATGAGCAAAGCAACTGTCAGGTAGCAGCCATACTTATATTAGTTGACTGTCTAATCAGTCTTTTGTTTGGCTTTGTGGCTTGGGATTGTTTTTCCTACAGGTCATTTGATCGGGCAGGGGATGCATTGACCATTTGTTTGGTCTTTTCTGGGGCTTTGGTGACTATGCTCAGGGCTTGAAAAAAGATTTTTCTTCCTGGCAGCAAAATAAAAAATTCAAGGTTTCCTGCGAAGCTTCGACAAAGTTTTCAGCCACTGAAAGTCATAATTTAAGTTGCTTGATTTGTTTAAACATTTGTCCTAAAAATAAACTGTCATACTTTTTTTTACTAAACTTTTACACACTAGAAAAGAAATATTTGTTGGTCCTCAATTTTTGATTGTAGCTATTCAAACAGCAATCATTTTGTTTATACTTTATAAGATGATCAAGGAGAAGGTGACAGAGCAAAATACTCATAGTTTGTTTTCAAGGTTAAAGTTAGTAGATCTGAAAATCTGTAATAACTTTGATTTAATTTCATATCAGTACTAGCTAACTAGACACTATTGAGGTATTGGTGTATCCTACCCCCTGCCCTGGGTTTCATGTTTGTTGCTCAAATTCATCATCAAAGCTAGTAGTTCATACAACATTTAAGAATACTATTTTATTTTCCAATGGTTAAAATTAATGTTTTAAATCAAGGGTGGTGCTAGAGGCAAAGATGTAAGCCCAAAACGCTTACATTCTATTTAAGCTAGCGATTAAAAATTTATGCGAATGCCAGTAGAAAGTATGAATGATAATGAACACATCGACACAGGTTTTGGGGCATGTTTATCTTCAATAAGATCGATGTAACAAGATTGGCTGTCTTTAAGTGTTTCTATTTATCGAGGAAAGGCTTATGTACAAAGAGAAGTGAATGCCTGAATTGTTATAAATTTGGCATAACAGATGCTGACAATACCTGATGATTGTATTTTGAAAGCTAAACTTCGTTTTTTGTTAGTAATGCAGAACAAAAATTATATAGTATGTATCTATATCACAAGAAAACAGTGTTCAGTAGAAAGAGAGTAACATAAATTTAATGTTCATATTAAAATCAAGCAATGGAGATTTCACGCTTAAAATTTCCTGGCAAACAGCAACAATTTCCTGCAATGAATTTGTACTCAAGCCCTGACATTTTCAAGCCCTGACTATGCTATACAAACCCCCTTTCTTGTGTAAGGCCATTGCTATATAAACCCCCTCTCTTTTCCTTCCTATCTATATAGAATTTTTGCAATATTTACTATATGTTAATTGTAATGGCCACAGGGTTGTTATGTATTTCTATGCTCCCTGCTAAACTCGTTGTGTAATTAATTGTTTGCTCCTTAAAATTATTTATAAGAACCAAATAATAAAAATTATAAGAATTAAAAAAGCATTCAATTGGAAAATTGAGGCTAGTTTATTCTTTATCATCATCATCATCAAAAATAGAAGACTATGCAAGGATTCTTAGTTTTGATAAAACCAACACAAAAGAAATGAAATTCTTACCATACATGGCCAAGTGTGGGAGTAGGAAGATTTGAAAGCATAAAATACTTCTTAGCTTGGTCACCTTTGAGAAGAATTAAGATAAAAAATTAAAATCAAATATTACCATAAACCTAAATGTATATATGACATAAATATATATGACAAACTTTTCCCTCCATTTTCCTGCGAACATGGGAAGATTTTAGACGTTAGAACTTTGATGATCTTCTAAAACTGTCATGATGAGCAGCTTGTTTCTGAAGCATAAGCAAACCACAATTTTTTATTGAATATTTCAACTTACCACACAATTCGTTTCAATACAATCTGACATTAGACTTAGCCCAACTTTATAAATAAAGAAAAACATATACAATAGAAAACATTCAAAAGGATACAGGAACTTCAAAGATTCAAGCATATGGTTTCCATCCGATTAGTTGTTATTCCACAGATTGCATTATAACATTTACCTGACAATTTTCCATTGTTTGGTTTCAAGCTATTGAATATACTTTCAGTTTTTGATTTCTCTTCTGGAGATATTACCCACATTGCTGCAAAAAAGAAGTTGAATGTGTTTAAATCTACTTGTTTGCTATATACTAGAAATATTTTGCTGAAAAATTTAAACAATATTTTGGTGGTACAAAACTTGTAAATGGCTTTGAAAAAAGCAAACATTTAGTAAACTAAAGCTTTTCGTCTGACACTCATCAGAGTTTAAAACGTCAGAACATAGATCAAAAACTTTTTTCCAAACAGAACATAAAACGTCAGAACATAAAACGAGTTTTCGATCTATGTTCTGACGTTTTAAACTCTGAAGAGTGTCAGACAAAAAGCTTTAGTTTACTAAATGTTTGCTTTTTTCAAAGCCATTTGAAAAATTTAACTACATTTATGGACATAAAAAACTTTTGCAAACAAAATATACAAAATAAAGAAAACCCTTAATGTCTTAAGGAGCATATAAAGCCATGTTCATATTATCTTATACTCCAAAATCACTTCCAGTCAACAATAAAGCAGCAAAATTAGGGCCTATGTTTGTAAACTAAAACTTGGAGATTGAAGGTAAATGTAAATGCCAAAGAGCTAATATTGTTTGACAAGCCAGTTGACCTAGTAGCTTTTGAGACCTCCAATTGCATAGAAAAAATAGTGCTGCCTCTACATGCTTTTCTCTTGCAAAGGTGCTACTGAGATTGGGATGTGAAAAGAAAATATATTATAGATTTAATTTTCATTTTTTGTTTGCTGTAATACTATGTTATATAATTGTATTGAGATAATGCAAAAAATGGTATGCAATCATTAATCAATCATATGTTTCTGGTTTCCATTTACTCCTCATACATTAAATTATGTCAAATAGCCATTAATGCCAAAACAAGTCTAGGCCCATAAAAAGCAAGAAACGAAAAAGGTAAACAAATCCTATCATTGAGAATTACCATAGAAATCTCAAAATAGCATAAAAGGTGACATAATGCATCAAATTAATTCAAACTGACCATCCTCAGAGAAAAAGACAATGTTTAAGTATAGAGCACTTTGTATCAGGGATGCCAGAGCAACCAAGGGGCAAGAGGGGCAGGCTTGAGTGAAAGGGCATTTGCAAAATAATTTCCAGCTACTAACAACCCTTTTGTGACTGTCATTTCATTTCAATCTTCTGCAAATATCTTGAAAATCGGCTAACTTTTGGCCTAATAAATTTCTTTATAAGTTTTGAGAAATGTTGTCATGAACAAGGCAGCATAGTCAGAATTTTATATGAATCTCTTGATAATTACAAACGGCCGATGTCATGGGCAATTCTATGACAAGAGCACTTTTGCCCCCTTTCCCTTTCTACCAAAAGGCAACAGGGGCAGTTAACCCTCTGTGCCCCCTTCTCCAGCATCCCTGCTCTGTATATATATGCTTTTTCAGGCAATCTTGAAATGCTGCACAGCAAAAGGCTTCATTTTAGAAACAAATGCAAGAATGCATGTATATTGCAACTGTATTCATAGTAGGTACAAACCACTTCCTGGAACATTTTGGTATACAAACAAGGTTTCACTGGCGTAAGATACTTTATTCAGGCTACAACTTTTGTACAGGACATACATCATGGATGATTTTTTGCTTATGGTTTGACAAAGGTATACTTGATAATTTTGAGAAATATACGGTCTACTCCTTCACTCACTTGGTCAGCTTGTTTCAATTAATAAATAGAATCATGCAACTTTTAGCTTTATAAGAAGGACATCATTCAAACTTAACAATAAAATCTCAAAATGAATGTCAAGAAGACATTTGAAATATAACTAATAAAACTTGATTAATATCGGTGATTGAACAAGTAAAAGTAATATTTACTTAGGTGGTTTTTCACTCCTTCTGCATGATCTTTTGCGCAAAACCTTTAAAAATGGCTGTGAGAGGGTAATCACTGCTACAGAGTGATTCTAATCAGAGCATTGTGTACTGGAATGTTGCAGCACAATGTAACTCAAAGCCCTATCCAATATGGAAGTTACCCCCTCCGAAAGCATGCTGGTATAATGTAACTCACACCTATGTCACAATTTCTGTTGAATTATGTCATGTTCTTCTTTATATACATATACATATAAAAAATTGTTGCAATATTATATATCATAGTTTTGTCTTGCGAATTAAATATTTCTTGGAGTGACAGGAACTAGATTTCTCTGGTTGCATACAACACAATTTTGTCAAGGATTTTACTTCCCTATTGTGTTGCTGAAAACAATGATACCATAATACTATGTCTTGAATTTCACATTTCACAATCTTTTTGGTTTATTACTGAACGCTCTAGCCATAGCCCAAAAAATTATTTTTGGTTACCAACCATCTGATTTTTCTTCTATTCATGTGAATTCAATCACAAATTTGCTGACTCAGTTTCACTAACGTTTAACGATGACTCTAAGACCCTACTATTCATATTTGCTGTCAAAAACAGAACTGTTTAGCTGCAAGCAATTAAAGTTTTTTTTACTTTTCAAAACCTCAGTTTTTAATAATTAAAATTTAGACAAGTAGACTTGTTTCTCAAATTGAAAAACTGAAATTGAACCATTTTTTGTGACTAATTTAAAAGATGTTGAGACTGAGGTTAAAAATGTAGATGTTAAGATTTAAATATGATGGATTAGATTGAAACAAATATGAATAAAAATTCACTTATAGATAAAATTATCTCAAATATATATCAACACAACATGTAGTCACTTTTCTCAACAAATATTCGGCTTCTCACTTTCGACTACAGTGCTAATTACTTTGGTTTACAGCTTCACGCATAATAGCATTCCAGTTGCGTAACAGAATTGACATTGGAATTGGAAGTCTCTAACCTAAGTCACTCAAACAAATAAACCATAATTAACTGGAGATAGTAAATGCATATGCTAAAATCTTTTTGAACCAATTCAAATATTTACATAAAACCTTTTTGTAGTATATCTAGCTTTTAATACCAACCTCACAGTAAATGTGCTATATTTCTCTACAACTCTGCACTTTTCTTTCGGGGACGATTTTTCAACGACATTATTCACTAGCTTTGCGAATGATGATGATTCGGCTGTCGAACTGACACTCACCCAGTTTTAACTGACTTTCACTCACTGCCAGCTCCTCTTTATAACACGTGTGTCACTAACTTTTAACCGTGTATTAATCAAATTTATCAGCAACCAGGAGGGGGCAACCGTGATACCTCGCGATATGTCTTCGATATGACTAGGCCGACCCTCCTCCTTGTTAGGCCAGGAAGACCTATGGTAGTTCCGCTTTCTTATTTCTCCGTCAAAACATATGCTTACGATGGAGTATTCACAATTTTATTTCTCACAACTGAATAAAATTACTTCGAACAATCATCGCACTGATTTGATACTTTGCAGCTATCCTTTCTGCACCCTTGACAGTGAGCGGTACATCACGCCTTTCAAAGAAGTCCTTACTTGTTATCAAGCATGCGCAAAATACAAGTGCTACCAGTGGGAGATTTTACCGCGCGTTGCGTTACATACCAGCGTCGAAGTTTTGGGAAATTGTCATTTTTTTTTGTTTGAAATATACAAGTCAAATAATCACACGTGTCATAGAGGATTCACATCCAGCATTTTATCACAGAGTAACTTTTTCCTTTTTTACGATGTTTGGTTTTGCCCTACAACCCTACCATGTCATGGCTCTTCTTCTATCATGCTCTAACCTCAAAAGCCACAGTATAATTGAAAAAAATTGTTTTTCTGAAAGCTACAAGTAAATTTGCAAAAACTAAACAATCCTATCTAACAGAAGATCAAACAGGGCCACTGGTATGCTTTAGCTTCAGCTACATTATGCTATCAACAACCCACGCACAGTACATAATAAGACAGTACATAATACAAATATAGAATGATACAGTACGTTGCCTGTTTAAAAAGCTAATTACCATAAAAGCTCTGTATCCAGCTCCTCCATCTCGATCAGGCCCCTTCTCCAATAGACCTCTCTTAAATAAACATTGTTTGTCATATGCCCCCACCAAAATCGCTTATTCATATTGACTTTTCTAAATTAGCCCCCTCTCATTTTAACCCCCTTCTCTTTTTAGCCCTCCTCTAGAAGATCAACGATTCAATAGACCCCCAGGGACTTACATGGAAAAAACAAGAAAGAAGAAACAAAGAAGAAGCAAAGTAAAATGCTTGATAACTGAAATTAAGATGACAACATAATAGCTAATAATAGAAATACCTAAAGAGGAAATTGACTTTTAACAGCAAAATGCTAACGTTTGAAATTAAAAAAAAGTGAGTCACCACAGAAAAAATGATTTTCTTCAACATTTTGTTAAATAACTGTTCTCTAAACATTTTGTAATCGGAGATATTTTCCATCGCATATTCGGTTGTTTTGAAATTAAGTAGACGAATTTCGCTACTTTATCAAAAATGGCTGCAAGTAATGCTTGTCATACAGTGACCTTTCGACGAGTTTTCTTTCGTTCGGTTTCATTCATTCAACCGGTGTCAAAAAAAGTATTACACCGGTATTGAGACAGAGTATTTCTTCTTTTTTACACCACAAGTGTTATAGACGCTGTTTATGGCTTTTTGTCCACACGATTTTTAATAGGAGCCTAGGCCTAGTTCCTTGTTTTTAGACCTCTTTTTACCATATTGTAGTACCAAAGTTCCGCAGTAGCCAGTGGCGGCACCAGGGGGTGGTATGGGGGGGGTAATTACCCCCCCCCCCCACTTTTGTCGAAACATGGTCTACATATTTCGTCTAAAAACGGGTTAAAAAGCACTAGGTAGGGGTAGATCATATTTCCTAAGGAAATTTGACCTAGTACAAAGCACTGAAACGAGGCGATTAGGGCGTGGTCTCACTGGCAACGCCCTTCACCCTCCCACTCTGCAATATCTGGCGCCGCCACTGGCAGTAGCTTCTTATTTTTAACGGCACATTTAGTGCCCTGAAAGAAGCACGAATTCAAGAAAACAGATTTATTTATAATTTCACCATAAATCACGGCTAGAAAACAAGACCAAAGGCAAGAACGAAGTTTGACGTATGAATAGGTCCATGTCGACCCGAAGCAACATGCCTCCTCCAAAGAAACCTTCTGATACGAGAATTCATAATAAGGATATTGAGATGTTCCTGGGGGTTTTGTTTCGACCTGCTACATGCAAATTCATTATATAGTAGTTCCTTACCAAAGGCATGGTATTTCAATTTTCTTTTTTAAGTTCGAATTTACTGATGCTTTTCAATGTCTCAATTTACTAATGGAGTAGCAGGTTTCATGGATAATCAATTTTGAGTGTGGTCAGCCTTCATTTCTTAATCAAAGTCCGTAACATCGCTTTTGTAACTTTCAGACCAGATAATTTCGACTTCAATCTTCTTCTGTAACTCCATTACCAACAGCAACGGATGCTTAATTTTTCTTGATATCATCAGGTGCCCTGGAAGTGTAGAAGATGAACACTTGTTATCAAATGCAGGGGCGAAACTACTGGGAGGGTGTGGGGGGGGGGTGTAACACCCCCCAATCCAAAAAATAGTCGATTTCGCAGGGCAATCGAAGATTTTGCAGGGCGCCAAGAACGGAACAGGTATGTAAGGAAATGCTCCGTTATGCATTTTAGAGAACGGAACAGGTATGTAAGGAAAAGCTCCGTTATTTGCAATGCGAAAGCATTTCTTACCGAAACTCATAGCCAGTGGATGCAATGATTGATGCATATGTTCATGAGGGCAAGGTTGAGTCCATGCAAATTAATTTAAGTTGTAAATTATTTTCATGACAAGCACGGCGTCACTGGAGGGGAATAAGAGGCTGAAGGCCCTCACTTATAATTGTTTCTATTACTTTTTAACAGTGCAGGAACTAAAAAACATAATAAATCGTTAAGATACCGATTTTGTTTCATCTAATTGCTAACTTTTTCACGTATATTTTTATTATTTTTCTTTTATTTGCATTAATTCAGTAAATCACTTTCTGTATCATTGCAATGTTTTAATTTTGGATGTGTAAACATGGCCTTCTCGATGCAAGAAACTGCACATTTCTGTTCAGGAAATAAAATTCCCCCAATCAAAACAACATCTTCCTCTGTCATTCACAACTACGTGCAATCTGAAACGAAAGGTTGTCGTTTCTTTCCTTCCCCAACGTCTAATACTAGAGTTTTAGCATGACATCCCCCTCCCTATTTTTCCCAATAAACAATAATATTTTCAATAAACAATCAGTTCTTTTAGCACAATAGTATTTTGCTAAATTTTTGTCTGAAAGATGCTTTTTAGCCCTTTTACAAGGTATAATTTCAAAAATTTTCTTCACGTCGGACCCAACCATGGGGGGTCCTCCTACCTCACTAAACTTGATTCTTAATGAAACTAAATTTCGTTGCACTGTCTACATCATGTACCCTCCCCCCCCAATTAGCTGTTTATTAGCTAGTATTTTGCAAACCAACAATAAATAAAGTGAATATAAAAGAGACAATTTACGCTCAAGTAGAGAAATAGATATTTCATAGGCAATGAAGTTTCAAGTTTGTTTTTATTGCTTAGAAGTTTGTCCTTGGTAAAGACCAGTGTACACTGGTAAAGCTTTCACTAGTAACCTATAGACAAACCGTTGCCACGAGGTCTGTAGGGCACCACTCAGTTTTGCAGGGCAGAAACCCTTTTCACCCCCCCCCCCAAACCTATTGGCCAAGTTACGCCCCTGATCAAATGTTATTTTGTTTCCTTTTTCCTTTGTCGTATATTTGAAGGACATTGTTCGAATGACTTTAAAAAACTGTTGGTTACTCTGCAACTTTTCAGGCGATAAATTTTAGTTATTGGCTTTATATTTTGTCGTATAAGTGCAGTGTATCGTATACGCAAGACTGACTTGAAGAACTGAATTTTGTTCCAAATAAATTTGCAATCTGGAAGAAAGCGGAGATGATGAAAGCATCCAGCGTCTTCGTAAAAGTTGGTGTGCTTTGAGGGAAACAATGCCTACTTCTGTCAACCATGTTGTTATTATTGTAATATCCCGGCGCTTAGGCTAAGCTACAATAAAAATAATTGTTTGAAAATAAATACTTGCTTTTCCCGTTTGTTATTCTTGCTAACAATATGATAGTTTTTGTTTGGAAAAAGGCAAAAAACATATTTTCAAAGATAAATGTTTCTCTTAAACAATAACATTGTCCAGGCCCGCAGCCAAGGGGTGGCATGGGGTGGCCATGCCACCCCTGAAGCAAGAGAATTGTTTATTTGGATCTCTTATTATCCATATATTACCCATGTATTATGTTTATCGGGGCCTCTTGAGATGGTGCCTGGCGCTCAAGTAAACTTTCGCTGCTAAGCAAAACTTAAAAAAAAGACTTCCTGAAACGTCTGCCTGCAACAGGTCTGGGGATTTGCCACCCCTACTCCACAGGCCTGGCTACGGGCTTGACATTGTCATCCGGGAAGGTTACATTATTAACGAGAAATTTCGTTGTATCATGGCTTTTTGAGTACTTTATTTCACGGTGCTTCATTTTCAAAACAAGTACGTTAGTCAGAACTGCATAGTCCAGAAAAGTTGTAATGATTCAAAGAAGCAAACAGATATGTAATTTCGTTGCCTTGCCTCACTGTCGTTGACTACGTGACCGCAGTGCCGTCGGAACGAAATTCATATTTGGGGGGGGGGGGGCTGGGTGGGGCTGCCTATTGTATTCCTTCTCATTTAGTACACCGTTATAAAGGAAATATAATACAGTCAGACAATTATTGGGGGGCTCCAGCCCTCCCAGCCCCCCGGTTCCGACGGGCCTGGACCTTCACTATTGTTTTGACATGGCCACTATATCAATGATAGTAATGGAGAAATAGCCAATGAAAGATTGAGATTGCAGTTATTAAGGCTTGGTTTATAATTTTAGAACAAGGGCCAAATGAAAGTTGCTTGATGAATAGAGAGCCCAGGGTTGCCAGATGAGATTTACAGAAGAAGGCCAGACTCAAACTCAGGCCAAAATGCACACAAAAAGGCGAAATAAAAAATTGCCCAAAAATACACTATGCAAAACCAAGTATATAATTCCACGCATGAGCTTTTTAGATAACTACTAAACTCAAACAAGAAACTGTTACATAGTTGCAGGAAGCATTTTAAAAGTGTAAGGGGGGGGGCACAGGGGCACCTCTGTAAGCTGCAAGTAGGTTCTTAACCACTGTCTCTGAAAAGTTGGGGCCCTGTGCCTCTTGGCTCCTACGACTATGAATTGGGAAGCTTCAAACAAATTCCTTTGTCAATCGTTAGTTTCGGTGCTGAAACTTGACATTAGGGTATACATTGTATTATTGCTCTTTCAATGCATAACTTGTTGGTTACTTAGGGTGTAAAGTTTATACAAAACAAAGGAATGGCCTCAAAAGATCTGCTGAAAAAGGCCAAATTCAAGTAAAAAGCCAAAAACAAATTTTCCAGGCAATTTAACTCTGAAAAAGGCCAAAATTGGAAAACTTGGCATGAAAAAGGCCAATCTGGCAACCCTGAGAGAGCCTTTATTCATGTGGCCATATCCCAAGGAATCTGCAATAGATACACTGTTTTAAATAATTACAAAAAATCTTATAGTTTCAGGAACTGCGGAGGCATAAGGAGAGTGGGGGTCTAGAAAAGTGGGGGGAGGGGGGTGGGGCTAGAAAAGTTGGGTGGGGGCTAAAAGCGAATAAAAAGTGGTTTAACTGGTAGTTCATTTCCTAATATTGTGCATTATTTGCAAAATGTGGGCTTCCCCAGCGCACGACTCCGCGGGGCCTTCGTTTTCTTTCTAAAAAATAACTTTAATAACGTTAATACTTAACCACTATATTTCAAAGCTCATTTTTAAAGATTCTATGAATGCAATGCAGTGGGTCCCATGGCCTTCAAAACGACATTATGGACGACAGCTGAGACTTGAATTGCTTCAACATGCTTGCTACACAGGCAGTGTCATGGGAACCAAGACTCAGTCAAAAAAATTTCAAGGCCGATTATCCTGCATCCCTTGCCTTCAATAAACAAGTGGCATGTTCAGTGCAATAAATTGACAGGAGAAATCTAAAATAACAGTCTCTTTGTATGCTTAACTATGCTTAACTTTTAAATTTCTTTACTGCTTTATACTTCCTGTTAAAATTTGACGATACTAGAACTATTTTTCTCACAGCGCTATATTGTTGATAAGTGTGCTAAAGAAATTCAGCAAAACAAACCACAAACTGCTTTTCAAATATCAAGCGATTTAAACAGTGGAGTTGAGAATTTGCAGCAAGTGACTGTGATTTTGTTTCCAGCGAAAAAAAGTCTACAAAGTTTTATAAAAACATTTTCACCAATCGCTGAATTTTTGTCTCTTTTTATCAATTATTGTCTTTCCGTCGCGTGGCGTGGTGAGATTCAAATCAAAGTACCTAGAAACAAACAGGCTTTGCAGAAGTCCAATACCGAGACCGACGACGTTCAGATAAATCGAATTAGTCGCAAAGTCGAGCCAAGTATAGCTTAAACATGGAAAAAAGTGGTTATTATTCCATTTAAGATATAATATGTTGCTTTTTCATATAGCACTAACAAAGTAGCGCTTTAACCTCTTTATATATATGTTTATTATAGAATTTTACGATGGTAAAAAAATCCGTGCTATCGTCATTGAATGACCCTAGACGGTACATAATTCGATTTATTCTAACAACATTGTTTCCCATTGCACTTTCATTGTTTTTTTTCAGTACAAACAGCTTTTCGCTTGTTTTTACAGTACATCATCTATATTTTCTCGGTAACTTTCAAATGAAACTTATGGCAGCGACAAAAATGACAGCATTTCGGAATAACAGTTGCTAGCATAGTCGCGGACTTGGAAATTAAAAAGTCGTCTACGTACAGACAACCTATCAAATGATAACGTTTGTTTCAAGGAGTGATTGTTTTGCAAAATACTGAAACATAGATTGAGCTAGCAGGTTATACTCTCTCATTCAACCTAGCTAACCTAGGCTACGTTCACACTACTCCGTATTCGTTTCGCTCCATTTTCGTTGATGAAAAGGTTGTCCGTTCACACTAATCCGTTTTCATATGAATACGCTGTGAATACGATAGGTGTTCACACTACTCCAACAAAAACGCTATTGGTGTCCTCATTTTTGGAAAGAGGCGTTCACGAATCCTCGACAAATTAGCGTCATTATAAATAAAATTAAATAAAAGTAAATCGTGAAAAACGTTGTTGTAACAGTTACCAGTCCATTGTGAATTCTCAATTTCAAAATTTTTGAGAATTGGTGTGCTACAAAGCACGCAATTTGTTGCCGTTGTTAGCGTATTCAAATGTCTCCGTTTCTGGTGTTCACACTGAAAACGGAGCGTATTCAATACGCACCGTATTCGAAAGTATCCGTTTTCATTAGCGTTTTCAAACGACTCCGTTTTCATAGCAGAGAAGTGAGAACGCAGGGCAAGAACAGATTAGTTTGACTCCGTTTTCATTGGAAAACGGAGTAGTGTGAACGGGCCACTAGTCTCCTGAGAAACTTCAGAGAAGCATCTGTTCAGGACGCCATTGCTACCCAATAAAACGTCATCTAGAAACCTATGCTGAGCGGAAATTGTGATTGACAAAGTCCACTAAAAGTTGCTAAAAGTAGAACTTGCTTTTACTACTGCGGACTCTTGACAAGGAGAAAAGTTATAAAGGAGACTCTTATTTTATAAAGAAACTGAATATCTAGATACTGATACCAAAAGTGTGCCGAAAACACATTCCGATGTTCATTGGAACATCAGGAAAGGATAAACAGATATTAGCCGGTAAGGAATAAAATCAGACGATATCACAGCATAAAGGTGACATGTTGAATTAGTACATCATTTTATACATCATCGAGCAAAAACAACATATAAAGCAAACAAACCATAGTGACAAGGCATAGCTAGGGTGCTCTCGTGGGAATTTAAAAGCTCTTTAAAAGGGTATTGATATGGGCCCTAGTATCTTCAAGTGTTGAAAAGTTTTAGCCTCTTTAGCGCAGGAATACGGTAGATCCAACGAATAAATGCAGATAAGATTAACAGTGATATCGTTGGACTTTCTTTAGCAGTTTATCATTACTCGAAGATTATAAGGTTAGATTTCTACCTTAAGATTCGGACTTGATAAAATTAGTGTAAACTTTGAGCCAAATATTGAGTGTTACATAGGCGCGTGCCTTCCCCAAAACATGTTCCATTACACCACTATGTAGCTAATGATAAACTTCAATTACCGAGCGTAAAAATACCAAATTTCACAAGAATCTTACTACCACCATTAAGAGTAACAGACTTAAAAACAATGAGGCATGATTAAAGAACCTGACATAAACAAGGTTAGTTTTAGGATAAAGCATACCATTCGAATTCCAAGGAGGCATGGATTGCTACAAACAACTGACATTTTAATCGCTTACATTAAGAAAACTTCGACAAGGCGTGTAATTTTTTCATAATACAAGAAAACGAATTCTGTTCAAAATCATATCTACTAATTACTAAATACTTCTAAAGTTGGTTGCCAGTGACATACACTCACTTCAACACATCAGCATGGTTAGTATAAAGCAGCGCGTCACTACTGCCCAAAATACATCCCTGAGGTCTCGGCCTAGCTGCATCAATGCTTGCAGATTAGGCCTAATTGACTCCAGCCGCAATGAAAAGATCTGCATGGCAATCGTTGAATCCACTCAACAGAAACTTTTGTCAGCAAAGGCCGTGAAGTAACAAACAAGAAACACAAACCTTCTAGACACTGCTTAGCTTCAGAAGGCCTTTTTCACAGTCATCGTGATGCAAGTCGGTTGCTCTTAACAATTCTTGCTTACACTCATCCTCCTGCGAGACGCCGTGTGATACCTCGCCGCCGCCCGTACTTTCTGCATTGACGTGCTTTTGATTTACTGCAAACATCGAGCCTTCAGGGATATCCTTTTGCACCATGTTCTTTGAATCGCTATTTAATCCGTTAGCGGGTGACAGATGGGTCCTAACCTAGCCAGAAAATAGAGGCTCTTCAATACTTTCATCAAAATAATGAGCTGAATCTCTCCGAACATCGAAACAAGCCAAGGTAACCAAGGAAAAAGTAACTTCAAACGCACGTGCACATGTCTATTCCAAGCACCCTTTCTGTATACAGCAAGAACAAAGATAAGAACATGGAAGAAAAATAAGGTAGAAACAAACCTCTGTTTTGACTGCACCATATGTACAGGGATCTTCTGGGACGAAAAATTCTCTCCGCCTGATCAAACTGAAAATTACATCAGTAGGTTAGATAGCATTCAAAGACTGGACCCATTTCACGCGGGAGACTGGTTTAAGTTATCGATACTTATTGGCGAAGGAGTTATTGCTGTGGCATTGTCATAATAACAAGTGCGGAGCGTTGAGTTGAGATATGTTATGCTTCTAAATATACGCTGAGAAAATAGTTCGATATAAAAGGAAATTGTTTCACATAAGTCCCCCCGATTGAGTTAAACTGCAAACCTAAGTGTACAACAGATATTTGCAGAAACGGATTTTGTTGCTCGTTATCTTTACACAAAAACACAAAGTTTAGATTAAGAGATAACAAAAAACTTGCTTAGCAAAAAGATTCGAAATACGATATTATCAACAAGTTCCTCTGAGGACACGTATGAACTACTGGCTGGGATCTGGCTTTAGAGGGATCCTTACAAAGACAAGCATCAAAACCATAAAAAGACATTAAGAATAAGGATAATACAGTTGGCAAATAAATTTAGTACCAGAATGAAAATATAATAGTTTGATTGTTAAAAACAGGACCTTTCGAGCATGTACTCGTTATCAAAATAGTTGACTTGATAACGAGTACATGCTCGAAACGTCGTGTTTTTAACAATCAAACTATTATATTTTCATTCTGGTACTAAATTTATTTGCTAACTGTATTAACTTTATTCTGAATGAAGTACCACACGCAACGTGCATATAAAAAGATATTACCTGGGATGAACTGGCCCACAAATTATTTCAAGGCAGTTTCCTGTAACTGATCCGGCACTATAAGGATTTTCATTTGCTTCGCCCCTTTTTGCTGCCCAAGTTCCTTTTATCTGAAAAGCAATATATAATACAAATACATGAAAAACAAAAAGAAATAGCGATTCTTAGATTACAATCATTTCAGTTCGCCTTGATATCGAAGCCAAAATTTGGAAGCAAGCTTGTGAAAAAAAAGGAAAAGATCTGCTCAAAACATGGAAATTTTGACGGACTTAACTAAGAAGGTTTCCTAACATTGGATTTAGCTAATCAAAAGTCGATACTAAATAGAAACTAAACGATACTAAACGAAATTTCTAAAAATAGATTTTGGTGACGTCACACTTAAGAACTCTATTAGGCAGCAAGATGAACCAATGAACCACCCTCACATCTGAAGCACATGGGCACGTAAATAGGTACCTCATAGATACAGGCACTTTTTGCAAATTTCGTTAAATAGACAATGAAAAATTGATGGCTTACAAAGAATCTAGTTTGCTGTAAAGGAACAGTTTCCCCTCAAGCATTAAAGTAGGTGGACAACAGTCTTTCATTTTGAAATTACTTTGAAAAAGCAAAAATTTCACAATATACTAAAAGCTTTTTCATCTGACACTCTTCAGAGTATAAAACGTCAGAATAAGGGTCCGAAAGAACACAATGGAAAATATATCCAGTTGTGGGTCGAAATAGGCCAATCAGGAAAAAGGCAAGCACATGACCTGCATTGTTGTCCAATCAGTGCTGTGTGCCTATAGAAGTTACAATTTAAGTCCAAGAGAGAAAACGAACTCTTTTGTCTACACAATGATGGCTTTGATAGTCTGAGGAGTGTAAGACTAAGAAAGCTTTTAGTATGCTTGTTGTGAAGTATTTGTTTTTTCAAAGCCATTTTCAAGTTCTGTACCGCAAAAAATTTTCCACATTTTTAAATCACGTTCAAAGGCAAAATGGCACAAAAATCAAATGTTTGCCTATCTATATGCTGATTGGCATGCTTCCTGGGCAGCCAAAATCTTTTGTGTAAACTTATGCAAAAGGCCACAATTTCTAATCCAGACCAAGATGGTTTCTTGGGTCAATGAACACACATAAAATAACTTATCCTGGATTTCCTTAGTTTTCCAATTCACTTGCCTAAAACGCATGTCTTTTTACGGAGGCCCCATGTTTTTTCAAAAATTTAGTTGGAAAAGAACGAGAAAAGTTCAAAGGCAGAATAGGATAAGAGGGCAAAACAACTTACATCCTCATTTGTTGTGAGGTTTGATGTGACTAAATAAGTATGAAATCCAGCCAAACCTATAACTGACCAAACTGAAAAGAAACAAACAACAGCAACCAAAGCAGTGAAATGCCGTCAAGGAAAATTATTTCAATAGGCCTTTGATATGGGGTGAAAAACAGCTTTGCTTTTATCTCAATAGAATCTAGTCCAGTAAATGCTTGTTGTTACTTAGCTTTGGGCTAGATTCTCGAGAATTAAGGGATAGATTATCACTACAAAGAATAAGATAAATGAAGAAAACAAGAATACACAAGCATTCAGGATATCAAGAGCTAACAAGTATGGCAATAAAACTTAACAGTTTGGACACTGATAGGATAACCTTCAAAGTGAATTAAAAAAAATTAAATTTCAATATGCAAATTTGAGTTTTGATAGAACTGAAAAAGAGATTTGTAAGTGGCTATCATTTTATGATTTGAAAAGGATATCTTGCTGGTGTTTCTTGTAATGCATCCAAAAAAGAACTTGAACTTCTACTTACTACAAGGAAAAAGACCTATTGTCTAAAAAAGCAAGTCATTATTCACTTAAAGGACAAGTGACACGCTTTTGGCACCAAATTTTTTTTTTCTTTTAACTTAAAGTAAAATGCTGTATGAGAGTGTTGTTGAAATATTTTTCCTTTCTGATTTCATTTTCCCACTTAAAAACCCATTTGAAATTATGGCGGGAAATGAATCATGTGACACCGTGACGTAGATTGTGATAATTTGTTATTGCTGCTACTGGTATAGAGTGCAATATTAACGCTTACAACACGCTTGTAAACGAATACAGTTCGTCTGGACCTGTCGCGTCGTGTTTCGTAAGCTCTCTATCAATTACAGGAAAATTCTGAGTTATCACAATGTACGTCATAGGGTCACGTGATAAAAAGCAAAATCGCGCCCCCTGTGCCCCCTGATTAGAATTTTTTGTTCCAAACCAGGAAAAACTTATTTCTAAAAGATGATCTATAAGTTAATGAAAAGAAAAGATAGGGTGAAAAGTGTGTCACTTGTCCTTTAATAAGAAAATAAAGTTTAGAATCATAATGTTTTGGTTGATTGTAAACATTCACTTAAACGCTTACACAAACACTTAAACAAAAATGTGGCACACTGGGCCAAGAGGTAGAAAAAGGCCTAAAATAAGTTGTGGCTGAATAACATCAACCATGCAATGCACTTTTTTGCTGCATAATCCCAAAGTGTTGCATAACATGGCTTTAGGATGTTTCTAGTTAATTTAAACAAAAAAAATCAAAATATTAGGCTATGATTAAAAATTCATAAAGCTGATGTAAGGATTTGGTTGCACTAATTTGGTGTTACAGACACTCACAATTCTATATATATCTCCATTAAAACAAGAAATGTTCTGATACATATTCAATTTGCTTTTTAAAAAGAAGGAATAATAGAAATTATATACTTACAAAAAACAAGATGTGTGATGACACATGCAAATATATACACACACAGCAGTGATAAAGACACCAGAAATAGATAGAAATATCGGTAGTTTCTTTTGCCAACACAATTGCCTACCTGCAAATGAAAGAAATTGTTTTAGTGGATAACTATTAATTGAAAAGTAAACTCCCATAAACAGATATATATATATATAACATATACGTAACATAGGATGCTGCAGAGAATAATTGACAATAAGGGCAATTGGTCCAAGGATGATCTGGCACCTCAAATGCTAAATGGAATTGAATAAAACCAAAACACAGATACAAATAATGAAGGATATCTAGATCTGAATAGACCTATCTCTTATGTTCTTTCCCTTCCCAGAGATTAATTTTTCTCTAAAGACACAAATTCCAACTTTACAGGTTCAAATATGCATTTTTCTAGCATTGAGGAAAATAAAACTATCAGCAAAAACATCCTAGAATTCCTCAGGATAGCCCAATATAAACAGTTATTTTCAATAACCACTTTGAAAGTAATAAAATTAAGGCATCTCACCCAAGGACAGTGATGATCAAATCTCTCTGAAACAAAAAATATAGATATATTATGTAATATAAAGTATCAAAAACTATAGACATGAAATTTTATAAACCTAGTTTTACTAATTTGAATCAACATGTTAGGTCATATTGGCATTAACAGCCTTAAAGGCAGCATACAAGCACATGATAAATAAAAAGAGGAACCTGTGAAGGGCCAGTGCTGTTTGGTATACATTCTTCATATGTTTTAAAACTTCAGGTAGTTTTTGAACTTTTGGTATGAAAAAAAATTTTAACTACTGTAATATGTAACGGTTTCTTACCAACACAGTTGTCACACATACTGCAATGGGAAGCCCTTGGAGGCCTAAATATTTTGCAAGTGTAGCAATATTTGAGCTTCATTGGTTGGCCTTTCAGAGTAATCTCTTGTGTTCTTGGTGGAGATCTATAAACACCAGGCTCTTGGACAGGAGCCTCTGATAATAAAAAACAAAATGACTAATAAGATTAAATTTTTTAACTTGAAAGCTTTTTAATCAATCAAGCATTAAAAGTCTGTTTTAAATACAAGCTCTAAGCAGGATTTTTCATCTTGGATAAATTTAACAGAGAATCTGATGCAAGTTGGAAAGAAGGGGGAGGGCAAAAATAATTTATAGACCAAATTAACCAAATATTTTGTGAAATGTTCTGTTGCTTTGCAGAAAGTTTAGGGGGTCATCAGAAGCCCTTCATACAACTTGCACTAGGGTAGAAAAATTTGATAAGAATACCAGAAGCAGGCTGATTTAAAAACAAAGAAATATATTTGGTCTTCTTCACTTAAACCTAGCAATTATGCACGAATTAGAAGATACTAATACCAGGTTATATGAAACTCTAAATCATTTTGTGACATCTTTGTAAAATCTGCACAACAAACTAATCAATAACTGATATTAAGTTGTCAAATTGACATTGATCCAGTTTAAGGCAACTACTCTTGATATAAATATATCACTTTCAGAAGATACAAGATTCAACTTGGCTTGTCCATTATTATACATTTTATACAATATTATACATTATTATATTATACAATGCTTTCTTATACATTTTAATTTTAGTATACCCACCAATTGTCTTTTCTATATATGTAGACTCTTCAACTGAAGCTCTTGGAATTATTCCAGGATCCATGAAGGCTGTTTTCAGCAATGTTACTATAACTATTATAAACAGCCATCCAGCTATAATTGGTATTGCAGGAGACAACTCTCTAAATAAAAATGGGCAGCTAGAAAAAAGTTAATGTTAATTAGATTATGCTAGAACATACCCCCATATCAATGTATATTCAAATATCCCTAATTTTTATTCAGTGTCAAAATTATTTCAAATGACCAGTGAAGAAGAATGTCTGCCATTCTTATAAATATGTTAGTGATCACCAACTGCCTTACTAAATTATGAATCATGACTACCAAAATGGGGAGGATTCAATTTTTTTTAAAAACTTTACTATCTACAGAAGATCTATCTTAAGCTTTAATTCCAAATCTTGCAGTGTATAATTCTTTTTTAACACAGCTCAGCATTTTCCTTGTCTTTTAAACTCAGAAATAATTCTTTCTCAAGGGGATGCCTTCCAACAAAGCCTACATTGATGGCATTCACAGAGAGATCAACTTGAAAAGGCTTTGTTGCTTGATCCATTCTGGAGTGATATACACAGCATATTTATACATTTCTTTATAAATATATATACATATTATAGACAGTAATTTAATGCCAAAAATGTTAAATTTGGGGAGGGATTGTATTTTGATTAATTCCAATGACAGAGGAGTCATATAAATTATGGAAACTTTTAGTTGTTCATTGGTTGATTTGAAAAAATTGACAACATTTTTTGACATTATTTTGACATTATTTTGAGGCTTAATCTCTTTGCATGAATACATCTTTCTTGTCTCATATGGTGCAAAGAATGGAAAATACATTTAATATTAGAAATTTTAAGGCTACTCAAAGATAAATTTAACATTTGACATAATAAGGCAACTCAGAAGGTCAAACATAAGTAAAATCACAAAACGTTTCAAGTAACTTTTGCCTAAACCAAGCATCATTTTCTAACATTTTTAGTCTATACGCAATGACGCAAGGTTAATTTGAACCCAAATATGAACCCTCATTCTTTTCTGAAAAGGAGTCTTTGGGGCAGAAAAAGTCACATTCACCAAAACATTTCAGTATAAATGATAATTAATATTTCAAGCAGAGTCCGGTTTCCAAGAAGGATTTTTTTAATTTTAAAATTCAATTGAATCAATGAATCTCTCAACTCTGGAATTTAGGCAATCAGGAAAGTACTAGATATTGCCAGCAATCTTATGAAAGGTAGACATTCTTTTCACGTTTTTCTCATATTCTCATTACCTATGAAAAAAATTGAGCTTAACTATGTTAAGTTGATTAATGTCAATTAATACCCACTGTTCACTTTCTACTTGGTAGGGGCTTTTCTCCATTTTGATGCATTTAATAAATCTGATATTATATCTATTATCGAATATCCCCAACGCTGGTGTTCATTTAGCGAAATTTGAATATTTGAAGATTTCAATAGGCCAGGCCATTATATATCTAGGAATGGAAATTTCGATAAAAGCCTAATAATTTATTATTTGTCCAAACTGTATACCTAGTTTATAAACTTTTCGGTTCAGCAGAAGTAGAAGTCTCAGCGTCATAAATCTACCTTATACACTGTTTTATTCAAGACAACTGCGTCTTAGACAACAGTCTTAGAGGCAAAATTATAAAACCCTTAGCATCGATTTCTATCGATTATTAAGATGACTATTGACAGGGATTGCTGTATTGCAAGTTTTATAGCTTAGAAACGACCTCAGCAGGACGGTCGCATTTTGGCTATATTTAACAGGGCGGCATGAAGCCGCAACACAGCTTCCATCCACCAGAAAAACATAAGAAACTTACATAAATCAGTAGGAGAATCACACGAGATAAATTCAAATCCACATATACTTACTCGAAGATAAAAAAGAGGCCGCTTGTAACAACGATAAGGATGAGCGTTAGCATAAAAACGTAGTTGTTGCTTGACATAATAATCCGCCCATTGCAATAAAATTTGTTTCTGCCAGGAAAGTTCTCCCAATTTCTCTTCTGCATTATTGAATAAATTCGCTGCACCTTAATGTGCAGCTTTATCTACAACTGTGTAAAACTAAGTCAACATCTTTTCTTTTCTATCGATGATTGCTGGAGTAATACATTGCTGGAATGGTGGTCAAATAATTAAGAAATTTACTGCCATCTTTGCTGCGGTACTTTGTCGATTCCTTTCCAACCTTTTCACGCAAAGAACAAGAATATTTGGTCAGCGGCTACACTAGTGCGCATGCCCGAAAGGTTTGCATTATCGAGCACGGTCGGTTGAAATATTTCAAGGCCCCCCTACAACTTGGAGGATCGGCCTTTTCTAGCTTCTCCTCTAAGAAACACTTCCAAGAAACTGAATTTTTTCCTCTTTTGCAGATGACACCATTTTATTTACTTATTTACTGATAGAGTAAACGTTCCGTCAAAACAGGAATTATCACAATTCTCTCTCCTTATTTAGGTAGAATTAGAGTTGCCCTTTCCTTTTTCTTTCTTTTACTTTCTCTATCTTTAAGATTTTATCTTTTCTGGACTATTCGGGTAAAAAGAGAGAAAGACTTGTAGCAAGTCAAACTCTATGACCTTTTTGTTAATAGCTCTCGCAAAAAATAGGAAAACCACTAAGACCCCTTTTACACTAGAACGGATCCAAATGGGTAGTGATATAATTGATAAAAATTCAAGCTCAAAAACTCAAAACTCGAAACATTTCATTCACAGCAATAATTAACTACTACATTTCTATTTAATACTTGAACCACAAATAACAATTATTTTTTACAAAAAAGAAAAACTACAAACAGTAGATAGTTCAAAGTTTGGTATGTTTGCTGTCGGACATATGAAAAGAACTCACAAGGAGCTATCTAGGTCATATGCCCGATTGGACGTGTATAGGTGTAGGTGTTCGATTTCAAAAGAAGAATGTGAATGAAAAAAAAAGAAGGAATATCAAGATAATATAGGGTTAGTATAATAAGATATGTTAATTGGTTATACTAAAAACATAATAGTGAGATGCATGGTGGTAATAAATGTTTAATGATAATGTTCAAAATTGGGTTCAAATAAGTATATCAATTCGACTTTAAGAGATAACTTTTCAGGTTTTTGATGAAAGATGACTTAATCGGTAACTTTTTAATTTGCAATGGCAGGGAATTCCAAATTTTGACTCCTTCATATACAATTGACTTTTGTTTGTAATTTGTCAAGACCAAAGGGAAAGAGAAGTTGTCATTTGAAGACTGTCTTGTTTCATGCTGATGACGTATACTTGTTTTAACGAACAGGTTGTTGAATAGGTCATTACCGTTTTCATGATAAATATCAAACATGAATTTAGCAACTTCAAGTTTATACATGTTATCAAAGTTGAGAAGATTATGTTTTTTGAATAGTGGTTCACTATGAGCTTGGTATTTGGCAAAATTGATCACCCTAACTGCTCTGCGAAGGCTAGATTTTAATGGCTCCAGATTAGTTTTATAAGCACTTCCCCAGTTTAGTATGCCATAAAGTATGTGAGATTGGATAAAAGATTTGTAGATTGTACAAAGTGTGCTTTGAGGTACCAAGTGTCTTGTTTTGTATAGTAAGCCAATGCTCTTTGAGATTTTAATATTTAGTTGCTTAATATGTTGTTTCCAATTTTAGTGTTTGTCAATGATTATGCCAAGATATTTAGTGTAGTCTTTTTGTACTAGCTTTTCGTCATCAATTTGAAGGACAATAGGTTTATCAGGCCTTTTTTGATGCGGATTTATAATCAGAAAATTTGATTTTGATACATTTAGGAAAAGTTTGTTGGCCAGTAGCCAATCGGAGATATTTGCTAATTCTGAGTTTACTGTTTTCTCTAAGGTTTGTAGGTTTTTGTGTGAAAAAAGAAGGCTTGTATCATCTGCAAAGAGATGAAAATCCAGCTTTTGTGAAGAAACATATATGTCATTAATGTATAGCAGAAAGAGAAGTGGGCCTAAGACACTTCCTTGTGGAACTCCACAGTTAATAGATAGATCGTTTGCCAATTCGCCATTAACTGAGACAGTTTGTTTTCTTTCTGTAAGGTAGGATTTGAACCAAGAATGGGCAATTCCTCTTATTCCATAGTGTTCGAGCTTATCTAGCAGAATACCATGATTGACTGTATCAAAGGCTTTAGAGAAGTCTAGAAAGATACAACATGAAAAACGTTTTCCTTCAATGTTTTCAACTAGCTTTGTGCAGAGATCTAAGATTGCCAATGTTGTTGATTTATTTTTTTGAAATCCAAATTGATGCCTGAAAATTATTCTGTACTTGTCTAAAAAGTTAACCAAACGAGAGTGCATTGCCTTCTCTAGAAGTTTACTAAAATTGGTAGGATTGAGATAGGTCTATAGTTAGTAAGTTCAAGTTTTGATTTGCCCTTGTGTATTGGTGTCACTTTTGCAAATTTCAATTTCTCTGGAAAAATTCCTTTTTTAAATGTTGAGTTAGCTATTAAAGAGAAAGGCAATGAAATTGTGTACCTTACTAGTCCAATGAGTTTTACGGGTAGATCATATGAGTCATTGGCTTTAGTTTCGTCTAAGTTGGCAACTAAGTCATTAATTTCTTGAGGTGTAACGGGTTGAATAGAAAAGCTTCTTGGGTTTGGTGTTTTAAGATAATTTTTAAACTTCTTGGTGGGGGGTTTCATTTTGTCAACTATTCTTTGTGCAACAGTTGTAAAATATTCGTTGAAACAGTTTGCTATGATTTTATGATTAGTGGTCAATTTACCATTAATTGAAAGGCAAAGGTCATTGGAGTGTTTTTTCTGTTTTTGAATGATATCATTAATGCCAGACCAAACCTTTTTCGAATTTTTTTTGAATTTGTCAAAATAGGAAATGTAATAGATCGTTTTGCTTTTTCTTATCAGATGATTTAGAAGGTCTCTATATCCTTTATATTTTTGGTAGCATGAGGGATCTTTCGTTTTCAAAAATTTCGAGTAATATCTATGTTTCACTGAGATTGATTTAAGAATACCAGTTGTAATCCAGGGTTTATTTCTCATTTTATGCACTTTCTTAGAGACTCTCTTTAAGGGGGCGTGTTAAGGGGGTGTCTTTAAGGGGGCAAGCTGGAAAGAACACGTTAAATAAACTTTCTAAAATGTATTGTAGTTCAATATAAACTGAGAACATGTTTCCAAAAAGTACTCCAAGAGCATTTTATACGGTTCTTATTTCCTACCCTTAATTTAAACGTGAAAAAATGAAGGGCCTAGGAACATTTTTCGAAAAGAGATCCATGCGAATCCAACCATTTTTTCTGAAAAATTTACATAACCTAATTCTTGTTTCAACATAACAATCAATACAATTAATTGTAAACAACATTTTAATTGACAAAACTAGCTAAACAAAAAGTATTTTTACAAATAATGTAATTCCAACATCCATTTATTTGATAATAACAGACCTTCCAACCCTATAGACCTGTAAACTGGGCCAGGCACAGTATATAAACTACCCGAGGCGACACCATGTTTGCAGCAGAAAGAAAGGAAATGTTCGAATTGGAATTAAGAATCTCTAGCATGGGGATCAGAAGCAGAAGCAGAATAAAGAGTCTTTAGCAAGGGAAGCAGCAAAAAGCAAAGGTCGATAGAAAAAAGCACACAGCTGCACTTAAGAGCCTTTTCAAACGACGATTGATGTTTTTTAGACATTTAATCGAAGTAAATATATCTCTGATTTTTTGATGCGCTTACTTACATGTCCAGGAATTAGCAATATTACCAACCCCCAGGGCTTGAAATAAGATTTTTCATGCTGGCAATAAAAATGAAGTTCAAAATTTCCTGCGAAACTTTTTAGTTGCCAGCTACTGCAAGTGAAATTTTATGCTAGAAATCAACTGTTATATTATCAAAGAATTAATTATTGGCCATCGATTTTGATCATAACTATTCAAAAAGTATCAACTTATTTACACAGCATTTGGTGATCAAGGAGAACTTGATCAACACAACCCTTATAGTTCGTTCCAAGGTTAAGTTAGCAAATCTGAAAATCTCTATGATCTTTGACTTAATTTTATATAAGTACTGGCAAAACTAGATACCATTGAAGAATCGATGTTTCCTACATCTATGCAGACTAGCTCTGGGTTATAGTCAGGGCCTATTTTAAGAAATTTTTAATACTGCACATTTATAATTATATTCTTTATAGGAAGTTTTTTTGTTGCAATCAGCAGGCACAGCGCAGCCATTGGGCTAGCAGGGGCCATAGCCTCGCCCTTTTTTTGTAATGATAGGTTAGAAAACTTTTTGGAAAGTTTACTCTAACTTTGCTCTAACGCAAATTGAATCGTATACTCCTAAGGAGTAGCAGTTTATCTTGACTGGGAACCCTTTTTGCTTATTTTCTAGGTGTTCTTTTCTTTCTGTTTTATTACCCCCAAACTAATTTTATCTATCTTTATAGCTATTGATATCTTCTCTGGACCAGATTGTTTATAAAACTTCAGTAGAAATAAGCCAGTACTTTCATAAAGGGGCGTTTTCCGGCGTTCTAGTGGGCGTGGCCTCAAAAAATTTCTGTCACGCCCTTTTCAGCACTCCCACATTTAACCTGGTGCGCGGTCCCTGGCAATCAGTGCAAACTCCTACGAACCCCAGGTGTCTTCTTAGCCATGCAAGCGTAGCGAAGAAATGCCCTGAGTGTTGAACACGTTTATGACGCATAAATCACAGACAGACGATAATATACAAAATCAACAATAACACTTCGTATTTTTATTGTATCGGCTCTACTAGTTTATGGGCAATGCGGGTAAGATGTGTGTTTCGTGTGTTTCGTGGCGATTTCATTCCCTTGGTTAATCTAGGGGTATTTAAGGTTTTGGCATAGCGTGGGTCTCACCTTGCTTGGTGAAGCCACTAACCAACTAGGCTGTTTTATTGTATTTTTCCATCCCTCTCTCCCTCATTCTGCTTCTTTATGCAAAATGCCTTTTCAGTACTACTTTGCGTGTTGAGTTTCTTTTATGGCATCGTTAAACCTTTCATACCTTTAGGCATCTTTTATGCTTTTTAGCGTTTTCTGATGCTATTAGGTAGGACTGGTGCATCGGCTATTAGTGAGGAAAAGAGGCTTCTCCAGTCCAATCTCTCCCAATTATCAATCATATTTGGGGGTGATTGTGTAACTTCCCTTAGTAACCCCTTTACGGTAGGTTGAGCAATTTGCGCCGATGCACCAACGGCCCAACTCGCTCTCGATGATGTGGGAACGTAGCCTCATGACTGACCTTCTGATGTCTATGCAGGGCCGTCGCTACGGGGGGGGGGGGGGGGTGTGACACCCCCAGACCCTTACCTTGTCGGCAAATCTTCGAAAATGGAAGTTTTGTCGTCAACCTCTTAGAAACTGGCAAATTTTCAGAAGAAAGACAGAGTTTTGCCATTTTTAAAAAGATATTATCGGTTGTTGATGACAGCACCAGTCACAGTTGAAATTTGTGAAAAGCTAACGAGAATCTCTCTCGTGCTAAAGGCCAGGCGCGGTCTGGCCCGGTTGGCAAAGTGGCGATCCCCACCGGGCCCTCAGACATGTAAAGTAAAGAAAATTACGGGCCCTTTCTGCAAAAGTTGGAGTGGAGAAGATAATTTTCATAAACTGGAAATTACATACAGTCACAGCTAAGGCCCCTAACATGCGTGCTGGCTTCACAACTAAGCATCAAAATGAAGTCTGTGCGCAGGCCAAAGGGCCCCACTATGACCAACATCCATTATACAGAAATTCTATTTCAAATTTTGCACAAAGACAAATCTGTCCTACTTTCTAGAGAAATAATTTGAAACTGTATGTAGAGATCAAGGAGCTGTTGTTTTTAGTTAGTTGTCTAGAGTCGCCATTGTTACGTTTCTAGCTAAGAATGACCTTCCACACATGATTGAACGTTCCCTAGGGTCATATCACTTTAAGGGAAGAAAGTTGCGCAGGAAGAAAGCTTCTCAAATTGGGAAATTTTGGAACCAACTTTGCGAAAGAAGCGAAATAGGAGCTTTGCAAAAAACAAACTTTGGCGTTTTAGTGAAAATCATGGACTTTGCGTGGAAAACATTTCTATTCAATTGATGTTTCCTTCTATTTTTGTTCCACATGATACCAGCAAAACAACGAAAAAGATGTTAAATTTGTCCAAAAGAATAATTCTTCGTCAAAGTTTTCCTGAGGATCAACAGCAAAATTTTCTGGATATTTCACAAAAATAAATTTTCGAAAATTTAGTATTTCAGGAAGTTTTGCGTATCAATCATCCGCGATTTTAGGCCATAAACGCTAAAAACGCAAAGGTTCCTTCCCTCGAAAGTTTCTTCCCGTGAAAATTTCTTTCCGCAAAAGTTTATTCGTTGAAAGTAGTAAGCAACAGTTAAAGGTCTTCCCTGCTGCCCTTTAAGTTTTTCTTTTCTCTGAAACCCTCTGCAATGTGCATGCTTAAAAGCTATAATGAAGTTTTTCTGTTTGCTAATTGTTAAATGAACAACGTGTTTAGAATACTAAAGTTTGGTACAGACTAAGGAATCTGTATCGTTTTAAGTTCTCTCAATGATGTTTTAGTGTGAATAAGTTTGTAGGTTACTAGATTTCAAATTGTAGCCAAGATACTAACCTAGACAAAAGAAAAGAACATTCAGGTTGAATTTTTGATTATTTTCTTGGCTCAATTTCAGAATACTATATATATATATATATTTATATATTAGGTACGCTTGAAAATGTTGCAAAAATTGTCACATTAGGATTGTTATTTTGAACTGTTATTAGAGTTTCTTAGAGTTACAAATAGAACCATTGTTTTGCTGTTATTGTGCAGAGTTTAACTGCATACATAGAATCCTTGATTTAAATAGAGAACCACAACCGTCAATAATTGATTTGAACTGAGCATATTAGCCTTTTCTCGCATTAGTTGGTGTGGCTCAAAAAAGTTTATCTGCCACACCCTGAACCGGGACCTTTTGGTTTGCTGGCCACCCTGCAATTATGACGCTGAGCAAAACTGAAATATAGCAGTTCGAGAAAATATTCGCAAGTTTTATCAATAATAATTATAGTCGTTTGAGAACCACGCCCGTATCTGTTGCCACGCCTATTTTGTCGGCAAACTACTGGTTTTGCACCCCCCCCCCCCCATGAAAATTTTCTAGCGACGGCCCTGTGTCTATGGCAGTTTTTCTGAGGTAGCTCTATGCCTTTATATTGCATAAGTGCAGTTTAGTGAAACATTTAGTCACGTTTTGCCACCCTCGCTAAACTTCGCTCAACTATACCTACTTAACAAAAGGGCTCTAGACAAATTGGCTTTTATATGATAGTTTTGCCACTACATTAATGTGATACTTCAGCAAAAAAATGAGGGGGCCACCGCCCCCGGTTACGGCGTGCATGTAAAAAACGCCCTTTATCCCAGTTTGTGGGAATACCAAGAATTCATATCGGAAATTTTCATCAGGGGAATGTCAAATACATAGCAGCGTCACCGTTGCTAGGGTAACAGCATTTCAACATGGCTGAAGATAAATCCACGGAATCCAATCCCGCCAAGAAAATCAAGCCATCATTAGAGATGAAAAGAGAAGCAGTGAAATATTATAATGATAATGCTATACCACAATGTCTGGAAAATCTTTTAAACCAAATGTATCTGGAAAATCCAGCTGATTTGTATGGATATATGGTAGGATAATGTATTTGACACTAGGCCCATTACACACCTGGCTTTCTAAAGCTACTTTTTATTGTTTTGGGGCTTAGTGTTTAGGGGGCTTAGTATGGATCTTGCCCGAAAATTATTGCTTCGTTGGAATTGAAAGGTCTAATTGGTGCCTCAAATGTGATAAATTTTGCCTGGTAAGAGGGGGAGGGGGCTGATGCAGTCCTCTCAACCGGCAGATACACACGCGAGGTCAATGCAGTGCTGTACGCCATTTGCTCTAGCACTGTTATGAAAACCTTCTCTTTGCACGTCATGTGAATAATAAAAGCAGGATTTCACACGATATACGTGCTTGAAATGACTGTGCACACGCGATATCTCATCGAGAACTGTCATACCCTGCAGACCTCCCAGACTTAATTGACGATTTTACTATTTTATCTTTCCAAAGATCAAAGAACATGGCGAATAGTTATCTTCAAAATTATCCATTTTAAATCCTGTTACACGTCTTCTAAAGGGACAGGACCTTTCTATGCTTCTGTCATATCAAAATTGACCTAACATAAGGCATTTTGGATTTTTCTTCAAAACGATATTAGTTTAATAACTCATAGCTTTATTTTTTAGGCAGAGTACTTTGGGAAGTATTCACAGGATCCACTCATATCAAAGGTTTGCTTTCTAAATAAATTTTTTTAACATATTATCACTTTTTAAATAAATATGTTAAAAGTAATATGATTACAAATAGGTTATGTATATAAATGTATTTGGAAATATTTACCTTAAAGCAGAGTTTAAAATTGAACTGGAAGATACTTTTTTCAAAAGACTGCCCCACAAAATTAGCATTTACAGTATCTAATGGTAACAGTCACATATAGTGAACAAAATCCAACTTCATGTGATGTATTTTATTACTTTTTAGATAGAATTTGTTGAAAATATCAGCTCAAGAGGATTTCTTAGCTTCAAGGGATATGCCTTCTGCATTATAAATGGGTTGGAAAAGGTAAGAATACCATACACTAAAAAATCCACAACATGGTAGAGTGAACTTATGAAGAATGAGCCTTTGGGGTCAATGATCTTCTCTAAGCCGAAATCTGAAGCTGCATTTAAGTGCACTGAAGAAAGCTCATCAATAGTAACTGTAACTAGGCTTGAAAAACTAGTTGTGACTATTGTAAACAATTCAAACGCCATTATTAGAATAGGTTCTGTATCAATTTCCCTTCGGCTTATATAAGCTTTATAGCTTCTTTTACCAGGGTTCCACCAAATATTTTTGAAACTCTAAAGCATGTATGGACTGAACCTTGCTAGATCGATCTCTACTGCAGTAAGGACATTACATATTTGCCAGTCTGACATGTAGCTTATTGGTCTTGAGAGTTTTTTTCATAAAAAAATTATTCTTAATAGTTATCATACTAGCATTCAATTAGTTAATATTGATTGTGTTTCTTCACATAGCTTGTTACAGCCCTGCCCTGTTTCTTTGATGATGGGCCTGTCATTGAAGTGCCTAGAGTGAAATCAAAACCAACAACTGGCTCAAAATTAAAAGCAGAAAAGAAACTAACAGCAGCCCAATCATCTTTGCCCTTGAATCAAAGTGATTCAAGCACCTCAAAGGCCAAGATACATGATTTTTCAAAACACAAGAAAAACATAATGGAAATTGCACTGAAAATATGTGGACAAAATGTTGGCAATCAGGACAAGACTGATGAAGCTATTAGGTGAGAAATGAATTGACTTTTTAACAAAAATTCGTTTTGGAAATGTATCATAATAAACATGCAGAGACAGTACAAAAAATTCTGCTTCTTTGTCTTTCAATATTTTATATGATAATTATTTCATATTAAACTTTTTTATACTTTTAATAATAATAAATACTTTTTCAATATGCTCCCTGATTGAAAGGTCATTCTATGATGAACTTCTCAAAGAATGTGATGAAAGAATAGAAGCAGAAGATAGCGAAGATGCAAGTGAACAGATCATACAAGTCCCTGATCCAGCAACAAGCTTTTGCCCTGACTGTGCACGAAAATTAGCCATAAACCAAGAAGAGTTGTATTTATCACTTTTGACTGCTAAACTCTCAGCAGATCTTGCAAAATGTTCTCTTTACAAAAGCCTTCTACAGACATACCATGAAAAGGCATGTTGAATTACCTAGTACTGTATTTTTCTGTTTGTTTGATGAGGAAGAGCAGGCATTTCCTCTATATCATACATAACATAAAGTCATATAGACACACATCAAGTTTGACATATAGTCATGCACTGCATACAAAAATAGGCCAAAGCTCTAGATTTTCATTTGATCCATAATTATTGCTTTGGTTTGCTAAAACATATTTTACAAGTTTTGTAGAGGGATTCTACAACATTATTGTACAATATTGTGGGTCCTTTACTTGAGACAAGTCAAGCTAGCATGAAAATAGAAAAATTTTCTCACTGAATTTGTAAGTGGTGAAGAGAAATTTAAATTCCATTAATTGACAAGCAACATCTTTTTTTCCTGTTTCAAATGTCATTTATGCACAAATGAAGAGGGCTTAATTTCAACCTGGCATAGAATATTGGAGGATTGACATAGAGATCTCATACCAGTATGACTTTATGCCATCTATTTTAATGCTGAGATTTTTCAAGCATTCCCGCAAACTCTAGTTTCTTTTTGGAGAAATGGGAGAGGGCTAAAACCAAACAAATTATACATTATTTGGCATCTGATTTCATATCACTTCATATCACTTCATTGCATATGCAAATTTTGATAAATAGAAAAATAAAAATTTTATTCTAGGAAATCCATAGCATTGTACTCCCTATCCCAGCAGTATCTGTTATAAAGTGTGGCACTGATGGCCCTGGAAAACTAAATATGATCAAATGCGCTTATCTTATTCCAAAACCTGGTTTGAGCTATACAGCGGTAAGATCATATGTTTACTTCACTTATCAGAAGCTTACCAGTTCAAAGCAAAGGCATGTTCTTTCTACCCCTTAATTTTAGGAGGGCGCCATTCACATATAATACATATGCAGGATGGGGGAAGGGGGTTTACCAAAAAGCATATGTTTGCTTACAGGTCAGAAGGGGCACTGGAGTCAAAGTAGATATGGAAAATATATGTTAGATATCCTTTAAAAAAGCTCCAAGGTCATAGATTTAAAGCTACAACTGTGTGGTACAGCCTAGGCAAAAAATAGGTACAAATTTATGGCCACAATTAGGGTATTATGAATCTTTGAGTTGTCTTTTACATATTATCTTTAGTATCATTGTTTTCATTACAAAAAAGTTCCTTTTTGCAGTGTTGCCTTGAGCAATACTTTACAATATAAAGATTCATTTGTGCAGCATATTGGTGCAGACAGATATGTGTAGCGTGTTGTCAAATTGCAAAATGGAGAGGAGTTAAACTCAAACTGTACATATACAAAGGGACAGGGGTTGCCAAAGAAGTACAACTGCATACAAAAATGGAGAGGGGTTGACCTCTAGGACAAAATATAGCCATTTGCATTTGACTTATATTTCAAAGAAATTCACTTCTGGATAACCAAAAATGTCAGAATATTTATATTTAATTTTTTCGCAGTTTAGTCTAGCAAGTTTTTGAAAGACAATGGAATACGAAATGCATGCAGACCTTACTTTTTACAGCAAGTTATTTCCAATAGGGATTCCAGAAAATATCTACAGTTTACAAAGAACTTGGACAATGCTTACAACAAAAGCTTGGGGTGTGTACCATTGCATTTATCTTTCATCTTAAATTCAAAGGACTTTTAAAATAAGCCTGAGACTTATCCAAGACATAGCATGAAATAATTTAAGCACCTGCAACTTGTGATTTCTCAATATATTGCATATTATGACTTGAATTTAAAATGTTGCATGCAGCAGAATTTTTTTTGTGATGTGGAATCTTAATACAATTGAGGAGGGATCACCCCTCTATCAAGAAGGCTTATTGAATTTTTACTGTGGCAAATAAGCTGAAGGTTAGCATATATTTGAAAACATTTCTAACTGTTTTTTTAAGGCAAATGGGAGGTTAACTAGTACTGATGGATCATATTTACCAAATCTTGAGCGTGCTGAGCAGGTGTTAGAGTTCTTACAACAAGCCTGCAATCTAGCTAATGTGGAGTTTGAAGAAGAACTGGGTGTTATACTGGACATTGGGGCTTCATATTTGTATGATGAGGTATGTTTCAGTGTTTTCTTTAAGTTTAAAAAAAGTACTATTGTTCTGTTTGAGATTTTAATATTCTTAGGGAGTAAACTAAACAGTACCAGTAAACTAAATAATACCAATTTAAATTTACTTTGCTCTGATGAAGCCTCTTTATGCCAGGGCAAAATATTAGCCACAGTTAATGTATGTGTGTTTATTGTTGTTTGTTCTCAGTGTGTTGTGGTACTCTTTATTTGCTACAGAATTTATAAGTTTCATGACTTTTTTCAAATAAAAACCATGGATTATTTAATAAATCGTATACCAGGAAAAAAAGAAATATGAGGCATCAACTGGAAACTTAAAAACTGCAGAGGACATGATGACTCTGTATGCTGACTTGATTGATAGATACCCAGTCATTGGTTTCATTGATGGCTTATCACACAAGGTAAAGTTGAACAATTTACAATGAATTTCAAGGACAAGGTCATAGAGTTTTTATATTCCACAAAAATTAAACAGAAATTTTGAAGAGAGATACCAAACAGAGAATATGTTTTGTCCTGCTTAATGCATTTTCTAAAGAATATTTCTCAAATAAGAATAATCTGATTTGGTTCTTCTAAGACTTGCTGTTCCTCTCTTTGACCCCCTCTAGCCTTGGGACATTTCTTTGCTTAAGACAATAGGTCATTCCCCAATATTTTTATAAGATATAGACTTTATATCCTTTAGAAATGCTATAAAGTCACATTATTTTGTATTTGGTTTTAAGTGTTTATTGTCAAGGAAAATCAACCATTTGATTAACATTCATGTAAGCTACATTTTCTGGATCACAGGATATTGACAACTGCCAACAGCTGAACAAAAGATTTGATGGAAAATGTTTCTGTTTTGGAGACAACATGTTTGAAGATAATGTGAACATTATGGAGGACAGAATAGAAGATAAAGCATGCAATTCATCTGTTTTGCGACTTGGGAGTCTTTTTAACAACATCACAGAGATGTTTCAGATAACAAAATTTTTGAAAGGTATTTTTGTCAATTATAGTTTATATCAAGTGTACCAAACTTTCTTTTTCAAAATACCTAAACTTCAACATGTTTTCTACAATCCAAGTAAGAAAAAAGCAAAAGAAAATCTTTATATAAAAAACTGCCTAAAACATGCTGGCTCTAAATCTAATAAGCTTTAGAAAGTTACAAAATAATTAAAATTACAATAATTCTTTTCCTTATGTGCATACATCTTGTTCACCACTTATTAAACAACATATTCTGATCAACGGGGACAGAATTTATGAACACAATTGACACAAATCCTTATCCAATTTGGTAGAAAGCGTCTCTATCCTTACCAGGACAACTGTGTTTAGTCAGAGGGTATTTCAAAACAAAACCAGCAAGATACACTTTCCCTATCCACTTTCTATCCCACTGGCCAGTCTCCTACTTATTCTCTGTACTCATTTTAGCTCTTATTAGTTAAGACAGTATATTTACTTGTTGTATGTGTCAGTACTGCATATACTTGTATTTCTTGTATATCATCCTACTGTTTCAGAACATGATTGCAGAGTGATGATGTCCAACATGACTACACAAGGATGTACAAGCTTGGTCACCCCTGACTTGGTAATCATAAAATTCCTGACCTTTTCATTAATCTATCTTTCTTTACTTATATCTGATTTCTACTCTTGCAACATCAAATTTTACATGAATTGCCTCCTTTATTTTTTTTTAAAATTGACTTGTTGACACTTTAATGCAACTTTGTTACATTCAATTCTTCATTCTTTCATCAAGCTCAATCAATGAGACAATTTGAAATAATTTTGAAATTATGAAAACACTTATATATAGCAGCATATTATAAAGTGCATAATATTAATGTTAATGAATAAAACAGCTTATTGATTTAAGATGATGTGGCACAATAAGTGCATTGATGTTAACTATGCAAAGCTTAAATGAACTTGGATTAACAGATTTTATAAATTGAAATCATAGGCAGTAGCAGCTGGATCAACATTCATAGCCTTAGGACCCCTGGTTCATGAAGAAAGCGCTGGAGCAGCCAGCAGACTAATTGAGATTGAAAATGAATTAACAAAAGACGGCATCCTACAAAGAATGGAAGAATTCCCTTTTCCTGTGCACACTAAGGACATTGAAATTGAAGAGGAAGAATCGAATGCTATGGTGATAAATGAGGCAAATAAAGAGATAATTGAAAAGAAGAAGCCCAGTTAACTTGACACATCAGTACAGCATACAAAAAGGTATTCAAGAAGTTTTTTTGGAGAATCTGAGAATTGTTTAAGCATGTTTGAAGTGGTAACACCTTAATGACTAGATACAACATTAACATTACTTAAGATGTAATTTAGTCAGTAAATTCACACTTGTAACAATTCTTTAGCTCTACATCATTGAAAAATGGTTCTCAAATCCAAAAAATTTAAAGGGAGCAAAAAGAGACATTCAGCGTACAAAATATACTCTTAGTAGACAGTCCTTGCTTTGTTTGCCTTCACTGCCCCCATTTAAGCACAACTTGAATGATCTATAAATATAACACTATATGATAATAATAATAAAGGAAAAAGGCTTCAGTTGAACATAGTTTTTGTTTTGTAAACATCAAATTAAAATTACAAATCTCCTTTTACATTCAGTGTCCTATTCTACAAAAGGTGAATTAACCTACTTAATAAATCTGATTCTAAATTGCACACTGAAATTTACAGACTTCAATTTCATTGCTCTGCTCAACTAATGTTTTCCTTGGGTAGAATATATGTTCAAACTAAAGGCAGAGGCAAACTAGATCATTCTAAAACACTACCACAAGTACCAGCCTCTCCTTGTTTGGAGCCCTGGCTACAACACAAAGTAGAGTTATAAAGATGGTGTGTAATATATACAATGAGTATGAGTTATGATGTGTACAATGAGTGTGCAAGGTCTTTCATTTTATATATATAATAGATAAACTCACGATTTTTTTCTAAATTTCTTCAACACTCCAATCATGTCACAACCAGTCACAAACTGACATCCATCTTTATTGTTAGCAAAGTTAGCTCTTTGACATACTGCTCCAATAAAGTCTTTCAATAATTCTTAACGACTTCTCTGACATCATATGAAATTTTGCTACTTTGATATAGCATCCTCCCACTCTTTTACGTCATCTGCACTAGACTTTCTAGGAATTCTCCATTTCTCAAATTTTTGAACCAAGTCTCCGTCTTTTGATGGTAGACTTCCCGTCATAAGTAGAGAAAACTCTTCAACCTGTAAGGAGTAATGTGACAGTAATGGTGTAATGTGTTAAATGGCTTATGACAACGATTTATCATAAGATTTTCATTTTTAAAATATGCTAGTAACTGAAGTAGGAAATCTCAAACGAATGTATGCATTATGTTACCTCTGTATCAGGAAGTCATAGTTCCCCACATTCTCATTCACCTTAGGGAAATATTCACGTTCAATCACAATCTTCATATTTACATTGGAAACTGTCATGATATTTTGTTCAAGTCTTCGTGAAAAGGAGCTTATCTGCTTCCAACTGAGAAATACATATTCAATTATTTAAATTTTTACATATGTTAAAAGCTCTATTAAACCCCCTCTCTTTTAAGCCCCCTCTCTAATAAGTCTCCCCTTATCAAGCAAAAATTTAAAATAAGCCCCCCTCTCTATCAAACCTCCCTCTTAAGCCCCTGATGTCAAACAAAGAGAACATGAGCATTGAGTGGGTCTCTTGACAGGTGTGATGACAATAAGATTGGGTGCATTAAAAACTACCCATGTAAATATAGTGGGTCTCTTGACAGGTGTGATGATGATAAGACTGTGTGCATTAAATACGACCCATGTAAATATTAACTTGTGCACCTAAGAAGTTGGTCGAAATTTGATAAGAAGATGTCCCAGGGGATATCAAATGATCCTGGTGACTCTTGAGGAAGATGAGGGTATTATATTTGATTGATTTTGAGAACCTTTTGAAGCTGCTAGCAAAGTTTTTGAGAACATTTGTATGACATTTTCATAACAAAAAAGAATACGGAAATTTGTATAACCTTTTTTATATTGAATTATTAATAAGCACCCCTCTGTCTTTTAAGCCCTCTTTTAGCCGGTCTGGATTTCATGGCAGTTTTCGGCAAGATCTCGGGATCTCGGGATGGTAGTGAACTATGCTTACCTATCACTACCATCAGTGGCCGTTATTCAAATTTCTAAAGAGTAAATTTGGCAAGTAAAGAGATAATTTAAAAAAATAATTGATTAAGGTCCTTGATGTCTAGGGAACCTCATAAAGAAAGAATTCCATTTTAAGAATGGAATTTATTTGTTTATGGTTGAATAATGGTAATCCGTTTATAGAATAGAAATAATAGTAAAATGTGACAATGAAACAATTAAAACAAGGTATAATATTGAAACAATTGCAAGAAAATGACTGCAAACAATGACTGACAACCAGCTAATTGCCAATAAACTTAGAAAGAAGGGTTTAGTGTGTAACTTAACTCTGTAAATGTTAAGGCAAACATATCAAGACTTGCATATTTGGTAAAAAATTGACTTTTTGTCCAAGTTAGTTGGTATCTTGTTTTGTTTAAACATCATCCACCCATGAATTTGAGTACAACAGTGAAATTATCTCCGGTTTCTACCCTGTTGTTATCAGTCTGTAACTATGCCTCCCAATGATTCTCTAACTTCATATTTCACCCTGTTAAACCTTAATGTACAGGCATCAAGCCTGCAAAATTTCATCAAGATCAAACTTGTCCCACATTAGGATTTTTTCAGTTATGTAGCGGTTGTATGGCATTTCCCCGAAACTGGCAATAACAGGTTTTCTTATTTTAAAAATGCAATAGCTGTGAAAGAGATGGTCTTACAAGGTTTTTAGCATTATTTTTTTATTCTGCAGGTATGAAAATGGTGGGATGTACATTTTCAGAATGATAATGCAAAGGATACCAAAAAAATTAGAAATATAAAATGTTGTTTGATTTTTTACAAAATTCAAAATGGCCGCCAATTAGTGGTTTTACCTAAAAAATTATTAAATTTGAAATTGCGATATTTCAGCCAATATAAAAGATATTGACGTGAAATTTTGGGAAACTTTATTTCTAAAGAAGATTTATTTGCAAAATGAAAATGAAAAAAATCTAAGATGGTGGGTGTCAATTTCAACTTTTATCTGGTGAACTGACATGGAATGACCCAATATTCTGAAGTGTATTCTGCAGCCAATCTAAAGTAAGGGGTCAGAAAAAGTTTCTGCTCATTTTGCTTGCAAGGGTGCCTTTCTTTCTCAGTTTTGTCTCAGCTCCACTGAAAACTTTTTGCCGGCCCTAATCTAAAGTGGATCACTCAATTTAGAATGACACATTCTTTTCCAATCTCAGTTGTGGACAATTTAAAAAGTAATTTTGCCATACACTCTTTTTTTTATATAAGAACAATTTTATAAGAACACGAGCCTCAAAATTGGTCAAAAGTTAAGAAAAAATTAAGAACAAGCTGAGGCTGAGCATCTGCAAAATGCATTTTTCAACAATGTTTTTTCTCTCAAAATCGAGGATTTTTAGCGATGTATGGGTGCTTTTTCAACGAATATTCAAACTTTTCTGCAAATGAAGGTTGTCTCACTCACTTTGTTGGCAAATGAGGCCTGAACACCTCCCTAGAGCGAAAAAGCTAGCACTCGCACTGCTTACACCCTATTAGATTAAGAACAAATTAAGAACAATCCAGCCTCAAATTTTCGAAAAAATTAAGAACAGTCAGCCTGAACTTAAAATTACTGGTCCTTTAAAAAAAAGAGTGTATTTGAAAAAGCGTTCTAATTTGAGCCATATCCAAAAACACGCCCAAACCATGCCCATTTTTCTGGAGTGCAGCTGCCATGGAATCCATAATGGCTCTTTAGGACTGACAAAAATAAATAAGACCCCGGGAGCTTAATAGAGATTTTACGGTAATTGTATACTTACATTGCGCACTCCTAGTGCCCACTTTGTTGCCAAAACAAGAAATCCGCACCCAGCGATACTTAAGACCGTACCAATTCCAAGTGCCTTTAAAGCAAGTTTAGTAGCCCCTAGCTCACCAAATTCTGTGGGGTTTTTCTTCCTTACACGCCCTAATGTAAGCCCAAAACCAGCAAACAACGACAGAGTTGTTATGCCAAATATAAAACTCCCTTTTCCAAATAATCCGCTACTATTTCCATTTTCGCGGGGCTCGTGTTCAGCCGCCATTTGCCTTGATGTAGCCTCGTTTCTGAGAGGGTCGAAGTTTTGAAAGTGAGACGGTCGATATATTTTTTTACAAATACTTTCTTTTTCTTTGTACTTGTTTTCCTTCGTCGATTTGCGTTCTTTGGGCTTCCTCTCGTAAGCAAGTCTATTCTTCTCACCGTTATCACGTTTTTCACCGTTATTATGCAAAAGCGTAGCATAAGAGTTCAGACGTAGCATCTCGACAATGTACTCCCATATCGATGTAATAGTCGAATTTTGCCGAAATTGAGGAGGGGGTTGAATCATTTCGTTGCATAAATGAGAAACAATTTCTGGAATTCTTCCCGAATTTCCCCCCTACTTTTTCATTAGGCAGGATAGGCTTAGACATACAACCTTTGAACAGTTGCGGTTGAGGGTTTCTGAATAAGAATATACATCTTTTTAAAAGAAACACGTCACACAAGGTAGGCTCAAAGTTTCTTGATTGCCTCAAATGAGCCATGAATGTTTCCGAAGAATTCCTTAAATTTTTCTTTATGTCATCCAATGGGTAAAATGCAACAAGCATCCCGAGGTCGCCTAGCGTTATTCACGTTTCCCATCGGAAAACAGCAATTTGCGATTTTTATTCTACTTGCGATTTTTATTCGACGATATTTTTTCTCCCCTATCCCCCTATCTGAGCCTTGCAATGTTTCTTAGACGTTTCTTAGTTTTAAGGGTTTTGAGGCTCGGATTTATCATTTCCATGATTCTTAAAAAAAAGACGCGTTCCCTTCCTGAAAGCTTCCTGCGACTGCAAGCGGAGAGGGCGTATTCGAGACCAAAATATATTACAGACAGATTTGGCATATCTTCATTAGGGTGTAAAATATTGAAAAGTACTTAGAATATTGGGCGTGCTGAATGATAATTTCATAAGAATTTGCAAGCCTGATATTTTGCTTGTCTCTAGACCAAAATATTAAAGGTAAGATTTTTGTTTTGAAACTAAAAGCCCTTTCAACGATAATCATATACAAAAACACTACCGACCGCAATAAAAGAACAATGAAAGGAAAGAGCAACAATCTAAAATTTTTCAAGATGGATAAATTACGAACTTTCACGACACAATGGAGTTTTCACGATAGAATGATAGTCTCGCTTCGCTATACTTGCTGACGCTAAATTGCAGTAAACCAGGTTGTGTGTACTTCTTAATGACGGAAAAGAATACTGTATTGTATGGGTCAAAAGCTTTAAAATCAACAACTTTACGACTTCATGAAGGTATCTGATTTCGCTGCCAAAAGACTACCAGATGAAATATACCCAACAACTCTAGATTACATAATTTGCTTTCTAATAAATTTGCACAAAGACATGAAAACAAACAAGACAGAAAATACTATTGACGAAGACTTAGGTAAACAATACTTTACATGGTGTTTATTGACTAGGAAATCTAGGCAGCTCCCTTTAACCATAAATGTATTTTCTAAAAGTTTCATACAAGCAAACCATGACAAATGTTTTGTTCGTGTTTGCTCGTCTGAACAGGGCCTAATTTCGCAACGCCGGTAAGAAAAAGTTCCGAAATTGGCGGCCGACTCAAGTTGTGGACTGTGCAGATGTGGCTGGGGGTTCGAGTTCTGATGCGGGTGTGTCAGCCTCCTCGTCATTGTAAATGTTCTCCGCCTGCAAATAGATTAACAAATAAGTAATGACTTAACAATCAGCATCAGAGACCATTAAATTTTATACTTCACTTGCACAAGTTCCTGAGACATTTTAAATAAATGCGCAAAAAAGAAGAGCCAGTTATTCGATTTGAAGGTAAGAGTAAGCCTTCTTTATGGCGATATAAATAATCCTCTAAGGACGCAACCTCTGATCAATCAAGCAATGCTTCAAAAATTCACACTTCCGTTAAAGTTTATAAGTAATCCAACAATAAGTAAAACTGCCAACAAATATAACTTTTCCATACGATATCCCCCGTGCTTTAACACTCTTCTTTAGATAGGAAAAACTAAGCTAAGAATTAAGAATAAAGATTCCCGAAAAAAAAGAACAACGCAAGGACATGATCGGTCTCCGATGAAAAACTAGTAGAGAGAATATTTTTTGGAAAAAAGAGCCCCAAGATATCGAAAAAATTGGAACATGGGCAAAAATTATCTTGCTCTGATAAAAAGAATCTAGTTCATTAGAAGTCTCATATATTCATACCATGACTGTTGAAGAAATAAGAATTATATTCACCATTTGCCAAACTTGCATAATGTTGTCTTCAGAAACACTGCAAAGGACCCAAGGCTCATTGGGATTCCATGCAAAATCAGAAATTTTGGCAGTGTGACCTCCATGAATAAACTGCAGAAGAAAGATATGTAGCTGTATAGCGTTACTTTATCTTACTTAGTTATCGTCTTTACAGTGTGCAATGACGGTAGAGATCTCGAAAAAAGGCCCATCATATGGAAATCTAAGTTAGTAATGCCACGCAAAATTTAACTGTACACCGGTCACTTGATCGAGTTAAGTGGAGCAGACCGCTAGTCAAGTAATGTCCAGTTTTCTATTGCTATTTTCAATAAAAAAGTGACCAATAGTTTCAGTTATTAATCTCAAAATTCCGCTACATATGAACATTTTCAAATAAGCTAATTAGGTGTAAATAAATACAAATACAATTACAAAAAATAACAAGGATGTAAGGAAACAAAAGTAGAATTGCATGCAGGAAATTTCTAAAGGAGGGGCCCTCTTAGTAGACAAACTAATCGAGGAGGGAGCAACCCCCTTTTTAGAGAAGATTCAAAATCTATTCAAATCCAATATAAAAACCGAAACATTTGATGCAAGAACCTTACGGCCAGAGATTCTCAACAGTTGTATTAAAGTCGAATAGAAACAGCGACAAAATAACAATAAAATAAGCAATTGATGTTGAGATACTGTTCGGATCTGTTAATTGCAAAGCTTAGAAATCCAAAGCAGTTACTGTGATGCTACACAAATACAGATATAGTAATACGTTTATCTATTCTAATTCTTCTCAGACTCTCGAAAATCTAACCAGATCCCGAGAGGGCCTAGGTTGTCAGCACTGTTGAAATACATCAACCTGGGTGCGCAAGGATGGTTATCATCATAGAAGAATTAGACTTTGGAATTCACGAAATTTTATCACTTGTAAACAACGTCTTTGGATCTAAAGTTCTTTAATTACTACAAATAATAAAGTCCAGATTTATGAAACCAACAACATAAAGTCTTGAGTCAAAGAGCATGCGCATGGAACGGAATCATTATTACGCATGCTCTATGATTCTAGAATGGAGGGTTGCCTTACACAATTGAAAATTTTCAATTGTTCGTCTACCCAGCAAATACCCGAACGAAACTCTAGACCCAAAAACTGTTTACAAGTGATGAAATTCTTCTCCCTAACAAGCATATTCCATTCTTTAAACTTTTCAACACCAAAAAATATAAATACAAATTTTGTCATACCAGAAGCTCTGGGGGTCCATCTTCAGCATCCTCTGGGCTTTGCTCTTCCCCAATTTTGCTTCAAAATAAAAAAAATTGAACTTCACTGATATAGAATGAAAACATTCTTCTGAAATTCTCTGAAAAGACGCAACTTTAAAATGAAACTAATAAAGACAGTGATGTTTGTGTACACATAACGAGTAAAAAATTTCATAGAATAAACTACCTTAAATCCCAAACGTGGAGTCTTCTATCAGTGCCACTTGAAGCCAAAATCGTTTCGTTGTGGGGAGACCATTGAACCTTAAAAATGAAAACTTGATGAAGGCATGCTAATAATAAAATACATTTTGTATATATACATTCCCAAATAAATTATTTCGGTAGGAAAAAATTGGTATATTCTTGTTTGGGTTATAGGTGGTTGAAATTATGGATTAAACTATAAATTTCTTTATTCCCGTGTTATAAAACATCAGATTGGTTGAGATAAAGAGCTGAACCTATAGATAATCACACCAAAATAGGCCTTTGGTCTTTAAATGAACTTTCATTTAGTCCACACGCAGAAAGATTGCTAACCAAATCGTTTCTTTCTAAAAGGTGTTCAGGCCTATCATCGGATCTGTACAGGCACAGCGCAGCCATTGGGCTAGCAGGGGCTATAGCCACTCCATTTTTTTGCGATAATACGTTAGAAAACTTTATGGAAAGTTTACTCTTACATGGTCTAACGAAACATTGAATAAAATACTCCTAAGAAGTAGCAGTTTTTCTTGGCTGGAAACCCTTTTTGTTCATTTTCTAAGTGTTTTTCTTGATGTTTATTATCCCCAAGCTAATTTAAATTTTTTTATAGCTATTCATGCCTTCTCTGGACCAGATTGTTTATGAAACCCCAGTAGAAATAAGCCAGTATTTTCTAAAAGGGGCGTTTTTCGGAGTTCTAGAGGGCCTGGCCTCATAAAAATTTCGGTCACGCCCTATTCAGCCCTGCCACATTTAGACTGGTGCGCGGTCCCTGGATCTGTAAAAGCAAGCAAATACACGAATCCAGAGCTATCCATGAACTCGATACGCACGGCGAAAACAAAAGTTTTATTAATGACAAGATTATACCTGGAATATCTCATCTTTGTGTGACTCAAATGAATGAAGCTTTAACTTTAGATTTCGTAGATCCCACAGGGCAACGGTCTGTGAAGCAATTCATAAGCAGACGTTAGTGTTGAAAGGCAAAACAACATCAGCAACAATGAAACGGTTGATGTATTAAAAGTTAAAGCAAAATTAAAGTTTAGAGCGCTTTAAAGAAATAAGGTAATTGAAATGTTTCTTATCTAATCAAATATGAAAGATTTTACCTTATCAGCAGAACCAGTCGCCAAAATAAACTCGCTATACGGATTGAATGATAAGCAATTAACCTGAAAAATAAAAAAACAATATTTATGCAGGTATTTGCTTCATTAAGAACAAACACACTTTAAAGTTACATACTTTAAAAAGAATAAAAAAACTTTAATTACGTAATATTTATTGTAATAATACATGATTTAACTGAACCATACTTATTGTTATAATACATGCTAGTTTAAACATACACGTTCATTGAATAATGTTCTATCTACGTCATGAAAAACAGAATGATTGCGGAGCAGCATGACTTTGAATTTATCGCTGCTTTAGGATAGGACGCGAAGGAAGTAGGATGAATGCATAAAATGTTCATCCCACGTTAACAGTTGCAAACAACTTTTCATTCCTTTTTATAAATCAATGATATTTCTTTACAATACTGCTAACCCTTGACAAAGCGAGAGCAGATGGCAAATATTTTAAGGATATCAAATAAATTATTCTCCTTGATATATAAATAAATAGAGAATGAACAGATGACCTAGCAATATTAGCTTGGTTAGAATAACACACACTTTTGAGAAAACTGCAACCGAAAACCTTACCTCGGCAGTATGAGCTTCCACAGTATGGCTGGGTTTGTTGTTGCTAGTTCGCCTTGTGTCCCAACTGAAATAAAAACGCATCGAGCTCTTCAAACAATGAAAAGTGGTTAAGAGGCATTTACAAACAAAGGAAAGTTAACGAAGATCTAAGATCTCATCACTCAGAAGAGGCTCTCGGTAAACATAAAAGTTTGTTCTTTGAGACAGTAGCAATCTGTGCGTACAATCATCCGGACATTGAGTTCAAACTCTATAACTTAACAAAGCATTTCAACTTGACAAACAGGACTTTTCTTAGCTTATGTAAATCAAAGCTAGATCTCCAGCTCTTCAGGAAATGGGAGCTCCCATTAATGTAAAAAACAAGCAAACTAAGTACTCATGTACTCTGAAGTACATCTAAAAATACCAGTTTTTAAAGTAGAAGACGACAGTAAGAAGGATTTACAATGAAAATGAAGTAAAAATCTTAAAATTACATCATTAATTTATGATCATCAGCTACTGAGCCAAACAGGCTGTCGTGTAGTAAGTGCCAAGAAACGTCTTCTACAACTGCTGAATGTCCAGTGAAAATTCTGCTTGCATCAAGCGTTTTGGCATCCTGATAAAACATAACTTGGGTTAAATAATTTTCTTCTAAAATAAACAAAATAAAACCTCTCAAAATCAATATCACTGTGTTTAGACAACACGTCAACCTGAAATTCACCTTCTATGAATAATTTATTTTCATATGTTTAATGAAAACTGTAGTTTAACAGCCTGTCATAAAGTGCTCAATGCCCTCAGTGCCATATAGGCAGATTTTTACACGGTCGCCTGACGATAACATTAAGCGTTAAACTTGGGAGTTGCAACTTAGAACCGTCGTGTACTATAAAATAAAGCGTGAATATATAATATATGTTAATATTTATACATTTAATAAGAATAATTTGGACAATACGTTTTCGGATTCTTACTAACCACACAAAGCAGCAAAATACCAAAACCTAAACTCTAATGAACACCTAAAGAGCTACTTTGCCAGTCCATGGTCCCTTTTTATAATATTCATGTTTTTCATGTATTGTATTGTATTGTATTGTATTGTATTGTATTGTATTGTATTGTATTGTATTGTATTGTATGGTACTGTATTGTATTTTATTGTATGTTGAATAGCTCCAGTGTAGGTTCCTATGCAGCAATAATATTGAAAATGCATTAAGTAGTTTTTGGAAAATACACAATAAAAAGTTGGTCCTTACCTTTGGTGCAGAATTGATGTCCCAAAGACAAATTGTCTGAAATTCAGAGAGAGGTTTATTCAATACAAGGGCTCTAGGGTGCATCCCCTTAAAAGGGATAAATGTCATCATTTAACAATTCAAATATTTCCTGAAGAAAAACTTTTTTAGACTTAGCAAAGTTGCTTGTAATTCAATCTTAACAAAAGATCATTTCCCTGAAAAATTCACCTGTTTTAATGAATTTTACATGAAAAAACAAGCATTATCATAAACCTGAACACACAAACAAAAACCCTATCTGTGCCAATTCTGGTATTTTATGTTCAGAAAGTCATACAATTGGTGGGAAACTTTGTTTAGACATATTCAAGACGAAAAATCCCAACAGCAGGCCTTGCCATAAGACGTTTTCCTGGTGAGTTACTTGTAGATCTATATGAATATGAATAGAAACAAAGGAAAAATGATCTCAAGGCGAGCCGTTTGCTTTTAGATCAATTTAAGAGAGCAATCTGTAGCTCTTCTTCAGCATTGAGGAGAGCAAGAGCTATGGCTCTCCTCAAACAGCCAGGCCTGCAACAGCCATTTGTTTTCTAATATTCTGAGTTGCCTATCTAAGTTAAATATTCTTTGCCGTCAGCCATCTTAATTTCTGAGACAAAACTTATCTCAAGGTCTCCCCCCTTTTTTAATTTCTTCAAACTCATGATATCCTTTCTGTAGAACGACAGTTTGTAATTTTCAAGACTTGCGTATTAAAAAACTGCAAGGTGTATATATAAAGGTGCTCGTTGTAGGGTAAAGAAGTGCAACAAAAACAGAAAGAAAGAATGAGAAAAGTATTGAGAACTGAATATTTTATTTGTATGGTTATATTATGAAAACGTTTCTTCAATTTAAGAAACCAGCGTCTTGTTCAATTTCTTCTGTTTTCAATTTAAAGTGAATAGCATTCACCCTGTTTTTTTATTATTATTTGGGATCGTTTCCACTCACCACATTTCTTCCAAAACCTCAACATATTCAGGACTTGCCAGCACCCTATTAAGATGCTAAAGGACCCTACACCCTAATAGGGAACATTAAAAATTGTTCAAAGAATGACAGAAATTTTGGTGGGACTTTGGTTATAGCTGTAAACAACAAATCTGCAACTTGACTTAGAGATAAAACTGGACTTGAAGAGCCTTGCTCAAAAAAACTGTGTAAAACTTATAACAAATGAGTTAACTGAAAGTCTGAAATGGTAATTACATGATCATCTGATGCACTTAGTAAATTTCCTGACAAGTTTGGATTCCAAGATAAGCCATAGCTGAAAGAAAAAAAACATGAAAAAATAGTGTGAACATATGAATAACAGCAAATTTATAGAGGCTAGTGGTAATCAAATTAGAAGAAAGTCTGGAAAATATAAACAAGTTAATACAGACTGATTTTGAATCATATATAAATGTGAGTTTCAGGGGCTTTCGTGCACTAGACAACTATCTGAATGCAATGCCAAAGAAAATGAGCAAATTTTAGTTTTTTGCTTTGTTACATTACAGAACAAGCCTTATGTCACAAAAGGGTTTTGGAAGTGCATATTATCACATCTTATGTGTTTTGGAAGTGTTAAGGAAACAAGACCCACCTTTAGTGAGATTCTATTCACCTTTAAAAATGTTTATAGACATACAAGGCTCTTTTTAACGTTCGCAAGACCTATTAGAATGTGACAATGCTAAAATTGTAGCTTCTTGTAGCTTTACAAAGGCTTTCCTAAAAATGATCATTTCAAATGCTTTATAGTCGCTATATCAAATGCTATATAGATTGTCTTACCCTTCCTTTGAATGCCCTTTGAGTCGAAGATTTGGCTGACATCCAGCATTAGGGTCTACAATTGCATTGAGTCATATATGAAGGCCTATTTGCAATGAGTTTATAATTAAGGCAATGAAAGAAGAACAGAAGACACCTTCTATACCAAAAGTAGACATGGTAATCTTCTGCAGTGGTTTCAGATATCCGTTCCATGACATCATGTTAAATTAAAGCAACAATAGTTCAACAAGATAGATCCATAAATATTTCAGCCATCAAAAAGATGAAGATTTATCTTTAAATTCATCTCTTAAACAGACTGATATTTTTATATGCTGCTATTTATCAAAGCAGTCCCATTTTTTAAGGAAAGCTTTATAATTTTCAGTTCATATGGACTAATGTTCTCATCATTAACCATCTGCAAAACTACCTTAAGAAGAACTCTTCAAATTAAGACTCAAAGATTTTACTTAAACATCTACATATCTACCTAAAAAAAGTTGGTTGTGAATAAAATTTTGAACATTGATATGATAAGTCAAATATTTGCCTACCTGGTTTCGATGGGTGTTTTGTATAGTCAAAAATTAAAACATCCGAAGTAGGTGTTTTTGTAGCTATAACACATGGGTTCTGAGGCATGTGTCTTGCTCTAAAATTAAACATATAATAAATTTACATAATTTGGAATAATTCTTCTAACATAATTCAGAAAGCACACTCAGGTGGTGGGCAATTCGGTCTCCCAAGCACCCAGGATGGTTGGCCTTTATCTGGGGTGACAGCTTATTGTTACACAGGGCAGCTGCCAGGCTACTAAATTTTAACTTGAAACGTCCACACCCCTGTCGCCAGAGTTCTGGTTTGGGAGACCACAGGCCTTATGCAGGAGACGACTGAAAAAGCACCTTTTTACCAGAATGTCCACCAGTGACACAGACTATGATTAACTATGGACAAAAATTGGCTTGAAAAAACTGTTTGACCCTCAAAGAATTTTAATTATACCCTATAGCCATGTATATTGTGGTGATAAGCATACATATAAGTTATATGTATGCTAGTTTAAACATTTTCATCTTAAATGATCATATTTGGCTATTTTGAATCATTCTTCATTGATCTGAGCTATTTTTACTGTAAAAAATATTTACCTGTTAACTTCCCCTTCATGGTTTATTTTTATATCGATTTCAATTTTTCCACCAACACTTCCAAAACCTCCAAATTCTTGCAATGAAAACAAATAAAAATACTGAAAAAGAATCCTTGATCAAAAGGAATATCTAAGTACTGAAATATATAAATCTGATATACACCATATACAGAAAATATGGCTAGGCTCAAAAACCTTGAACCAAGAAAATGAAAAAAGTTTCATGGGTCCTTGCAACCCCTTTGGAAACCTTTTCATAGCATACTCTTAAGTCCAGAATAAAGCCCCCGACACCCCTACTTATTCATTTTACATATAAATATACTTATTTCCACATATGTTATCTATTTTTTACCCATGACTTTGCTATTTTTGATTTTCAAGTCTATCTTGTTGAGGAATTGCAAGGTGTAAACAATGAGGCTCGTCAAAACGTAAGGAGGCACACAGAGAACAAAAAAGTGTGAGAACATTTCAATATAACTTTTTTTTCATTTTATACTGTTGTGCCTATAAACCCCTTTCATTTGTATTTTAAAAATCAATGTTTTGTTTATATTCAGGACTTCTGCTTAGAGTTTCAGAGTTTTCAGTGGAGGGGTGCAGGATAGCAGATGAGCATACCGGCACTTGTTTGATGCATTATCTGGGAGTGTTCCATAGCATGTGAACACTCCAAAATTGATCACATGAGTTTTTGGTCACATGAATTCTGAATATGAAAACCCTGCTGCAAGCCATCTAGCATGTTTTTTATCATTTAGGATTTTTCTACACACCCATTTATTCCCTGACCTTCTCCTATTTATCACAAACAATTTTGAAGGCTTGAGTTTTCATCATTTTACCTGCTTTTTCATGATCATAATGGCTTGCATCAAACTGTGTCTCATCTTTAGGAAGCTGTACACTTGCTATTACTAAATGATTCTGCTCATCAGAGCTAGAAAAAAGGCAAGTCAAAAAGAAGATAGAAGGCATAACAATTAAAAAACCCATTTTGATAATAAATAGGTTTGACTTCATAGTCGTACCTGTAAAAAACTACTCAGAACTTTGTCACCAAAAAAATCTGGTCATGGAATTCCAATAAAAGAGCACATTTTATGAAATCCCAAAGCTAAGTACCAAATGGGTACTTGAGCCCCTTACAGTCATTTTTAGGGACATCAGTCCCCTCCCTACAAAGCTACTTAACCCTGAATAGGCTTTCAGGAAAACTCAAATAAATAATGTCTTTTCTCAGTTTATGTCTAGGCAATGTGCTTTGAGCACTCAAGCACTTAAGACAAAGCTTTGGTAAGACATTAGAGCAACCTATCATTTGCTTTCTGAAAACCAGTAACAGACATCTGGGGGTGGTAAACCCCAATAATTTGAAAGACAACAGTCTTTCAAATGTGAGAATGTTCTAAAATGTGTCATCATCTTATCAAAACAATAGGCTTGCCCCAATATTTGACCAAGTGTCCATCCTTGCTTAAAACTTGTATACAAAGGCCATTATGTCTCAAAATTATGCTGTCTTTTCAGCTTAGAATTTGTGACAAAAATGCAAATAGTCTAAACAAATGAAATAAACTTTGGAACCTTTTGAAATCAACAACAAAAGACGATTAGAGCCACTGTGTTAATGAATTCAGGGCACAAACCCACAATACACCCCTGAGTAAATCCCAGTAAAAACTACTGACAGTAAGAAAACTCCAGACCAGGAAGTGTCTTTTGAAAAATCAAATGATTCATGTTTCATGCAAGTGCAATCTCAGATTTTTGTCCCCAATCATTCGTAAGTTTCTCTTTTGGCATAACATCCCATCCCAGGCAAGCATTTTATTGCCCCTGCAATATTTATCCGCCATCCCCCATGAAGAAAACCACTGGCTTACAAGAAAAGAGTTAGGGAGGAGGGCAGAAAACTTGTCAAAAGATTGATATCAGGTTTCATTGTCAAGCTTTGAAGTCTTAAAGGTAGCATTTTTGCAAAATAGGTTTCTTATAACAGCTTTTTCCTAGTTACATTCTCACATTGATGTAGTAAAATTGATCAAAATGGCTTCTGCAGAAAGAATTTATAAACAAAAACTTACGTATGGGTTCCTAAAATTACTCTGTGAACAGTGTAATCCTTTCCCTCTGGTCTATCAAAACAAAGATACAGAGAATCATTATATGACTAAAAAAATAACAATAAATTAGATGAGGTATCAGAGACCTGGAAACACAAAAGGGTTGATCTGTGCTTTTAGTAAGCATTCATCAAAATTTATGTTTGGTATTTTGCTGCTTTGTGTGGTTAGTAAAAATCCAAAAACATATTATCCAAACTATTCTTATCAGATGAATAAATATTAACATATATATATTATATATTCACACATTGTTTTGTAGTACACGATGATTCTAAGTTGCAACTTCCAAATTTAAAGCTGTAGAGCTTACAGCGAAACATCAAACAAGTTGTTTTTCATTGAGAATCTATTTAATATTTTAAAAAAACCTTCAAGAGTTAGGAGCTATAGAATATATATATAAACTTATTCCAGATTGCGTTGTCTATTCTGACGTGACAGTGCTCGATGTGCAAAAGCACAGAGCAATAGATATAATAAAATAGAATATAGACTAGAAATGAGACATGTTCTCTGTTACTCCGAGTTTCGTGCTTGCGCACTCATCAGACAGACTATAATCTATAATTGATGTCTGATGAGTGCGCAAGCACGAAACTCGGAGTAACAGAGAATATGTCTCATTTCTAGTCTATATTCTATTTTATTATATTTATTATATTATTATTATTATTATATATATACTTATATATATGCATGTATATTTCATTTATAGAAGGTGAAATTCATAAATCATAATCAACTTTCAGGAAGCAAGGAATTAAAGAAATCCCTGCAATATTTTTAAGGCTTTTCGAGTAATAGATAATAAGGAGACAGATTCGCTTTAAGGAGCAATTGTGCACTATATAGATAGTCCTGTCAACTACTTTGAACCAAGCAAACATTTTATAGTCTTACAAAAGGTGTCTTACATACTTTGTAACATCTGGCAGCCACTGAACAGTTAGGCTTGGCCATTCCAATGCATGTGTCATAACCAGATCATATAAAAATGGTGTGTTCTTTTTCCATATTTTGTATTCTTCATTAATTATTCTCTCTTCTACTGCCTCATCAAAAGGTTCTATGTAATAAATCAATACAAAAAGATATAGAAGAAGAAAATATCTTAAGAAACTAATTTTTGGTTTATATAGTAGCATTAGGTATATAGTGATATATACTCTCTTACAGTATAGGTCAAGGACTATAGATATATAAGTATAAAGTGAATAAAAAGCAACAATCGCATAAGATATTCCTAACCATGGGTTAACAAATAAACCAGATACAACACAGTGTAAAGCTTACCATGTAAGGCAAAGACAGTATTGTCTATAAGTAGAAATATTTGAAGGTCATTGATCAGGGCATATTTTTTTGTTTTGACTTAACAGCCGAAGATTGAGGGAAATCCTGGTTGTTACACACTGTATGTTTGTTGTTTAACAGTGGTAGCTCCCAGATACCTGTAAGCTACTTGTTTAAAATTTATAAGTGATTGAAAGTATAAAGCTGATCAGAGTTTACCAGTTAGCAAGAACAGGCTGTGTACCTTCATCACTACATCATAATTAAAATATAAATTGTAAACAATCTGAGAAAAATCACAAAAATTTTTGGGTCCAAAAAGGGCTTTTGATGTTTGCTGTTGCTGGTGTTTATGAACTAATTTGATGTTTTCTGCATCAAAATAAACCATATGAGTTTCCTTACCAGGGAGAAAGCACAAACTTATGAATCTACTTCAGTGATTTTTGTCAACATCGTGGCTAAGTACAGCAGCAGGACCCACTATGTCTTAGAAACAAAATTTCAGTCTTTCATTCATCATTAAAAACACAGTTTTAATTTGTCAGCTTTGATGATTTGGCAAGCTTGCCAGCTTTGATAAAGGGTATTTGTTGTAAGATATTCAAAATTGAATGAGACTTAAATACAATTCTTTGTACGGTAGTTTTCCCACTAAAAATAATGTATGTATGTATGTATAAACATCTTTAACGTAAATAACAGGACTAAGCAAAGCTTGTTTTCAGCCTGGTTTACAATTTAAAGGTATAAAGATATCTTAGAATAAAAATGTATTTACAATAATAAAGTAATAAATATAATTATACAATAAAACCATAGTTAGGAAAAGATTGGTCCTTAAATCACAAGCAAGCCTTAGGTTTTGGAAAATTAAGTAAATTGTTTTCTTTTTCATTCAAGCACCACTTGGCTTGATATTTTGGCTCGTGACCTTAATATGCTTGTATTCATTTCATTATTTCAAAGACATATTCTTTTGGAATACATACATATGGCTACGAAAAACACGACGAGCCTCCGTTTCCATCAACACGATCTAATCTTTTCCGAGTTTTTTATTTCAGTTAAAGAATTTTCATAATATAGCTTGGTAGAAAATCTGGTGCCAGTGTCTTGAAGAACTGGGCCTGTAGAACTAATGCTGAAGAATGCAGAATACTTTTATTGTTTTACCTCGCTGTAAACTGTTTCGCAGGGGAAACATGAATCAATGAGATCAGATGAGAGAATGATAAAATATTTGAACGTAGGAATAATTGTGTGTGCTTTATACCTGCTTCCTTTGGGTTTGCTGACATCTCTTCTTGATAAACCTTGTGTTTTTCTCTTTCCTACTAAAATCGACACGAGGAAAGTGCTCGATAAAGGCCTTGATCTTTGCGCGCCAAAAACACGATTTTGCGCAAGCGCTAAACTCAGAATCCCGGCATCCTCTGCGCCTAGGAACACGAAATCACTTCAAGTAGTTTTTCAAATCATGGCTGTCAAAAGTCTGTATGGATAGGCAACCAAAAATATGCAAAATCAGTGCCGTCGGAACAAAATTCATATTGGGGGGCTGCCCATTGTATTCCTTCTCGTTTATTACACTGTTATACAGGAAATATACTACAGTTTGACAATTATTGAGGAGGGGGGGCTGGAGCCTTTTTTGGGGGGGCTAGAGTGTAGAAACTTTCTACGCTAAAAGCTATTAAAGTGTCATTATAAAATTTTGGCATTTGAGTTCGTCCTCTACAAAAGTTTGGAAAAACATCCCCTGAAAATTTGTCAGCCTTCTAAAGTTGAACATTCTGTCACTAATTTTTTGCTCGAGGTACGTCAAGTATTTTAATATCTTTCATATGATATTATTTTATCTCTATTCTCTATCTCCATTAACAGAGGATAAATTTTTTGCTGCGCTATATTGTTGGAAATGGGATATGCATCTGTCATAAAAAAGGGCTTGGTTTCCGAAAATTTCATATGAGTCCCTAGTTCATCGTAGCTACACCACCACTGTAAAGAAAAAAAGTAAATGAGATAAAAGAGATTCGGCACTTTCTAAAGTTTCTGGACAATCTTTTAGATTTCTGATACAACAGGACTAGCACGTTACTGGTGAAATGAAAAGATCCTACGAAAAATGGAGCTGTACTAACAATTTCCTTACTAAAGTGCTACGTCATGAAATCGCAAGTTTCATATGATATTCTTTGATAATTCTTCTGTATGCTTGAATTGCAGTAACTGATCAAGCAGCTGTATTTCATAATCTTCTTATAAGGCTTAAGAAAGTTTTCTGAAATAACGAAGCTAAATATTGTATATCATTACATTTTGGTTTCATATAAGGTGAACTATTCAACATCTTATTGACGTATAGGTCTACGAAAGTCTACGACAGGCTTGGGCAACCTACGGCCAGCGGGGCAGTATCCGGCCCGGGAAGAGAATTTTTGTGGCTCGCAAGATAAAAAATATCATAATATAACTTCTTTAATTTTCCTAGGGGACGGAAATATTAATGGAACATATCGATTCAAAATTAGATTATCTAAAATCTTCGTCAAGCCTGGGAATCATGGAAAGACGTGTTCACTATCCAGACAGGACAGCAAAATATTTGAGGGACTGAGCAAAAGAAAACTAATGCAGCAAGAACGAATTTTACTGGGCGCACTCGTAGCAGTTGAGCAGGGATCACAGTTGTATCTATTTTGTCATTCGTTGCAAGATATCTATGTAATAAAGAGGCTTGTTTTTGTAGTGTAATTGAATGTGAATGAAGTTATATGAAGTTTTGATTATCATTATTATCATTTTATTGCAACTATCGTATTTGTTTTTTACATGCTCAGTTTTTTTTAAATGCAGAAAGACGTGGTAAACAATATGTATCTTTTGCAGGATCACTTTCACTGATTTCAGTTGGTCGGTCAGAGAAAAGCCAGCATCCGTTTTCGAATAATGGATAATCATAAACATTAGTAATCAGTATCTGTGATGAACAGTATAGCTCGTAATAGGACTGATAATTAATATCTTAAGAATATAAAGAAACGAACTGGACGATTTTCAGTGCATGAGGTTAGAGAATTCTCCTTAGCAATGGTGTGTCAGCAAACTTGCCGATTACTTCATCATGACTGCGTGTCAAATAAGTCAAGCTCAACATTCCTTTAACGTTGATCGCAGTCTGTTATTTACGCACTTGAGCTTGAAAAAGGTGCACTTGCATTTAGCAATACCAAGCGGCAAGCTTGTCATTTTCTGTACGAGTGCAAAAATTGGAAAGTCAGACTGTAAAAAAACCACGAGTTTAACTGTCTTCAGAAAACTTTTTCTGTTTAAATCTTCCCTCTTATACTGATTAATTCCTTTGAACTTTCTTGCTTTTCTATGAACTTCAAATAGTCTTTTGCCAAACAGATACGAAATTTCCGACAAATTGCCAAATGGTCGATGATAGGGGGCATGTGCCCCCTGCCCCCACACCACGACGCCCCTTAGGCTTGACTCAAGATGAGATCAAACTTCCAATCGCCAATAGAACCGTGAAAACCTGAAAACCTTTGTCTGTGCATTCCCTAATTTGACTTTTCATATGAATCTGTAAATAAATCCTAATTGTACAAATTTGAAACTCTATTAACTAATACAAATCAATATAGTCTGGAAATATTGCAAACTTTACAAGAGAATTCTTCAGAAATAGGAAAAATATCAACATCTCCTGTACATAGAGAACATTTCATTGTTTTAGCATTCTTATACTACTTGCTGATTTTTGTTTTTAATCTATAGTTTCAATGTTTTGTTAAACAAAGTCTTAGTCATGCTGCTTTAAAAATGCTTGTTGTATTGCTTGATGTTGCTGCTGTTGCTTGCAAGCCACTTTATTTCTTTTCACAACATCAAACAGTTTTAAAAGCTCTAACTTGTCAGGTATAACCTGGCGCAACGAGCTTAATTTAGCTCAAATATTATATTTAAGTAACAATAATGATGAATGATGATGATGATGAAAAATGTCACAATGATCTGGCGTTAACTGCTCACAATCAGTGTGTGGAATCATTAAATGCATCATAGCCTCGGCATACTTGGTAAGGAATTTTTACTTTGTAGCGCTCAATGACCAATGTCCCAAGAAGTAATATCAATTATAGAGGGTACTGGGGGGATGTGGAAAAATGTGCGTGGCTTAAAAAACTTTTGCCCCTAAAGAGCCTAATGGCTGCCACTGCCACTGCTTATAACCTGTCTTTATTAAAAGCTGAAATCGACAAACTTCATATTACCTCCATCTCTTCTTAATTCCCTCTCTCTTCTTTTGTAGGGCTTTGCTATGTTTTTTTTTATTTTTGATCAATGTAGAGGCTCTTGTTTATATAAAATTATTTTCATCTAAAAAAGTTCAGATGTTATCGTCGATGAACGATTAAACTAGAAAGGACAAGATAACTTAGTGCAATAAAAAATACACCACATGAAAGTCTCTCGACATCAAAAATGCTAAAAACACTTTTCCTCTGTCCAAAGTTAGGCAATTTAGAATATGGTGAATCGGCCCTTTTGGATATTTCATCTTGGAACAAAAATTTCAAGCTTTAGCTCAAGATATACAGGTAATACATATCAACATCACATGATTTGTTTTAGAACTTTAAAGAAGTTCTAAAGTGCTCTTAAAGCTTGGAATGAAAACGCTGTGAATGTTAGGGAGTTGCCCCTCCCTTAAGTGAATCTTAAGTCAACATCAGTGACAAACATTGACCTTACAGACTTGAGGGTGACTGGTGGGTAATAAAATATATATTTTCAATGAAAACATAGATAAAGACAATTTGTATTGTATCAATTTTTATCTACAGTCAAATGATCTGACCCACCACCCGAAAATCTTACCGACTGTCTCATAAAAACTGGGAAGGATGTCATATCCCACAAATCCCCCGAGATACACCCTTAAATGATGCGATAATCCTAACCACTTCAATACCAAAATCAACACCCTATCAAGGCTTACTATATAAATGTGGGCTTATGCCAATGGTTTATCGAATAAAATTAAGAAGGCTTTTGTGCCTACATAAACTAATAAACATGAAAGAAACACGTTTAACAAAACATGTATACCAAGAACAAAAGCACCTTAACCTAAGAAATTGTTGGTAATATGAAATAACGAATGACTTGATTGAACTAAATATACAATACTCAGAAAAACAAATTTCAGATCTATCAAGGAAAAATTGAAAAAAATAGTTAAAAGTAAAATCATAAAGAGGATAGAGCAGCAAGTTAAAAATAGCGATAAATCAAAGATGAGGTTCATTAAGAAATGCAATTTTGGAATAAAAGAATATATAAAACATAAAAAGGAATAAACGTTACTAAAATTGAAACTAAACATGACCGATTAAAAAGCTAATTACAAAGGAAAATATGATAACATAAGTTGCAGAAGGTGTGGGTTACATGACGAAAACTTATAACATTCATGACAATGCGAAAAATTCAAAAGACACCTTCCAGGAATGGAACAAATTCGAAAAGGCAACGCTAGAGGCTTGATAGAAATCAAGAGATTGGTTGAACTTTTTCAAACATCAAACCTAAGTGGAAATTAGCCTGTGGTACTATACTGCACATGACGTCTTTCCTGGCAATTCTGTGTTTGTGCTATAGTAACTGCTCCGAAATGGAGATTTGGCGAGATATATTATTATTATTATTTATCCTTGCCTATTGTCGCCATCGGCGCTTACCTACCACTAAAAAAAAGCAAAACACTCAGACCCCGTTTACACTAGAGTGTTTTATCCGGATAAATTTTCATCCGGATAAAAATTTATGCGGATAGGCTCTCCGTCTACACGAGCGAATTTTATCCGTGTAGATATTTATCCGCTTTGCCGTACAAATATTTATCCTGCTACGAAAGCGAATAAATTTTTGTCCGGATAGAAAATTATCCGGCAAAGGGTAGTGTAAACAGTTTTATCCGGATAAATTTTTATACGCATACACAGTGAGGCTATTCTGTTTCATATTGAGGCCATTTAAATATGATAACGAAACGGCGCAAGAGAAAAAATTGGCGCGCTTTTGTTAATATTTCATGTCATTTTTGCTGTTTCCTGAACTATCATGGATGAAAGTCTTCAAAACATCATACTATCTCTGTTTGCATTTTTAAGCTCAGTAGCTGCTGCAGCAAGGCTAAACGCTCAGCTAGTTGCTATATCTGAGAGATCCTATAGAGCTAGCCAACGCAACTTGGAATCAATAGTTGACTATAGCAATTCACGGCTGCAAAGAATAAGCCGTATTCTGAAAGCTTCAAGAAGAAATCGACGACCACGCCGATTCTGGGAAAGACCTTGGAGCAGCAAAGCAGTTTCCTAATCTGTCCATGTGAAGTTCTTATCAGCCTTCTTGCTACTTCCCGTCGATGTATTCTCCGATTTCTTTGGCATTGTCGACTTTATGACAGAAATATCAACGTGCTCACTCTGACATCAATGAAAATTATTTTCGCGCGTTCTTAAATCAAGGGTTGTGCGCATGCCCAATTAAAAAACTCACCATTTAGTTTCACCGTGTAAACGGAGGGGCTAAACGAATAAAATTTTATCCGGTACAACGTAAACGGATAAAAATTTATCCGGATAAAAATTTATCCGGATAAAACACTCTAGTGTAAACGGGGTCTCAGAAGCTTGACAAGACATTGTCTTGTAGCAATTCCGTTTAGGGCTTCAAATGCAGGTGGATTTGCATCGAATTTTGAAACGAAAGACAAAAAGTGTTATGAAAGATTAAGATACAGAATTGTATCACTTAGCTTTCGTTTAGAATAAATTTCTAAACGGTACCTTAGGGCTCTGTTATTATTCTTAATAAAAGCAAGTGTAAAATACTCTTTCAATGTCAAACAATTAATTAGGCTTAAAGAATCGATTTATCCAGATAGGCATCATATTTTGATGGAACATGACAGCCATAGAACATGACAAACAAAACATGTTACCTATCCGGATTCTTCTTGTCCGTCTTTTATCTCCATATTTCCTCAGATACTTGCAAACCCCAAGCTAGAATATCTACTGACTTGATTGTAGCCGCAGAAACCATCCCCTGTGGTCCATTTAGGATACTTGGTAAACGTTCTGTAGAACGAACTGCTCTTTCAAAGTCCATAAGAACTTGCTTGCACTGTTGCACTTTGTTGCTTCTGACAGTGTCATGTTTGAGTATGACTGTCCTTTCTTATGGACATATGAACAAACTAACATCTTTACATGTAAATGAAAAAGCTGTCCAAAATGTGCAAATCAGGGGGGTGGATTTGAAAATTTTTGAAAAAAAATCGAGAGCGAGACAAAATTGAAGTTGCCAGTTTTTGAGTACTTTGGATTATGAGTCTCTGTTGTAGCGTCAGTTAAGTGAGGTAGTAGCGAAACAGACGCTCATGGAGTAAGTCTAACTGTGAAGTACGAAATACGTCGTAGAATATCGGAAAAATACGTGATCCGCCAAGAAAACAAAATCCGCTCCTTGAAATTAACGAAATACGCCGATCCGTCAAGCCTTTCACCCCCACCGTAACCTTAACTACTGTCTAACAAAAGGATTTGAAAGGGCCTTCATGAAAAAAACTGATACCTGAAACCGGAAGCTAATCACATCATAGGGGTCAGCAATATCGCAGGATCGAATGAACTTGAGATTGAAGCACAAGAGCAGAAAATGGACATCGACAAGAAAGCTTCCCTTTCTAAAGTCAGCTTTGCCGTTGTTGTGATAGGTGGAATGCTTATCGCTGAGACAATTTTCTTGCATTTGAGGACATACAGAACGGAAAACGTCTTGACAAAGAGAATAAATGATTTGGAAAAGCAGCAACAAATCATCAAACAACAGTTGGAAGCATTTCAAAATCGTGAAATTGAGCAAAAGCAAAATGGCCTAGACGACCCCTCCGATCATTTGATAGCCGCAATCAGAAAAATAGAAAGACACAAAGGAAGGTCAAGACGTGACATCGAAGAAAAAGTTGATTCTATATTGCGAATATTAAAATCGTCATCTCATGAGATATTGCAGCCTTGTGACAGACATTCAGCCTTGAAATGCCGAAATGTCACATTAGTGTGTATGAAGGGGGAAAGAGGAAAAAGAGGTAAACCAGGCCCACGCGGAGCCAAAGGGGATATTGGGCAGCGAGGAGTTATTGGGCCTGCGGGTGTTATGGGTCCACCTGGAGAGAAGGGTAGCCGGGGGCAAAAAGGTGACACTGGATCATCGGGTAAGTTCAACGAAAGTCTCTACAAAAAGGAAGGTAGAAATTTGACATCATAAAAATCAATTTCAGAATCCTTAAATTTTGAGCCAACGACATAAAATTGCATCATCAAAATCTTCAGAATTTTCAAAGTCAGCTAGATCTGTTACAGGTTGGATATGTTTTGACCTCATACGACAAGTGTAAAAGCTTCCACATCAAAGCACTGTGCTTTAGTCCTGGTTCTAAAATATATGTAGTTCACATTTTAATTTCATTTATTGCACAGCAAAATGATTGGTCTAGAAGCGAGTTAAATTGCAAAGTGCTTTTGCCAGTTAGCCTACTAGCACAAGTTTTTTAAGTTGACAATTTTTACTCAACAGGTGTTTATGTTCACAAACTGGGATATCAGATGTAAAACTTCTTGCTTTAAAGCCGTACTATACTTTCTGCAGGCAAATTAAATTTTTCTTTGTACGCACTGAAGGATACATCAGGAAGAGCTTTTTTGTTACAAAATATGATTGAAGACTTACATGGTTATATATATTAAACAAAAAGATGAACGCCGGTCCTTTACCGCACATCTGATTTCACAACGAGGCCAGAACAAGCGAGAAAGGGCTGGCTTGGCATCGGAAGCGACAAAGAACATTTATGCTGGTCTCGTTTTCAATTTATTCTAGTTTTTGAATACGCCAACGTGCGGTGAAAAATAAAACAGTCTTTTTGAATTATACAGCATGGCGAAAAGTGGATACTTCGATGGTATCTCACTCATACAAAGATACCCTTAAGCTGACCATGAACAATGATCTAAAAGGAGGTTTGCGTATCCGTGTAATCGACGATGGATGGGGCGATCCTTCATTCTCGGTGATTTACATCAAAGGTCATTGGAAACAAATAAAGTACACTCAAGTGTTTAAAGGTGCTGTTTCTTGTTGGCAGATATTTGGCCACAAGTAAGTTTAAATGTGTTCTCGCTTACATTTTAAGAAAAAGTAGTTCATTTATCCGCATTTATCAATAATCAATATTGCAAGGGTTCTTTTATAGGAAGAAAACAAGAAAACAGTAATTAGACAGCATTGTTTCACATGTCCATTTTCTTAACTTTTGAAGACGTTGTATCAGTAGTATTGCATGCATAACTACTCTTAAGTGCCTAATTGCCGTCCTCCCGCTAATTAATTTTGGAAAATTTTTCCAACACCCCCGCTCTTATTAGGACCCCCTTGCTAATTGATTTTGGCTCTTTTGTGTTAATTACTGTAGTGAAATAAGCGTAAGCTAAGCTAAAAATTGTCGATGATAAATAATAGCTAAATAATAGTGAAATAAGCGTACTGATTTTAGGTGCATTTTGAGTATTCAGTATATGTCACTTCATGATTTAGACCCCCTGGTAATTGGAACCCCCCGCCAATTAATTTTGAACATAAAATCCGACCCCTACCGTTAATTCTGACCCCCCGTCAATTAGGTACCCAAGAATATATACCTTTTAGAGTACCAGACAACATTTCGAAGCATGAAGCTGGGCTAGAACCATTCAATCGGACAATGGGCGACGCTATTGTTGGAGAGAAGAACATGGGCTCGTCAACAAGTAAGTAATGAATCAAATGTTCAACAACAGTAATCGAAAAGCAATCAGGCACCGCGGAACGTTAAGAAAAGTGGGGGGGGGTCTAAAAAAGTGGGGGAGGGGGGCTAAAACCGTGTAAAAAGAGGCTTTACTGGTAGTTAATTACACAATATTTGGCATTTTTTGTAAAAAGTGGGGGATTAAAGCCCCCCAGCCCCCCTGCTCCGCGGTACCTGGCAATGCTCGATAAACAGAAGATTATGGAAACATCCAATCAATATTTTAATCATTCATCACTCATAGTCAACATTGTGAATTTCTTAAGCAAATTTTTCGTTCTACAAGAAGAATCGCTTGGTTTTTCATGTTCAGTTAACAGAGAACTGTATACGAAACCTCCGTCTTTTGGTCCTTTGGCAGAACAACATTAGCAGCTTTGCTTTTTAATACACTACTCGGTGACAAAATCTTAATGTAGAATGCATTGAATTCGGCTAGCGCTTTCCATTAGCTTTCAGGGGGAGGAAGTTGGATTCGATACATGCAGCTTCCATGATCAAACCATGTCTACTTACTTTGAAAATGCAAACATTTTTCTCAAGGCTTTGGAATGCAATTGTACCCTCAAGCTTTGGCTCTAACCTGTAGTCCTTTGCAAACAATATATTTTACGTTTTTATAGGCATAGAAGGTAAAAGCTAGAAAACCAATGTGCGAATAAAATTGTGAAATCCAAAATGGAAAAATGAGAAAAAAGGAAATAAGGAGTAGTCACTACCACCTGGTTACAGCCTCAAACCCAAATGGGGGGTAGTTGTGTGTGCCCCTTGTATATTTTGAGAAATTAGCTTGAAAAGGGTAGAAAATGATAAAACAGCAACTCATCAGCCAGAAACTCATGAGGGACATTACGGGACTTTAATTCGGTATGTCTATTTCTCGTAAGCGCAATACTGCGTACAGGATCACGTTTGCAAAAGTAAGGAAATACAGATAAAATATATATGCTACAGCGATAAAAAAAGTAGAAATCGACACAGAGTGCTTACTAAAGTATTTTAGAGTGTAAATAATGTGCCCAAGCATCGTTTAAATTTCAAAAGCTTTCTTGTTTACTTTTGTTTCACATTTGTTTTAGGTAACTACTTTGGAGGATCAACAGGGCGCTGTGATAATGGTCCTGACAACTTCTGGCATAAAAATAATGGACAGGGAGAGCGGCAAGCAACGGTGACGCTACGAAGAGATATGTATGCAGTTGATGCTGGCATCTATACGTACGTTGGGAGGAATTCTGGGACAGCAGAATACATCATAAAGGACATTTATGTATGGTAGTGAACTTCGTAATCATATCATTAATTTTGCACTTGTACATGGCCAATACTGCTGTGTTTTCAACTAATTTTTTTTCTTATATAACAGATAGTAGTCGGCAATACAAAAATGTTTTGCAATATTTTATGATAGCTTTGTACATGTCATTTCTAGCTGGTCAGCATGATACTTAACAGAAATCCCTGTACGGTAGCTTTATTCGGTGAAGTGGACAGGAAAGTTATTTTTCTCCATGAATGGTGCAGAACTGGGCTTTCTTAAACTGTTGGTGAAATTGAGTATCTCTCGGTTAACATGCTAAGGCAGTAGCCAGAAAGGACAATGCGTAACAAACATTGTTTCCATCAACCACGTTTATGCAACTAGATATAGACAAAGACAATTTTAATCCTTTTCCATCTTTTCTCGAGCCACTATACCGACAAGCCAGAGTTTTTACCGACTATCTCATGAAAATTGAGAACGGTTTCATAACCCTTTTAACCCCCCTGCTGTCGTAATAGGACTGGAATCTAAACAATAATTTATGTTAATTATGTTATGATATTCTTTCTGCTTGTAAATATTGTAAATGAAATTCGCTGTCACTAGTAGGTTCATAATCTCAATATGAGTTGAACTTGACTAAAAAACGTGTTTGTAGAAATTTCGTTTATGGCTTCTACTAATTTTATATTTCCTTGCAATTTTGAAATGAAATACAAATGTCAGGGTAAATTCACGATACATACCCTGAATCATTCTAGACTCTCTAACAGTCAATTCCTAGAGTGTATCTACTTAGGATCCTATCACGATTCTTCATAAAAGCACCTTGGCACATCTTCGCTAAATATCTTGTTATAATTAAACTAAATTCAGCATGGTACAAAATTTTATCTCTTATTTACTTACGATCCTGGTTTAACCAATAGGAAAATGATCCCAAATGACCTGCCGGCCTTAATAAAACCGGAAGTTAATACTCAAATCACAAATGACGGAGTTTAGAATCAACTTCAGACAGATCTAAACACAAGAACAGAAAATGGATGTCGACAAGAAAGCTTCCATATCCAAAGTTAGCTTTGGCGTTGTCGTGATAGGTGGAATGCTTATCGCTGAGACAGTTTTCTTGCATTTGAGGACATACAGAACTGAAAACTACTTGACAAAGAGGATAAATGATTTGGAAAAGCAGCAACAAATCATCAAACAACAGTTGGAAGCATTTCAAAATCATGAAATTGAGCAAAAGCAAAATGGCCTAGACGATCCCTCCGGTCATTTGATAGCCGCAATCAAAAAATTAGAAAGACACAAAGGAAGGTCAAGACGTGACATCGAAGAAAAAGTTGATTCTATATTGCGAATATTAAAATCGTCATCTCATGAGATATTGCAGCCTTTTGACAAAAATTCAGACTTTGGAAGAAAATGCCGAAATGTCACATTAGTGTGCATGAAGGGGGAAAGAGGTAAACCAGGCCCGCGCGGAGCCAAAGGGGCCAAAGGTGATGTTGGGCAGCGAGGAGTCATTGGGCCTGCGGGTGTTATGGGTCCGCCTGGAGAGAAGGGTAGCCGGGGGCAAAAGGGTGACAGTGGATCACCAGGAAGGTCAATAACAAAGCCAAAAATTGTATCAAAATTTCCCAAAATCCTTTACAAAAAGGAAGGCACAAATATGACTCTAGTTTGTGAAGCTGAAGGAAACCCTAAACCAATTATGCAATGGGCCTTTGGGAAGCAGAAGCGAGGAATGAGGTACACATTTCCAACTGAGGGTGCTCTGGTTATATCAGATATAAGCGAGAATGACAATGGCAGAATTTCATGCTCTGGCGAAAACATTCTCGGAAAAGATATGGTTGAAATTGAGCTATCGGTTCTAACAAGGCCTAAGCTATTTCTAAACTCTAGAAAAGTAACAGGGACGACAGGGTTTCTTTTAGAAGTTCAGTGCAATGCCACTGGTAATCCAGTTCCAAAGCTCAGCTGGAAAAAAGCTTATGGAGTGTTGAGGGGCAAGGAAGTACTGTCTGCAGATCAGAAAAGCAACACGCTAACATTCACTAATCCTGTTTCTAATGAAGCTGGATACTATATCTGTCAAGGAGCCAACGACAATGGCTTAGCAACTGAATCTCTTTTTCTTGACATCCAAGATAGGGTTGTTTGTTCGTCGTTGAGGAAAAGCGGGCAAACAAAAAGTGGCATCTATACTGTTAACCCAGATAACCGCATCGCTTTCTCTGTTTACTGTGATATGGAAAATGAAGGGGGCGGCTGGACGGTAATACAGAGACGGACTGATGGATCCGTCGATTTCTTTCGAAACTGGGAAGAATATAAGGAAGGTTTTGGGAACTTGGAGAATGAATTTTGGCTTGGCAATGAAAACATACATCGATTATCGAAGAAAAAAGATATGATGATTCGATTTGATCTTGAAGATGTCGATGGAAAGAAAGCGTTTGCTGAATACAGTACATTCTACATTGACGGTCAAGAGGATCAATATGCATTGCACATAGGTGCGTATTCAGGAACTGCCGGTGATTCGCTGTCGTATTCAAATGGGCAAAAATTTTCAACGAAAGATAAAGATTATGACTCCGACTTAGACAGTTGTGCTGTACAGTACCACGGGGCCTGGTGGTATAAATCATGTCACTATTCAAATTTAAATGGAAAATATCTAAATGGTTCACATACCTCCGCAGGTGATGGAGTAAACTGGTGGAGTTTCAAAGGCTACTTTAATTCGCTTAAAAGGACAGTTATGAAGATAAAGCCACAAACTGTATAAGCAGTCACATTTTCATTGGTGCCCGAATGTCGATAAATAATGGATTTTGCATTCATCAAACTAATATCTTGTATAATCTTTATAGATACGTACTTACTTTTCTAAAGTTAATTTTAGAGAATAAAGTGTTATAACATTTGTCGCTTTTATAGAAATTTTTGCTAATAGTACTGTATGTTCTTTATTCTTTTGAAGAAATAAAGTAGAGTTTATCTTCAAGAAGTAATTAACTCTGTCACCTAATTCAAAGAATTTCAAGATCTAAATTAGAATTAATCGATTAGTTCAATCATTCTCTACTTGAAAGCAAACAAAATTGTTGAAAGTTTAAACACACGCAACACGCAAAAAAGGGGAAAATCGAGGAACAGTCAACTGCTAGTTAAAATGGCGAGGACTCATTTGTCCGACTGCTAGTTAAAATGGCAAAAAAGGAAGCACATAATCTTATTTCAAAATATCAATAACAATGTATTGCACTAAAATGAATCACAGTTCTATTCTGGGATACGCATCCAACGAACACGAGTGACTCCATCCACTGTGCAGGGCCGCCGGACGCAGGTTTGAACAGGGAGGCCAAATACAGGTGCGGATCCAGAGCAAACTCGAAGGAGGGGCAGTTGGTAGAAAAATTTTCAAAAATTGATGACGAGAGAACGCTGTATACAACAATTTCAGGTTCATTTTGGGAATAAACAACATAACTTTTAAGTAATCCTTGTAGCAAATTAACCTATCGGTCTGAGAAACTTTTTCGCCTGATTCTCATTCTTCAAAAGGGGCGCACAATTTCCAAAAAAGGGGCGCCATACTTGCTTCAACTCGTCGAGGGAGGGGCAACTGCCCCTAGTCGCCCCCCCTTAAATCCGCCACTGGGCCAAAACGAATTAAAAGGGCACGAATATTTTTTATCCGAAACATTAGTAAGTGTCAAAAATGGTACAGATTTCATGGTAATTTAAATATTTATAAAAATATTGAAACACGCTGAGCATAGTAAGAACTATCTTCACTGAAAGTAGATAGATGGCTATGTACTCCATTTAGGGACCACGCATTCTTGATCATAATTAATTGTATAGCTTGTCAATGACCACGCACTCTTGATCATAATTAATACGCTGTACTTATTTTCCTTATAATTTGCATTGTAAATGGATTTGGTCCCGGGTAAGAAGCAGGCACACACCCTTCTTTCATACTTGTGGCAGGCGCAATATACTCAACAAAAGTTCAGATTTATTGCAACATATCAACGAATCCAACCCAAAATATGAACTGAATGGAATTTTCAAATTCTTAGTCTCTATATTCTTCAAAGTCAATTCCAGTCCCTCTCCCTTTCAAAGCGAAGTTTCAGTCTCTATAATTATCAAAAGCCCATTCGAATAATGATTTCAATTTTCTTACTTTTATATTTAAACAATTAAGTCTCCCTTGGCATTCGCGCCTTTCCATCACCACTTGAACACATAAATTTATTCGCCTCCATGGAATTTTTTTTTGAAAGCTACAAAATTTTATGTTTAAATCATCTTCACGCAATCGGCTGGAGGTGCGAGCACATCCTTCGCTGCCATAGCAAAATTAATTTGCAACATTGATTCGGTTTATCTCATCAGTCTTATGAACGAAACAAGTTTTCAATTCTCCTTAGACTTGATCCCGGCGGACTCAGTCAGTTGGTCAAACGTATTACATGTGAGTTCCGAAAAACTCTGAGAAAGGGTGGTCTGGAAGCTAGAATTCTAGGACATAGAATCTTAAAAATAGGGTTGCTTTTTTAATCAGTCAGAGGAAACACAAAAGGATTTACTGATATGATGTTACAGATAATTTTTTAGGTAAACCAATGGCAGATTGAAGTACAACAAATTTTGCAGTAGCATCTAGTCTTGTATACTGTTCTAATCCTAGATAAGAAATTCAAGTCTTTGTTTAAGTCTTTGCTAGCATGTACTCATTGCAGGGACACAACTTTTGCATTTCTTTATAAAAAGTAAGCAATATAATGCAGTTATACATAAGGGATTGTTGTTAAAATCAAATTTAGTGAACTCTGCTCAGGGGCGCAGTGGCTGGGGGGGGGGGCAGGGGGACAGCCGCCCCCCCTGGCAAAAATTTTGTCAGATTGTCGGAAAATCTAACGCTTGTCGGAAAATTTGAAATATTAGACAAAATGTAAGGTTTTCATCGATCCTGTCCAAAAAGGTCGCATATTTTTTTAAACCTGTCGTAAAATAGGGCATGCTCAACCCTTCTTATTTGTTTTCATTAGAGTATTTATCGGAATCATCGCATTGCTGAAATTTGTAAAGGAAATTAACGCTCTGGTCTCAGTTATTTTATAAACTCCCATTTCCGACAGTTAAAATTCAACTCAGTTCATTTCGAAATGAATTCGCTGGTGTTGTAGAAGACGCAAAAAGTTAATATTTTCGCCATGACTTAGAAGAGGAAAATTTTGTCGAGCGACGAATACGCAGAATAAAAAAGATGCCAGGGGAAAATTGCATAGATGAATTAGAAGGAAATAGGGAATCCGTATACCATCGTGATAGTAGATACACCTATCAGCTCAATGAATACAAGATTCACGTCTCATAAGGCGATTTTGACAGATTTTGCCTTGCTCAACCCTGAATGTTTTCAAAAAACAATTGAAAGGCAGTTGTGTGCAGTGTAATTCAAAAAGGTTGCGAAGAATTACGGCCTGGATGACGAAAGATTAAGAGATGAGTACAGCTCTTTCGTCAATAATTACCGTAAATTTTGGAAAGTTAGAGAAAAGAGCAACCCTCTCCCGGCTACAGGAGAAAGAGAAAACTTTTCAGTTCCATTCAGTTCTTCAGTTGATGATAAGTATAACCTGCAAAACGCCTTTCCACAGCTGGTCCTTCTTTACAAGGTTCGCGTCACTTTGCCAATAGGTTCAACAAAGTATGAAAGAGCTTTTTCAAAGCTGAGGATTGTAAAAAAAATCGGCTACTGTCAACGATGGGACAAGACCGCCTTTCCTCTTTGATAACAATCAACGTCTGATAACAATATTTTACAGTCGATAGACTATGGTGACATTATCGATTTGTATGCTGCCACACCTCTTTTGAGAAAGATGCTGCTTGAGTAACAGTTTATATAAATTTCAGTTGAAAGAAAACTATTCTTTTGGACGCGTTATATCTATTTACGGTTTAGCATAAATAAATGCAAAGTAATTATGATGCGATTTAAAATTTGCCAAAAAAACTTTTTGCTATAAACAGCTATAAACACTAACTTGACAGTTTATTGTCTAGTATAGCGAGAAGACTTGTAGAGTGTAAATTTATAACTAGTTGCAGTTTTGTTTATAGCGATTTATATTTGGTAAGTTTTGTTAGAATAAAGGCTATTGTTGAACTTGAAGGTGTATAACGAACGATCCATTCGTTAACGATTTCCAGATCCATTCGTGATATTGTAGTATCAAGTGTTGCAGTATATGCAGCAAGGGTAATCTTCAAGGAATGTATTGAGAAAAAATTTGTCGGAAAAATCATAGTTTTATCGGAAAATTTTCAGCTTTGCCCCCCCAAAAAGTTAACTCCCACTGCGCCCCTGACTCTGCTGTTTAAGAAAAAGAATGGTTCCAACATGAATTGGTATCAAAAATTCCTGCTCAAGCTTGAATATTCACAGTGAAAAGAGTTACAAAATTTTGACAAAGTCAAAGAATAGGGTACATTTTACGCAACCCAGAATCAGAGATAGGGGTCCAGTTTCTACTTACAGGAATACACACAATATACATTGGACCATTTGACTGTGCCTGCCGAGGATTTGATGTGGACCTTCCAGTGATGCAATTGTTGCTGAAGATATCCTAAAGAAACTTTTTCGCAAAACTGGCAGTCTCCTTCACAATTAATATTGTTCATCACAGGAGCTTGCACTTTTTGCATCAAGACCAAGTAAAAGTTTAAGGAAATTTTAGTGAATGGTCCTCCAACAACGCCCAGATTCAAGTTATTTAACTTAGCTTCTATAGGCAGAATATCTGGCAGTGAAAAATACACGCAATATATTTTTGGGGCACTTGTTTATACTTTTTGCAAACAGGGGCGGCCTGTGCCCCTGTGCCCCCTTGGTCGGGCGGCCCTGCTGTGTGGCTCAGCAATTTAGCTGATTCAGCATATGCCCACGTAGATGACGTAATACAATACATCTCAAAGCCTGACTGCGCAGGAGAAAATGTCATTTTGGGGACAGAAATAACTTGTTTTCTTGCATAGCGAAAGTTTATCTGTTAGAATAACCTTGTTTGCACTTACAGAGCAAGATCAAACGTGTGAGATACTGGGAATTATATGGTTGTGTTTCGAGCTACTTCCAGCAACATTTCACTCAGTGCAAAGACGGGAAAACTTCTTGAAAAGAGGACAAAGTTGACCAGGGCCCAAGGTTAGGCCTTCGACAAGTAAAAATATTATTCAATTATAATCAAGTGGAATTTGCAACAAAGAATCAAAATGTTCGGATCTGGTAACAATATGGAAAGTATCCTTTTTATCAGAAAACCTGCAATTCCTTTTCTTTCTTCATTTCATGAATACGAAAACAATGTTTTTGCAAACAATTCAATTCAACCAGTGAAATTTACCAGCCTACCGCCTGTAAACATATATATATATTTTTTTCTATACTCTTACATCCTTAATTTTTTACTCTTACTGTTATAGACTACTTCAAACTGAAATGGAAATTATAATCTTGAGTTTAAATACGTCACTGGGACATATGACTCGATAGCTCCTGGCGAGTTTTTCTCATGTGTCCTTCAGCATAACAAACCACTTTATCTGATGTAATAAATTAATTAAATTTTTGAAAATGCTAACTTTTGTATTCTAAATTTTAATTCTTGGTATATTGTAATTAACATTTGTTTTTGCTGATAAAGATTTTGAGTTTGAGTTTCTAGTAAGAAAACACACGATAAGCAAGGGATTTTCCTTGACTGATTTTTTCTTTTGAAAGAGCACCTTTTCAATTTGAAGGTAGGTTGGTTTATTTAAGTTGGCTACCATATCACTCCAGTTAAAAACCACACACAACTAATTTTCTGATCAGGCTGCTAATTTCTAATAAAAGGAATAACTTTTGAAAAGTAGGCTAATATAAATGAGTTTCTTGTGAGACGTTGAGAATAGCAGCATCAACCCAGAAAGGCAAATAACCCCACGACTGACAATAGATGAACAACACTACTTTTACTTCTATTCTACATTGATACTGAGCAAGACAGGGTATCGGTATAAGGCTCAGAGTGCAAGAAATAATAGATTAATGGATAAAAAGTGTTAGAAGATGCGGAAAAGCTTTAGTAAATATATTATAAAATGTTGGCTTTTTTCAAAGCCATTTTCAAGTTCTGTACCACCAAAAGACTGTTCATATCTAACTTTAAAGTATTATCTATGCTGGCCTTTGGCTATTGTATTTGCAACATCTTCCTGGATCTTTTAATTTTTGTAAGGGGATATTCCAGATTATTGCTTCACTAAGCAAAAGCATGCATGCCTTTTTGGGTTACCATCTATAGTCACTATATCAACCTTTAGAATAATGCAATTCGTTTGTTGAAATTACTAAATGAAAGTTTCTTGAAATACAAATTAGAATTATTTTAGAGTATTCATCTTCCAATTATTTTATCTTAGCCAAATAGAAATCTTCAAGTTGACATAGGTAAATTTTTCTCTCAGCGAGTTAAAGTCCAAATCTGTTTATCTACCTATATATAATTATAATTTGATGTTATCTTTAAGCCCTGTTTATAAACAATATTAAAGGTCCTTGTTTTAAAATCATTGGCAAGATACATACCCATATGATTTTTTTTAAAGTTTGCAGCCAAGAATTTAGAAAGGTCTGCAAAAAAATGTGAAAGAGAAGAAAAAGCAGAGAAAGCAAAACTTAAAAAGGTGAATCAAGATTACTGAATTATTCTGAGGGTTTTTGTTAGATGTTGAAAATATATTACTTTTGATAAATGATGATAACAATGATGTTAAAGAATGATAAATTATGATAAAGTTGTTGCTTTTAAATATTTATTGAAAAAGATGATTGAAAATTCTTTCTTTTATTGATTGATTATTTTTGTCATTGATAGTGATTTATAGATATATGGTTCTTTTTAAATTCAAGCTCTGTAATGAATTCAGTCATAGAGCTATTCATAATCATCATAAATCTTCTTTAGAAATCACCAGATGCATATTATCTATGAGAATATTTTATTTCTATATTAGGCCATTCAAAAAGGAAATATTGAGGGTGCAAGAATACATGGAGAAAATGCTATTAGGCAAAAAAACCAGGTAAGGAATTGTCAATGGAAATCTAAATATTTTAAATCATATTCATTATTTCCTTTTCTGTGTAATGACAAAGCAAAGTGTGACACTATTTTACAAGATCTTGAGTGTAACCAGCTCGTAACAAGTACAGTGTTGGATCATTTTCAAAAGGCATCATTCTCTCCAGCCATTGGATGTGCTTCTAACGTGCACCCTTGTGTGTACCATTTCTCAATGAGATTTCACATGATGGCACATTTTCTACCCCAATCAAAAGTTTCCTACAATATTCTGCTATTGAAAATTTGGTGTGCAATTTCACATTTTTGTATCACTACAATGGCTTGATGCATTTAGATATCTGTCACACTATGCATACAGACATGCACCTCAAATCTTCAAAAAATAAAAGGGTTGCTATTAACAGTCTAGGTGTGCTAGTAACAGGAGGACAGTGAAATCTTGGATGCATCAATGACATACTTAGGTCATCATTAATTTCAAGTCACATAGTTGCTGGTAAAAGTCACCAATAAAAGCTAGAAGTACCAAGAAAATTTTAATATCGATTTCAAAGGGGTATTTTCTAAGATTAGTCCACAATATAATATTTTACAAATTAAGCCAAAAAATTCTTTATTAAGTTCAAATTTCTCTCAAGTTTTTATATCTCGATAGGCACTCAATTATCTACGAATGGGTTCCCGAGTAGATGCTGTTGCACAACGAGTTCAGACTGCTTGCACCACTAAACAGGTATAATGCCCCTTAAAAAAATCTATGTGCTGATTTATCTTTCAGTTTTTGACAGTTTCCTGTTGATTTTCAAACAACTTCAAATGATGTTTAAAGTCAGTCAAAAACTGTATTACCAAAAACAGGTTCTTTATGCAGAGGTGTAAGTATAGAGTCCTTGGTATAACCAACTTTCACTTAGAGTTAGGAAAGTCAGGCTCTCTGTTATTCTAGGTGTAGGAATCATGAGGTGTGGCCAAACCAAGATGAAGGACCAGGAAACAACTTGATAAGCTAGACTTATCAGGGTTCTGAAAACTGCCTCGGAAAGCTAGGTAGTAGTGAAAATATTGCAGTCTTATCTACACTAAAGTTTTAAGTACAGACACAATTGTTACTGATTACTGAAAGTTTTTTTATTAACAGGTAACAAAATCCATGGCAGGTGTTGTAAGTTCAATGGACTCAGCTATGAGGTCAATGAATCTGGAAAAGGTTGTTAAATTTTGATAGTTTAGTTGTATTTTCATGTTTACTTAATAGTAGTAAGGCACAGTTTATATTCTTTATATTTTAAATTGTTCTGGAGAGGAAGAAGTGCTATTTTAACTCTTTTACTGTTCCAGTATGAAGGCCCCTCTTGATTCAGAAATTGATATCTCAAAGTACCTTTTAGGGTAATTTTAGTCATTTGTGAAACCTGTAATCTTCATTTATGTTTGCGTAAAAATTATGCTATTTATCAGGAAATTTCACCTGTGGTTTCCAAGATTTAATCAGAACTGAATGTGAGCTTTTAAACATCCAACAGGTCTCAGCTTTGATGGACAAATTTGAAAAACAGTTTGAGGATCTTGATGTACAAACTGGCTACATGGAAAATGCCATGGGGGATACAACAACACTCACTGTGCCACAAGTACTCAATTTTTTCTCAAGCATAATTATTATTCTTGTAATTCAGAACTGTATTCATTACAAATGCTGGGATTTATGATTTAATAAACACATTTTAAGCTGTTTTATACAAAAAATGCAAAAAATGTCAATTATTGCCACTAATTACTGCTAACTGATTCAAGGTTTCTTTTTTGAAACTCACATGGCTAAAATGATGAAATATGTTCAATGTTGTATTATATTTTATAGAAATTCAACATTGTGTTATAAATTTTATCATATCATGAGTGTTGAATCTCTACTATATGTTATGTAATGTGTTTTAAAAATTCTGAAAAACTCTATGAAATGTCGAAAAGAAAATCAACTTCATTACTAAATGTTGATAATTATCAAACAGGGTCAAGTCGACAGCCTGATGCAACAAGTTGCAGATGAACATGGGTGAGCAACATTCGAAAACACTTAAATATGTTTAATATTTTAATATATTTTATATTAATAGTTTAAGAAAGAGCTAAGGAGGGAAGGATAAAGCTTGAATTAAATGAAGGGAGTGTATTTGTTGTAATCCTTTAGAGACAGTCTTCATAAGAAAGAATCAGAAGATTAAAATTCAAGGTTTAGATAATATTAAAGCAACGCTGATACTAGTACCCCAATTCAGGATATATTTCTTTAGTTTAAACACCTTGTGTTTAAGAACCATTTTTCAGTCTGACTCATTATAAGGTTTTGAATTTAACGAGCAATGTGTCCTGAACCTATTTTTGCAACAAGACATGATTTCTTTTGCCAGGGCCCATGAATCGCATTACTCTGGAAAAGGAGATCCTCTTTGTGTGGATTTATTCATGAAATTTCAGTAAATAGGTGGTAGCGTTACAAATGTTTGGTAGTCTAAAACCTAGTGGGAATCATTCTGTAAGGTTGAAATTAACCAATCCAATATTTACAGTCAAGCACCCATCTTTCCTACTTCTGGCAGAATCTTTGATAATAGATTTTAATAATTGTAGTTTGGAACTAAACATGGAGCTACCTCAAGGAGAAATGGGGTCAGTTGGTACAGCAAGTGCAGCTACTTCAGCATCACAAGAACAGGTATTGAAAGCTAACTTGAAATATCTCTAGTATGATACATCAAAGCTTATCAAGTCTTCACATGGAACAAATAAATTTAAGCAATGGCATGTAAAAGCAAAATTTATTTTGTCCCTAATTAAGCATAACTGGCAGACATCAGTGGTCAGGAATGTTAGGACTTGTTATGCAGTTAGATTAGAAATAAACAATGTTTTTGAGGCTTCCAGTGCTGTTGCACAATGCACATTGACCTGGCTTAAACTTGAAGGGGTTAGGCCATACATGGATTGGGCCCATCTGATATCAAGCTTTTATGTAAAGTCAGCGCAGATTGTTGTTAATTTCTAGCTAAGTTTTTAAAAACTATTGATAAAACACTACCACTTGTTACAATCATGATTCTGTGTTGTCTTGTAACAGTAGTAAATCATAACTTGATCTGCATTCTTTGTTGCAGATTCAGTAAACAATATTGCTTTAGACAGAGTGAATTTAATCTTTATTTTAGATCCAATTCTATGTTTTACAGTTTTAAGTCGGACATTTATTTTAAGTTCTTCCTTTAATTTTAATTTTTTTCTGTGACAGGATGAACTTTCAGCTCGCTTGGCACGTCTAAGATCAGATGTTTAGGTTCCTGGAATGGAACTGAAAAACAAAATACCAATCCTGTAACTAATGTAAAGTACCTTTGACTTCTCTTTTTCACTTGGTTTATTTTATCCTAAAGATTATGTCAAAGTTAGTTGTTACAGAATTGCGCAATTATTATGAATGGTCTTATTCCCAGGCATTTTGAAAAACATACAAAACCCTTCATTCATAAAGAAATTCCGTTTTATATATTCCAGCCCTTTGTCTTCAAATCCTCTGCATTGGTAATAATGTAATTGATTGCTTATTTAAATTGATTGTTCTTTTAAGGAATCTGAGTTAATTACTCAGTTTAGGTATTATTACTTACACTTCACTTGTCTAGTACTGCATAAACTTGGCATCTAATTGCACAAATAAACAAAAAATCTCTAACAGAATATAACAATAACAATATTGATGTGTTCATTGTATTTTGACAACAATATATATCCCTGTTATTGATTTGATTTGTGCCTTTGTATCTCATCAGATTTGTTCTATGCAATGAAAACTAATTTTTTTTATAATTAATTTTACAAAGAGTATTAATTTGTTAAGGTTCTAGTAATTATTAACGCTTTGTGTAGCCAGTATCAATTAAAAAAATGTGTTAAATGATACTGTATTCTTTTCTGAAGGTGCCAATTGTTTAAATATTTTGGTATAACATATTTGAATTGTTCTTTGTCTGTAAGATTTCTTATAAATTTAAATGCACTTTGTTAGAGTGAAATATGAACGGTAAATATCAGTTTCCCATTTACACTTATCTTGGTTTGGCCTAAAGGAAAATACATGGCCTGGTTCCTCAAATTTTACTTGCATTTTGTGGTTTTCTGGTAGGGGTGAATTCAGATTATATTCAGGACCAATGCTAGCTAAGGTCCCATTAAGTGAAAAAGTGGGTAAGCCATCTAGTTTTAACCAAAAAATCCAGAAAATGTACTGATGAAGCACCTGTACATGGCACAAAACTACTTGTCTTTGCAACAATAATTTTTCAAGGGGGTGTCACATCCTCATGCCCCACCATAGCAAGGGTCTGGTTACAGAAACTAGCGAGCTGCAGGCTAGAAAATGTTACACTTCATTTAAAAAACCACCTGAATCATCAAGATTGCTAGAGTTGCAATTTCAAAATTGTTAAAAAATCAAGCCACAAAGAGAATCTAAGCTGCAACCCCCTCCCCCCAAATTAGATGTTATGTTACTAGTGGTTTTTCAATACTCTTGAAAATTTGAAACTCAGAGAAGCTCACAAATACTTGATTAACAGGTTACAAAACATTGTGTAACCTTGTTATAAATAAAACAAAACCATACAGACTCCTTACAAAGTGATGAAATCAACTTTAATTATCAAAGTTGGAAATACATATTTAAAACAAAGCTAAAGTGTAATGTATTTACAACATAAAAAGATTTACTTGTACAAAGTTGGCCACATAAGAATTACTTAATGAAAACTCTGCTGTAATGAAAGACCTGATGGAAATGAGATAAGAGTGAAAGAATTTTGGCACATGAAATTTGTTGAAGAGATATAAATATTTGTTTTAAATAGGGACACCCTTTTTTACTTCTGCAGTGCCAGCATTGACAGGGGTACCTCATGTCCAACAGGAAATAGTTGATCACAGCACAATTAAGTGGGTTAAAAAATTGAGACAGCATACATTCTTATATGATATAATTAAGCTTCAAAGTGTTTTTGAATCATTACCATATGATCAACAGAACCAACTAGTGAAATTATGAAGATTTTAAGTTGCTATTTATAAAAACATAAGTAAACGCACAATCTCTATTTAGTAATTAAGTCAAAGGATTCCTTCATGTTAGGTCTGACTTGCAGGTCTGAATGGAAGGACTGTCTGGCCCCGCTCTGGGTCACGCATTTTGAAGATTCGCACATTGTTACCAGCAGAAACGTTGCTAATGAAAGAACAGCAATATTTAAATGTTTTATCAAATTACATTTGGGGGCAACCTCCCAGGCTCCATGTTAATGGTAGCCAAAAGCAGCTCCACACATATAAGAAAAAATAAAAATCGTGAAGAAACGGGGCCTATATATGTTTTCTTAATAAAACCGCTGCTGGGGCTAAGAAGCTAACACGAAACTGCCCTTCCAACAATCACATATTACTTCACTAGTTCTTCACTTAATGATATTCATCTGTGAACTAATTGCTACAGATTTCTTTAAAGGAAATAAATATATGTAAAGCCGTATATTCTTTCTATTCAAGAGAACTCCTATCTCCCAAAGGAAATAAAGAGAGTGATAAGTCAAGGATATCATGCCAAAAAGAATCCCCTCAAATCATAAGGCATTTCCAAGGGTATCTCAGTTCATAACTACAATCTTACTTTTGTGTAACAGTATCTAAAAATAAAAATGACTTCATGCAACTTTGCGGGTCATTGTGTACATGTAACATTTAACTCATATGAGGAGCTTTCTTAAAAGGATCTTCTTTTGTAATTTTACCCTAACATATTTATCCAGTAGTTAAAACCAACAAGTATCACACAATTTGAAAGAAACCCACAATGCTCTTTATCATCATTTAGTCACTTAATTGACCTTCCAAAGTAATAGCAAATAGAGAAGTTGAGATCATCAGTGCTATCAAGTGTAAATATTAAGAAAATTTTCCAGTTGATCTGTTCTTAATATTTACAATGTTTGTTTAATTTTTCTGCCTGCTTTCATTTTACCGTGTTCTTTTTCAATTGTATGTGTTCTCAAATTGAATCAATGTACATGCAAGGCCAAAGGGATACTTTTATTATCTGGATAGAGGATCTGTTGTGCAGGGAGGCAAAGCGCCAAGTGAAACTGTAAGACAGTGTCCCAGTGTGCCCTCATGTTCTGGCACCCCTGAATTGGTGTGATGTGAAAATAAGAATTTTGCAGGCTTCCAATAAATGTCAAAGGAATTCAACAATGTTTGACTTTGTTATCCTTATCAAACTATAATATGCCTTCCAAAAGTATTGGGACACTAAGCTCTGTTTTCAAGAGCAAATTCAGCCATAGAAGTCTCAGCTGGGAACAAGTTGGGTTTTTACAAAAGCAGGTGTCATTCACAGATAAAAATTCCCTGTCCCACAAATTTTTTTTATATTTGCTGCTGACCAGAACAACCAAGTTAAGACAGCAAGTGAAAATTCTTCAAATCCATAAAACTTAATAAAAATTCTGTATTTGATGTATCATTCTGGATATAGCTCGCATCCGGCAAGTGTGGAAAATCTGTTGTTCTGTCGAGAAACTGCCAGATTTCAGTAATGAACGATAAATTTGTTTACCATCTGTTGTTCCATAAACCCTGATAACCCCCCAATAAAACAACATAGGAGATTCAGAAGTACATTTTTGTATGATTTGAAATATATTTGCCCAGACTATCAACATTGTTCTGGGGGAAGGGGCAAAAATAGAGATATTTGGTGGGGGGAGGGGTGGGGGAAGCAAAATATAAAAATATAATGGCGATTGCTCTGTGTTTCAGGTAATTTTTGCAGGCATTGCAGGTAAGCTGTCCAGTGTTTTATTTGCAATGAGGACCCAAAAAGTCTTTGGGTCCAAAGACAAGCCCTAAAATACGATGAGCTTTAATGCTGTTTCTTGAATCGCTCCGTGGTAATTGATGTTTTAATTGATGTCAAAGCTTTTTAAAACTTTCTTGGCGAATTTAGGTAGTTAATGTTCATTTGCAAATGTTAAAGCCCAATTGACAAATGCTTGCAATTGAAGCAAGCAAATCAAGTTGACTTAGTTGTTACACCGCCACTCTCTGTTGAAGACTGTAGCTATTTTTCAAATAGTAACTTTCCAGTGACTCTGATGTTAAACATAGAGGCCTAGCAGTGATATAAAACATAGGTGATATGAAGTTTGAACTAATAAAATCATCATCGCCAACTGTTTAGTTTCTTATTTTAGAAAAGAGTAAACGATAATAAAACATTATGGCTGATTAGAAAGTGTATAGGTGTTTTTGAGGCAGAAAACATGAAAACTCAAAGACCTTTTTAATCCGCTTCTGTAAACAGTGTGGAAGCACAAAGAGGGTTTTTTGGAAATGCTCCAAACAATCTTGCAAAATAGGAAGCAGTGTGAACAGTAAAAACCACAAAACGGACATTTTTACTCCGTTTCTGTGAACAGTGTGAACGCACAAAACGGACATGTTCCTCTCCATAGACAGATAAAAGTGAAAACCTAACAATGTGAACGTGCTAAAGCTCTGTTTACACGATACTCTTTTCATTTGACATCAATTGGTTTCATACTAGATCGGCCCTCTTTTTTACACAAAAATTATCCAATCTGATATGCTTCATACAGTTTTCGCATTTTAAAATTAAAATGCTCTAGATGCAGAATTTAACCAATTGGAAACACCTCTTTGCTTGTGTAAGGGGTTGAATCGCATGAAGATGTCATATGAAAACGCTGCTGTGCAGAGATGATGAAACAAAGGCAACCCCCTCTCCCCCCGGCAGTATGCGTTTTGATGCATTACATAATTCTCATGTAAACAGAACACCAAATTCATGATGAAATGAAAAGGGTAACATGCAAATACTAGGCAATTTCATGTCGGATTTGGAATCTAATACGATGTGAAATGACAACTTTGTTGTTTAAATAGGACCTAAAAAAGTTTCCTGTAAAGGTGGTAACGCATAGCCTTGATAAGGCATGCAATAAACCGCACTTCTTGTGGAAACGGGGCGTGTGCCAAGGTGTGCGCGTGCGATCGCACGCCTTTCCCAGGATGGCCTGTAGTCATTAATTTCAGAGTATCACCCTATTAGTACCGTCATTTTGAGGAAATTTCAGAGTAGCACCCTACAGTGACTAAACGAACGTTTCTGCCAAATTTCTACTGGTGCAAAGGTTCAGACTTCCCATTCAATCATATATCGATAAAGTCAACAGCACTTTATTTTCCTACAAATGTAAGAAACAAAATGAGTTACCTCATATCTTGTGGTGTAAGAAGCAGAAACTGTCTGTTGTTTTGCTCTTTTGCAATTTTCAGGAGCATTTCCATTGATATACGTCGATTCACCATGTCCTTAGAAAAAAAATAGCAAACAGTCAGAAAGTTTATGATTGCAACACGGTTCTTTGAGATAATCTCCAAATGTAAATAACAGCAACATAGAAGAACATTCATATTGATATACAGCAAAAATTTGATTTGAATGATGAAATTGTCTGGTCTTTGCATATTTACTATAAAGAAAAAGTATAACAGCAAGGCTGGTGACTCAATGGCAGTATTAATGTGTTGTTGTGTTAATGAATTGCTTCAGGACCTGTTGTTTCCTGTTATAGTAAATGTGGTTGTGCTTTTTTTGCAGTATGAATATATATTGTGGTTACAATATATTAAATCCCGTAGGTTTTCCCTACAAACTTCTGAAAATCCCTAAAGTAGGTAGAAATCCCTACGTGTGGCAACACTGAATGGATAAGTTTGCCTCGTTTTGGAGACTTGTTACCGCTAAGACAACAGTCATTTTGTTCCTGACCAATATGACCCTTCAGACCAATATGACCCCAGGGAACATTAGCACTTTATTTTGAAAATTTTGGTTTATCAACTATATTTGAATTGCTTCTTGAGGTCTGGCGTTATTCCTGCTATACTAGACGACTTTGGAGTTCGCAATGCCATAACATAAGTGGGGTAGAAGCTGCGTAAATTGGAACAACGGCCTCAAACATAGAAAACCACTTGTTGAAGCTTTTTTTGTGCTCTTCTCTCTGACCTTCCTTCGTCATGATTAACGCGGCTTTCGATATGTTTTGTTGGGTAATCGGAAAACATTCAATGAGCGCCTTCGATGCCGTGATAACTGCTACAATAGCCTGGTGTTTTTCTTTCTTGCCCAGACCAATATGACCCTCCCTAGACCGACATGACCCTGGTGTCATGTTGATTTGGACCGATGTGACTCCAGGGTCATATTGATTCAAGGGGTCATATCGTTCTGGAACAGTTTCATGTTGTTTCCTTATCGTTTCTACCCGTTTGTACTAGTTTCTTGTTGTTTCCTGTTATAGTAAACGCAGAATATATCTAGAATATCTGTTTTTGCCCAGCCATACACATTAGATTGAACAAAACACACAAAACATACCTTTTGCAAATGCTAAATGTAAATGAAGGGAAAGCAGTGTGGTCGGTTGAAACCACGAAACAGTTATTTTTCCTTCGTTTTTATATGGAGTGTGAATGGGCAAAAACGGATTTTTAATGTTTTCCGCGAATTTTTGTAGAAAATCGGGGCAGTGTGAGCAGTTGCAGGATATCCACAGAAACGAATTAAAACTGCAACAGAGGAGTGTGAACTCGGTGTAAGACTCAAATAAATTTGTTTTCTCACCATGAAAACATCAAATTCATCAAGGACTCGAAAGGGTGATTCCATTGCCTCCCAGAGTGCCATTATGAAGCAAACAGTGGAAAAGGACCGTTCACCTCCAGACAGAGACTTTGTGTCTTTGGAAGCAGTTCCTTTGGCTTGTTCCACATTCACCTACGAAAAACAGACATAAAATGCAGATCGAAATGATGCAAAACAGTAAAGCACTCACTCATTCAAAAATCCTTTTTCTTTATAGATATTTTACCTCTAAAAACTACAAGCAGAGGCTAAGTATTTGTTTAGAGGGGATATTGATGGGCTAGAGGGGACTAAAATGTCCGAAATTTTCCAACAAACATGGTACTTTAAGGAGTTGTAGTCCCGTCCTCCCAATTACTGCACTTCTGTCTTTTACCCTTCCAGACCAATGAAAGAAGCATCTTTAATGACAATGGCTTTTCTCTACTTCCACAAATTCCATCTAGTTCATAATTAAATAGTTCTCACCTGAATCGATAGCATTTCTTTATCGTGGTCGATTTTGAGCTTCCCAGAATAGCCTCTTTGAGAGAGGGTCATTGTAAAGTATTGCTTCGCTCTAATCACAATGTACCGTCTAAAATCGTCAAATTGCCGTGCCCTACGCAGTATTACTTTTTCCAGCATCTAAGGTCGAAAAAATACACAAAATATCTGTCAAAATATTAAATGTGCCAAAATTTATTGCATAAACAACCGAGTTCTATCAAATTTCTTCTAGGGGTATAGCTTTCTCAAGAAGGTGCTATTTCGATAGACCGGGCTTAATGAAGGGTCATACTTAAGGTGATGAAACTCTATTGAAAAATTCTGATCTTGGGGCACAGCATGGTATCAAATAATCATCTTCTGTCCTTGTTTTCAACGGCGAACATCCTTCAACACATACCCTCCTCTTAATATAGGAGTTTAACGACAACCTGGGAAGTGGAGGCTTGAAAGAGTTGGAGAGAGGTGCTAAGTATAGCTTTAAGGTACAAAAGAGGGTGATTGGAACAGAATATGTGGCTCAAAACGGAGATCATAGCTACAATTCTTTAAGGAGACTAAACATATTTAATTAACAGACAAAGGTATTGTACTGAAGTAAAGTAATCATGATTAAATAACAGATGACAGAAAGTTGCAAATTAATTTAAGTGTACAACATAAAATAACAGACGTTAGACTGGAATGTCAACAAAGCAGTAATGAGAGAGTAATCTATAATTATTTTAAACTATGAGAAAGTTTTTTAGCAAAGGATAAAATAGGTTTGGCTGTTTGTTGATGAGTTGCTTCTGAAGTTATTTGCAACTACTGTCTTTAACAGTAGATCATCTCTAATTAACCAAAGGCAAAGTGCTTCTATACTACCATCTTGGCAAGCTTATTTTTTAAGAAGATACAGGTTTAGAGGTGAAAGATCCTTCATTTAGGCTCTTCAATATGGACCATATTGATACTACAACTTGACAACTGCATCAATATTGAAAATAACTCCAAAAATATCATCCCCTTAAAAATTCATAACTCGAAAAATGATTTTATATACATATATTATATATATACATAAACAATGTGCTGCTTTCAAATGCTATAGACGCATATTTCGCTAGACATCAAACATCAATAGAGCAAGGCAATTAAATAATACCTTGTGGAACTTTTTAAAACTAGCAAATCTTTCACAGACTTCTTTATATTTGTTGTATGCCTCGTGGTATCGTTTGGTCACCTCTTCAGCATTTCCACGGCTAATTAATGAACAAAACACATTACGTTAGTAGTAACAGTACAGCCTATCAGCTGAAATGAGTCTGATAATACATCACATTTCGAAAAAAAGAAAACATCCAAACCATCGAAGAAAATATTCTCTCTATGCAAAGTTATACAGCATTTGAGTATTAGGCCCTTGTTCAGTGTTGATCAGTTTCTGTTGATCAGTTTACCAACACCATTATGCGCAATATAGTTGGTAAACTCTCGAAATAAAGGCCAAATACACTATATCTCTTCTGTAACAAAAAATTTACTAAGGTGTGAGTCAGAATTCCCGGTTTCAAATCGGAAATGGAATTGAAAGTAGGAACTAGACTGTTTCTTACTGTGCAGAAAGCATTGTAACAGGAGTAATTGGCCTATGTCTCTGTTTTATCTGGTGAAACTTGACAAGAAATCAGTACTGTTTGCAGAGATAAGTACTTGCAACTTATTTTCATGGTGAGCTAATCTTTAACAAAATCATTAGTAGACACTTCAATACGAAGACCACAACAAGCAACAGCAGTTCATTTCAAAAGAAAAAACTAGTGCGATGAAAATCAACATTTCAATGAAAAGATATATAATTCGAAAACCAAGCGATGTTTAAAGAACAAACTTAATAATTTGACTAGGCCATGCGATTTGATTAGGGAACGCTTTAAGGCGAGCTCGTTTCATCTTCAGCTAAATGAAAAATATTTGAATGATTTTAAATATTGCAGATATTGATGATTTGGGAGTGATGTGTCATTAAAAAGCGATTAAAAGATTTCTTGATAGGGAAAGGCCATAAAAATTACACTAGGTAAACCAAAAAAGTCCAGCTTGATCTTACACTGAATTTTCCATTTTGAAATGGAAGCAATTTCTGGAAGGGGTCGCTTACGAGCATAGAAGGACTATCCTACTAGACCATCCAAGAATGTAAGACCTACTTTTGCTCTTCTCTCTGAACTCTCTTTTCGGTGTTTGCTATCTCGCTTTCCAAATTTTTTACTGTTCTTGTTGTCTCAATTTCAGAGCCATCTTTAACTTTGTCGTACATGTCCTATAAAAGAAGGGGATATCCTAAAACTCCGAGAAAATGCCTAACAGCTTATTACAAAATTTGTGTTACAACTGCAAGTGAAAACTTTTGTTGATAGATTTCTAAAATGCCTTATGGTTATCTATAGAAGATCAGAAGAGGAAAAATATCTTGTCAGCTTACCTAGGACTAGGTTAAAATCTAAGTAGGAGTATTACTAACTTAATATGGAACCCAAATTTAGATAAAATATATATGTTAAAATTGATGCGAGCCAACATATAAAGTCTTGATGTTCCAAGAAGTGAAGTTCCCTTTTGCATTATAGAAAATGAAGCCTTGTGAGTATTTAATAATTCTTATAAACCCGTTAAATGACATATAAAAAACTATTTATTTATTTATTAAATATAAAAAAAGTTAATTTGTTATTAAAGATACCTGATATTCGTCATCAATTTTTGTCACTTTTTTCCTTACTTCTTCAATCTTAGCCATGAGCTCGGCTTTCTTTCTTTCATAAAATTTTTTGTCTGATTTGCACTGGCCAATTCTTTCTTCCAACGAGCCAAACTCTTCCTTTAAAATTGACGAACAAATGACAATATGGCTAAATCCCATCTGCCTTTATCACTTATATAGCAAAATCTGGCAATCTAAAAGGTTTTGTATAGGAGATTATTTTCATGGATCGGAACTCTTAACTCCCAGGAAATTTATCAAAATATGTTTTGTAAAATCATAAAAATGACATCACTTCCAAAAGCATGTCAGGGGATAAGTTATTCAAAATCTAGTTAATTAGTGTATTGTTGGGTGGTGGGAAAAATATGCACACTTAGTGAGTTACTATGAAGCTTAAAAGGGATCACACCATTCATAAACATACAAAGTATCTACCCTGATTTCACAATTCACTTACCCAAAACTGGCACAAATTAAAATGGAATGGCGCCGTGGTACACAAAGTGCTTAAGAAAAATCTAGTCTACTTTTGCTAAATAAGCCTATTGTTAAAGAATTTCTTAGTGTCGTTTATAGCTAGAGCCTTGTGACGTCAATTCCATTTCTTCTATGGATGGCACATAATACTGTATGTCGTTGTCGTTTTTAACAGTGATATAAAATAGAGAACATGATTAGCTACAAAAAAGGTTTTTAAAAAAAAATCATAAACCAGTCCATAAAGAGGGTTTCCATGGCTTACCATGAATGGCTCAATCGATCTTGCCAATTCATCTTTTTGACGGCTTATCTCATTATCTTTATCTTGTTGCTTTTGCAATGCCTCTTTTTGCACTTGCAATTCTTGGTTATCAGACTCAACCTAAAAAGTACCAACAAATATCATAACCGCAACAATAATAGAAACAACAACAGCAACAGCCATTGTCACTGTGATTTCTTTAATCATGATAATCATAACTTTTGTTGCTGAGAGACAGTGTCTCAAGCCCAATATTTATAATTCTAAATGAATCAAATAAAAAAGATAAGAAGGATCTCCTCTTTTGGATAAGATAAAAATGATAGACTGATACAACTACAATTGACACCCAAATCCCTCCACCAAATTGAAACCCGCTAACTGTTCATTCCTTTTTCGTTGATATCTATTATTGCATCACATTCATATTAGACGTGTTATCTCAAGCACTGTTTCTATGTTGGCTGCAGGCGAGATATGCCCGAAAAAAATACAACCTGCGTGCAGGCCCGTCACTAGCTATTGTGATCAAGGGGGATTCCCATTTGCCGACAAAGTGGGTGGGCTATCCTGTATTTGCCGACAGGTTTGGAAATTTGCCGACTAAGCACCCATACATGGCAAAAAACTCCTCGTTTTTGTAATGTAATTATTTTCTAAGGGGGGTGTCACGCCATACACGCCCCATATAGTGAAGGGCCTGCCTGTGTGGCATTATATTGTCTTGTTCTACGCATTTTAGCAAAATTGTAACATCATAACAGCGTAGTATAGTAGAGTGCTGACAAAATTGTGGTATACTTCACTTTTATTCTAGTAGCAGATACATTAGTTTATAAAAATGATTGAGATGTGCAGGCAGATCTGTGGACAATGTCATACCCAGGAAAAATTCATCTTCACATCTTTGGATTTTGGCTCACTGTTTCGGTTGAATTAGTGGTTTGCAAACAAACTTCTTTGAAATAATTTACCTCTAAGAGAAGTGATATTTACCTCTCTTTGTAGGTCTGCAATCTTTACTTCATACTCTTCTAAATCCTCTTCCTATATAAATTAACAAGAGAAGAAATTTTGGTGACGAAAATTGCTTTAAAACCATGTACCATTGAGCAGGCCCAGTGGTATTTCTAATAAAATTTCGATGGGGGTATAAAAAATGTACTACAGATTAATTAAAAAGGTATTTTGTTGAATCTCACTCAAAAGTTTGTTAAGGACAATATGCAGTTGCTTTTCATTACAAATATCACATTGGACATTCTTGTTTATGTAGCATAATTTTAATGGTTTTTCCCTATTAAGAAATCTTTCACGGTTAATTAATGATGCATCACTATATCTGCGCTATTTAAAGTGATTTGATAAGCTGCTGTTATCAAAATACTTAAGAATATGAATCTGATCGAATTGGGTAACGAATATTCTATTTTTTCAAAACATTTTCCTGGATTTCTGGCATGAGACCATGACGACAAATAAATGTAACCAAAATACTGCCACTAAAATCACCACTACTTAACTAATAATGACAAACAAAGGATTAATTTTGCCTAGCTATGGGTATCGCAACAAACGTGCTAAGGATACAGGGTACAGGAACGGTACGGAATTATTATACTTTCGAGGCAAACACAAGATGGACAGAGGTATGAATAGAGCTACAGAATGCATTTCAAAACTCTGTCCTGCGTAGTTTAATGGAATGGTACACTGATGACGTGCATCACTTAGTTGTGTGGCATGTTAACATTGCAGCGAGCAGGCATTGTTTTTCAATACGGTTTTACTAAAAACGTCAAACTTAAATGAGACGCAGAGAGCATTGAAGCCTGGGTTCAAAAGACAAGTGATATCTACCAATGCAGTCAAGTCAGGCAGCTGATTCTCCTCAGCAGTAGATAACAAATCCTGGATATCCTGTTAGAAAATTTAAAAACATAAATAATTAGAGGGCAATACATTTGAAGTAATGTCTTTACAATAACACAATTGAGGTGGCAAGCAGAACCAAAATTAGGTCTCATGTGTGCCTGTATATCTTGAAAGGCACAGAAGCAATATAATCCCTCTTCTCCTATAAATTACTGCAAGTATTTTTTAGGACTATTGTGCAGCTAACTTTTTGCCTGATAGTATATAACCTAAGTTGTGAGCAGTATTTATAAATAAAACCAACTTACCAAGTTCAGCCTGTTTATCAGGTCCTGCTCTTTGTTTGATTTTGATTTCACATTTTGCAGCTCTTGCTGAAATCGAATACACAATACCATACAAAAAAAGAAAATAGCAAAATAACGTTCTAATGGTAATAAGAAATCCAATACCGACAGAGAATTGATAAAGAACAGAGGTATCTCCCATAAATTCCTATAAATACGAGTATATTTACTCTACTTATCGAAACCCTTACCTGGGAACTCCTAATGTTCCTGTCCATTTCAGTTCTTTTATTTCTCAAATCCTGCAGCTGCTGCCGTTCCTGTTGAGCCTCTTTTTCAAATTGTCTGAAAGTGACGAAAAAGTCTTTCAACGAGTATTTACCCATTTATTTCAATTTCGTGAATAATAAGGAAAAGTGTATCCAAAGAAACTGAGGTTATTGGAACTCTTTTTGAGTAAGCTGGTTAAACATGTATTACTAATCATGACTATTGTGATGGAAAATTTCGAAATGACAAAAGAAGATACAAAAAGAAAAAAAAGGGCAGAATGATCATGAAGGAACATACAGGACAATTAACTGAAAAATGGTGATTCATTAGCAATAAACGTTATCTGAATCCTAAACTTCCACTAAAACAATGTGATGGTATGAGCCATAACAAGCAAGAGCGTAACAAATTCTTTTGCTTCACTTTCTTTCAATATCAGAAACTTTTAGTTTGCTTGTCCATTTGTTTATATAATCTGAGTACATGAAAAGTCATAACAAGTAGACTTTAGATAAAAAAGATCTTACTTGATGTCGTGCTCAATACTTGTTGTCAAAAATTTAGCATTCTGGTAGCTATTGGAATAATATTTCTGAGTTCGGCCACCAATAACCTCATCTCCAACAATCGTATAAGCCTGAAAATTTACAAGAGAGAGTCATAACATGAGACGCAGTAAACAGATTTGACTCAAAACCTGCATCCTCAGCATTAAAACACATGGAATGTCAAACATAGCAATTTGTCTTAGTAAATAAGCTGTACTGTGAGCTGTAGTCAGTAAGTGGTAGCTCATACGCTTTTGTTCGTCACAACAGCTAAGGCATTAATATAACTTAAAATGCAAGCCTCTGAACACAATGCCAAAAATGAATGAAATAGTTTACCAAGCTTAAAAGGTGTGTTAAGTACTCTTTTTTACTTAATTTTTGAGGTTGGCTATTTCAGTATCATGTTTAAATTATATTCCATTATTAATGGTAAAATACATACGGATGTTACCTGGAAAGTTAATACAAGGGGAGCTTGTCATACACCGTATATCGTTTTAGATTTGATTCAAACATAAAAAAAACCTAACTAGCGAAGCACTGAATAACGATTTGTCAGAAGTATGCTACAAGTCCTAATTTCTGATACGTTGGAGCCTTCTTATAACAAACACTGTTCAGACCAGTGAAATTGTCCGTTGTTTGAGCTATCTTCCTGAATAGAGGTTCCTTTAAGCGCATTTTGATCATTTGGGACCAAAATATCTCTCCGTTAACGAGAGGTGTCCGTTTTAAAGAGGTGTTCATTAATGGACGTTCCACTGTACTAAATCAATGACGTCATATTAACTTACCCTGTGAGCTCCGTACGGTCTTCTTTTCCATATTTCCTCCTTTGCATCAGCACTTTTCTCAATCAACAATACTGATTCCACTCGTGCCTGCATTAGAGATTCATCCATATTGATACAGATCAAAACATTTATCAATGCTACAAAGTGTGTAGGAGGTAGGAAATAAATGGTTTAGAAAGTAGGAAACAAGCACAGTAGAAAATAGTAAAGAATTTTTCTTTAAGTGAGCTCTTTGTAACCAGAAAAAGTTTATGGGTTATATCTCAGTTAGTCTAAAAAACAATAAAAGGATGTAATATCTAAAAATAATTAACAGAATGAAGTTTGACAAAGTTGAAGATTGCCTTGATTCACTGACATAATAATTAAACCTTTCTAAAATTCAACTATCACTTATGCTTTAAACGGCGCTCACAGACAAACCATGTCGATCAAATTACGTCTGCAGGCACATCTGAAAAAGCGGTCTCTTTCAAAGTTTTCAATTGTTTAAGAATTTAGAGAAACACTTCAGCTACAAGTTTCACCATGTTAATACTAAGGTTTACCGCTTTGTGAAATTGATTTATGTAGCAAAAAGAGAATAATAGATTTTCCTAACAGCAAGAACAAGATGTCCAAAGATCTTGATATGATTATTTATTCTGTTTGAGTTGCTGCAGCAAGCTATCGGTTGAATTGGTCATTGATTGACGGGTTCCGTGTAAAAAAATTCAGGAGAAACTACCAATCTGGGTGGAGTGTGCAAGATGGAAATTGTGATTCTGAAAGTATCCTTAAGTATAGTATCAAGCAATATCAAGCAATCGTTCATTGCTCTAATAGAATTAAGGACACAATCGCTGTAAATTTTCCCTTTTTGCCGTAAGCTAAAGTTTGTTTAAACTCTTTAATGCCATTTTTGTTGATAAACCATTATCACTCGAAAATAATTTTCTGTTTAACTAGTTATTTGGAAATTTACTGGTCTTTGAATCATTGAACCTTACTTTAGGTCTCTTATTTCAAACAATTTTATATCCAACGCATTGCATATGGAAAAAATCTTGCAGGCACCTTTTGCAAAACAGTTTGTGCTTGCAGGCACAAAAAGTTTTAAGGAAGGTCCAGCTTTAAGGTGGAGGGAGTCTAATCATTCTTCAAGAAATTTCACCACAGAGAATTTTAACAAGAGATTTTATGCAGATGTGATTTATGTCATTTTTCATAGACGTTTTTCCAGTCAAATTTATTTCAAGTTGTGGCTTCTTTCCAAAAATACATCCTTCGAAGTAATTCAGAAAAACAGATATTTTGTCAAAAAAATCAGAATTTGAGTCTAAACAGAAAATATTTCATGATAAAAAATTTCGTCGAAATAAAAAGCTGCTGGCGTAAACTTTAAATAACAAAATCACCTGATCAATTAAAGTATTGGCCACTATTGGGTTCGGAATCTCCAACATGTCCAGTACTGCAGGGAACTTACTTTGCGATCTCTGAAATTATAACCAATGTCGAATCAATGTAGTAACGCCTATCTCTGTAAAACTATATTCTTGGTATCATATTTTTTATATAAATTAAACTATTACGTGAACTATCAAAATTAGATTATGATGAACAGCAAAACAGGAATATATTGCAACCTGTTATAGTGCTTAAAATGGTATAAATTAATCTTACGTTGAAAGATACATAAAGTTAAACATTTAATGGATAGAACGGACAGCAATTTTCTGCTTTAAAGACCTTTTTCGTAAATAAAAAGATAAGGGGTTCAAGTGACTGGTAACTTACAAAACCTACCTTTTGAGAGACATCATATAATTGCTCCTGAAAAAGAATGAATTTCTTAGTTCTGCAATGCAGTTCACAAAACAAGTTTTCAATCTTTAGAGAAATATCAAACCAGTTTACTGACGTGTCCAAAAATTAATAGAAAATAGTAAAATTTCTGAAATTTTGATTTACACTTCTGTTTTGCTGCTTCTTGGAATGTAGGTCAATCGTTACACATACCTTTTCTAAATTCATTTGATCAAACAAACAAAATTCTGAAATTCTAAATTTGCTGTTAAATCAGAATTTTATCGAGTTTCTTTTAAAAAAACTTTTATTTTTTTGTTAAAATACAAATTCAAAATACAAATAATTTTCAGTCATGGAAAACACAAAAAAACAGAGAAAAGGACTTCGTTGGTTTGAAATATTCTCAACAGCAATGTAGGATTAAATTACACATGTACGAATTTACCCGAAATAACGTTGCTCGTTCCTAAACATACTTGTACTCATACTTTTAAATTCTTAAATAGCATTTCTCAGAGTTTTAGCTTCCAAAAATGACACAAAGTTGAAAAATAACGTTAAATGAATATTTTGTCTTGGAGATGAAAAACCTCTTTTCTTAGGGTTTTGTAGCTGATTGGAAATATCTGATGCTGTTTTCAATGATGCAGCACATTGATCGGATAAAGGTACACGCACAATCAGTAAAATGCCACCTTTTTCATCTTCTCTAAAGCTTTTGTAAATATCTGCATCAGTTTGTTTGCATTACTGCCTATTGTTTCAATACTTTTGCACTTCTCGCATGACATTTGTCTTGGGATGATATAAAACAAGACATATACCTGAAATCTGGATACAATAATAGATGGATTCGGTCCGGTCCAATGATCTTTGAAGACACCATTCAAAACATTCATATCATGCAGATCATGGCAGCAAAATGCCAGCATGAGTCTGTTACCAAGGCATTTCTCCACACCAACATTCCATTTCTTATCTTTCAAGCTTATGTGAGCACCTAGGAACACAAAATAAAAACATAAGGAACAGTTAAACAAAATCCCAAACAGGCCGCACAAAGAGCATGCAGATGCTTAAGGAAAGACAAAAATTAGTAATATCATACACAGCAAAAAAAAGCATCTATTATATCATTCACAACAACTAAGGATTTACAATGCAGAGTGTTGAACACTGTTCTGGTGCAAGGATAAAGGCTAAATTTCAGATACAATGACGTGAAACTTCAAGACGAATGCATTCGAAGAAGTGGGGTAGTAACTCAACAAAGACTAAAAAACAGTCATTGATGACTATTTCATGTGACAATGAAATGCGTTAGCAGAGAAGAACTTTACCAAGTGGACCAATGGGTGTGCGATGAAACTTTCCAGCCTTTGCAAGAGCATTTATCTTTTCAATAACAGTGGGGACAAATGACCCAAATATATTCAGTCTGTTCTCTCTACTCCTCTGCAATCTTGAGACTTGTCGTTCAGCATTGTCGACTTTTCGTTTAATAGAAGTTTCTTCCTGCCTGCAACATTCAAAACAGTTTGATTAGTACAAAGCTTACCGTATTTTCAAGAAGAAACTTGATAATTAGCAACAAGCAAGACAAATTTACTTGCCATTCACACACGATTCCCGCTCAAAAATATCCAATTAACTCAATGTTTCTCAGAAATCCAAATGTCTACTTGCAACACTAACTTATTTTAAGCAGTACATTACCTGCAGCTCTATGGCAATTTGTGTATCAGATATCAGTCAAATGATAAATAGAGCATGGGACAAGAAATGACTTCATAATATTATCAAATTGCTAACGATTTAAAGAGGACAGTAAACTTGAAAAATTATTTCTTTTTATAAATATGATATTATTACCCAAGTTTATAAGCTTGTTCCTGTGTCTTTTTAATTGACATCTCGAGTTGACTTTTCAAGTGCAACGACATTTTCAATTTTGATTCAGCCTCTTGTTTCTTAAATTTTTTGTCATTAAGCTCTGCTTCTTTTGCCTCTCTCTCGGCTTGATGATCTTGAATTGCTCTGATTTATAAAAATCACAAACATCAATCAAATGGAAACAGCAGATCATCTAATGATTTTTTAACAAATAAAATGACAAAGAAACACAAAAATGAAGCATCAAAGAAACACACAAAAATATATACTGATAAAAATTGTAAATTACTATATAAATTCCTTATAACTACAGCCTTCCTCCTGTGACGTAGTTGATAAATCTGTTGCCTCTTGTCACAATGGGCAGACACGTAGCCCCCTGCTCGGACCTCAGAATAAGAATAAAATAAGCGGAAAGCAGGTAAGAAGCTAGGAGGGCCTAGGTACCTGGAAACCAAAAAACAAAATAACTAAAACGAGGCCATACGCCTAATGAAATTTGAGGCCAAAATGAAGGATAAACAAGGGAAGGATAAACCAGGGAAAAGGCCCTCCAAATTTTGTTGATTTCAAAATGAAAATCAGGTCATCAATTTTGAAACAGTTTCATTTAAAAAACACCTATATATATAATGATTATATAACAAATATGTCTGAAAAAGGCCCTGAAAGCACTGATTTCAGATGTAAAACTCATTATCTTTGTCAAAGTGGAAAATCGAGAATACTTTTTCAAGTATGACAAAGATAATCCGATTTCCGCTTGGAAATTCTAGCGCTCTGCAGTTGGTGTGTAAAATGGTTCAGTAGCAATTTGGGTGGCTGCACTGGAAATCAGCATTTGTTTACTAACAAGCTTAATCCCTTCTGTCTATGAGCAATAGAGATTAAGTGTGTCAGAAATTTTCCCTGAAAATCTTGTTCGGTGCGTTCAGGGCCTAAGGTTAGTAAGAGGATAGGCCGGGCTTAGTTATTCAGATTCATACAAGAAGTTTCCTGGAATTTTCAATCATTTCCAAACAAACAGACAAACCTTAGTCTTTGTGTAACCAATATATATTGTTGATAATATCATACCAAAGGTATTTTTATGATATGGGACACAGGAGGGTACCACGTAGTAAGTTGGAGCATATACTAAGTTCAACAGAGAAAGAATCTTAATCTATCTACAGAGCAGCAACATTTAATGTTTTAGCCTAATGTTGTTCTCATATCCTTTCTTTGTTTTATGAAATGGTCATTGGATAATTGTGCTACAGTGGAACCCCGTTAATACGGCCACCAACAGGCCAACAAAATTCGGGTCAAATTTTGGAGTTTAAGGGGTAAAAATTAATAATATCTTTAGAACTTTATAAATAGACATCTGGAAATGTAGATAAAATTATAAAAAAATGTGTTGAATAACTAGTCCACAAACAAAATGAAACGGAAGTCCTGGGTTCTTGGGCCTTAATCACCAAGTCATGTTCATGATTTTGCAAAAAATCGGTGACTTTTGACTGGTTCGTTCTGCGTTCCAGCCAATCACTTTTCGTGTGAGAAAACACACCTGAAAGGCCGTCTACTATGTCATTGTTTTCTTTTGACTCGAGAAAACATAATACATCTTCAAGGCAAGATATTGCCTTATGATATAAATGACCGTATCAACGGGGTGGAATTATAAAGAATCCGGCTGTTTATAATCGCAAAATGTGGCCGCTGGCCGTATTAACGGGAGGCCGCATTAACGGGGTTTTTTATGAGACTGTGTATGGCCGTTTTTCCGGGCCAAACAAATGTGGCCGTAATAACAAGGTGGCCGTATTAACGAAGTGGCCGTATTAACGTAGTGGCCGTATTAACGAAGTGGTCGTAAGGCGGGGTTCCACTGTATTTTGCTGCTCATGGTATTGCCTTTGCAATGTAGCATTGTTTTTGAGAATTTGGAAAAAATTTCTCAGGCTCACATCTTCCAAGTTTAAAATACACATGTCAAAATGAAAATCAAAAGATATACATTTGTTTCAATTCTGCAATTCTGTCCGTAAGCTGCTTTCTCTCTTTGCTTGAAATTGCTATTTCTCTTTCTTTTTTCCGTACTTTCTCCTGCATAATAATAAAAAAATTATTTTAAATTGAAAACATTTTCTTGAACAAAGTCGAAGAAATTCCCTGAAAAGAAACATCGTTAACACCCAAAAGATCACTTTTCTATTAAAAAAGTCTGAAAACATTCTATGATAATTAACTAACCCCAATATTAAACATATGTTCAAAAAGATTTCTGAAATAACACGAAAAGATTTAAAAATAAGGGAAATACCAAAACACAGAAAAATCAAACCTGATTGATTCTGAATTCAGTCTTCATCTTTTTTAGCATTGTGGCTGCTTCTCTTCCGGTCTCACTTAGAGCTTCTACTTGTTCAACGACCAATTTAAACTTCTTGTCCTTTTCTTCATGCTCTTTATTCAAGTTCTCAAGTAGTGTCTTATAAGTTAAAATGCATCTATAATATACTAATTAACAAAAGCAAGAAAAAACATGAGGGAACTGTTGATAATATCGATGAAACATGTTGCAAATAGTATCGTATTTTTGTCTATAACCCAAAACTTAGTGAAAATAAAATAGCATTTGATGAACAGAGACATTAAACAGTCTAATAATTTGAACAAAGACAAATAATAATTCCTTTCACATGTAGTTTCCAGACTAGGTCTGTCCAAACCTTCGGATATTCCTATTCGGTTATTCGGCTTGAAATTTAACGAATATTCGGTTATTCGGCGAATATGGGTGTGGCAGGGTGGTGGTAAAAAATTGCAAAACGACCCTTGAAACACTCACAACAAAATATTTTGTGAAAAGTTATATTGTTCTGCAAAATAGTAGTAGGACCATAGCCCCCCGGCCTCCCCTTCGTCGGAGGCCCTGTAGCACAAAAATTTCCCGAGGAAAAGCCCCATGACCCCCACCCGCAACCCACGCTCCACTCCCCCTGCCCCCTTCCCATCTTGCGTTATTGGCTTTGTAACTATTTCTTGGGTTTGCGATTTTTGAAGAAAGCCCGTATCCATGAAACTCTCTCTAAGATTGAAGATAGGAAGTTGCCTTTCTCCTTTACAACAATCCTTGCCTTCGACCAGTCAGTGCTAATCGGTTATCAGTCACAGTTATTCGATCAGTCACGGTCATTGTGGACTTCCAACAGTGAGGTTATTCGCACTATTCGTCTCCAACCGAATAATCGTACTATTCGAACTATTTGTTTGTAACCGAATAATCGTACTATTCCAGCTATTCGCTTGTAACCGAATATTCGCTTTGGACTTCAGCTAACCGAATAGTGAAACAGGTAACCGAATACCGATTATTCGACCTTCGGTGGACAGGCCTATTCCAGACATTCTGAAAAGAAAAAAAAATTCTCTTTCGGTAACTAAATATTCTTAACCAACTGTGCAATTTTCATTCAACTTATTTGTTGATGACTCTTTTACAGCAGGAACATAAGCCCTTGATTTTAATGAAAAGTGAGTACAATCTTCTTTGATTAAAATCTTGTTCATACCTTTTGCTCTTCAATTTTTTCATCGTGCTTTGGAACTCTTGCTTCTTCCCGCTGCAAGCTTTTCTTTGATTCCATTAGTTCCTGAAAAATTCAAGATCTCTAAATTCCCAAATTTTTTTGACAAATTGCTAGATTTATCATAACTGAGAATAAAGGATTTGTGTCTCTAGCTGTATTTGGTTAACCTATCAAAGCTTGCCAAACAATTCCACTGAAAAACTAAGGTGATACTCACCCCCTTTTTATCTCTGACATGAGCCCATAATAATTCTTCTCTTAAAGACTTGATTCGCTCTCTAATCTCCTTTAGCTGAGCTATATCTTTATACTTCTCTTCTAGTTCTTTCACAGTTGCCTGCATTTCTGGAAGAATCTATGAACAACAAAACTTTTACTAGCTACAAACAACTAGACTCTAACTTCAAGTACGAGAAATGATAACAAGGTAACATTAGCAATTGTTATTTAGGTCAAGACAAGTACCTCTTTCTTTTTGTTGAGAATGTCTTTTATTGTTTCCTTCCGCTCTACTATTTGTTGATAATGGTTGCTCATCTGTTCGAGTTGTGTTGCTTTCAAGAAGAACTAAAAGCAACAGGGATACAAATAATTAGCAAATTACCCTCTAGATAACTATTGCAAGGTTTTTAAAAAACATTGAATATAAAATTAGAACAGAAAGAAGAGAACAAGCAAGGAAATCTTCAAAAGCTTACAGGAGAAAACCATATAATAAATGCATGAATATGAAATCAAATAAGCATCTAGACCTTTAGAACAAAACACCTCCCAAGTCCTAATTTAGACTTTAATCATAATATGATAACCAAATAAGTGTTAAAAAGATACTTAGTGGAAACGTACACAAATATATCTTCAAATGCATTCTACACTCATACTTTCAACATACCTTGTATTTATCTTTAGGATCAGATGAATTCAGAAAACATCTGCTAGTGTCTTGATTGAGAATGGAAACTGGATTATCAATCTGAAAAAGAATAAGGTCTTTTGATATATGGAGCTTTGTTTGTGAATAGTCAAGGGTCAATTTCTTGCATCAACTGCATTAAAGTATCTGTTTATGACACTAATGTTTGTCATTTGAGATTCATGCTTGGTGCAATTCTCCTTCAACTATGTTATTTTGTAAACATGAACAGATATTATAAATCTTATCAAAATAAAAGGAAATGAGCAAGTAAAATCCAAAAAGCAGCTACAAAAACTGGCATAATACTGTAACTATCATCGGATTTTCTGAACTTTGTCTGATTATAGAAAGTTACACCTTCACTCAGTTACACAGTTGTCATGTCACAAAACTTTGACATTTCAAAAACTAATATAATGGAATGATGTCTATTATACAGTTTAATTATATTTCCTATCTACATAAGAAAAAACAATGGTTTTTGGGAGTTAAATGCTATAGAGCAAAACACAGGAGAAGTAGTTGAAACCTTGTTGCAGAAGAAGGAAGAAGATTGCATTTTGAGACAGGACAGGGAGACCACTATTAATGAGCAACTTTAGGGAGTGAGGCATGTTGTCCTGAATAAGAAGCATGTAAACAAGCAAAGTGGAATCCAATAGTTCTTATTTGCCCACAAACTTCATATTCAAAATCTAATTGGTGCCCTAACACCCTTAACTTCCTTCTGGATTCCCCGATGTTTGGGATAAAAATCTTACTCAGCTGGTCCACAGATAGTATATAACATGCCTAAACATTACAAGTCACTACATGCCTAAACATTACAAGACAATACAAGTCTAGCACCACTAAATTAAATCATATATATTACTAGGCCTGGTTTAGAATGAAAAGTCAAAGATAATGTTCCTTCGGAAATCCTTTTGGATGAAAAGCCTTGAAAACACAGTCTCATGTTCCCTTAAAATCATATCTACTCTCACCTGAATGTTGTATTGATCCAAGATAGTAACAAGATCTTCTTTCTTTGTTGAAATAACTTTTCCTTTAAAATAAAGATCCTTTTTGACAAATTCCCTCTTTAATGAAAAAAGAACCCTGCTAGATGTGATTAATGAAAACAAAATAGTATGTTGATCACACTTATCAAAAAGGAGAAAACCTTTTTAAGATCAAACTTCCATGCTATGCATGCCAAGTAGACACCTTTGCTGGAAGATTCCCTAGACCTGCCATTCAAAATGCAGTTTTGGCAATGAAATTAATGTTCAATGTATTGAGCCATCATTGCCAATCATTTTCCTTTTTCAGATTTTGATATTTAAAACATGTTTCTCATCTGTAAGAGAAAACCTTTCATTGGAAATAGCTTATCCACCAGAAGACGCCCTACAATCTGCATGGACATCCCAAAATCTTCTTCTATCTTACACAGAACTGGTGATAAAAAAACCTTGGACTAAATTGGACTAACAAACAATCAAGCACTGCCATTAGTCTGAATATCAAATAACTCCTTCACAAATTGGTGATCTGTGAATCAAAACTTTTGATAAGTGAGTAGAATGTCTGTGGTGTCAATGATTTTTAAGGTTGTGTCCATTGAAATCAGCAAAAGGATCCCATTTCCAGAATTCAATATTTACCTGATGATTTGTTCACATTTGGATGAATCTGACAATGGATTAATGTGAATGTAAGGCTAAAGTGGATATATTTCAATCTATTTTATACTCTCAATAAATTGTATTATAAGGGGCTTGTGTGAATGAGGACTAAGCAAGGGTGAGTGTGAAGATTGTTTTTTGACATTGCAATAGAAATACTAGGGAATATTAGTTCAATATTGCAATACTAGGGAATGGTGCCTTACATAAATGAGGAGGGTTATGTATCATAATTTTTTTTTCAATACCTTCTTGGGACTTCAATTTGTATGAGCTGACACCATCTTGATTGATCCTTCTCTCGACAGTTATTGAGTCACCATATTCACCTGGCAAATATGCATCAGTACCTCTGTTTCTTAATTTGACAGTCACTACTGCAGAACTAAAAGTAATTAAAAATTAATTCATAGCTCAAAGAAAGACAAACTTAATAATGATAGATAACTTTGAACAGGCCTAAGGTACAGACCTGGTAATATTGAAATCATTGGCATCTATATTCTCGCCTTGTTTTGTTGATTAGGCATGCCATAGTCGTTATTGGTCCACGATGCTACACAGATTTAATAATTTACATGTTAATTTAGCACCTTATTATAACATCCTGATATTTAGTAGAATAAGTTTATACTATCATAAGTTTGAAGCAATCACCAGTTATGGCTGAAAAAAGAATCAGTTTTACTAAGTTTATACATTACCTACAATCTTGGACAGAGTTTTTGAGATAAACCCTTAAACCTGTGCCTAGTTAGCATGCTGGCATGTCAATCATCTACCCCCATTCAAAGTTGGAGTTCTTTAGTAGAAAACCTCAAGATTGTCTTTGCTCAACTGTAGAGCCCCTACTTGTAGAGTTAGCAAGTTAGATCAAAGGAATCATAGGAGTATTAACTGCCCTAAATAGTTATATAATTTTGAGACAGATTGCTTTTTGTGAAATACTTACTGACATTCATCTTTTATAAATCCTTTTAACGAGCTTCCTCTGCTTGTTGTTGCTGCTTTTCCACCAAGGCCCACTATCATTCCTGTCATTATTGCTGACTTCCCACCTAAAAGAAAAAATAATCTATTAAAAGCACATAAAGATGACTTCTCTGTCTCAGGGCTGTTTAGCCACACATCATATTTTACATTTTAGTTTTAATTCTGAATCTATTACAACACATTGGCAAAAAGAAGCACCAAAAAGATGGATAGCAGCCATGAGCAAAATGAGGCTGTAAGCTGCGACCAGTCGCGGCGCTATCCTGGATACCAGAGCCGCAAAAATCTTAACGGCAGCGGTACCCAGGGTATGGCGCAAGCCTGTAGCCAGGCCTGTGGAGTAGGGAACAAGCTGATGAAAATAAGTCCATCAGACAAAAGTTGGGAAAATTGCAGTAAAACAAGTTTTTGGTTTGTTTGCAATGCATGAACACATAACTGGCTCATTTATGGTAGCCCACACTTTCATGTCATGTTGTGTGTCAGGCCTGGCCGTGATAGCTCGCACTCACCTCCATGCTCCCCTCGCAACCTGAAGTGAGCTGTGAATTGCTCTCCTAAACAGAACATGAAGGAAAAATTGCTCCACTGAAATTTCGATTTGTTTGCTCTTTTCGTATTCACAAAACCCTGAAAAATTTGTTTATTTTTCAGGATTAAAAGGGCTAATTGGTTTATTTTTGTAACAGTTATTCCTCTCATCTTTGCATTTTTGCAATTAATTTTTTGCCTGTCTGGCGGTTTTTGTTATGATAGTCAGCAACTTCAATCTGTTTTGAAAAGGATAGTAGAGCGAAAGCAGGGGTGTAGTGCTATCAAAATAGCAAGGGAGGCTCTTGCGCAAAATGCTGTGAAAAACCAATAGCAAAAATAGAAACTGACTTTTTTTGGCATTTTGGAATTTCAAAATGGAGTGCTTTTGTTTTTAAAAGCAGAAAGTCTTGGTTTCAGGTACCAGACCAGGTAAATGTCTCCACTATTCAGAGATTCCAATGCTGATGACTATGCCAATAAGAAATTACTACTATTAGATAGTTATTAAAAAATTCAGAGAGCTTCTAGGGGGGCATGATCATGAAATTAAATTTCCAGTACTGTGAAAGCCTGATTTGCAATCATTTTATGTGGGATTGCCTGATACAGCATAGATACCTGGTACCCCCGAAATAGCTGATTGCACCGCAAACAAAGGGTGTTATGATGCAATGTACTGTTATTTTCCTTCATTTGAGATTAAAAAGGCCCAAGTAATAGAATAATTGTTCTGTGGCTGAAGAATGAGGCTCCTCTTGAGCCCTAGTAAATTGGCTTTTGATGAAAGGTCTGCTGCTGTAATTTTAGTTTGATTAAATGAGGTAATTACAACTAGAAACGTGGTTGTAAATTTTTGCGTTTCGTTTTATTTTTCTACATTATACAAGAAGCGGCCTTAAAAAGATTGCTGTTAAAGTTATAGCAATAACAGCACTGTCTGCTCCCCCTGGTTCAAGCCTTTTGATCTCAACAAGTAACAAATAAATAAAACGAAAAAGTCTGTGACAGCAAATCTAACCTGCTAAAAGTACCTTGATATTACTTTTCTTAAACAGCGGGATTATGCTGCTATTTTGATGCTTTACTAAAATCTGTTTTATATCAAAAATTTGTTTTAAAAAATCTGTTTTGTACATCCTTCCTTTTCACGTGATTAAAAAGTAAGGGTGAAGGTCAAACTTTCAACAAATTCTTATTTCTAATGGATTCATTCATCTTGGTAGGTTTTTTTAGCTAGCAGATTACATTTAAAATATAATTAGTATATCTTCAAGAAAAAAAATTTCACATCATACAAAAGAAGAAGAAAATACTTTTGAAAAATAGGGAAAAAATTCAATTGGAAGGGAAAAAATTTCGCACTTACTTCCATTTTTGCCTATAATAAAGTTGACATTTGGCCCAAAATTAATCTCTAAGAACTTGTGGCACATAAAATTCTGTAGTGTGATCCTCTCTATTATGCCAACTTCTGCTTCATTCTAGAACAGATTTGAATTATGTATACTTTAAACTAATATCTTAAGCACTCGATTACAATTCACAAACAGGGGTGAAGCGCTTTAAAAAGAACAAGGGAAACTAACTATTTTCTTGATGCCAAAACCATGATAGGGGAAAAGAGTCGGTGGTATAATAGCTTTATGGCTGAAGATCCCTAGGAAAGATTTGCTTACAGGAAGTCTATCAGACTTTTTTATACCTGAACTTCAAAATCTGGTCTTTGTGAGCAATCAATTTCGGACGTTGTCTGATCTAAAACCATCTGTTCTGCTGCATGATTGTTGTCGATGTCATTGCCCGAGTGTTGGGGGATATCGATAGGATCCGCGTGGGTAGATAAATCCTGGTTGCCCGATGAAAGGCGTGTCCTTTTTCGTCCATTAGTGTTGTCAGATGTTTCTTCGTCTTCAAGTATCTTTGATCCCTTTCTTTTCGCCATTTTAATGATGATTTTCCATTCAGCGTGATGTTGGAACTGTGGAGGGAAGGTACATATCGATGTTGGCGGGAAAACCAGATACTCCATGTGCCGTACACGAACCAGTAATGCTCCTGCGCAGGTTCTTCTACAGAAAACATCAATGAGAGTCAACTATGAATTGAAATGACACATTTTGCTTAAATCCTACTACTTGCAGACTCATTTTTGCAGAAATTAAAAAATCATCTGAGAATTTAGAGAAAAGTCTTCTAGTTGACAGTTAACAATATCTTAGTTGAGATTAGCTCTTAAACCCTAATTTTGGGGACTTCAAATCCGGTCCTTGATTCTGCCATGCATCCCAGACTCAATGCTGGTAAATAAGAAACATTACTAGTCTGGCCATTTTAGCCAGCATAATCTTTTACCACAATCGTCTCTGATAATTGCCTTTTTATTAATATAAATACTCTAATCATTGATTTACATCGATGGGAGTCAATGGAATCGAGGCTGGTGGCGGGAAAAAGCAAATGACATCAGCATTTGGTGGAATGAAGAAAATAAAGTTAAATTACAAAGCAAAAGCAAACAGGTTGCTATTTGACCGACTTTTGACAATAGACGCAAGATGGAAGAGAAAGTAGCAAAGCTGCAAGGTAACTTAACAACTTTTTTTCTATTGCGACAGCCCCGAACTCTTCCAGTTCAATATTTTTTTATTGGAGAAAAGAAAATATAGCCACCAGGTTAAGAAAACATACGGTAGATAGGTGAAGATTTACATACCATCACTTTATCGCAACAATCTTATCCTATAGACACTTTTTGTTCCAATTGGTCTTTGTAGGAAACTGCTTATTTTTTGAAACCGATTAATGAATAACCATAGGAATTCTGAGAGCTTTCAGCAGCAAAAGTCTTGAGAAATAAAATTTCTAAACTTTAAAGCTTCGACTTTTTGACATGACTTGGTTGATACAGATTTCTGTTGAAACTATTTTATCTATCAAAACACCCGGAGCAGGGAAGCAGCATGGCCAGCGCCCCAAGTTCATTTGGATTGAATTTGGCACTTTACTTTCAGCTGCATAGCTAAAACTAAAAAAAATGGAAAAGAAGATGAAGTTTTTAACTAAGATGTAGCTTGTTTTTCTATGCAGAATAATAGGGTTTTAAAGTGCTTTAACATTTGGATTCTAGAAGCAAATAGTTTGTGTTACCTTATTTCACTGCGCTTTGCACTTTCTATAGTACTAGCTTCATTTGTTTGTTTTTCTCTATTAATCAGCGATAGTACTAAAATAAGATTTATGCCCAAAAAAACTTTCTGCATCAACTAATTTCTCGGATGAACTTTACAGTGTTCTTCATATCAGATTCCTTATCTATAATATCGTCAAAATGTTATTGTATTTTATCGAAGTAAGTTGTTCTCGTCGAGTTTAGTAAGCGCCATTGCAAGTTATTGCGCCAAAAGGGTGTGTCAGGGTCCTTTTTACCAACAAAGTAGGTGAACCAGGTAAACCATCTTTTTTTGCCTGACAAGTTTTGAAGTTTGCCTACGATGCTTCCCTTATGGCGAAAAACACTCCCCTCACGCCCTTCCATAGAACAAAAAAGTTTAAGAACTGAATAACTCTATTACAGAGTTACACGTATCTTTATAATAACAACTTTTATAAGAAACACCAGGCTGTGATTTCCCTAAAGAATAGCGACAGAACAACAGAAGGCGATAAACAAAATAGCGTTAACTACTTTTTAAAGCAAATGTTATTTCCAGACACTAATATGCACAGGAAATTCGATTACAAAACTAAGAAGCAAAGAAACAAATGAGGCTGCAATTATGCCAAAAAGTAAGAAACGCCAAGCCGAAACTGGAGCCAATTGTTTTTTTAAAAAAACGTGTATACACGTTTTCTATTAGAAGAAACCAGCGTTTTGTTTACATTATATTCCTTCGGTTTCTTATTAAAAGGAACTGTCAGCCTTTCGCCTCGTATATTATCATTAGGAAATTCTCTACCCACCCAGTTTTTCAGACTCTAGAAGAGCACGCAATTTTTAAATTAGCTCTGCCAATAACCCTGGTTTTTCAGAACTGATCAGCAGCTTTAGGAAAGAAAACAACGAACCACAAAATGAAAAAGTTACCATTGATCTTATGAAAATGGTTGAAGACTTGAAAAATTTTACATTTGACAAAACAAAAGACGGAATGGTGTTAGCAAAAATCAATTCGTGTGCAGTAACATTGTGGAATTTGTCAGTGGCACTAAAAAGTGGCAAAAAGACAAGCAGTTTAGTTAATGCCAAAGGTAAAGAAAAGTTGCTGCATTTTACTTTTTACCAATTGCGATATTGAATTAAAAGTTGACAATCAGTGGCGGACACTTGGGGGGGCGAGGGGGGGCGACGGCCCCCCCAATACTTTACAGGACAATGGTCTTTTGTTCGAAAACAATGGGAAACATGACGTCATCTTATTAAAACAATATGCTTGCCCCCCCCAATAATTGACCGAGTGTCCGCCCCTGTTGACAATGATGAGAGTAAACGATTAAAGTACATTAGAAAGTTAGTAATCGACGAAAGAATTCTTAGAACGACCGAAGGGTGAAACATCATTGTTTGATCAATCTATTAAAGTCAATAATCGATCAACTTACTTTAGATATTTAATATTTCTTCAATTAAAAAAGCGATATTTTTGAAAAAAATTATCTTTGTATCGCAGAAAAAACGTTCAAAAATTGATTTTAAACAGTATGTCTTGAAGTCCCAAGTTTTTGCATTATGGAAATATCTACCAAATATTTTCTTTGGAAATTAAATAGCATCTTTTAAGCATTTAGACTGTTGGAATAATCGAAATCACTTTCGGAGGTTATTTCAAAACTTGTATCAAAAAATTGTAATGATATTTTTTCAGCTAGACATGTTGCCTGCCAATTAACATTTCTGGCTACAGGAACCGAAATAACAGAAACTTCTTGGAGAAGAAAACTTCCCGTAAGTTTGCAAATCCAAAATCAAACAATTTCTTTAGTATGTTATCACTTTTTTATTCAAAAATCGGTTGTATGAAAAGCAATCAAATGCAAAACTACTCTAAATTTCAACAATGTTTCACTAAATGTCATAATATTAGAAAGTTGAAAACAATGATCTTCTTTTAGCTTGCAATAAAGACTGGGAAATCTTGGCTAGGTAAGAATATCATTTATAAGTGTTCCCACTTTTTAGCGTTTTCGTCACCAATCATTTTCCAAGTAGATAAATTTCCGATTCAAAACAAATTTGAAACATCCAGCAATTCCGTTAGTTCATAGCTTCTATCATTTTTAACGTTTTGTATACAACCTTTGTTTTAATATTTCAACAAATTATTAGTCTAATTTCTTATTGTTGTTTTCTGCTTAAAAATACGTTTTCAGTTGTTCTTAAAATTTTCAAAACAAATTTCCTTGCACTTATTAAATAATTTTTGACCACTGAGAAAATAAAATGTTGACAAAGGTCCGTTTTTAAATCACAAACATTACACAATATTGGGTCCTTTATGATATTTTTAGACTGCAGCAACAATAAAATGGCAGATGAAAGTTTTAAACTTGCATTGGAGGTGAGTTAAAATCTACGCTATATTGCGATCGTTTTGAGCCCTCTTTTTAACAAGGATACACAGAAAACATGATCTCCTGCTTAAAAAATAAAGTTGCATTACTTTATTTCTTTTTACTCTTTCCTTATTGCCTATTACTCTCTCTTTTAGTGTTGGTCTAAGATGAACATGATAAGGGATTCCAAACTAGTAGAGTCTAAACCAAACACTAAAGAGCAGCAGCAAATACATGAAAGTGAACTGAATGTTCTCAAGTTGTATGCATATATGGCAGAATCCGTAAGCAATTTTTTGCTTTTCGAAAAAAGCTTGTTTATTCAGTACAGTATAATTTTAGCTGAAACCAGCTTATCATTTTCCAGTAAAGTGCTTTTGAATGTTTGCTAATAACCAATGGCAGTAATTAGCAGATTTAAAATCTAACTGCAAAGGTTTTGAATAGAATCGTTCATCTATTGTCCGAGAGATTCGAGTTCGGTTGGTGGAAGTGCTACAGAGTTTTCTTTAAGAGATTTATTCTGCGAGGTGAAGAAACAAACAAAAACAAAAGCCCAAAGTTGAATTTGAACACCGTTTTGACTCGTAAAAATGCTTGATTCATAAATTGCCTTTGTTAAGTCTAGTTCTAGAAATAATTCCTAGAACCATTTGAGAACAGATACCTTTGAGCAAATTTTTATCTGCGCAGATTTATATATGCAGTATTACTTTAAACGCTTACGACATTGAATTTCTAGGCATTTGCACAAGATAAAGACGAGGTAGCAAAAGTTTCAATGGATAAAGCAAAAAGCTTCCTCGCACAATGCCCTAAACAGGCAAGTAAATTGCTAAATTCTAAACTAAGAATTAAGTCAACAGAATTTGTAGTCTATGATTGTAAATCTGCAGATTTAAAGACAAATTTGTCTACCATAGCTCAATTTGCAGATGCAACGCAGAAACTGTAAACATGGAAACATTTTTTCCTGCACTGCAAATCATAATCCCACCTTAGGATAACCCCGATCTAAGAACTTTCTAACATCACTGACCCAATAATTTTCAAAACTATGTTTTGAAAAAATTACCTTGATTTAAGGTATTAGCATGTTTGGCTCAAAAACCTTTTAGCCCCAAATCTTTAATATGCTCCGCTGTCCCTGATTAACTGATGATCAACTATGTGATCTAATTATTTATAGTAGCAAAACCCACAACTCAATATCCAACAAAATTACTTTGGAATATATCATCGGTACGTTTTCAGGTACATGGACAAACATATGTGGCTCGATGAGAAAGTTAATGCTTTCAAAACAATTCATTAAACCCTTTAATGGGGAAAACTCCGGACTGTCAAGCAGTTTGCCTTCAGTTTGCTGCTTTGGTATTGGGCTTTGGGCTGATTGTCGGATCATTGGAGCATATCATGTTTATTTTAGCAAATTGTCATAAGACCCTTGCCATAATCTCTTTCCGCGAGTGATTTTCACAACTCCCTGGGCTG